ACTAAAATATCATCACTGCCAGTATGAATTCTGTTTAGCAGGCCTAGCAAATATTTTAAACGGTCAATCCCCTTCAATATTTTTATCAGATGATTGTGACATGTCAGGCTCTTTGAGGTTATAAAGATTAAGATCATCGGAATGTTAAAATGTTATAGGCCTAGAAATGTCATGGATTTAATATTCGAGTCAATGGGGTGGGGGTGGGGGATAACTGGCCACAAACAACAGCTTATTTGATAAAGATCATTAACAGTAAAAAAAATCACTGTCGTATTTACAAGCTTCCCTGCACACGTAATATAATCCTGGAAGAGAAAGACATAGCATATTGTAGTTTTAGGTGTATATTATAAAGGGCCTATTATGAAGTCTACCCTCTGCCGATCGATCGTGAACCAAAGATAAACAGTATGCCTGTACTTGTTAAGTTTATGCTTGAAGAACTAATTAAGTGCCAGCAAGAATATTCTCGGTTCCAGGTGCGCAATTTAAAGGGAATTATTAAGATGTCAGTCAACAGATCTACTTGAGAACTCATCGGTTAAAAACCCCGACGACTTTAAGTGGTTGTTGTTTGCCTTTGATAACTCCAGATCAATGGAAACATCTTTGAGAATCTCGTGTAGCGCATCTTCCGTCTTTTATTCGATTGTATGAGATTGTTCAGCTGGAAAAATAATTAGTCTCGACATAGATGCAAAAGAGATGTGTGTGACAAATCAAGTCATTTATAGTTCAAGAATATAATTAAATTGAAATTACTTTGATGTCGGTGTAAAAAAAGGTCATTTAATCAGTTACTGTCTTTTAAATGTTTCAAACACGGAAATTGCCCTTTCAAAATATTCGAACTTAATAAGCGTGATTTAATCACTATTAATAGCTAAAGTAGGCTACAAAATGAATAGGTAGGGCCCGCGGAAGCAATTCTTGATTGGGGGGGGGGGGCTACCATCCTAAGTCCTTAGGCGAAGGTCCAGGGGCCGCCCAGGCCCCGGAAGCTCTTGGGGATCTAGATCGTCGGAGACGCTTTCTAAGCGATTTCTGGCTAAAAAAATTACTCAGCAATGAAGTGAAATTTTATTTCATTTTTAACTCCCTTAAAGGGGGTTTATACAGAGCGCGAACGCGGCTTTTCGTCCTGGAATGCTCTAGTCATTTTTAGAGGTCGCCCCGTTCATACAGAGCGCGAACCCGAACCCGGACAAATATTCGTTCGCGCGAACGACCGCCTTGATTGCCTCCCGAGCGAATTTTTCAGAAGTTCGCGCGAACTTTTTCCCAATGAACCAATCAGTGGGCACTTCCCATGACATCATTTCCACGAAAAGAAACCGCTAGGCCTGATCGTTCCCACTAGTGTGCAATATTCACAGTCTTCTTGTAAAAGCAGAATGGAGAGAGAGAGAAATGGCGTTTAACGTCCACTCGACACAAACTAGGTCATTTCGAGACTAATATATGGTTTTAATTTATTTCAATAATTCGCTTGCGCGTAGGGGTCTTTAGCAGTGGGAGGAAACCGGAGGACCGGGAGAAAACCCACGAGATTGGACAGGCAACCCTACTCCTTGTCACGTACAACCGGGGTTTCGAAACCACGCCAGTTGACTCAATGACAAGCCTCCTGATACAGCGCGTGCGTGCTAACCATTCGGCCATCCAACCCCCAAAAGCAGAATGGACAAGACCGAAGAAATGATCATTGAAATCGAAAGAAATGTGATTCTTCTCTGTAAAATTTTATGTACAAATACAGTGCCAAGATCTCGTCTGTGTCTGTTTCCACCTGAGCCATGATAGCAAATGACAAAATTTATCTCTCACAGCTAGAAAAAGACAAGCCATCACGAAAGCCGTCGACGGTTTTCCGCGTTCGCGCCCTATTTGAACGGTGAAACTGCTCAAAAGTCGCCTTCGGGTTCGCGATGGACGCGTTCGAGTTCGTACTCTGTATAAACAGGGCTTTACCATAAAAACACAATCTATGGTGGTTTAATCCTGTGATGCTGAACTTGACAAATATGTGCATAATGCATGATGAAACTTACAATGTACGTTTATTACCGAAAGATCTCCGTTCCTTTCGATATTGGCGTATATAGGACCGTCACTTCCTGGATTATGGCCCCTGATTTTAGGAACCTTGGACCCGGTAGAAGTAACAGTTTTTATTTGATTGTAAAAAAACATTCAATTATAGCAGGTCAATGAACATTTAGAATATTTAGATGTTTCACCGTGCACGCCCCCCCCCTCCTTCCATCCCAAAATCAAAATGCTAGCTACCTACTATACTGTGATTAATTTGTTGATCAGAGAAAATGGGCGAAAATAGCTGACTAATTTGTCACCAGGGTCTTCGATAACAGTCTTTAATACTATTTAATACTGTTATATATCATTTTGAACACGCAAAGGAGAGAAATGAATTTGATTAACTCTCAGAGACAACAAAATTGATATATTCTATTTTGATCATATTCCTAAATTTTTGTCTTTGCACGGTTTGCTGAGAAGTCTTATGCGAAGACAGGTAATCACTAATAAAAATTACAGAAAATATCGGAAATAGAATAGCTTGACCAAATAAGGCGTTGTTTATTAGGTACATTAATTATTTTCTGGTTCGCTTAGCATGAATTTTCTGGTTCGCTAAGAAACAATTTCGCAGAAGAAATGGCGGTAAAACGACAGTGAGTTCTACAACCTCCGAGTGTTTTTAAAGATAATATAGTTGCGGCATTCTAAATATAGTTTGATCAAATAAATAAGCACGTGAAAAATTTGGTTGCAATGTAAATTAAAATAGGTTTTAAGACAGTGTCATTAGATGTAAAGATTGTGTATGGTAATGGCGATTGAAAAATGAAAATTCGTTGGTCATGGACGTTGTACGCTAGCTCTATCAATTATAGAATCCAGAAAAGACCAGGCGAATGTCGTTCTATTTTAAAAGGCCAATATCACTGTTTCTATCCTAAATTGTGTAATCATTTTTGTTCTGTTAGTGCGGGGCAGTGTGTTCTATATTCCATGGACATCCGATACTAATTCGCTAATGGGTACTATTGTATTGACTATTTCTCATTCAGGACGTCCACTAACAATCTGATTAAAATACAGATCTGTATTTCGTTTCGTTTTTTTAACACTCTCGATGGCCTCTACTACTAGTGTAGTAAAGACAACGTTGGTCTACAATAGTGCTGTATTACACAGCTGCATGGTATATAAACGAGTAAACAATACAAATTACAATACAAAAATAAACAACAAATAACATTGTAAAGCCAAGTAAAACGAAATTTTGAAACTATAAAAAAACGAAACTTAATAGGATCTGTGTTTCAGTCAGATTGGTCCACTCACTATTGAAAAGTGTCCGTTGTCACAACATAAATTAACTTCTTAAATATCAACTAAACATAGATGGGCGGTCGAAATGTTTGATTACGAAACGACGTGTTTGATTACAACCCGCAACAAAAACAACTTAGAATAGATTTAGAAAAAAACCACTATACTTCCTATAACAACAATACTATCTACTCATTTTCTTCAAAAAATTGACATCTTATCGACAAATACTGTGAAATTAGGTCCCAAGCTATGTATATAATTGAGTTAGTGAAGCAAACTACCTTCTATAACAATAACACAATAATTATATTCAGATTATGAAAAGATAAACATCCATTATGGGTAGATTGAACGAAGATACCTCCGAAATTATGACATTTTCAATATCACATCATTACAGGTTCACTTATATAAACAAATCACGATTCAACAGTAAAGGAAGCAACTATTTTTAGGCTACGTGAAATACAACTGATGAAGGATTAATATTGATAATTAGCTAACACAAAAATTTATTTCTACAGTAGATTCGTATAAGCTTGTATTTTACATATAAATCGACAGATATCGGTTACATTTGTAACAGAAAGGTAACCAACGTCGACACTTCAAATGAGAAGTGCCATTCTAGGGGTTGGGATGGCCCAGTGGTCTAGAGTGCCGCGCCATTCCAGAATTAATATGTATATATTATATCTATGAATAAACATATTTACAAGAAAAAACAAGAGCATCGCTACCGCTGCAATATACGTCCACATTCCTGCTTTGATTGATATGGTACTTTTTAAAACTAGAAATGGGCGTGGCTCTGCCCCTGGGGGTCGGGCATGCACCAAAAACAATAGGGATCTTCCTTGGGGTATAAGGAATAAGTATACCAAGTTTGAAGAAAATCCAGTAAGAATTGCGCCCTGTAGGCGACACAAAGACACACGAAAAGAAAATGGGAAATGGGCGTGGCTCTGCCCCTGGGGGTTGGGCATGTACCCCAAACGATAGGGATGTTCCTTAGGGTACAAAGAATGTGTATGCAAGATTATAAGTTAAGAAATGTGGCCTGTAGACGACAAACAAACAAATACTAGAAATGGGCGTGGCTCTGCCCCTGGGGGTCGGGCATGCACCAAAAACAATAGGGATCTTCCTTGGGGTATAAGGAATAAGTATACCAAGTTTGAAGAAAATCCAGTAAGAATTGCGCCCTGTAGGCGACACAAAGACACACGAAAAGAAAATGGGCGTGGCTCTGCCCCTGGGGGTTGGGCATGCACCCCAAACGATAGGGATGTTCCTTAGGGTACAAAGAATGTGTATGCAAAGTTTCAAGATTATTAGTTAAGAAATGTGGCCTGTAGACGACAAACAAACAAATACTAGAAATGGGCGTGGCTCTGCCCCGGGGGGTCGGGCATGCACCAAAAACAATAGGGATCTTCCTTGGGGTATAAGGAATAAGTATACCAAGTTTGAAGAAAATCCATGAAGAATTGCGCCCTGTAGGCGAACCACAGACACACACACACACACACACACACACACACACACATACATACATACATACACACACACACACACACAGACAGGGGCGACGGCATAATACGTTCACATTATGAATGTGGACGTATAAAAAGAGTGCCGCGCTTCGACCTCTAGCTGACAGGTCACCTCTGGCTTGCGGGTGTAGTTTTGATCCCTAGTGTGAGCGTATGTGGCTTGGAGATAGGGGCGCCTTCTCAACCTCGTGGGTTTACTCCGGGTACTTCGGTTTCCTCCCACAGGAAAGACCCTCTAAGGGCGCGTGCGCCAAGATAATAAAAATGAAAAATAAGACTTGTCTGCGATATCATCTTCGGTGGAAGCGGACGTTTAACATTAAGAACAACACAACATAATCTCGCAACTAACTCGGCCGAGATGAAATAGTTTTCTTTTTATAGGTTTAGTTGACGAAACACTCTTCTTAATTGTTGTTCAGTGAGGCTATTAAAACATAGAGGGGTCATCAATAACGCTTAGAGTACCTCTTCCAACATATACACCATCCTTAGTAACTTCGTCATACGCCTTTACCTTCTTGCTATAAATATAATGAATAAATTATGATTAGGCCTTTATCAAGAGAACATTTCAATCTGGAATATTAAAAAGATTACAATTTCGCATTTCACATATATCGAATATTGTAATCGTACCGGACAGTTGCCTTCTCGCATAAAAATGTGTGGTCTTTCTGAATTAGGGCTAGGATTTTGAGTTAATGGTTGTAGTTCTTGGCATCCCATGCTGAGCTATCTCTTGGAAAGATAGGTTGCCAAGCAACGAAACATACCCCCACAGCAGCTAAATCGTCTGAGCAGTACGGAAATTCGTTTTAATGATTTAAATAATCTATAAAAATTCCATACATATCGAATGATAACTTTTGTCAATAGACCATTCACATGGTTCTACCAAGTGAAACAGAGGCCATAACCCTAGAAGTAATTAATGGAAATTGTTCAATAGCCCTTTTTTATGGAGTGATCTAAAAATGCATATACATTTCATACAGATTAGATGAAAACTTTTGTCGATATAGCTTTCACAAGGTTGAACAAAGTTAAACAAGGGCCATAACTATAAAATTTGTTAACGGAAATTGCTGAAATTCCATAGCTTTCTTCGTTTTACTTTTTTGAATAATGCATGTAAATTTAATACAGAACGAATCATCACTTAAGTCGTCGTTAGAGCATTCACAAGGTTCAGCAAAGTGAAGCAAGGGTCATAACTCTAGAAGTTATAAACGGAAATTCAAAACGATTCTTCGTTTTACTAATTCAAATAATATATATGTAAATCCAATACAGATCGGATGATAGCTGTAGTCTTTCGAGCGTTCACAGGGTTCAACAAAGTGAAACATGGACCATAACTCTAGAAGTAATTAACGGAAATTGTTGAAATTAAATAGGGCTCTTCGTCTCACTGCTGTAAACAATATATGGTCCTTGTTTCACTTTGTTGAACCTTGTGAACGTTCGAAAGACTATATCTCAAACTGATCAGATAATAAATGTAATCTGTAGAGTTGCCACAAGAAATTGTGGACGACGGACCGACGGACGGACGTGTGGACCGACGGAGCCGACGGCAATATACGAACACGTTTCCATGTATGCGTACAGAAATGGACGTTTGGAATCAAGGGTGATGTGTTTGCAAGTATACACGTGTCTGGTCCAGCTGAGGGTCAACGACGGGTTCCCGAGGGCATGTGGATTTAGTAAGAAGCGTATGGCCCCCGCCACATGTGGGATTTGAGCATCATATCGCTACTATATCCGTATTAGAATTGAGTTACCCCAGTAGACGGCTGAGCAGAGTTCTTAAATACATTATAAGATTGCTGTTGTTTAGACGTGTTATAAAGCCATATGTGTCGTTTGATGTTTTACTGTTATATAAAACCTATTTAGAACAATACAGGTTAAAAGAAAACACAACGTAAAGGCATGTTGCAACGGAAAAGAATACCAATGGTGTAAGATCTATGTGCCGCTTGATTCCAAAAACGCCACAGATATTGTTGTGTAGTGTGTAATAAAGTACGGTTTGATAAAGGGAAATACAATACATAAATAATTCTAAGCCATGGAAGTTATTTTATTTCTCAACTTACGGCACAATTCCATTCTCCACCTTTCTGTAAAAACAGCAACAATACAGGTGACGACATACGTCCCGAAATTTAGCATTGGTAGCAAAGTAGATTATTGGGTTCATCAGACACCCAGCCTTACAAAACATCGTAGGTATGGTTGTCAAGGCGACGGGAATGTCAGGTAAAATGACGTAAAGCAAGCAGACTATGGCATATGGTGTCCATATAATTAAAAATGTCGCTACTAATGCAAAACACATCTGTAAAAAAGAGAGAATTAACTTTCAAACACAGAATGTCTTATAGGAACAAATCCAGATGTGGACAAAGAACTGCCGAACTTTTCATGTGTATTTTTTTTGTCTTGACACGTGAAAAATAATTTTGTTGAATTGTTTACAAAAACCGAATATAGTGATAAGATATTTCTGTGAACAGTATAATTGACTTGACTATAACAAAATACAAGAGCAGCAGTGGAAAAAAATAATCTTTATTGATATACGTCGTTTTGTACAGAAAAAAATGATTGAAAGGTGATGAAAAAATTGTTATATATTCGATTTTTTCTCTTTCCATACAGAAAAACGGTCTTGCAATTAATTCCGCTTTGGCTTGCCATAATAATTATATCGTTCAGGTCACGCACATGATCGACATGGGGCATGGTATTTTACAAATTGTTTCTATAAGATTTATGTTACACAAATTGTTTCTATAAGATTTATGTTACACAAATTGTTTCTATAAGATTTATGTTACACAAATTGTTTCTATAAAATTCATGATACTATGTACAAATTGTTTCCATAAAATTATATATTTTGTATACAATCAGAACACCTCTCTAATAATCAATTTTCTGTAATGTAGCAAATGTATGCATCATGTTTGAATCTATTTTGATATAAAACAAACATATCATGGTTTGGACCGTTTTTATTAGCTCCGTCGCTATACAACGAATTAAGACGCTTAACCCCAATTCATTTTTGGGTCATCGACTTTATATTACTAGTAAAGGTTCATTGTGCATCTCGTGATAATTAACGTTATATTTTATTATAAATTGCATGACTCTTTAATCTCTGTAATTAATACTACTACTTACAATGATCACCAATCAATCAATACAAGGGCAACACATCATCGACGGTAACGTCACGATTTACTAAAACAATCATAAATCAGAAACAGAATACTTACAATTGTCACTTGTTTATCTGTTGTCACTCTATGAACCCATAACACATCACTCATAGTTTGTAGATTTCTGTTACTGCTGTTTTCCCACAATTGTAATTTTTTAGTTGTTATAACTATTTTATAATAACACTTTCCAATTATAATGACATGAATTAAATAACAAACTACGATAGTGCATAGCAGATAGGTTATATTACTGTATGCTCTGTTGGCCCAATCTAAACTACACGATGTACCGAAAGGTTCCAAATGGTATCCACCCCATCCGAGCAATGGTAATCCAGTCCAAAATAAGGCATGCGACCATATTCCGACAATGACGTATTTGGTGTTAGCTAAACTGAGATATTTTTCTGAAATAAGAAGATATGCCTGATTATTATATGGAAGCCACTTACGGGCATTTTGTAACCGTCTCGTCACGCCACGAGAAATCAAGGGAGCGAGAAGTCATTGATAGTAAATGAAGAGTCAGATATAAATGAGCAATAAATTGTATACACTTTACATAATTATCTTATTCCATTTCATTGAACAGCACGGCAGCAAGGTATCCACACCAGCTTATCCGAAAGGAAAATTTGGATGTTGACCAAATTTGATATTTCGCAAAGAGGGAATAACAACTCTGGAACCGAAAGCCACAAAATGCGCAATATCAAAAGGATTTGTCCTCTAATTACCACAATACTTCAAGCGATAATTTCATATTTTCTAAGAAAGTCAAAACATAATTATTTCTATGTCTTTTGCTCAATAGGTTGTCAACTCACTATTATACGATCATAGGTATTATTCTCCCACTTAAAAGTCCTTGGACCTCGGAAATAATAACACAATTACCTCCCTTGTTTTTCTATCCCCGCCATGGAATAGCTATCTTCAAACGTTTGAATTTGAAGTTGAAAATGATATTTTTGCCAATTTCTCAACTGGCAATAGTGAATTATAGGATTATTTTTTAACAAGGTAGGGCTGTTTGTAGATACCATCTATTTTAAGGCTTTATTTTAATAAATTTTAAAAATATAACATAAAAATGTGAAATTGCAACTTTCACATCAAATCTACAGGGGTGTCATAACTTCGGATGAAACGGTCGCGGAGGCTAACTATCGACAGGGTTCGTCCTCCCGTGGCCACAATGCTGTACAACTAATTTGAAAAGAATTCATTAAAAAATGTAGCGTCTATCTCGTTCACAATGTTTTCGTCAAATGGGTGATAACTTCAGATGGAAAGATCGCGGAACGCTGACTATGGACATGACCCCAATGCTTCACACCAAATTTGAAAAGAATCTATTGCGGTAACATGTCTTTCGTCAAAGCCGGGTGGGGAGTGGGTGTAGCAGAATATCAGAGATGTCGATTGGGTTCGTCCTGTCATGACCTAATTGATTCCCTAACGTTTGAAAGGAATCAATTAAACTATAGCCTCTGTCGAGTTCACAAAGTTTTCGACATGCGGAGAATAACTCTGGTATAGAAGTACGCGGAACGCTGAATATCAATGGAGGCCGCCCTCAAATTTGAAAAGAATCCGTAGAAAACTGTAGCCTCTATCGCATGCACAAGGTTTTCGGCAATCCAGCGATGGGCAGAGAGGGATTTCAGGAATATGTCTTGGTATACGCGTTACATGCTTTCAACTATTTGTGTAAAGGGAGGTTTCTGTCCAATTTTCACTGAGCTATGAATATGAAATATTTTAACGGTTCTTAGAATCCCCATAACGATTGAATCATCGTGGAGCCGAAGTTCGAAAATGGCTACATAAATTTTCAGCTTGTTCATTTGAACAAATATAAATATGTACATGGCTCACAACCATCTTTATGTTTCGCAAAATCTAAGTGATGGACATGTGTTTAATCCGATTGAATTCAAGACCGGGGTTTATCTAGCGTTGATATTTTCAATTTGATTTCCTTATCAAATGTTATAATCAATCTAAGTACATATTTAGCGTGGGTTAAATGGTACGAAATTTTTTTTTCTTCAGGAAATTGAAGACAGGAACAGTTACTTTAATAAACAGTTTCATTCCCATCTATTTATGGTGCATGTTTATCTGTCAGTGTTAACAGGATACTATGGTGACTGATTGGTATCATGTCGTGATGTCGTGGTGTCCCCCTTCATAAGGCGACAACCCGACAACCCGACATCACGTCATTTTAACCCAACACCACGGCAACCCGTCATTTTAACCCAACACCACGGCAACCCGACATTTTAACCCGATAATACATTTTCACCCCACACCACGATATTAAAAAAATGTCGTAGTGTCGCATAAAAAAGTTGTATTGTCGTGTTAAAATGTCGTGATGTCGGGTTGGCGTTTTGTCGGGTTGCCGTGGTGTCGGGTTATCCGCCATACACTTTTAAAAATAAATGCAAAATTACAGTGAAAAATATGTAATTTCTTTAACATAACGCTGTAAAAATACCACTGCATGTTTTTATACTATAAATTTACTGTATTAGTGGGGAACATGGGATTGCTGTAAAAAAAATTGGTAAATTAACCATAAAAGTGTAGTTTTACAAGTTTGAACTGTATTTTGTTACATGTAACCTGTATTGATACAACTATGTTTGTTAACATACATGTATGTTGTATTTTAACTGTTTTTATGGGTAATTCTCTATTCAAACATGTTTAAATACGGGATTTGTGTACAATTTACAGGAAACGTGTAATTATTGTACATCTCTTTAGAACTTTAACATTGATAGACCTTTTAAGGCTTCATTACTTTTCGTCTATAGTCCACTTATGAGGGGGTGGGGGTCTCAGTGGCTAAGTGGGTGAGACGCTGGCTCGCTAGCCTGGAGGTCGAGTGTTGGACCAGTGATGCAGGCCGGACAAGGATAGCGGTCTAGTCGTTCAGATGGGACGAGAAACAGCGAGGTTCCGTGTATACATTGGCGTGCACGTAAAAGATCCGTATTAAACTGTAAAAAGTATATATATATACTATTCAAAAAAAGTAGGGGATATTTGATTTTTAAGTGTTATTAAAGTCACCTAATGAAACTGACGAAGAAACAAATGACAAAATGAAATGAAGTTCACATTCATCGATTTATTCCAAATGATCGTTAGACTAAGTAAGGCACAGACTGACCATTATACGGGTAAAATGATACCCGGGGTCAAACAGCAAAGCTACCACAGCATCACAACCAAGTCAGTAACGGGTAAATCCTCCTCTGTTTGCCAAACAAGCATTGATCCGACGTGGCATACTCCTAATGAGACGTCTAAGGTCATTTTGGTCCAGATTGTCTCATTCCTGTTGCAACGCAGCAGCAAGTTCTTGGACATTGGCAGGACGTTGTTGACGTTGACGTAACCTCTGTCCAAGCATGTCCCAGACATGCTCGATGGGGGAGAGATCGGGACTCAGTGCTGGCCAAGGTAATGTGGTGATGTTCTGTTGTTGGAGATAACCTGTAACGATCCTGGCCCTGTGACATCTTGCGTTGTCATCCTGGAAGATGAAACGGCGGCCATGACGTCGTGCGAACGGCACAACATGGACTGCCAAGATGTTGTCCCGGTAGTACTGGCCTGTAACACGCCCTGCAACAACATGTAAAGCCGTTCTTCCAGCAACAGTGATGCCTCCCCACACCATAACAGAACCACCCCCAAATCGATCATGTCTGATGACGTTAACGTCTTAGAAGCGCTCGTTTCGACGACGCCACACCCTCCTACGTCTGTCCAAAAAATCAACAGTGAACCTTGACTCATCTGAAAACATCACATTGCTCCAGCGTCGATTATCCCAGTGTTGACGATCCCTACACCAACGACGTCTTGCCTGAATGTGATGATCTCTCAAACAAGGGATCACGCGAGGACGTCGGGCGCGAAGGTGACCCCTATGCAGTCGATTCCGAATCGTCTGGCCACTCACTCTCACACCAGTGTCTGTTTGAAGACGAGCGCTGATCTGATTTGCTGTGATGACACGATTTCTCAAGGCCAAGGTACGGATAAATCGATCCTGGGCTTGAGTTGTCGCCCTTGGTCGACCTGAGCGTGGTCTGTCCTGTACAGATTGTGTATCACGGTATCTGGACCATAGCCTGCTTATGACAGACTGAGAAACATTCATCGTCCGCGCCACAACCGCCTGTGTTGTGCCGATCTGTAGCATGCCAAGGGCACGTAACCTTTCATTTTGGGTAAGCCGACGCATATCAAAATTTGTTTTCTGGTCACTAAAACAATTAAACTGATGTTTCCACCCTGGAATTCAATGCCACAATGACTGTAACATTCAAAGTCAGAGTCGTGCAAATCTTGGGTTGGACCCCCATGATGATCCCAAGCATCACCTTCATTCCATGCGGTAGCTATTGGTGCGTTTGGGCGTCACATGTAACTGGAAATGTTTCTTCTGTTAGGTTCTATAGTGACTTTTTTCGTAGTCATTTGCATATTTTAGTATTATGCCCCCAAAATCAAATATCCCCTACTTTTTTTGAATAGTATATATTTAGAGTTATAACTTTATAAGTATTCTTAAAATACAGTGTCCGATTTGGAATATCACATGGTTTGTTAACTTGAATGCATATGAATACAAGGCTTATGTAAGATTACATCAAACGTAATGTAGAAATACAACCATATTATGTCAGTTTACATTATGTGAACTGTATATTAACAGACATGCCATTATTTTTACAGCAAATTGTAAATTAACCGTAAAATGACTGGCAGAAATATTCCAGTAAAATCACTGTATTTTAACACTGACTTGTAAATGTACCACTAAATGGTAGATTTAGATTTACAAACACCACGTAAATTTACAGTGAGTGTAAAATAACTTTGAGGTAAATTTACAACCACAGTATAAATTTACAGTGAGTGTAAGATAACTTTGAGGTGCATTTACAACCACAGTGTAAATTTAGAGTGACAGGTAAATTTACCTCACTTTCTATTTACAAGCACAATTTAAATTTCCTTCGAAGTTATTTTACACTCTCTGTAAAATTACACGCTGTTTGTAAATCTTAATCTACGATTTAGATGTAAATTTACAAGTCAGTGACAGTCATTTTACTGGCAACTTTCTGCCAGTCAATTTACGGTAAAAACACACAAATATTATTTACAGTGATATTACTCTCTATACTATGATTATGTTCACTGATCCTGGGATTGGTCAAGAAAGTTCGCCGGAATTTTGCAGCGTGGGATGTCCGGTTGTCGCCTTATGAAAGGGGAAACCACGACATCACGACATAATACCAGAGACCTCTTCCTAAAGGCGTCTGGGGGCTTCTTAAAGATTTACATTTAGTTATAGTTAGACAGGAAAGAAAGTTCGGCATCCTTCCGGATCAAATACGACAATTAATTAGTTTGTTAATAACATACCTATGTATGTTTTCGCTAATGTAGAAGGCATTTTCTAGTAGTTCAAATCAAAATATCCGACGACGATCATCATTAGAAGCTATTCAACAACTGTATAAATATTCATATTTATAAACATTTTAATACTGCGTTGTTGTCTGTAAATTCACATCTGCTATCTGAATTAGTATCAGTGAAAACATTTTACCGCAAGTCAAACTAGACACAATGTGTCAGTGCAACTAACGTTGCAACAGAAGTCCTAATCGCCAGCAGTTTTGTGTAGAGCGAAAATATGACCAGTGTTTGTGATACATGTCAAGGAGCACAAACAGATTTTTGCTAAATTTTAAAAAAATTGTGCAATGCAAGGGGCAAAATAATATTCGTCTACTTGACTTTGAACATGCCAATGTGTAAACGGATGGCTATTGTCTCACCCGAAGGACTAGACACACTTTCCTTGTTAACTAAACAAGATGAGCACTGGGCTTGAAAAATCACAAAAGTTCTTCTCGGCTATAACGTCAGCAATAGACACTGTAGTCGAAGGCACAGTGACTTACCACTCGACCTCGCTAGTCCCTATTTTAATTTGAAAATTGTAATAAATCGTATTTAAACTCAATTATTACACGCGTGCGAGATTTCGTTTTAAAATGAGTCTATGTACAACCTTATTTTTTAATTTTATATAAAAAAAATAGTATTAAATATTCGCATTCATTAAATCCCATCACTATACGAATTTCCACGGGAGGATTTCCACACAAAGTGTAAAGAGAAACGAACTATTTCCTATATCTAGACTTACATTAAAAAAATAAATATGAAAATCGCCTGAAGATTTTATCAATTAGAAGATACTACTATATTCCCGTGTGTGTGCTTTATAACGTATCCAATTTCATTTTTAAAAAATCATACACATAATTACACAAATTAGGAAGAACAGTATGTCATATCTTTTTATATATTTTTAATAAACATATACACCCACAGATGATTCGTAGCGAGTAATTTAAAACTTTAATGCATCTTACATTATACTTTGATATACTTACGTTTACCGGAATCACACACCATAATGTATCTATAGACACTGACACACATCAGGGTATTCATACTTCCCATGGACAGGAAGAAACTAAAGAAACCGGTTACAGAACAAGCTAACTGCGAGAACATCCACCGACCATAAAACCCGGAGATGGTGGTGAGAGGATACCCAAAGAATGAAATACCCAAGTCAGCAATTGCCAAGTTGACAATCAACACGTTATGAGGCTTTGTCCGCAGTTTTCTTTCTCGTAATATAACTGCTAATACTAGTATGTTTCCAAATGTTGCACAGGTGGCTGAAAAGGTAAAAAAGGCAGTTTAAACAAGAACTCACATAGCTTTTAAAAAATGTAATTTTTTATTCGTATATAAATATTGAAATCCTCCTATGGGTTCCGGTTTCAATGATAAGTATAAAATGGTAAGTATAAAATGATAGTAGTTTCAGATGCGAGCCCAATTCTACATATCGTATTGGCAAAAAAATAATCTGTTAAAAACTGTTACCACTATCAATTTAACAATGTTCACGGTTAAGTATGGCTATGTGTGTGTGTGTGTGTGTGTGTGGGGGGGGGGGGGGGTTAATTCCGGAATGAACGCCGAAAATCTTCTGATTGGGTTTCGTACTGTCATTGTCATGAAACCCAATGCTGCACATCGGATTGACAAAAAATTCCTTAAAAACTATAGCCTTTATCGCATTGACAACTCCAAAAAATAATTTTACCTCAAAATTGTAATAACTGTAAGCTCTATCGCTTATTGATGGAACGATGGACATCAGCGACGAGTTAATACGCCGACACCGAAATGTGGGCGTATAAAAAAAAAAATGCCAGAAAAGAGAAACTATTACTAATTATGCATAGGTTTATTAGGCTGGAATGTCAAATGGAAGACCTCTAATCAATGTTAGTTGATTAGCACCAATATACTTGACCTAGTATATCGAACAGACATAATCAGACACTATAATAAGTCGATCGGTCATGCTGATCAATGATTAACACAGGGGTTAATGGTCATACATGTACAACCCCAGCAAGTTCTACATTATTGTCATACATACGTTCCCAGAACGTTCTACGTTATGGCTAATCATACGATCACAGAAAGTTCTACGTTATGGCTATTCAAACGATCACAGATAGTTGAATAGATCTACGTTTGGCTATTCAACCGATCACAGAAAGTTCACGTTATGGCTATTCAAACGACCACAGAAAGCTCTATATTATGGCTATTCATACAGTAACAGAAAGTTTTACGTTATGGCTATTCATACGACTGCAGGAAGTTCTACGTTATAGCTATTCATACGACCACAGAAAGTTCTACATTATGGCAATTCATACGGTCACAGAAAGTTTTACATGGCTAGTCATACGATCACAGACAGCTCTACATGGCTAGTCATACGATTACAGAAAGATCTACATTATGGCTAGTTATACGATCACAAACAATTTTACGATCATTGAAATTTGTGTATGGCTATTCATACGATCACAGAAAGTTCTACATTATGGTTAGTCATACGATAACAGAAAATTCTACATGGCTAGTCATAAGATCAAAGAAATTTGTATATGGCTAGTCATACGATCACAGAAAGTTATACAATATGATTAGTCATACGATCACAAAAAGTTCTACAATACAATATCTTAGCAAGATACCATTGTCTTTCCAGAGATAAAATCATCAGAACAATCACAATATGTTGGCATAATACCAAATTAATATTGCGGTATCTATCGCGCTATTGACCCCTATACGCTTCCATACACACCACATTAAAAATGTCGTAATGTCGCATAAAAATGTCGTATTGTCGGTTTTAAATGTTGTGATGTCGTGGTATCGGATTATCGGCCATATTCCTCTCAATACTATGTTTATGTTCCCCGGGATTTTGCAGCGCGGTTTCTCCATGTCGGTAGTGCAGGACAAAGGGCCTGGCAAAAAACAGTGTCTATAAGGACAAAAAAAAAACCCCAACCTCCTGTATACACATTGGCGTGCACATAAAAGAATCCTTCACAGTTGAAATTCGATGATGAAATGCCACGGTCCATTAGAAATTTCCATCATATCACTCTGCATAGCATATGCCTATATCTTCAATAGTCCGATTGGTTCGGAAAAGTGGGGAAATGAAATGAGGTTTAACGTTCAACTGTTCTGCTCCGTGAGCCACAGTGACTAAGTGAGTAAGACACTGGCTCGCTAACCTTGACGTCGCGGGTTCACCCCCGGTGTTGGCCGAGAAAGTCCATCAATATTTTAATGCGTGGTTTCCCTTTGTCGGGGGGGGGGGTGGCTGAATGGTTAGCGTGCGCGCGCTGTATCATAAAGTCTGTCATTGAGTCGACTGGTGTGGTTTCGAATCCCCGGTTGTACGTGGCAAGGAGTAGGGTCGCCTGTCCAACCTCGTGGGTTTTCTCCCACTGCTAAAGACGTTAAACCCCATTTCTCTCTCCCCTTTGTCAGGGGTGCAGGAAGGAAGGCCTGACAAGGACAGCTGTCTAATTGTTCGGATGGCACGAAAAACCGAGGTCCTGTGTATACATTGACGTGCACGTAAAAGATCCCTTGGCAATTGGAATTCGATATATGAGTAGGCCGTAGCGCCGCTGCCCGAGCAAAATGTCCCTCATACACACTGTATGGTGTAAGCCCGTCTTCATAAGCCCAGTCGGAGCAGAACAGTAGGACGTTAAACTCCAGTTCATTTCATTTCGTTCTGCTCCGACTGGGCTAATGAAGGCGGACATACCCTATACAGTGTAATATGAGGGAAATTTTACCCTGATAGCGGCGCTACGGCCTACTCAGCAGCCACCATAGTAAATACTTAGCATATGGCGTGTTTAATATTAAAGGACTGTCGGATGAAAATGTCGTATTGTCAGGTTAAAATGTCGCGATGTCGTGATGTCTGGTTGTTGTCTGTTGGATTAAAACGTCGTGATGTCGGGTTGTCGGCGTATGAAGGGCGACATCACAACATGATACAAATCAGCCACCATACCAAAACTATATAAGTAAATACTTTGCGCGTGGCGTGTCTAGTATTATAGGACTGTAGACCTTTAATACCAAGAAATTGGCAATTTTAAACAAAGATATTTTTTTTATAGACATTAGATATGAAGTGGGTTCAGATTTTACTTTAGTTTTTTTTCGGTGTGTTTTTTTTTTTGTTTTTTGTGTTGTTTTTTTTTTTGGTCTATTAATTATTTGAAAATGGTATAATACTTGAATCATATGGTAATGTATAAAATAGTAACAAAAAGTTTTGTTTACGGGGTTTTGAGGGTTTTAATTTAAATAAACGGATGGGCCGCATTGTTTATCTTGTTTTTGTGTGATGTATGATATACCCATGTATGTTATACTTTTATTACATATTTTATATATAAAACATCGAAAATTGTTATATTTTCATTAAATTATAAAGTGCTAATGTGATGTATGATATATCCATGTATGTTATATTTTTATTACATATTTTATATATAAAACATCGAAAATTGTTATATTTTCATTAAATTATAAAGTGCTAATGTGATGTATGATATATCCATGTATGTTATATTTTTATTAAATATTTTATATATAAAACATCGAAAATTGTTATATTTTCATTAAATTATAAAGTGCTAATGTGATGTATGATATATCCATGTATGTTATATTTTTATTAAATATATATAAAACATCGAAAAATAAAAAAAAAATTACATAAAATATTTGGTTTTTTTTCCCATCTAATTACCTATAACACCTAATCCTAATCCGCTTAATCCACTAATCCTAATTAGACCTTAATTGGATTAATCAAAAGTGGGCACAGTGAGGACACACCAATAGTATTATACTTACCAACAATAGATAAATAGATTCCAGTTGCTAGATACGCACCATCAGATAATTTACCATCCGTAGAATGAGAAGACGAGTTATATTCATCATAAACAAACGTTGATGTCATCATTAATTTCAACAATACTAAACAAATTCCGATTGTTTCCTAAATGTATTGTTCTAATGATACTTTGTTTTCCTGCACAATGATTAAACAACAAACTTATAGAAGCCAACCTGCTTAATTATCTAATCTAGTTATAGATTGCCAAAAAGTTTCCCAATATCCAGTTAACGGTTTATTTTCCCAAACAAATTAGGTAATCGAATCTTTTCAAACTCAGTTCAAGAGAAGTGCAGTATATTCAATTTAAAGCCCAGGAACCAAGTAATTCATTAAAATCACGTAATTTAAACCATGTACACAAAAACATGCCGATAGAAAAATCTGATAACGTTAATAGAACTCATTAAATCGGCGAGTTTCTACAAATAACGATTCTGGCGGTTTGTGTCGGAAAGCCAGAGTGGATTAATATAATTTATCAGCGTTACCTTCCTCTTACACTGACAACAACACGACACAAGACTACACGTCATTCTGTCTTCTTTATCGACTTAGAAGCAACCTCAGGTGATAATTTAAACTGGCACTACTGTGCCATAAAAATAAGACGACAAATAAAACTGATTTTTCAAAATCAACTCTGAACGGATCTAAAAGGGTTCGCTCAGACTTGATTGTAATATATCCGATCGTCATATGAGGGAATTTTTAAACTACAATATTGTGAAAATTGAATCTCTAAGCGGAAAAACTGTCCAAAAATTCGTTAACATTCGGCATCCTCTACAGACGTTATAAACGAGAATTTTGAGGGCATAATTGAGTGTTGATTAAGTCGTGAAAATTTTGATATTGTCCGAAAACTGCAATTGAAGATCAGTGGCTTTATTGACAAGATATGGAAGTGTCATATTCAAGGGTTTCTGCATGAAAAACTGCCACGAGAATATAACCAATATATATAAACCAACCCCTTCAAACGCTCCACTAGAATATAATGGAAAAAAACCTTAACACTTTAAATCAGGAAATAAACAGGAATTATTGTCTTTTTACACAATATGTATTTTTGAGACAAACATTGTACTTGTATCTTTCTTGAATGTGCAAAAGGAAGGCGGGGGGGGGGGGGGCTTTTCTGACACCCCGCTACGGAAGCCCATTAAGGTCAATCAAATAAAAAATAAATTCTGATTATCTTGTGCAAGATACGGGAAGCCCAAGAGTAACTTATTTTAAGGTCGCTACACCGATTTATCGCGAACAGCTAGGCCAACGCCGTACTTTATTTTATGTTACAGAATCGGCACATTCATATTATGCTCCAATAAATATTCGTTATTTTCATGCCTCCATTAAAATCATAAAGTTCATACTCTCATTAACTTCATACTCCCACCAACTTCATATTAATATCCATACTCCTAGCAGTGTTTCGTTTGATTATACCTAATCCCACTAAACACTGCTTTAACGAAAGCAAATTTCTGTTCCAAATTATGACTGGGCAATGGGTAACAACCAATAGCTAACTGCTTTACAAAAGCATTACGCTTTAAACAGAGCTCCAAATTGGACCAAATATGTTTACATAACGTTACGTCATGACTCACGATTTTATTATGGCCAATTAACCAGTGCATAGCAGAATATTGTAGAAAAACTAATTGCGTGACAAACGAGGCTATCAAATCGAAAACAATGTAAACAATACTGTTTTGAGAAGGGAATTCTCCCCGACAAGAGAACTGCAACCGGATGTTGATTTCTACATAAAGAAAGAAAAATAAAATGTCTCGGCTTCCAGATATAACCCAAGAGATTGTTCGTAGAATTCACAGATTTTCCTACGAAGAATTTTACTCTGTAGTCACCAGGGTTTTGTGTGAACGTGTGCGACAGTCCAGGAGCAATGTGGACATAGCAAGTTGCCACAACAACCATCCTACCCTTCATGATTAAAAATAGGTGCCGTGTGAACTAATTTGCATTCTGGCTTATTTTATGTTGTACGTCAAATGTTCTAATGCAAAAGTAAAATGTTGAAGGGTACAATACTTAGTGCGAGTATAAAGTGAGAAGATGCGAGAGTTAAATCACAAAATGTAGATGTCAATTTACACGATGCATTAGAGCTAATTATTTATGCATAGAACAAAAGAGTTTTGTATTTGTCGAAATTAGAAGATTTGTTACATTTGACTTGGCCCAATTTACACATAACATTCAACATTTGCAACATTGTAGGTGTAAAAGCACTAACAACATAGCACTAACTTTTGACTAAATGTTTGGTAGATTTTATGGGTGTAGGTTATGTTGATCGAGGTTACTCCTTTCACCGCTGTTAATAATACCAAATAGGTATAAACAGGTTTGCTTTGTCGATGCACAAAACCATCCTTTGTAGTACAATGTCACATGACACCATAGCACACAGACTTTCTTGGTGACAAAAGAGTATGATGTTAAACCCCAGTTCATTTCATTTTCAGATGGATTAAACATTCACTTATTCGCCGATGACACTCAGCTATATATCAGCTTTCATCCCGGCACACAGCAGGCATCCATGACAAACATCGAGCGCTGTTTAAAGGAAATCCACAACTGGATGACCTTCCACTTCCTTAAGCTTAATCCTGATAAAACAGAGGTGATGTTCGCAGGTACAAGACAGAAGTTCCAACAAATCAGACACTGCAACATAACAGTTGGTGGTGAAAAGATTGGGCCATCTGTTAAAGTAAAGAACATAGGAATAGTCTTAGATAAAAACCTGTCATTTCAACCTCAAGTATCTGCTGTATCATCATCTTCATTTTATAAAATACATCAACTAAGTAAAATCAAACAATATCTCTCTTTGGATAACCTCAAACTTCTTGTCCAGTCTCTTGTAATATCTAAACTTGACTATCATAATGCAGTATTATACGGAATTCCTGACCATCAAATCCAAAGGCTCCAATATGTTCAAAACGCTGCCGCAAGGCTCATCACTGGCACCAAGAAGCGAGACCACATCACTCCCGTTTTGCGTGAACTCCACTGGCTGCCAATCAGAGCCCGAATTGAATACAAAATTCTCCTGTTGACTTACACGGTTTAGCACCAGATTACATAAGAGAATTAATATCAAAGCCACATTATTGCCGGTCTCTCCGTTCAGAAGATAAAGACCTTCTTGTCATCCCAAAATCCAACCTTCAAATGAGTAGAAGATCCTTCCAATTCTCTTCACCTAAACTATGGAATTCAATCTGATCTAATAGCAACCTGAAGAACTCTGAATCAACTGACATATTCAAACAAAGACTCAAAACTTATTTGTTCCAATTACACTTTGGATAATTGGTGGATCTCTTAATCAAACATGCGCCTTTGGGACCATTCATTTGGTGTTTAGGCGCTATATAAATACTTTAATGTTTAATGTTTAATAAATGTATACAAGGTGTTGCAACATTCGTATATGAAATGTTTAAGAACAGACATTAAATACCATTTGCTATGTAAGGCCTAATATATACTTTACAAGCATTAGTAATATAATTTAATATACTTTTAGAAACCTCTGTAAACCTTATTCTATGTTCTTGGTGTTTATAATTGTATTGTATGCTTGACCATACTCGTGTATATACCATGCAGTTATGTAATAAATCATTATTATTATTATTATCATTATATGATTCATACGTAATAGACTCGATCACATAGTGTTCCATTATATAGCCTATTAGGGTGCATATGCTAACCAAAACAGAAAGTAGAAATCAGGTTCCGATATCCAACAGGGCGTAAATTGAAATCGGTGAAGCCTAATCAGGGAGATTATTGTTAGCAATCAACAAGTAAGTTATAAATATATACACATATGATCTATATTATTATCGTGTAGATATACATGTAGCTTGTGTGCTCAAACTTACGATAAATATCTAATCTGCATAGTTTATATATATGAAACTCGACCTGAACAAAATGTCGTGCCCGGTAGCAATATTTCAGCCTGTATCACATTAATTACTAACATGTGTCGTTTTAAAACTCCAGTGGCGAAATGTGTCACTGTTTGTTAAAGATATATCCATATAGCATATTCTCTTTGTGACATAATCGCTGTTCCACTCTCGCTCGCTCAATAGCTGTATGGAAGGTACGTAACTCGTATATTTTGTTTTAGTAAGGATTATAAAACGGCTATTTAAACTAGGGCATAGTGTTTCTGATATTATCGTACATACGCATTCTGCCTGCATACGTTTATTGGTGTAAAATATACCCATGAATTTTAATTGATAAAGGTATCATTCAAGGCTGACATACTCCCTATATCAAATCCAGACAGCTGATTGCTATTCTTGAGATCGGGTAAATTATTTGAATAAAAGTTCCATCATCTAACCTGAAACTGTAGTAGCCTATTTTTTAGTCAAGGGGGAAATCTACGAAAGCCCAGAAGGCTCATTCCAAATTCCAAATTCCAAATTCATGTCTTACCGATAAAATAGCAAATTGACAGCCCCCCCCCCCCCTCAATTAAACAAATTAGAATTTATATAAATTGTAATTTTACACAACTAATTACTTCTAGTTTACCTATCTGGGCCGGATAAAAACCCGTTCCAAATTACTAGATTCCAAATTCCAAATTCCAGATTCCAAAATTCCAAATTCCAGATTCCAAATTCCAAATTCCAAATGCTTAATTCCAAATTCAAAATTCTAAATCTGATCCGACCAATCGGATCAGGTTTTTGCTTTTGACTAATCAGTTAGAGTATAATAATAATATTCCAGTTCGGGTTTGCTTCGGCAGATGTGAGAGAGAGAGGGAAATAGGGTTTAACGTCCACTCGACACAAACTAGGTCATTTCGGGACTAACATATGGTTTAATTTTATTTCTATAATTCGCTTGCGCGTAGGGGTCTTTAGAAGTGGAAGGAAACCGGAGGACCCGGAGAAAACCCACGAGGTTAGACAGTCGGCAGATGTGAAAAGTTTGGAAATGAAATGAAATTGGGGTTTAACGTCCTACTGTTCTGCTCCTATACTGGGCTAATGAAGACGGGCATACGCCATACAGTGTGCTATGAGGGAAATTTTGCCCGGGCAGCGGCACTATCGCCTACTTTTATATCGAATTCCAACTGCCAAGGGATCTTTTACGTGCATTCCAATGTATGCACGGGACCTCGGTTTTTCGTCTCATCCGAAGGACTAGACAGTTGGCCTTGTCAGGCCCTCCGTCCTGCATCACTAACAAGGGGGAACCACGCCGGGAAATCTGGATGAACTCTCTCGGCCAATGCAGGGATCGAACACCCGACCTCCAGACTAGCGTCTTACCCACTTAGCCACATGATCCCCTGAAATGTTTGGGGCAAAGTTCCTCTGCAGTGAGCTACTCTGCTACTCGGTATCCTAGGACTGACATTTTTTTTCTTTGCTACAGCAGCAAATTTGGAATTTGGAATTTGTAATCTGGAATTTGTAATCTGGAATTTGTAATCTGGAATTTGTAATCTGGAATTTGGAATTTTGAATGAGCCTTCTGGGCTTTCGTAGAAATCACAATTTAGTATAAGGCGAGATAACAATTTATCAACAGAAAATCGCGATAGTATAACCATTGGGGTCCGTACACCCACAACTCAAATAACTCACCGCCACTTTTCGGCCCATCCACAATTTTTGTCGGATAAACTCTTCCGATTTTCAGAGGGGTGCATCTCTGCTCAAAAGTCGGGCATGTTTGGGTGTGTGTGTGTCTGTGTGTGTGTGTGTATGAGAGGGGGGCATCGGAAGTAGGTATATAGGCAGGGGTACCTTAGCACGAAAGTAGTGATTTAGCTAAGAGAGAACCACCGCTCTAAAATATGGATGGGGCTAGGATGTTGCTAGGTGCAGTCCACGGTCGTATAGGGCTGTAAGCTTAACCTTAAGTCTCTTTCAACAGATAGGAAGGAGGGAATGGGGTCACAGGGGATTGTCCCCGGGGCAACTTTTTCACTCCCATCTCACCCGGTTCCGACGGCCCTGTAATGTTTTATCGATCACTCCCAAAAGGATCAAGTAAATGAGCTTTTTCGTGACATTCTGGCAAACATTTTGCTTCAGAGAACTTGTGAATATTGGGAGTTATACTATTTTTCCCAGTACGTTATAGGGGAATAACACCATATCCATATTAAATATGTATATTATCTGTATCTACTTTAGACAACTGTCGTCAATGGAGGTTTTAAAGTGTGGATTTTGCAATTTTGGTGAAGAAGCAGTTGATGTCTGTGGACGTTTATTTCATTCAAAGAAAACACCATCTATAAAATCATGCACAGCTCATCTAAAATGCATGGTATGTAACAACAATGTCCCAAGAAAAAACTCGAAATACCCAAACACGAACCAGAGTTTTGTTCGAAAACTAGGTGTTATTTCTTATCTGAATATAAATCCAGATTTTGTCAAATTCACGAGCGTATTGTGTACGGAAGTCTTGTAAAACTTCATACGACTCGCTATTGGTCGTTTTGAAAACTTCGTCCGTACACCTGGGAGAGAGGCACGATTGCAAATTTAAATTGTTATTCCAGAAATACAAACATCACATTTATAGGTCGGTGGTCAACTGTAAAGTATCTTCAATTGTCTAGTAGATAGCTGGTGCAATCAAAACAAGTGCTGACTCCACTATTAACTTTCAGATGCAATGCATGACGGTAGCCAGACTGGAACAATGTAAAAAAGTGTTGCCATACATGTTCGACTGAACTATATCATAATATTGTTCAATATGTATTTTTTTTACTTTAAATTGGGGAAAAAACTTAGGGGACTATTTTTTATCATAACATTTCGTTAAATCAATTCCGTAGCGGCCTGCAAATATACCAAAGTCATAAAAATAGGTCCATTGCTACTTTATCTGTAGAAAAGGAGGATATAATTTATTTTTTCCATCTTTTTATTTTATGCTAAACTTTATTTTTGTTTTTCTAGCAATATTCTGCAGATTTAACACAATATAAAAGTGATCATTTTGGAGGTTTTAAAATCGACAAAGTTTTGAAAGAAATGGACAGGGGTAAACGATTGTTGGTAAGAAAGAGATTTTGTCAAGCATTTTACGAAAACTTGTCCTGATAAATATATTTATATTGAAGGAGATTGTCCTACCCCGCTTTTACCGCCCCCATCCACCCTCAGTCCAAACAAGTGGCGTGGCAGCATGGTCACAAAAAGGGTAACAAGAGTTTTGTAACGGCACCCAGTTGTGTTAGCAGCTGCCACAAGACGCGACCAACCAAACGATGGTACGATTGTCATCGAGCGATATTTCTTATTGTATATATGCTTGCTCGTCTCTCCTTTATTGTATGGAGACTTATTGTATGCAAGGTTGATTTCCGCTCATGTCGTCATAATATTTCGAGAAAAGTTTTTGAAGAAATAGTATTTGGTGATTTGTATTTTGAAATTTGTTGTTCCAGATTTGTTTTGCGTTGTATTTCTCTGTTAAATGTAAATGTGGGCTATTTTTTGATTTTCTAAAATAAATTTTATCTTTATATTGAAATACAATTAAAATACATTTTACAAATCTGATATGACAAATGTCTGATTTGTAAAACAAATATTGATTTTAAGATACAGATGTTAATTTTAAGATACAAATATTAATTTTAAGATACAAATGTCGAAATACGACAACAAATGAAGAAATAAGAATTAAGGACTATGAATTAAGAAATAAAGACTAAGAATACTGAATAAAGAGCTGTTTGGTCTTCCATACAATTGATGTTTATCGCGTCGCTAATGCATTCAATTGCTTTTAAGCGATTTCTGACATTAATTGTTTCAAAACATTGTTAAACCTCTTAAGAGTATAATTATTATCTTATGAAATCGCTTACTTGTAACCGAGAAAGGCTATTGGTTATCATCAATCTTTAACATGGACTTTCAAAATTATAGAGTGGCCATTATCACCAAATTATCATTATGACTGATAGTGGCCATGCAAAATCGACATGACGAAATCACGACAGTATTTGCTCGATAGTTAGACAAATAGACTTGCGATATTATCTCCTGATTGTTATCTGATGAAGCAGAATAGATAAACATAAATAAGTCTAATACAATGAGATAATAGGCACATGTTGATCAACAAAATAACAATCAAATTCAATTAAAACTTAGCACCTGTGATTAGGAGCCATTTACAACTAAACCCACAATGCAGAAACTATTATAAGGAGGATTTTAAAAAAGCGGGATGGGGGATCCTATTATTATAAAGATCAATGTATTAACACCATTAATGGACAACCAATTAACCTGAGCTATAGATATGTGTATGTATGGGGGTATGAATGAACAAGAGTGATAGCTAATGCAAGGGAAAATAAAAAATAAAAATGATTAATTCAATAAACAAAAAATCATGAAAGATAAACCTATTCTTAGACTATAAAGCTGAATGGGGGAAACGGTATGAGTACTGAAAACAAAGATATGTATAATGTATAATTAGACTGTGAAAAAACAGGATAAGCACTGAAATAGAACAAAGTATGTGAATCAGTGTATAAGTTAGTCATAGGCTCCTAGGCAAGAGTGGAAGTCATGAAGGAAAACAATCTATTATAAACCTCGACGAGGGAAACCGTAAATATATTAATTCAATGACTTGAAAGTCCAAAAGGGGGGAGGGGGATTCCTATTATTATAAAGATCAATGTATTAACACCATGGGCAACCAATTAACCTGAGCTATATATATATAAACAATACTTAAAAGAGAGGTGGGTTTGGGTGTAAATGGCCCCTAATCCTAGGTGTAAGTTTTAATTGTATTTGATTCTTATCTTTGTTGCATATTCTGTATATATTTGCCTACTATTCACATACCTGTATCATTTGCTTGATAAAGACGAGAGTATCCTTGTCGAAACGTGGCTTAGTATTAAACTCAGTAATTGTGTATCCATAAAATTGTACCTTGTGTTAATATGTTCAATTACTAAATTTAAAAGTAAATAATAAAATCTTAAAATCAATTCGATATTTAACAGGTAGCAGGTGTAAATTTTATAACACAGGAGTTATTTGGTCGCATTTCTTAGTTAAAATAACAAGTCTAGCTGCAGTACTTTTTGTAATTTATCTATAAGCTTTAAAGGTAACCCAACTAAAAGTGAATTAAAGTTATCTAATCGAGAAGTGACCAGAGAATTAACAAGTGACTTGGTGGCCTCTACAGTTACAAATTTACATATTTTACCAATATTTCTGATATTAAAATAGCACAATTTACAAATATTATTTACTTGAGCTCCCATAAGCATAAACTGTCAAAGATTGCACCAAGATTACGAGCAGAATAAGATGGAAATGCATGTATATCACAATTACCAATTACAACACGGGGGTTATCATGTGCAAATTTACATAATTGATGCCTTGAGCCTAATAACAAATATTCGGTTTTATCATCATTCAATTTTAGAAAATTCGTTGACATCCATATTCTAATTTCACTAATACAGTTCTCAAGTTGCAATTTTGATAAATTGAAAGAAGATGGACAATTAGGTGTAAATGAAATATATAACAGTGCATCATCGGCATACAAAGCTGAGACCATACTTTTTGACAATATCGCCTAATGGTGACGTATAAAGGGTAAATAAAATCGGACCAAGAACAGACCTTGAGGAACCCCAGATGACAAAATAGATTCAGACGACGATTTACAATCAACTAAAATACACTGTTTTCTACCCAAAAGATAGTTTTCTAAAAGATTTAATGCAGGACAACAAATACCGAATTTAAAATAAAGTCTACGTAAAAGAATTGAATGATCCACCGTGTCGAAAGCAGCAGATAAATCTAATAAAGTTAAAAATGTACATTTTCTATTATCAATTTCCATTAAAATATTATTTGAAACCCGGGTTAAAACTGTTTCGGTACTGTGAATTTTTTTATAAGCAACTTGAAATGGTTCATAGAAACAGTTATCATCTAGATGGACCTTTATCTGAGAAGCAATACATTTCTCGAATATTTTAGAAATAAAACTTAAGTTAGAGACAGGTCTGTAATTTTTAAAAAAACATTAGGATTCAGTGTAGACTTTTAATTAAAGGGGTAACATAAGCGTGTTTGAAAACGTTAGGAATAGTAGAGGATGATATACAAGAATTAATAATATTGGTAAAAACTGGAATAACTTCGTCTAGACAGTCCTTAAGAACAGGAGTCGGAACAGGATCAATGAACAAGATTGACGAGCAGAAGATTCACTAAATAAGTTAAAATTTTCTAAATAAACAAAATTTCTAACTTATCAAAATCATGAGCGTTCAAGTCATTAATTTAATTTAAATCATCAAGTTCAGTTCGTATTTTCTGTATTTTTATTTGGAAGAAATCGGAGAATAAATTCGCGAGTTCAGTGTCATTATCATTGTTCGGGAGAATAGTCCGCTCACCATTATGATCCAAAGAGAAATTCACAATTTAATACAGGTCCTTTTGTCTGGTTTCGCCATTTTCTATTTTATCAGAGTAAAATTTAATTTTAATGTCTTCAATTAATTTATTCACATTGTTTTTTGAAGATTTATAAATCTGTTTATGGACACGTAGATTTGTTTTCCGCCACAGATGTTCATCCTTATTTCGGCCCCTTTTGGCTGCTAAAATAGAATAGTAAATGTGATAGGAGACCTGTTTTATGAGATGTCAGATGCGGAAATCGATTCGCAGTTCTTATTGATTTGTTTTATATAGTCATCTGTAATAATAATAACTTATTATTTTCACAGTTTTCCATTTTGGTTCGGACGACAAAGTTGCTCAGGGGTTTATTCTTATGATCAGTCGCATCTTTGGTATTGGCCTTTCAATAGATATAATTAAAACAATCTAACGAAGACCTGTTAATACACATTTAAATTGCAAATCTTATTATTTTTCATTTAGGCTAGTAACAAGAAATATTCGATCGGCGGTATACCTTTATCAATAGTTTTCATAATCGACCCCCTGTCACCTCACTTGGTGCATCATAGAACGATTTTGATAGCTTCAATGTTTTGTTCTTTTTAGAAATGCAGTCAGTGTATATTCAGTAAAAGAAGCGCAGGCTGGAAAAGACGACATTTATCTGCTACTGCCGGGTGTGCTGTTGCTAGTTGCCAGAAAAATTTCCATTTCTACTGTGCCAATAACAGTAAAAAATGTATAAATAAAAGATATGTGTTTGGCTTACAACAAAGTAGCAGATCATTTGTTCTTTATAGGTAAATATGATATAGCTTAAAGGGGTACAAACTTAAACATCCATTATGTAAGAGCTAAATCTACCTATTGCAGGTCTTTCTTTAGGTCTGAAATGTTATCTAAATTATTAATTAGACATTAATTAACTTATCTAGACCATAATCAACCCTGATGCCACCGTCAACCTGCGATATTTAGTGGATTTGAATATACACTTTGTGATGGATAATTTAACGTAAAAATGGATAATCGAGACTTTGTTTATTATTGTAGCAACGTAGGTAATGACGATCGAGGCTAGCCTAAAATTGAATCGCTAATATCTCGGTTCAGGGTGTAGCAATTTGACTAAAACCTTCAACATATTCTGTTTTCATTATATTCTTTTTAACTATTAAAGGTTTTTAGTTTTCGGATTTTCAACATTAAACAGGCAAATATAGACGGATATATGTCATGATGTGTGTTATGCTATAAATGTTTCCAGGACATTTGCGTTTCCACCTACTCTTTATCGACTTCTAACTGTCAATGGTCCATTTACGTGCACACCAACGTGTATACGAGACCTCGGGTTTTTGTACCATTCAAACGACTAAACGCTCAACAGACTGACACGTTATAGGCCACAATGAAAAATCCTTATGAAGTTTCTCATCCAACACTTTGATCGAACTCTGGGCCTCCCGTTTGTTGTTAGTGTAGCCTACTAGCACATTACTATGTGGACTCTGACAAATAAAGAAGGTCGCAGAAAGTAAAGAGAAACTGATGTATATTTCAGATGCTTATAAGTTAGCAATGATCAAGTGGAATAATGTTTTAATTCGTACGTTGTTTTGGATATGCTAGGTTTCAACTATCACAATTCATGGTACTATTGAAATCGTGGTTTTAATCGTGCAGTAAATGTGGTGATCCTATCAAGTTTTATCATATCCGAACGTATAAATATGCTTTATTTATTAAAGATGAATTATACAAGAAATGAAATGAAATGAAATGGGGTTTAACGTCCCAGTGTTCTGCTCCGACTGGGCTAATGAAGACGTGTATACGCCATGCAATGTTCTATAAGGTAAATTTTGCCCGGGCAGCGGCATTACTGCCTACTCCTGTATCGAATTCCAACACGGGACTATCATGTAAGAGCTAAATCGGCTTAATGCAGATCTTTCGTTTGGCATCAAATGTTATATAAATCATTAATTAAACATTTATTCACATGCCAATCCCATAATCAACTCTCTAGAGCATCGGATGCTTTTGATTTTCAACGGATTTAAACACGATTGGCAGTTGATAATTAAATTAAAAAGAGACTTTGTTTATTATCTAAACAACGTTAGCAATGACAATCGAGACTACACTGTTTGGTTTATTTGGTAATTCTAAAGCATATCTTTATAAATATACAAATATAAAGCTTTGAGTTTATGGTGAGTAGCTTACAATTACATAACTATAGTGACACATTTCCAAAAAGTTAGAAAACGTATCTGGAAACGTATACATTTCAGGGTGTTTTGTTCTAGAGAGCACGAAGAATTATATCGAAGAACCATCAAAGAATGTAAGTAGACTTTAATTTGTCTTTATTAATATGGGATCATAACACTTATCAATTCTTGAGATACTTTTCATTAAGCGAAAATATATTTTAAATTAATTTTACTAGACAAAATAAAATCCATCTAGACATTCCCTTTGGAAATTAAATTGTTGATTTTATTCTGGTGCCTTGCGCTAAAAATACATTTCGACTATATATTAGAAAGCTTGTATTTTGTGTGTATTGAAATATAAAATTAACAAATTTTCATTTAATAAATTGTTCAATAAAATATTCTGATCTGTAAGAACGTGTTCAAACTGAAGCAGGTAGAATAAAATCTTTCCTTAGAAGAACATAATACATACATATAAACTTATTATATGAAATAATACAATATCGCAAGTTTTTGAAAGAAATTGAACCGTTAACAAGCTGTTATCTTCGTAATGAAAATCCACAACATTTTGTAAAAAGAAAATTCGCATTTTAACAATTTCTTTCCAAGTACAATATTAAACTTTGGAACTTGTTTAACACAGGTGAGTCCAAGGTGTAATTATGCACATGAAGATAATTATCATTATTTTGTCAAATAATTCTACAAAATATATTGCACTACGTTGATAAAAAAAAAACCAATGTTACTCTGGATTTGAAGAGGCATCATGTAAGAGCCTATTGTAGTTCTTAATTCTGGCTTTAAATGTTATATAAATTAGTATTATGTAGATATTTATGACAAGCCGATAATTAACTCTCTAGAGTATGGGATTTCCGTGATATTGAGTGGATTAGATGATGCCTACCATCTCTTCGTTAAAATGGAAAATAGAAACTTATTACTGTAGCAATGGTACTTGAATGCGCTATTCCGTAAATTCATAACTTTGCTCGGAATAAAGTAATTTGACAGAAATTTTCACTATATTTGTTTTTCATTATCCATCTTTGTACTATTATAGAAAGAACGAGCAGTTCTTTATGTAAATATTGCATACTGCATCTTTAAATTTATATGGCAACAACGATCTCCCACGTGATACCAATTCTAACATTTCGAAATAGTTTTAAAAAATGCATAAAATATAACAAAAAGTTTTAACATTTAAAATATATATTTAAACAATATTATAGTTATGTTGGTTTTTATTCCAAATATATATTATAACATTACACTACAAGAAATATTATATGTTTATAACTCACTGTCTATGTCTACCCATGGTTAATCGTAAATATAAATTGTATCTATATTTATATTTTGGGAGACTTTGTTTATTATTTAACACTTCCAATTGATACCAATTCTAACATTTCGAAATAGTTGAAAAAAGTGCATAAACGATAACAAGAAGTTTTAACATTTAAAATATATATTTAAACAATATTATAGTTATTTTTGGTTTTCGTTTCAAATATATATCGTAACATTACACTCAAAGAAATATTATATGTTTATAACTCACTGTCTATGTCTACCAATGGTTAATTGTAAATATAAATAATATCTATATTGATATTTTGGGAGATAACTTTTATAGGTTTTTGCCTGTTGTTCATTCCATTTAAAGGAGCTAAATCGCTAATATTTTGGATCTAGAAATTGAAAAGTGGGTCGCAACGCATATAATACTGTTATATGAATGTATATAAACTGATTTACATTCAATGGTTTCCGTTTTTACTCCAATTTCAAATCAGTTATGTTCGGTGAAATAAGCAAGCAGTCTCAAGTGAGTTCAAATTTCTAGCGTCTGGTTATTCCAGTCTACATACACCGTTTGATTTGGTGCAATGTGTCTAGCCTCGTCCCTCGAGTCTCTTTATACAACTAAGGCTGAAGCGCATTATGGTACACGATTCGTGTACCAATGGTAAAATGTTTATTTTGTCTTAAATATTGGATATCAAAAGCCCATCTTATTCCGGTAAGATCACAACATGAATGTTGATTTAATTTGACAAAAAAATCGTGTTTTCAATGTTGAAGATTTTGGATGATGTTGAGTTATAGACTTAGCTATTTAAGATTATTGAATAAAATCAAAATAAGGAATGTACACGATTGTTTATAGCAAAAATGGCATGTCTTTCAGGATTGATGATTCCATTCACACCCGTTAAACTATGTACAAAATTGGTGATTTCGATAACTACAGTTTGTTGTTTTCTCAAATAGATGTGAAAGAAATGATAACACGGAAAGATAGTGATGATGATGATAGTGACGAAGATATCGACACCGATAGTAATTGTTATATCAACACCCAGATGAATAGTGAAATACCCGATAATGATCACGTCACAACATACGTACAATTACCAGATAGTACAAACCAAGTAGCTACCAAAATACTTAAGCGGCAACTGTCTGTTACCAACTCGTCTGAAACATGCCATAAACGAGGTAGTATATTGCACTACGTTGATAAAAAAAACCCCAATGTTACTCTGGATTTGAAGAGGCATCATGTAAGAGCCTATTGTAGTTCTTAATTCTGGCTTTAAATGTTATATAAATTAGTATTATGTAGATATTTATGACAAGCCGATAATTAACTCTCTAGAGTATGGGATTTCCGTGATATTGAGTGGATTAGATGATGCCTACCATCTCTTCGTTAAAATGGAAAATAGAAACTTATTACTGTAGCAATGGTACTTGAATGCGCTATTCCGTAAATTCATAACTTTGCTCGGAATAAAGTAATTTGACAGAAATTTTCACTATATTTGTTTTTCATTACCCATCTTTGTACTATTATAGAAAGAACGAGCAGTTCTTTATGTAAATATTGCATACTGCATCTTTAAATTTATATGGCAACAACGATCTCCCACGTGATACCAATTCTAACATTTCGAAATAGTTTTAAAAAATGCATAAAATATAACAAAAAGTTTTAACATTTAAAATATATATTTAAACAATATTATAGTTATGTTGGTTTTTATTCCAAATATATATTATAACATTACACTACAAGAAATATTATATGTTTATAACTCACTGTCTATGTCTACCCATGGTTAATCGTAAATATAAATTGTATCTATATTTATATTTTGGGAGACTTTGTTTATTATTTAACACTTCCAATTGATACCAATTCTAACATTTCGAAATAGTTGAAAAAAGTGCATAAACGATAACAAGAAGTTTTAACATTTAAAATATATATTTAAACAATATTATAGTTATTTTTGGTTTTCGTTTCAAATATATATCGTAACATTACACTCAAAGAAATATTATATGTTTATAACTCACTGTCTATGTCTACCAATGGTTAATTGTAAATATAAATTATATCTATATTGATATTTTGGGAGATAACTTTTATAGGTTTTTGCCTGTTGTTCATTCCATTTAAAGGAGCTAAATCGCTAATATTTTGGACCTAGAAATTGACAAAAGTGGGTCGCAACGCATATAATACTGTTATATGAATGTATATAAACTGATTTACATTCAATGGTTTCCGTTTTTACTCCAATTTCAAATCAGTTATGTTCGGTGAAATAAGCCAGCAGTCTCAAGCGAGTTCAAATTTCTAGCGTCTGGTTATTCCAGTCTACATACACCGTTTGATTTGGTGCAATGTGTCTAGCCTCGTCCCTCGAGTCTCTTTATACAACTAAGGCTGAAGCGCATTATGGTACACGATTCGTGTACCAATGGTAAAATGTTTATTTTGTCTTAAATATTGGATATCAAAAGCCCATCTTATTCCGGTAAGATCACAACATGAATGTTGATTTAATTTGACAAAAAAATCGTGTTTTCAATGTTGAAGATTTTGGATGATGTTGAGTTATAGACTTAGCTATTTAAGATTATTGAATAAAATCAAAATAAGGAATGTACACGATTGTTTATAGCAAAAATGGCATGTCTTTCAGGATTGATGATTCCATTCACACCCGTTAAACTATGTACAAAATTGGTGATTTCGATAACTACAGTTTGTTGTTTTCTCAAATAGATGTGAAAGAAATGATAACACGGAAAGATAGTGATGATGATGATAGTGACGAAGATATCGACACCGATAGTAATTGTTATATCAACACCCAGATGAATAGTGAAATACCCGATAATGATCACGTCACAACATACGTACAATTACCAGATAGTACAAACCAAGTAGCTACCAAAATACTTAAGCGGCAACTGTCTATTACCAACTCGTCTGAAACATGCCATAAACGAGGTAAACCCAAAGAGGGTGTGACAACCAGACGCACAGAATATGAAACTGATGGCGATACAGACGCAACTGGTGAGAAAGCACCTGTTCAAGTAAATAAACCACTACTTGACCGTATAGAGGTAGCCAAAACTCAATCTCCTGAATCATCTGATGATGTGGAGAATGTTGAACTAAATGATACTCCCCTCAGCGGTGTAGGATTAGCCCCTTTATCTTCTAGTGGTGACGAAATGCCCAATCTAAAGAACAGATACGGTTCTGGCGATGAAAGTGATGTAGGATCAGCCACTTTATCTTCTAGTGGTGACGAAATGCCCAATCTAAAGAACAGATACGGTTCTGGCGATGAAAGTGATGTAGGATCAGCCACTTTCTCTTATAGTGATGACGAATTGCTCAGTCTAAAGAACAGATACGGTTCTGGCGATGAAATTGATGTAGGATCAGCCACTTTCTCTTCTAGTGATGACGAATTGCTCAGTCTAAAGAACAGAAACGATTCTGGCGATGGAAGTGATGTAGGATCAGCCACTTTCTCAGAACAGAACACTGCTGGTAAGATTTGCAATTTGATTTTAGGCATCATGCATAATGGAACACAATATGTTTATCCACACGCAGCGCATGGATAGGGCCAAGAAAATTTCAGAATATCCACACTTACACCACCGACAATAGACTTTGCATCGTGAATTATCCCCAGATCTGACAAAGGAAATGCAGATGACCCGGAATCCACAGATTTTCCTTGTCGTGAATGTTGTAGTTGGGACAAATCTGTAGCCTGGGTGATAATCAGAGAAATAGCGCAGCAAGAAATTGTAATCGTTTAATTAATATTGTATACCGTGAACTGTTTAACAGACCATTGTTATGTAAACAGTGAACGATGGTGTTTTACCCACTGCCAACCCAATGAGCATGTTTGATTAATAGGTCAAACCTATTTTTATACAAGACACTAAGAAAGCAATATTGATGACCTTCTGATAAAATAATAATCCATAATATCACAAATTTATTTCAGACTCGGCCATGGTGTATACATGGGGACATAATACAGATAACACAACCACTGCTGACGGCAGCTATAATCAAACTGAAGTTGATATTTTATCTTCGTATCTTGATGATCAAAAAGAACGAATCAGTGATGTGGTGATTCGACCTAATGATAATCTCTTATTAAAATCACTTAATTCACAAACTGTTGTCAGCCATCTTGTAGACAAATATAAAAATGTTGCAGAAAATGGAGATCAAGATATTGTATTTGATCCAATCTGTTTAATTTTATTATCTGAACTTGACACAGAATTAGTAAACTTCAAAGAGTATGTATTTAAAATGTTAAAACATTTCATCACTTCGAAGAAGTCACAATGTTCTAATTTTTCCGCTCTCGTGCCAGTTAATATAGGATTTCCGAGGTCCTACCAAATCCAGGAGGATATTCAAAGATTGTTCGAAACAAAATTAGATGTAAACATAGTGAGCGCTTTCGATCCCGAAGAAAATGGAATATCGTGTGTGTTAATTGAAATGGTTTTTCCAAATTCAGCTATACGTCACAATAGCACTGAAATAGGTATGTTATTATATTTCCATACATTGGGAAAATATTGATTGATTGATTAATGTAGAAAGCTACCAAAATCAAAAACTCTCAATTTTATTTTAAAATTCTAAATTGTCTACATAAATCAGTTACGTCGTCAACCTATCCGTCGATCCATCAACAATTGCTTTCAGTTCTTTAGGATTTTTTTTCATGAACACAATAGAGTTCAGATTCCTTTAAGGCATAAAGAATCTTATCAAATTTCGGATAAGCTGCTAGCGAGACATTGCTGATGTCGGAGCGTATTTTCACGCTTTGTGTGGTCATCTTTTAGTTTGCCTTAAGACGAACATAGGATATATAATACCACGGTCATCTAATTTATCTGATTACACATTTAAAAATAAAATCAACTATAAATAGTTTCATATGTAAAATTTAATATAATCTGTTTATTTCCAGACAAAAAGGCGATCCCAACACCAGCTTGTTCCAATAAAAAGACAAGGACACCATCATCTTGTGCCAATAAAAAGACAAGAACGCCATCATCTTGTGCCAATAAAAAGACAAAAACACTATCATCTTTTGCCAATAAAAAGACAAGAACACCATCATCATCTTGTGCCAATAAAAAGACAAGAACACCATCATCGTGTTCCAATAAAGGAAAACATTAGCTTGTTCCAATAAGAAGACAACATCACCATCGACTTGTTCCAATAAGAATACATCACCATCGACTTGTTCCAATAAAAAGAAATCAAAACCCTTGGCTTGTTTCAATAAAAAGACAACAACGCCGTTTAGTAAAATGAAAAGGCATTAAACATACCACAAGGTCGGGGTCTGAAAAATCCTCACGTAATAATATCAACTTCCTGGGAAATCGCTGAATGTTAATACATCGATGGAATTACAGGCTAATTCTTTTTTATAGCCAGCCTTAAATGGCAAATCAGGTTTGTACATATTATATTTTCAGATTCTGTAAAGAATTTAGTTGTTACGTAAATCTCAATGAAGGCACAAATAACCACACTATGTAAAGCTTGCAATTATTTGTATAAAATTAGCAAAATTGCGTCTTTCATCGATTTTGATACTGCCAAGTGTAACTCACTGCCACGACAATATGAAAAAAAACTTTCACATAAAACAAAATTTAAAGATTAAACTATGCAGTTTTTAAGAAAAATCTTTTAATGAAAATATTTAAACGGAATTATATTAATATGAAAATTCATTTTTGCATATTTTAGGCAGATGGGGCATATTAATTGTTAAATTTTATTTCCATAATTGACATCGTAAAACCAGTGCCACTGAGCAGCTAAATGTATTAAATTATTATTATTATTAATTATATAGAAATAAGCTATTATGCTTGCACAAAAGAAATAATGTAAAGAGTGTGACTGCGACAAATTATTGTTAGACCTTTTGTCGTGTTCCTACACACTGTTTATGCGTTATTTTAGGTTTTGTTTTGCTGTCATTTTGTTAATTATTCTCATCCTAAACTATGTTTGAATTAACCGATGTAACATTTATTAAACTCCATGTACAGTACCACAGATGTGTTTAAGCGCATAAAACGATGGGATGTTTTCCAAACGGCAGCATTAACGCTTACTGTTCTTCGCCAAACAGTACATGGATGACCCCTTGTTGTTCGACTCTTCCGAACGACTAAGCACAATGTGCTTGTCGGTCCAGACAAGTGAAGACAGTGCTAGGAAAATCTCGAAGCTTATTTTTGACATACGACCGGATTCAGTGTCCCCGCTGACGTACTTATACTATATACAACCCTCACTTTGCAGCATTTCACAGAAAACCATCCTTAACACCATGGACATTAATAAGTGTCTTCAGATGTTATATAATGCATATACAGATTATGAATAACATATATAGTTTATATGACTTATATAATTTCTTAGCGTAGTTATTGGACTGAGGGTCATTAATCTTTACAAATGAAAAGTGTCGGGATTATAACAGAACCTTGGGGTGTGCCATTTTCGAGTCTATATTTGTTGCTTGTTAAGAGTCCTACACTAACTTGCATATTTTTTTTCGAAAATCCTCGATCCAGTGAAACATTCCCCTTGTTACTCCTAGCTCATGTACTTTTATAAAAGTCAAATGCCTGCGTCAAGTCGACGAATACTGCACATAATTATGCTTTTTAGAAACCTCACAATATGATCAATAGAGGAGTGCTGCTGTCTACATCCACTTTGATTTGGACTAATTAAACCATTAACTTCATTATAATATCTTAACCGATTATTTATCATAGTCGCAAGTGTTTTGCACAAGGTAGAAGTCAAACTTATCGACCTGTAAGAACCGGTTTCATTTTGATATTTTAATGGTTTAAAAAAAAGGGGGGGGGGGGTATCGTTGCTGTTTTCCAGCTTGCAGGAACTATTCCTTCTGACCATGCCGTTTTGAATAATTCTATAGAAGTTAATTACTTATTGACCCTGAAAGTTTTATTTTAACATACTATATTTTATTTTAACTTTGCCACCTAAAGCTTTAGGCATTTCCTCTAGAAATAAAGGGTGGGTTAATTGTTTTATGTTCATCTGCTAAGTTACGTGGTGGGTAAACCCAGTGAAATTCCGCGTTTCGTTTGACGAATTATTCACGGTGATCTTTATCGTTACAGCCATCAGCAAACGTTTTCGCTAACAGCTCTGTCCGTTCGCTATTAATCGTAGATAATTGAGAATCATAATTAAGCGTGGAGAGAAACATTACAAACTGCATGTATTCTTCCCCGACATTTGAAATTTTAATTTTATCATTGGTACTATCACAGAATGCCACCCAATGATTTTCTATTGCCTCTGCTTATATAAAGATTTATTCTCTGCAGATTTTTTAAGTGCCATTTTCCTTACATGGATGGCATTCTAAGGACCACCATGGTTTTGGGGCACCTTTAGTTTTCCCACCTCTTGTTCTGGGGATCGAAGCGTTTGCTATACTAAAGATTGCACGCGAATTATTCTTGGTAAGTATATTATATCATTGTGTCTAACTACTCTTGGGTCGATTCATCACAATAGTGATGGAAAAAATTCGAATCTGCTCGTTCAAGTTGCCACATTTGTTTCCAAATTACTGCAATTTACGTTCATGTCAGTTAAGATTATTAGATGACCACTATCGAATGTATTATTTATGACTTGCCATATACAATTTAAAGCTTGCCATAGGTCTATACAATTTAAAGCTATACTAGGAGACGAAAGGGTAAGATCAAGATTAGTTGCACCGAGAAATTTTTAATCCGTTTACCTTAACATCATTAGAATCTATGCTCATAAACTTATATGAGAGTAATAGTTCACTTACGAATATTGAAACACCCCCAGAACCTCTCCGGTTAGTTTTAGTTAGTTATTCCTAATTTTGTTTCGTGTATGTATATTATACAGATTATACAGGCTATTTCTCCGATATGAACTTGACCCGTTCTTTATTAATTATTGGTTTATGATCGCGACTACAAGAAAGGTTGTTATGATTGGCATTTGATTGATCTAAATTAAATTGCGTGTGTGTGTTTTGTTATAAAAAATGATTACATACAACATTTGTCTATTTTAGTATATAATAAATATTTGTATATACTACACAATCAAATTTCGGCCGGCGAAGCTACCTTTTATTTTTTCAAGCGTGGAGACTTGCGCATAAGTAACATTCCAATGTGATGACGTACTTTTCCATGTTTAAACTTGTACACGCCTTCCATACCTGCTGTTTATGTGAGTTTCTACGATGTAAAAGCATCCAGAGATTAAAGCTCTCGTCAGCTGTCCATCTAATGTCATCCATAAACCCACCTATCTGACAGGAGTTGCAAGGTAATATAATTTTGTAAATATTCACGCTGTGTACATGTATAAAAACAAATATTCGGGGAGGTAACCGTTTTGTTATGTTTCTATTAATAGAACATTGATAGGATGCAGACCACAAATGACACTCATTGATTAATACGCTTGTCCCTTCTGGGCTTTCACGAACGTTACAATGGGAATAGAACTGCATTTTGTAAAGCCTAGTATGAAAGTTAACAATGGAATACACTTTTTAAGTAGCATACGTGATAGAAAATACAAATTCAAGCGCCCTTCCTTACTTGGCATCCTCGTTGAAATGGGGTTTGGATCTATTAATTCGTAACTTTGTACACATTCCACTTATCAGAGTATTTCTGTTCTTGTCTTACAAACGTAGAGATGCATTGTGTAAGATTTAGATACAGAGATGACTTTTCTGTCATTAATAGATTTTTCACGGAATTATTGCCCCCTACAGTTTGGTTTTACTTATATTTTTTGTACTATTCGTCATGAGATGGAGCTTTGACGAAATGCAGATTCCGACACGGATATTTCACAAAGCCACTGACACATTGTAAAAGAAGTACTGGTCAGTACTTTTAAAACAAAACTTTCTGAAATTCTTTAACTACCCATGAACAGGAACCTAATCCAAATTTTGAATTGTTGCCCCTTCCATTGCAGACTTGAAAGTAATCTACAAAGTAAACGATAATGTCAGTGTCTTTTTTCCCCCGTTTCGCCGTGCGACGAGAACAATCTGCATATGGACTATTTTTCGTTGCTTGTTTAGAAGGGTTGGCTATGCCACTATACTAATACACATGTCCATATTTACTCGGTTTTTGTTTCAGAGTTGAGCTAATTATCTAGTATGAGCTACAACGATTTGTCTGAAGCCGCCTTGGTTATTGATCATGGGTCTGGAACATCAAAGGTTGGGTTTGCAGGAGATGATGAACCCAGAGCGGTGTTTCCCACAGTTACTGCTTCCCCTAAATCGCAGGTACTGTGCCGTATCCCCTTGTATTGTTCAGTATTTTCAATGAATTTTGATTTTAAACAAGAGCACAATTAGACTTATCGCAACCTTCTTTGTCTATGAGAAAATACATTTGTCCATTTTCGAGTATCAAAGTAACATACTTACTGCACTTTGTTGAAATATTTCAAATGTTTGCAACAAGTCGAATATGTTTGTAAATATCTAAATTGCCCCTCTATGGATCCTATTCGGCCAGTCAACATCCTTTGAACAAATTGGGCGAGTAACATGCAAGCGCTATCCCTTGCAAATATAGCTGAAGTGTGTTAGGAGCCCCCTCACTTCACTTTGAGTCTGGTCAATTGCATTTGAGCAAATTTTAATAAGTAAATTTTAATAAGCGCAAGCTAAGCAAGACGTGTGAAATTGTCAGAATTGGCTTAACCTAATAATACATTAGATAACTTTTTTTTCCGGGGTGTTTTACGTTTTGTCGTCCGTATGGGACGAAAACCCCAGGTCCCGTGTACATTGGCTTACTCCTTAAAGAACCCTTGACAGTTGGAATTCGAAATAAAAGTAGGCTGTAGCGCCGCTGTCCGGGCAAAATTTCCCTCATAGCACGCTGAATGTCCGTTTGCATTAGCCTAGTAGGTGCAGAAAAGTAGGACGTTAAACCCTTTTTTCATTTTATTTGATTATATAACGTTTTAATGTCGGAAAGTGCTTTGGCATTGACCATTACTTTTTGAAGTGTGAATAATTTTTTTTTATTTTTGTTGGATAGTTGTTAATGCTACATGTTATCAACATAAAACATTTTAACGTATTTTCCTACACGTATCCCAAATCAACACATTTCGTCCTGAAATCATTTATAATATTCTAATATTTTTAAATATCATTTTATACTTTACATCAGGATTCGTCGAATCAAAAGGGGTGCTATGTAGGAGATGATGTTCCTGGAAAACGAGACATGGTATATATACGATATCCAATAGAACATGGAATAATAACTCGATGGGATGAAATGGAGAGGATCTGGCATCATATATTTCATAATGTTTTATGTAAAGATCCAGAAGAACGACCCGTTTTGCTCACCGAGCCCCCCTTTAACCCTAAAATTAACAGAGAAAAAATGACACAGGTAGGTTTACAACAATGATAATATTGATATGCCAGTATAAAAATAAAGGATTAAAATGGAATCCAGTGTTACCTCTTCCCTGTTCATAAAATACTTGTATTTTGCTCTCAGATGCAAAGCACTATCCACAATCATCTTTGATTACTGGAATATTTTATTTGGTTACTTGAATATTGGATTATTTTGTTTGGTTACTGGAATATTTTGTTTAATTACTAGACTATTTTGTTTAATTACTGGGATATTTTGTTTGATTCATGGAATAGTATCGTACTTACTATTTTCAGGTCATGTTTGAAACATTTAATACTCCTGCTCTATGTGTTAGTATTCAGTCAATTCTATCCTTGTATGCTTCTGGCCGTACAACTGGAGTAGTATGTGATTCTGCTCATGGGATATCCAATATTTTGCCTGTTTACGACGGTAGGTCTACTTGATGGTTCTGTGATTCAAAGCACAGTCTATTGTCTATAGTGCGTAAGCCAATCGTGTCAAACGCCAGCACTAGTACCCCTGTATCACCTCCAGATCCAAACTTATAGATGGCCTGTAATTACATACAGGGGTGCAGTCCGGCACATGTTGGTACCATATCTCTTGAGACACAGATAACCCATCTCTTTAAAGCTCTATACCTAAATAATTGATTCAAGAATAAATGTATTTGACTGGATTAAAATGTATCGCCTCTTCTGTTTCACGTCTGTTAAAGGTCATGGTCTGATATATAAAAGTAGAAAGTTTGAGATAGCAGGTGGCGAACTGACAGACTACCTGAGGAGGGCTTTGAATGAACGGGGATATAACTTTACAGGTAGATGTAAGTAATATATTAATACTGGATTAATTTTCTTTATATGGTAGTGGTGATGGGGCGCAGAAAGGGTCATTGCAAAGTTTAGGAAATTTCAAAGGTTATCATAAACAAGCAATCAATGTTTCTGTGGCACAAAAATATAATAAAATATATTTTGTCTCGTTTGTACAGAATCACACACTTTTCAAAGATGTATTTAGCATAGAAAGTTGGCCACATTTAAATTGCAACATATAAATTAAGCTTAAAACTGATAAAGATGGATTATGTAAGATTTAGAAACAGAGCTGACCGTTCTTGCTGTAATAGTTCCCAAATTGACAATTCGAAATTAATATACTCTTCAAAAAATGTAGGGGATATTCAGATGCAAATACCTATGCATGTTGTGATATGATAAATAGTCATTGACACTTGACATGCTTTGAGAGTATGTTCACAGATGAAGAACTTATAGCCCCAACAGGCCTGTCCAACCTCGTGGGTTTTTTCCGGGTCCTCCGGTTTCCTCCCACTGCTAAAGACCCCTACGCGCAAGCGAATTATTGAAATAAAATTGGACCATATGTAAGTCCCGAAATGACCTAGTTTGTGTCGAGTGGACTTTAAACCCCATTTCTCTCTCTCTCTCTCTATATCCCCAACAGAACCACTGAGCTGCACATGCGACAAGCAATAGCGCCATACACGTGGGAAGGGTTCATTGTCAAATTTGACACTTCAAGGAAGGGTTGATGAAAACTGTCGCGTGTTGTTTGCTTTCCTATCGGTTCTTGCATAAGATTTACTGTTTAGCGTATCTTTTCTTTGGTGTGTTACGTTTAATTTGCAATGAGACGTCTTCAACATGACGAACATCTACGTGCTATTGGCATGCTTCAAATGAGTTCTACACAGCGAACAGTAGCCAACATGCTTAATGTGTCACAGTCTGTGATCAGCAGACCGTGGAACCGGTACCAACAAACACACAATGCTGATGACAGACCTCGTTTAGGTCGTCTTAGAGCCACTACACAAGCCCAGGATCGATACATTCGTACACAGGTCCTGCGAAATCGAGGACAAACGGCCAATCACCTTTCTGTAAACTCGTACCAAGTTACAGGAATTCGAGTTACACCCCAAACGATTAGAAATCGGCTACGTGCAGCCCATTTGCATGCGCGACGACCGTGTGTTGTGCCTCCATCCTGGCGCCGATAGTTCTGCTCTTTGCTCAATGTGCAAGTAGACGTTTCATCTTTCAAGATGATAATGCCCGTGTCGTGAATGACTACCTCCGGCGTCACCATATTGTCCATATGCCTTGTCCAGACATGAGTCCTGACCTTTCCCCTATAGAGCATGACATGCTCGGGAGATCTGATGTGTTCGTCGACGTCAACATCAACCGACAACACTGCAAGAATTGGCCGTGGCCAGATTGCCCCAAATCGTGATTGGTCTGTTGATTAGGAACATGCCACGACGAATTGCTGAATGTCTGAGGATTGGTGGAGCAATTACTCATTATTAAGACAAAAATAAAAACGTCCATTTTCACTTTAGACAGTGTATCTCTTTGCGAGTAAAATAGGGCCATCAGATAAGCCGCCCATATGAACTGTTTATGGTCATGTGCAGGCAATTGGCCTGTTATTAACATACACCGCTTAACTCTAATAAAAACAGCAGTGCATTTCCGCAGTTTTGTATTGTTTCTGAATATCCCCTACTTTTTTTGAAGAGTATATATTGAAAATGTCATTCAAATTACTTTATTCTGAGCGACGTTATCACTGTTTGAGCTTTGACATACTCGTAGATTGTTTATTATCGTAGCAACGCCACTTGTTAATCGAGACTTAGCATCGCTTATCCATTTTTAAATCAAATCATTAAATGGCGATCGTATTTCAAATCCGTTTACATCTTCGCGTCATGTGAATAAATGTCTAAATAATAATGTAAATAACATTTTCAGTAAAAAAATAAAAGCCTGTAATGTGTAGATGTAGCTCTTACATAATCTGATTAAAAATGATCTGAACTTTCTTTTAAAAGCGATACCTGAAACAGACATTGTTCGGAGTATTAAAGAAAAGTTATGTTACGTGGCTGTGGATTATCAGAAAGATATGGATGAGTCTAGTTCTAATATTTCAAGTTTTGAAGAGTTGTACGAACTTCCAGGTGGTGAAGTTATCACCGTTGGTAAAGAAAGATTTATGTGTCCAGAAGTTTTATTTCAACCTTCTATAGACAGTAAGTATTGTATTCAACACATTCAATGACACTTGAACACTTTCATGACATGACAGATAAGATGCAAGACTGTAATACATATCTGATACATCCATCTGTTATATCTATCGTTTCCTCCACTACAGATTCTATTATCCTTTGATAAGTGAACATTATAAGATGTGACGGTTGTCGTGCAGGACGAAGGATATGTATCTAAACCGATGAACTGGTGCAGCTGAGGTTTGCCTTCGGAAATACCTGTACCACTTCGTATTACACATTTCTGTTGTACTTTTATATTTACGTGTTTTCTGTTATACTATGACCTTGGTATGTTGGTTAATGAACATAAATAGTAAATATTCACTCCCTTTTGCTTTAAGAATTGAAAAATAAGAATTAGCCTGTTTCATTATAACTGTGCTAATTGTCACCCGTCTGTCTGTCTGTCCGTCACACTTTTTGGGACACAATAACTCTCCTAATTGAGCTAGAATGTTCAAACTTCGTGTAGGTGTTTATTAGGTCAATGCCTTGATGGAGCCTAGGGTAAGCAGAGATAAGCAATTTGATTGGTTAATGCTTTGGGGCACGATAACTTTATTAAGTGAGAGTGATGAAGCTTGGTGTATAGTTTTATTACATCAATACCCTGATTAAGTTCGATAATGAGCATTTTCTGCTCAGGGTAAGCAGAGCGATAAGCAATTTTGATTGGTCGAGACTTTGGAACACAAAAACTCCCATTCTAATTGAGCTAGAATGTTCACCCTTGCTTAGGGTAAGCAGAGATAAGCAATTTGATTGGTTGATGCTTTGGGACACGATAAAAAATAGTTCTAATTAAGTGAGACTGGGGACACTTTTTGTATAGTTTTAACACATCAATACCTTGAATAAGTTCGATAGTGAGCAGTTTCTGCTCAGGGTAAGTAGAGCATTAAGCAATTTGATTGGTCGATACTTTGGAACATAATAACTCTCAGTCCTTCTAATTGAGTTGTACATTAGGTGTAGTTGTTCATTAGGCGAATGCCTTGATGGAGTTCGATGATAAACATTGTCTGCTTACGGTAAGTAGAGATAAGCAATCTGATTGGTTTGGGGCACGATAACTTTGGTTTTAATTAAGTGAGAGTGATGAAACTCCGAGTATTCGAGTAAAGATTCATTATATCATTACCTTGACTAAGTTCGATGATGAGAATTTTCTGCTTAGACTAAGGAGCGATAAGCAATTTGATTGGTCAAGACTTTGGAACATAACAGCTATTAATTAAGGTAGAATGTTTAAACTTGATGCAGATATTCATTAGCTGAATGTCTTGACTGAGTTAAATGATTAACATTTCGAGCTAAAGCTAAGCAGAGATAAGAAATTTCATTAGTCGATGCTTTGGGACAAGATAACTTTGAGTCTATCTGATAGAGAGTGATGGAACTTAGTGTATAGTTGATAATCAGTTTGATTGCTTGATACTTTTGAAAAAAATAAATGTGCGATTAATTAATATGTGTCATCTATTTGTCCCCCGCCTTTCGAAGAAAGCAGGGGACTATTAAAATGGGTTCGTCCGTCTGTCTGTCCGTCCGTCCGTCCGTCCGTCCGTCTGTCTGTCCGTCACACTTTTTGGGACACAATAACTCTCTTCCTAATTGAGCTAGAATGTTCAAACTTGGTGTATGTGTTTATTAGGTCAATGCCTTGATGGAGTTCGAAGATGAGCATTTTCCGCTTAGGGTAAGCAGAGATAAGCAATTTGATTGGTTGATGCTTTGGGACACGATAACTCTCTTCCTAATTGGGCTAGAATGTTCAAACTTGGTGTATGTGTTGATTAGGTCAATGCCTTGATGGAGTTCGAAGATGAGCATTTTCCGCTTAGGGTAAGCAGAGATAAGCAATTTGATTGGTTGATGCTTTGGGACACGATAACTTTTAATTGAGCTAGAATGTTCAAACTTGGTGTATGTGTTTATTAGGTCAATGCCTTGATGGAGTTCGAAGATGAGCATTTTCCGCTTAGGGTAAGCAGAGATAAGCAATTTGATTGGTTGATACTTTGGGGCACGATAACTCTCTTCCTAATTGAGCTAGAATGTTCAAACTTGGTGTATGTGTTGATTAGGTCAATGCCTTGATGGAGTTCGAAGATGAGCATTTTCCGCTTAGGGTTAGCAGAGATAAGCAATTTGATTGGTTGATGCTTTGGGACACGATAACTTTAGTTCTAATTAAGTGAGATTGATGAAACTTGGTGTATAGTTTCATTACAGTAATACCTTGACTAAGTTTGATAATGAGCATTTTCTGCTCAGGGTAAGCAGAGCGATACGCAATTTGATTGGTCGAGACTTTGGAAAACAATAACTCTCCTACTTTGATTGTTAGACTATAAGTAAAGATATACTGTTTGATTGTTCAATACTTTGTAAAAGATAATTTGTGATAAATTTATATGTGTCCTCTAATTATTTTCCTATTTCGGCGGGGGACATCAGCCTCACTGTTGGCTTGTTATTTTGGGATTTCGGCGAGGGACATTAGCCTCACGTTTGGCTTGTTGTATATTTTAAAGAAAGAGAAATGGTGGGCTTGCATGTACAACTGTGTTCTGCTATAGACAGTCTTGATTCAGATTACAGGAGTGAAATGTACAACAACATTGTTCTCTCAGGTGGATCCCACTGTTTCCAGGTAAAATATGTATTTGAGTGATTAATAATTAACTCCTTTTCAGAATGATAACGATGAAGTTGATAATAACATTTTAGAAATAAGTCGGGATCGTAGTAAATCATTTATGAAAATTATATATTTTACCATAAGTAATAAGGACAATTTTGAAAACAAATGTTTGTTTCTTTCTTTACAGGTTTTACTGATAGAATGTTAAAGGAAGTTAAATATCTTGCTCCCACTTCAGCCAATATCAGCATAACTTCAGGACGGAAACACTCGGCATGGATAGGTGGTTCCATGTTAGCTAGGCTATCAACATTTTTACCTAGGTGTATTAGTAAAGATGAATATGACGAATATGGACCGTCGATTGTACATAAAAAGTGTTATTAATAGTAGGTGCATGTAATACTGGTGGTTTTATCGTTAAAATAAAGTTAGGATTTAACGGGGTATAAATTATAGGCACCAATTCAACATAACAACATCCATTAAGAAGACAGATGTTTATCTATAAGTCGGATAAAAATTACAGAAACAATACTTTCCATGGTTGGAAAAGTAGTGAAAGTTATTAAATAACAACATGTAATTAATATTGACTCTAAGAATGCAGTAGATTTATAACACTTCATATAACTCGGAAAAAATAAAATTCGGTTTAACGACCCACTGTTATGCTTCATCCGGGCAAATGAATATAGACAATCTGATTCAAATACAGATCTATATTTCGTTTTTTTTATATATACTTTTGATGGCCTACACTACATGAAGATCTGACAAGTTGCACTGGAAGGTCTTGTCAGGGGTTGTAGGAGCGGCTTTTGACCCTATGACGTCTGACATTGATTAATCAATCAGCCTTGACATTTCTAGTGGTTTACCCACTGTTCCGTGCATGGCACGCCAAAAATTCGACGTAACAGACCGTTTCATTGGCTTATCCCTCATTTCAATCAAAACGCCAGTAATATAACAACTCTTCCAGATCCTAGTGTAGTGAAGACAAGTAAAACGAAATTTTGAACTATAAAAAACGAAACGAAATAGGATATGTCTTTTAATCAGATTGGAATATAGACATTTGCCATGCAGTGCGCTATGAGGTACATAGAACCAGGTATATTAAGATTCCATTTGCGCCATTGCGGAGACCGACACCACTCGAGGACTACCTTTGGTGGTTGAGCTACAACATATCCGCCTTGATATCATATATAATTAAAGGCTCTGCGATACAGACAGAACAGATATTTCGTTTAATATGTCTTTTATTGAAAAGCTAAATTTTAACAAAACAACAATTAAAAATACGTACAATATGGCTGATCACAATATTAAAACATAAAAATATGTTTTTTATATACATAGAATGATTCAAATATAAACAAACTGTACAATACAAGATATTTAGATTATTATATTCAGCTATCTTACAGTAACAATATTATCACATTAAACAAATTATTTCGTTAACATACATGTAATTCTGTTCTTCGTATGTAAATTGATAATGGTGTTCATTAGACCATTAAGCTGTGTATTTAAATAATTGGTCCCAATTAAATGTTTCATCTCAAATATTGAAGCGCAAGTCAGATATGAATTTCTCCCCCTTCGCGTTTCATTGGTATCTAAACCAAATTTTCTTTCGGAGACCCAGTGGAATCTGGAACTTCTCTTTTAATAAATTATTATCTCATATTTATTGCAGACCACCCAAAATAAATTAAAGTTGTCTATTTTCAACTGGGAAATTATAACTTCATTAAACTTTTTACTTTTAACATTAGGTAATGAGAATAGTATAAAGAGCATGTCAATAGAAATCAACTACGTAATGTCCCTTTTGAAAGTATATTTAGGCACATTTTGTGTGGACAATTTTAGCACCTGTTTCTTCATAATCAGCCCGCGTGATATAATAAGAAGAAAATTCCGGCAAGCTTCCAAGAATGGAACCGCCTATCCAGGAGGCATATTTTCGATTCGCTTGTTCTGTGACTTCTATCCTCTTCCCAGCCAATACAGACATTTCTTTATTTAGTCGACTTCCAAAACCTTATGAAATAAAGAAAATATCACTGATGAGGATGATCGTAAATTAAAAAGAAACGGGAGTCTTTGGTAGATCAGGGATATGTATGTTGGTATTCCTGAAATGTTTCGTTTATGAATGAAACTAAATCCTGCCAGTCTTTGTATTTGTCTAATTTTCGAAGTCTTATGATCGTTATTTAAAATTGCTTTAAAGTATCGTATATCGGGTTATGAATGTCGTATACCATGCTAGAATACGACATTTTTCTATATTTAACCCAGAATTAAATAAAATTATTTGGCTAAGTTAGCATCAGGGGACCATTACATATTGGAATCACACAATCTGGGGTCATAATGCAAGAAGTTGCGGTCCGATATGCGCGAATATCGAAATGAACCGAGATCTTTGGGTTATAAACATACATTTTAAGTTTCATCTTAATCAGATACAAATTGTGACCTCTAGAGTGTCCCGAAGCTAAACGTGGTTTTTCGTACAATCAGGGGCCATAATCCATGAATTTTCGATCCGATACATGCCAATATCGCCAGGAACCGAGATCTGTTGGAAATAAACCTACATTTCAAGATTCGTCAAAATCGGATAATTGTGACCTGTAGAGTGGCCACAAAAAAATTGTGGGTGGACGGGCGGGCGACAACAATATACGTCCACATGAAAATTTAGGTGTATATAAAAAAAAAGATTCTGTTAGTGGCACCAAAGATATGCTCTCAAAAAGGTTAAAATGATTAAGCCTGGAGCTACCCATTTATAACCTTAACTCTAGTCCAACAGAAAAAGTTGACGTACACATTCTAATAATTATCTAACATTTCACAATTGTTCATCATTGTATTTAAAAGATGGCAACACGCATCAAACGACTTACCTTTAAACATTGTTGATCCACCAGATAAAACTATATTATTATAAAGCCCAGATCTAAGGTTACTGTCACATCTTTGAATGACCCCGTTAATTCTTGTATGAATTCCATCAGTGTTTGGATCTGAAAACAGAAACATCAATGATTAGGACTTTATGTAATATTCGAGGAGTTTACATTATGGTACTAATTTTAATACCATATCTTTCTAGGAAGATTAAATGTTGTTCCCATGAAATAAATGGAGATGGTCGGGTTAAGAAATTCTGAAAACTTAGACATTGAGTAGCCTAAGAAATGTCAAACTTTTGTTGCGTACTTTATACTTTTTAATATGTACGGTGTCTTTCGGAGATAGTGTAAAAGTATTTACATACAGTGAAAATCTAGATAATGTAGATAATGGGTATTCTAAGAAATTTCTACATTTTGTTTCATATCTTTAGTATGATCAGTACCTTTCTTGGATGGTGTAAATAGTATTTCAGGACACTGGAACAACTCTTCGCCAAGATCTAATATGGTACCGTCTGGCATCTGGTACGTTTCTTTTTTGCCGGATTTCAGTTCCTGGTCATAGTCACTAGCAATATAACACAACTTTTCTTTGATGTCCTTTGCAATATCTCGATCACCTGAAATTGAGACCAAATCATTTTAAAGACTTGGAGAATAAATACAAACTATGTGCTTATCATTTCATGCGTAATTATTTCGGGAACATCAAATCCAGGATTTTGTACGACTTTACATTAAATATTTTGCTTTAATATATTATACGTGTCCTGTACATGGCTGCTTTTATAAACAGAGACTAGCTAGTCTCAAGTATTACATGTGTAGGTAAATTAGGTTCTACAATTATATACCTGCCGAGAACAATCGAGTACCTTTACCAAGAAGAAGGCCTTGAAGATATGACGTCAGATCACTGCCTGCTACATTTAAACGTTCGATGGCGCCTTGAATAGCATAGCCTGAAATATAAACATATCATTATTATCATCTGTCATACACCTTTCAAAGACGTATGGTGGTAAATGTGTATGATAAAACAGGCTGCAAAATCCCACTGTTCCATGCATTCCAAATAATTCTTTATAAAACAAACCCTGTAAAATACCAATCTATGAAGCTTACCATCTTTAACCGGAACAATATACGTTACACCGTCACCAGAATCATAAACGATACCATTCTTCAGACCGGCGGAATACAAAGCTAGGACAGATTGTATACCCAAATAGAAACCGGGTACTTGAAATTTCTCAAACATAAGCTGGAAAACATTAAAGAAGAAAACCATTATTTAGAATTAAAATGTATATATTAGAAACATTACAACATTAAAGGAGAAACCAGTCGTTGCAATTCTTTATACTTCATTCATTATCTAGAATTAAATTGGTTTCAATACTGCAAAGCCCGATTTACAAAATGCAATTTCGTTTTTAATAAACAAATAAACGCGCTCGATCTTGGCGTTACGGGTGAACTGTTAGTCCAATACATATGGATGTAGGTGTATACACAATAACACATTAATAATAAGAACAGAGCTGAAAAAAACAATGTCTTTGTAAGTCACCTTTATCGCCAAAATATCAACCGTACCAGGTTATTATAGTCTCCGGATTATACTACGAGGGGAAAGTTCTCTCTCAAACTGATATCTTGGACGATTTAAAATATATATTTTTTTTCTTTTGACATACCTCAGTAATTTTTTCTCTGTTAAACTGTGGTAATGAGGGGATTTGTGTCATTATAACCGGGTGTTCTTTGGAATCTACTTTTAGTTGATTGGAGAAAATTTCATTCCATACTCTTTCCATATCATCCCATCGTGTAATGATGCCTTGTTCGACCGGGCTGTTGCAAATAAATTGAGATTGTCCACGTCTTCCTTTGGCCCCATCACCCACACAGAAGGCAGTACTGCCACTACCAGACTAAAAGCCAAGTAAAATATTATGGTAAGATATAAATATTAAAACGTAAGATACCCCACACAATATAATGATAACAATAATGTAATTGGCAGGAGGCAGAGTATGAATAATCTTTCAAAGAATTGATACTAATTCGTGATGAATACCCCATTATTTGGTACGCTTCCTTGGCAAGTCCTTGCACACTTGTCAATGTGCAATTTAAATGCCTTTTAAGGTCGATGGTACTTTATTTTCAAGGTGATAACACTTGTTTAGTATTAAAGATGTCCACTTGGTATCGTCGTTTTTTTTTTTTAGTTCTCGTTCATTAATCGTGTCAAATATAGCAACATTTTTCGATAAATACACGCCCAGCAGTGTTGTTAAATATTATTAAAACACATTTCCGTTCCATTTTCACTTACATTACCTTTTTCTCTGAGAAAGTAGACGGACTACTTTAGGAAATCTTCAATCACTTAATACAAATTATCATATATGTATATGCATATACATATTTGTGTTTCTTTAAAATAATGGATGCCAAAAACAAAATTTGTTAATTTTCTACAACAAAAATTATGTGTTTTTCTGACAGTAGAGCATAAACAATTGAGATAGCAAATTAATATTTATATCGCTTTGATTTACCCATTATTATCGTTCTCAAAAATACCAGATATTTTATGAATGATAAAACATTTGTCTTGAATTGTTTTTAATACCCAAAATGAGAATTCAATCAATCTGATTAAAATACAGATCTATATTTCGTTTCGTTTTTTATACGTTCGATGGCCTACGCTACATGAAGATCTGGGAGAACGCTAGATCGGAGACGGTCCTGCTTTGGGCTTTTGACCCTATGACGTCAGACATTTGATTTTAATCAACAATCAGCATTGATGTTTCTAGTGGATTACCAACAGTTCCGTGCACCACACATCAAAAGCTCGCCGTAACAGACAGTTTTATTGGCTAATCCCTCACATCATCCAGAACACGTCAATGATAACAACTCTTCCAGATCCCAGTGTAGTAAAGACAAGTAAAACAAAATTTTGAACTATAAAAAACGAAACGAAATAGGATCTGTGTTTTAATTAGAGTGGAGATTAAATCGAAGCGATAGAAATAATCTGAAGGTTCACGAAGAAGTTTCTACTCCCTATTTAAACGTCCTTGATGTTTGTAATTTGAAATGATGATGTCCGAATCCGAAAGAAAAGTATACCAATTTTACAAATTAAAAAAAACAAACTATTTCAAAGCGTTGTTGTTTTAATGTAGTCATGAAATACTAAAAAAAGAGCAAAATTGATGTATATTAATTTTAAAAAACATCATATTATTTTCTTGCATAATATTCAAGAATTTGTGAAAGTTCAGAAAAAAATTGAGTGAAGGAAGACGCGAGATAATAACCAAGATTATTGTTAAATCTAATAATGTTTCCCTTGAAAAATCGCAGCATGAAACACACTTTGTGTCAAAATCATTCTGGTTAATTCACAGATCCTATTTCGTTTCGTTTTTATAGTTTAAAATTTCGTTTTACTTGTCATTACTACACTAGGATCTGGAAGAGTTGTTATATTATAACTATATAATTCGCGTTCTGATTGATGTGATATGAGGGATTAGTCTGTTACGGTGAGTTCTAGGCGTCCGTTGCACGGAACCATGGGTATCGCAGTAGAAACATAAACGTTGATTAGTTAATCAAAAGTCCGATGTCATAGGGTCAAAAGCCGCTCGCATGACCCCTGACAAAATCTCGCACTACAACTGGTCAGATCTTCATGTAGTAGACGCCATTGAAAGTATAAGAAACGAAACTAAATATAGATCTGTATTTTAATCAGATTGTGGGAAAATGGGTCATTGTGCGTCACTTAATCCCGAATCCACCATTCAAATACGAAAGTAACAAATTTCGAAAGCAGTAGGAAACGTTTTTTTTTTATATAAGAATACTTATAATACTTACATGATTTTGATCATAGCCGACTAAATTAGAGAAGACAACTTCAGGTGTTTTATCACTAGCATGACCAGCTTTAACATCAGCCGATCCACAATCTATAACCACGGCTTTATTGTTGTTGTTTACACTCATTGTGTTATGTAGCTTGAACTGAAATCAAGTTTAATATAGTAATTAAAATAATAAAAGATGCTGGCATGCAGTGTGCTATGAGGGAACTTGAATTCCAACTGTCAAGGGATATGTATGTTATGTGCATGCCAATGAGTACATGTGATTTTGGATTATCTAGTCTCATTCGAACGACTGGACGCTGTTCTTCGCCATGCAACACTGAAAAGGGGGAACCGTGCCGGAAACTCTCAGGGTATTTTCACGACCAATGCTGGGATGGAATCAGGGACCTCCATGTTAGCAATTCAGCGCCTTACTTACTGAGCCACAAAACACTGTGTGTAAACGTAATAAATAAAAATCTCTCAATATGAAATATTATGCATATATCATTGTTATTATAGCTCACCTTTACAACTTGAATTACAGTAAAGATAACTGGCTCTATAGTAAGTCAATGGTTGTGTCTATATCTCTGTGCACGTCCTATTTATATAGGCCTGGTTTGTTATTGACAGGGAGACACCCGATTTATCGACCAACTCTACACCAGAGTTTTGTCCTTATAAGGCAGTTGATTAAAGGAAGTCACAATACACTACCAATCGCCTTGACCCCGAGGGAGAATATTACTACAACGGTTAAATTTAGCTTCTTATTCATTATATTATACGACCATATACGGTCAAAGCATACGGTTTCATTTTATAATTAATTAAATTAGGTTATATTATGTCCCATGCAATGATCATAAAAAAAATAGTAATCATAACGTTATAGCTAACCGACCGATATATTATCTTATATATTTTTATGGTATAGATGCTAAATATCAGCTTTCAAACTGAGGCACAATTTCAAACTGTGTTGTCAAGAGTAATATCAACTGCAGGCCTATAGAAATTGACATCAACATTAATGTATATATGCATAATATGGGAATACAAAGCTATGGTGTTATGATGTATAGTTTTATATACAAAAATATCTATTTGAGGTGATTGACGCTCGGATTTCCGTCATGTTTCCTTGTTACGTCTGCTTTATCAGTGACAGTAATCTGTTAATCATTATGATATCTGAACTATCTTTCAAGTCTTATAAAACGACAGTCTTCATATTAAAAAATACCTGACTCATATCGGTTACCTCCCGTTGGATGTTGTTGATGTCAACACGATCTATTTTAAACTAATCATTTAAACAAACCTCTTAACATCCAACAAAGAAGAAGGGGGAGGGGCTGCTTATCATTTCTATATTTACAGACAAAGTTATGGAAATGATGAGTCGCTTCAAATTCAAAGACTCATTTCTTATTTAGCTTTCATCTGTTTATTCATAAACTAAATATAGACATATACTCATACTGCGCACCGAATTCAATGCCTTTACAAAACAAATTACAACACAACAGAAGCAACGACTAGGTTATGCAAAAAGATCATAGGCGATAACATTCATCTTTTTATGTAATATAGTATAAATTTATCCCTCCCCCCTCCCCATATCCTTACATACGGGGACATACAAACTGGTGACATATAAACTGTATTTACTTACATACTCAGGATAGGTTTATGGTTTATTAGACGCGAATGGCCCGGTCGAAGTGACCCGTTAATCAAAATCTATTTATAGTATCATAGGCTATACCTTTATATCAATAGTAGATACACTTATCTTATAACCTCCAAATATATACATATCGCGAATATATACATATATAGTAATGAATGGAAGACCTTATTAATCTATGCCCATACATAGTATCATCGGACATCCCCTTTTCCTGGAACACTCAACTCATATTTATATTTAGATCATCTTTTTTTGCTATTAATATGACCCTAGCTCCCTATAAATATACCGCTACTTGTCTTAAAAAAATAGTTTACTGGTTTGAAAGCTGAAATAGACTTTGGAAAGTATTGAAAGGTATTTTTTTTATCAAATTGCAAGCAAATGTTCAATTATTAAAACTAAAGCATATTTTTTTTTTTAAATTTACAGTTAATGACAAGCAGTCTGATTATGAAACATCTCAATATGAAAACGTATTTATGTTTGAATGTATTGAATGTATATTGCAGCGTCTAAATAAAACAACTGTCAGGATGAGTTACCTTGATTTTGATGTCGCTGCCTTGGTCATTGATAATGGAACCGGAATGTGCAAGGCTGGATTTGCAGGAGATGATGCTCCACGGGCCGTTTTCCCTGCCTTAGTTGGAAGACCAAAATACCAGGTAACGTGTTTTAAATTTCCATTGAATATACGTTATGCATATAGAGGCTATGCATATTGAATTAAAAATTAACTGGTTTATCATTATCAAACCCAATTTGTGTTAATATCAAGGAAATTTCAAAACCAGTTTTTGTTAATATCAGGGAATCATGGTTGGTATGGGAATAAAAGATTCTTATGTCGGAGACGAAGCACAAAGTAAAAGAGGGATGCTAGCTCTGAAATATCCAGTTGAACATGGAATAGTTAGTAATTGGGATGATATGGAGAAAATTTGGCACCATACATTTTATAATGAATTAAGAGTGGCACCAGAGGAACATCCTGTTTTATTAACTGAAGCGCCACTTAATCCTAAAGCTAACAGAGAGAAAATGATACAGGTAAATTATTTTCTAATACTTTATTGCAGAGCAAATATTCATTGATATAAATAACGAAAGCAGCATGTGATAAAGGCTAGCCTTGCCTTAAATCCCCGCCATTCCTTCTTAATTTGGTACTAACTATGTAACTTTTGTTTCCAAATCATAATTATATTAGTGTATCATTATATTTCCAGATTATGTTTGAAACTTTCAACACTCCCGCCTTTTATGTTGGAATACAAGCCGTTCTTTCACTTTATGCATCTGGGCGAACGACAGGAATAGTATTTGATTCAGGGGATGGTGTATCTCACGTTGTGCCAATCTATGAAGGTAACATTTGCTTGACATTTACATGCCTTTTTGTAATAGTTAGACTAATAATAAAATTATTATACCTTAAACTGCCGTTTCTTCTATTTATATTCATGTATTAAACGTATTTCAGGGTATGCTTTACCACATGCCATTAAAAGAATGGATTTAGCAGGAAGAGATTTAACAATGTATCTAAGAAGACTGCTTACTGAACGAGGATATAGCTTTACAAGTGGATGTGAGTAAACAATACATCAGATCATATCTTATAATATTATGAAGATTCGTATTTAGATTAATAATTAAAAACTGTATTACTATTTGAATTGGATGTTTCTTTGGTGTCTGCCTTTATCTGTCTATTACAAGACGTAATTCTGTGAAATTGATTCAAACATTATCTCCAACTTGATATGCCAATAACTTAGAAATGGTGAAATGATCCGAGAGTTTGTCGAAATTTGAAATTTAAATGGCTCTTTTTTCAGTGTTTTGTACCAGTTGTAATTGTATGCAAATTCTTTTTTTGATAACACATGTCCAATAACTCTGCTTTATAGCTGAAACAGAAATTGTTCGAGATATGAAAGAGAAGCTGTGTTACGTGGCATTGAATTTCGAGGAAGAAATGGATAGTTCTGTCAGTTCGTCAGCAATCGAAAAAAGTTACGAACTGCCAGATGGCCAGGTCGTCACGATAGGCAACGAACGATTTAGATGTCCAGAACTTTTATTCCAACCGTCATTTGCTGGTAAGGGTTTTCACAAAGTTAGCCACTCTATCTTCAAGTGATTCACTTGACGTAGCAAAAAAAAAAACAACCCCAAAACACCCCCCCCCCCCCAAAAAAAACAAAAAAAAAAAAACAAAACAAAACAGTCAATAATAGATCGTAAATACAATCGAGTCTACAGTTTCCATCCGGATTCAGTGAGACTTTGTAAATGTCTTAATGTCCACGAGAAAACCAAAATTTCTATTCTTAACTAGAGTTATTGCCCTTAGTCAAAATATATCAAAAGCAATCTGTTTTACTGTATATTAAAACGTTAACGCCCCAGAAGTCCTTGTATGGCAGCCATTTCCAAAACCTTCAAGTGAACTCTCGTTTAGAATATGATAATTATTCATTTGCTGGCATAACAAGGGGTATTGCCCCGAAAGTTGGTTTAAATTATTTCTTATTCCTATATTATCAAGTTTTACGTAGCATGCGTTTTATATTCTGTAGCTAAATCGCTGTTTTCTACATACAATTAGTTAAGATTGTAGTGGAAAATACTATGTATACAATGAGAATTATTAGAAATATATTTATACTGTATACTAATTTTTTAATATGGCGGCCATTCAGGACTGGCATCGATTCTCAAAGTTCTCTCTATGCAGTATGTGTTTTTCTGTGAACGTTGTATTATGACCACATTTGTTTTCAATTTACACAGGAAGAGAAGATGTTGGTGTACACGAAATGGTTTATCAATCTATAAATTCTTGTGATATTGATATCAGAAAAGATTTGTATAATAATGTTGTTATGTCAGGAGGTTCTACCATGTATCCAGGTGAGACACATTAGTATTTAACAAACTGGCTCATGCAATGCATTGACATTACTTAGTTTAACAATTTTAACGATCCCTGATAGAATTACAAACTGCATGAATTATGAGAATCTTGAACCCAAACATGTAAGCATGTTTCTAATGGGTATAGATTTAGAATATGGTTATGGTGTAAATAGAACTTTATTTGTGATAAAAATACTTTAGAATATAGAAGGTCTACTGCCCCTCCCCCCACACACACACCCCAAAAGAAAAGAAATTTTAAAAAATAAACGACAGAAATTACACCAAAGTAATTAAACTGACGAATAAGTCGATTCCAGTTAAAGATGTTCGCATTATTTTTGAAAAATTTATTTAAGGCGATTTTATAATCAATTGAAACGGAATCGGTTAGTGTGTTAGCATAGAATTCTCTGTGGCATAAAAATATTAAGTTTTCACAAATTTTGCAGGTATATCTGATAGAATGATGAAAGAACTTACTAATCTAGCTCCCAGTTCTATCAAAGTTAAAGTTATTGCCCCACCGGAGAGAAAATACTCAGTATGGATTGGCGGTTCCATTCTCGCATCGTTATCAACATTTAACCAGATGTGGATTTCTAAAAGTGAATACGACGAATCCGGGCCTGCTATTGTTCATAAAAAATGTTTCTAAGTGTCTCATAAATAAACATCTAGTATTTGTGACTCTTATAAGGCTAATGTACCGTTTTCAATGGATGGTGTAACAGTATTTATTACACAATATGTGTATATATACCAGATCCGGTTTAAGAATCTGTAGGCCCCTGGGTTACAGGTAAAGTGAGACCCATTTGGGTATCTTGGAATTGTTTACCAGCCGACCGCTCTGGTATAGAATACATTATTTCTTTTTGTGGTAGTGCCGTTTACTCCAAATTTATATACGGTATATTAATTGATCGCCTTGTAAAATGGGCAGGATTAGACGTTTCAATTCATAAGCCTTTTAAAAAATATTGAACTATAATATAAAACAATAAAGACGATATCTTGTAAATTTGTATTTTTGTAAATTCTGTATCTCTTTTGTAAATTTTGTATATTTTGTATATAATTTGTATATAATTTGTAAATTTTGTATATAATTTATAATTTCGTACATAATTTGTAAATTTTGTATATAATTTGTAAATTTTGTATGTAATTTGTAAATTTTGCATGTAATTATTTTGTATGTAATTTGTAAATTTGCAGATATCTTTGTAAATTTTATATACTGCCCAAATAGGCGCAATTGTAAAATCAGTCTTATTTTAAATTCCACACGTTTTATTCTAAATATGAGTATTGTCAATCTATTTGAAAATTAAATTAATGTTCTTATAAAACAATGTGCAAAAAAATTGTATAATCCTTTGATATCTTTATCTGACAATTTCACTTATGAGCAGGTGCAGGTTGGGTTCACTTCAAACTGCCTGGAATATTGGTACTGAGCAGTGGTTGCAACAAAAGAAACGTAAGCAAGAGAGAGAGAGAGAGAGAGAGAGAGAGAGAGTAGGTTATTTCGGGACTAACATATGGTTCAATTTTATTTCAATAATTCGCTTGCGCGTAAGGGTATTTAGCAGTGGGAGTAAACCGGAGGATTCGGAGAAAACCCACGAGGTTGGACAGGCGACATTACTCTTTATCACGTACAACCGGGGAAACGAAACCACGCCAGATGACTCAGTGACAGTTCTTATGACACAACGCGCACGCGCTAATCATCGGCGAAATGATTTGAGTGGAGTTGGTGAAACAGACTAACGATCGGTACACACGAAGTCAATCAAGGAAAAAGAAAATTTAGTAGGAGCTCAGGTTCTTTAGCAAATCTTACACTTATTTTCTCTACTACACCCTCGCAAACTCAGGCGGTCCGAATCTAGTCTCTAGTCTCAAGCGTCTGTGCGCCCCGATTAGAATAATATACTAAGCAGCAAAAAAAAATTCGTCAGGTCGGTATGTTACTCTGAATAGACGCATTGCATAAAAGTTGCCAAATGTTTTTATTGTATATTTGTGACACGTCTCCAACTTTACCTGAGCAATAAGGCTCCTTCCCAAACACAGAATTGAACCCGGGAAATGTTCTCAAAAACGCAACCTGACTTCTGGGATGGTAATGTGTTCTCCGTGATTTTCATGTAACTCATGCTGCACGTGCTGTTCACCCGGTCCAGCCCTGTAAAATGCACCCCCATACCTGGTTGAATCATTCACACTACAACGTCAGCAGCATGCCACGAATAACGACAGCTCAGAAGAACCAGCTGCTTGGAAGACTCGACGCTGGCCACTCTGCCCAAGAAGTTGCCAATCACTTCCAGGTCAATGTTCGGACCATCTACAGGCTTCAGCAACGCTTTCGGGCCACCAACACCACGGATGATCACCCCCGAACTGGTAGACCAAGGGTTACCACAAGGCGACAAGACGACCATGTCGTGCGACAGCGCCTACAGACAGAATCCCTTCACTCAGGCATCTGAGACAGCACGTCAGACAGTGGGAACACACGGAAGACCCATCAGTACCGATACAGTGTGCCGACGTCTCACCAGAGAGAACATCCATTGCCGTAGACCTTACCGTGGACCGATCCTCACCCATCGCCATCGACGTGGACGTCTACAGTTAGCCCAACAGCACTAGAACTGGCGACACAGGCAATGGAGAACTGTGCTGTTCACAGTTGAGAGTCGGTATTGCGTATCAACTGCAGAATGGCAGGACCGGAATATGGCGTTGACGTGGCCAGTGTTATTCTGACCAATGTGTAATGGAACGAGACTCATGGGGAGGTCCAAGCATAATGGTTTGGGGTGGAATCGGCCGGAACCAGAGAGTGGGTCCTGTGGTGTTCCAAAATCTTGGTCCAGGGAGAGGAGGCGGCATCACAGCAGTGTGCTACATGGATCAACCTCTCAGACCCCACGTCATACAACATTTCGCACGTCATCGAAACAACGTTTTCCAGCATGACAACGCCCGTGCCCACACCGCCAGAGTTACTCTGGATTTTCTACAGCAGAACGGTGTCAACGTTATGCACTGGCCAGCCCTTAGTCCGGACTTAACTTAAACCCGATTGAACACAGATGAGACTAAATAACGTCGTACCGAGACTAAACACAGAGAGTGTGGTTCCAGGTGCCAATGGCGTTCATCAATCGTCTGGTCCACTCCATGTACAGACGCTGCGCTGCTATAATTGACAATCGCGGTGGACACACCAGATACTGATGTATAGACTGTGTACAGACTCTAAACCTTCTCGTAATGTCTTGGAATTGTGATGAATCAATCACTAATTTGTCAACATACTGTTCACAAACAAAAAATTGCTTTGATCCATTTAATAAGTCGTTTTCTAGAATGGTTTGATTAAAATGCCTTTCTGAATTCGAAATCGTACTGACGTTTTTTTTTTTTTTTTTTTTTTTTTTTTTTTTTTTGCTGTTTAGTATATTATAATTCTATGCATGTGTCTATTAACGCTTTTGCCTATACTATATATGGAAAAACACGAGACATGGCCTAAAGCGGGTTTACTGTATGTACATGAGATTCGTGATTGGCAGACACATAAGAGAGACCCCACATCGGCAGTCCGCAGACGTTAAAATCAAGTGGTGCCATGCAAGATTCGACTTCATTTGACAAAAGAAGGACAGAGAACAAACTCAAGCTAAAAAGATAGCATACAGGGTGTCAATGTCCAAGATTCGTCAATATCAAAAAGAACCGAGATCTTTGGGATATAAATATACATTTTAAATTTCATCAAAATCGGAAAAAAAATTGTGACCTCTAGATCAGTGTCAACACAAGCTAAAAACGTGATTTTTCGTATAATCCAATACGTCAAAATCGGATAAAAATTGTGAACTGTAGAGTTTCCACAAACATAATTTGGACGGACGGACAGGGGCGACGACAATATAATACAGGGGTTACGTAATTAACACATCAAGAAGTGCCTGCCCTAGTTGGCCATAAGTTAGGGACACTATTAGTCCAGGAGCTAATGACAAAATAATATGGTCATCAGTTACAAAAGGTTTTACCGCCCAAATTTGTAGCAGGTGTCCGTACGACTAAAACTCAATGGTCAGATCGGGCACTGTTGGGGCGTATAGCCGCAGCTGCATCTTAAAGTAGCCCCCGGAGGCCTATAATTGGGTCATAAGTTACATGACTAAAACTTTATAGGGGCAATGGTATCCATAGTCGGAGTAAATATTTCACAAATCTAACCAAATTTTCCACCACGCCCAATATCGCCTCAGAGGGCTATTAATATGGTCATTGGTTACATGGCTGAAACTTACCAGAAACAAACATCCACACTTGGTAAATATAATTTTTAAAAATTCTAACCAAAATTTTGTGGGCTTTTCCCAAGTCAGATAGTTAAAGTATGTCCGACCACATCCTAAAAATCGGACTTTTTATATGGTCATCAGTTACATGGCTGAAACTTACCAGAAACAAAGATCCACACTTGGTACAATTTTCAAAAATCGAACTAAAATTTGGGGGCTTTTCCCAAATCAGATCGCTCTAAAGTATGTCTTACCACGCCCTAAAAATAGGGCTTTTCATATGGTCATCAGAAACATGACTGAAACTTACCAGAAACAAAGATCCACACATGGTAAATACAATTTTCAAAAATCCAACCAAAAATGTTAGAGCTTTCCCCAAGTCAGATGGACCTTAAAATTGCAGCCCAAACCACTCCTCTGTATAAAGCTTATAATAATACATTGTTGAAACTCATCAAGATTCAAAATTATAGCACAAAAATAGGACAAATGTTTATTAGCTATGAGAAATCCTAAAATGAGCAATGGTATTAAGTGTTGTAGGAAGAGTAAGCATAGCATACCCCATTCACGACATATAACGTTAGGACTGATGTTAAATTTATGTCTTCAAACGTCCTGTATTCCATCAAACAACCCATTCAACAATGATTCAGAATGTTATTCAATATCTTATAACAAAGTGGAAAATTCAAACAACTATTTCGAAAGTATTTATTGGATTAATAAGTTGTTTTGGTTTGAATTCGATAATTTTTGATGTTCCCGATCTTCGATAATGATTAACAACCTAGTGGATTTTAAAAAAATGTTAGTCAATGATGAATTATTGAAATTATGAAATCTATTTATAGTTTTGATACATATAACTTTAGTTATCCTTCTGTTTTATTGGTAAGCAGTTGTCCATATAACATTTAAATGATTTAAAATAAGTAAATAAGTGTGGCTGGGTGATGCCAATAGTTAATCTGTCTCACTTTCATCAGCACTACAAGTTTTGTTTGATTCATCATCGGAGTCCTCGCTTTCTTGGTCACTATCTTCATCTATGCAAATATTCTCAACTGCCACAGGCGCAACATCACCATCAAACCACTTTAATTCATACACCCCATCATCATTTAAAACCCACCTTCTATTCTCTGGATGGAAATTGGGGGGGGGGGGCTTTATTCTTTGACGCATTTATCCAGACACTACAAATATAATTCGCTCTCTTGATTTTGAAAGTTAATACCTGTGAGCATGGCGGCAAAGCCTTTAATACCAGAAAGACATCCATCGCTTTTTTCGGTTTGTATTTCTTTAAAAATATTTCTAGCCGAAGATCATCAACTGAGGGCATTTTAGAAACCCCATAGATACCACAAACAAATCCTTCAATAACTATTTACTCCAGAGGGAATGAATTCACTTTTACCGAGAGAAAACAAGGTTTTCTGGACATCAACAGCTTTTTCTAATAATTTTAAAGGTCGGACTTTCCCTTTCCCGCTAAACAATGCAGTATAATCACAGCCAGTGAGTGCATAGATGCTTCAAATGTTCTTCTCCTTTTACGGCTTATTGGTTTATATGCAATTGTTGTCGATTGGTTGTCAGTCTCAACGAAATCCTGAAATGCACTGCCTACAGTATCATGAAGAGTGTCTTTATCGTAGTTATCAAAAGCAACACCAGTTGATAGATCATGCCACTGGGTGTTTCTTGGTTGCGCTCAGTGGATGTAAATGTCAATTCTGTTTCGAGTTCCTCAATGCTATTGTAGCTTAATGTATGTCCTAAACGATTAAGAATCTCAATACCCTTTTTACTGCCTGTAAGGCTTTTCATTGCAAGACCCAGTTGTAGGTGTTTTGATGGCTTAGTCCTGACTTATGGGACTAAATTCTCCTAACTTTGTTTTTTCCACGATTAGAGTATAGACCAGCTAGTAGATGTGTAAAGAAAGTGGAGACCATGTCTGGAACTGCTATTTCACCCTTTATGATATGTTATATGGTTAAATTTTCAGGCAGTTTAATTTTCTTTGTATTGAATATTTCTCATGGAGTAAGAAAGCGACATCCCGAACTTTATGTTCAGTTTCTCTGGCGTTGTCAAATGCCTTGCGAACAGCATCATCAACATTTAGACTTTTACTGAAGACAATATTACCACGTATTTTATTCCCACTGTCAATTGAAATATCATCACCAAAGAATTTAACCAGCTTGTTCTGCAAATCGCTGGGCAAAATACCTAACTAGGTATAGTTTCCGCCCCCAAATTCTAATAAACATGACTGATAGTATTGCAGTAAGCTATTTAACGGGTAGACATCTTGTTTTTCCAGAATAATGTCAGTCACAAAACTACATAAAGCATCAAATGCTTTGGCATGTATATTCCTAGCATCATGCCATTCACCTTTATCATGACCCGCTTACTTCTCGCATGTTTTCAGCTCTGCGTTGATTTTCTATCCTGCCCATTGCATGATAATGAATTTCTATGGCAATGAAATCTATATCTTGGATGTTCTGTAACATATTTTCATCCTAAAGAATTGTTGCATATACTTGAATATTTTTTCGATTGTCTTTGTGACACAGGGTATAAGTTGCTGTTTGTGATCTTTATGTTTTCTGTTTGATTTTCTGCAAAACAGATAGACTTTCTCGAGCACAACGGAATTGGATGCAGGTCGATGTTAAACATGATCTCATCAAATTTGGATTGGAATTTGGATTGTCTTTTTCTTGTACTTCTTGCCCATCATCATTCTGTTTCTTTTGAATTTTAGATAGCGCCGTAAATCTTCTATAACATTCCATACGAAATCCTGTTAACTCATCTACAACTTTGGGGAAAATAATTTCAACATACTTCAAACGTGAGTTTTTCCGGATTTCTAAAATTTGTTGGTAGTTTTGTAGAGTATCTTTCTTAAAGACACGAATCCGACCGACATCGGCACCGTCGCCAGAATGAAGAGGGCACCATTTTCCGACAAAATAGCCCCCTTTGTTGGTGGCACCGAGAAACATATTCTAATGATCACCATGGGAACTGCCAGACCCAAGTTATAAAACACATTATACTACAACACTGTTATTTAATTTCATACTTTTTAAAATGTAAATATGTTTAGATGGTTTATATAGAGGGTTTGGGTGGGGCTGCACTTGTAAGGTCCGTCTGACTTGGGGAAAGCCTCCACGCATGGAACATTATTTCTGGTAAGTTTCAGCCATCTAACTGATGACCATATAAAAAGTCCCATTTTAGGGCGTGGTCAGGTGGACTTTAGGGCGATCTGACTTGAGGAGAGCCCCAACACATGAGGTTCTGACACGTACATTAAACAATAATTTGACTTTCAAATTCGAAATTTTTTTTTTTAATTTCCAAAACAGCGAAGACCTCCAAGGCGCAAATACTTCTTAGAGGGACAACACAATAGTCAAGTCAATACATTAATCAAAAAAATAGCCAAAGGGGCCAGATTCTATTCATTTTACGTTGCCATCTTCATGTAAGGTTTTATATATATATATAAAATAAACATTAACTGTGAAATCGTTACCATACAAGCTAGTCCATTTTACAAATACAGTTTCTGGTGACGTTTAAACCAAGCATAACTTACAGGATCAATGGGAGAACATTATTGTTACAATAAATTATTTGTTTGATCCTGTCTTAACTTCGGAGGGCCTGACAAGGACAGCTGTCTAGTCCTTCGGATGAGACGAAAAACCGAGGTCCCGTGTATATATTGGAATGGACGTAACAGATCCCCTGGCAGTTGGAATTCGATATAAGAGTAGGTGATAGTGCCGCTTCCCGGGCAAAAATTTCCCTCATAGCACACTGTATGGCGTATGCCCGTCTTCATTAGCCCAGTCAGAGCAGAACAGTAAGACATTAAACCCCATTTCATTTCATTTTATTTCTGTCTAAACTTGAAGGAGTGAGTAAACAATGGTAGCTACAATAGATCATTTGACGCCTTTTTACTTATAATTATCTATTATCTGATCTTTATCTGATCTAAATACTACTGTTGTACATATTAGATGTTTACGGTATGTCGTCGTAGTAGTATCATAATCTAAAAATAGCAGCGAAATTCGTCTGGAATATCCGCTTATTAGAAATATTACCCAGGCGGTTCTAATAGTAGTTCTTACTTCTTACGACATATTTTAATAGTTTCTCGGACTAAGATTGCATGTTATGTGATAAGGTGTGAGGCTATACGTATATAGACATTATGCTGTGGACTGTAGTTAGTTGTGTTTGTGTTGAGAAGTAAAAGGTAAAATGTAAGTATAAATTCAACGCTCCACTTAATACATGTATCATGTCTATTTATAGCCTATATTATAACCAACAGTGTCACATTATAACCAGGCTTAAAAATGATTATGTGTTTACAATTAAAAATGCATTATGTAAAATTTAGATAAAAAGGTGGCCGTTCTTGTTGTAATAGTTCAAGAATATATAACGAAAAATGAATATATTGACAATTTCAGTCAAAATATTTTATGAGTTAAAAAGTCCTTGGGGATATAGTCGCGATTTTCAAGTACCGTTGCTATGGTAGTAATCAAAGTCTCGTTTATCCATTTTTAAATTGAATTATTAAATTGTGTTTTAATCCGTTAAAATCACAGCCATCCGATAGTTTATAGAATTGATTATGGGCTTATCATGTGTATAAATGTTTAATAAGTAGAAAGACCTGCAATAGGCAAATTTAGCCCTTACATGATGCATTTTTAAGTATTACACCTATTTGTTTCATCTGTACACGAAGTTTATGTTGGTGTATTATTTTGTATGGACATTTATTGCTTTAGCTGAGGAAAATCATTAAATGAAAAATAAAGACAATCGGTCCAAACCTGTGGCCAGCCAAAAAAGTCCATTTGGCAAATCATGATGGAGCATGTCTTAATTTTCATTGAGATACTATGAACAAAACAAAATAACCAATATCCCGTCTTCATTGTCCCGTTTGGGCAGAAATGTAGGACGTAAAACCCAATTTCATTCATCTATATGTGTAAAATTTTCTTTTTAGGATAGATTTGAGTGACCTCGATGCCCTGGTAATAGACAACGGATCAGGAATGTGTAAAGCAGGGTTTGCAGGAGATGAAGATCCCAGAGTGGTGTTTCCGTCGATTATTGGCAGACCTAAATACTCGGTAAAACTCGGTGAATTCCATTGAACAATGCCATGATCCATTCCAAACTTTGTATACAATTATTGATTATGTAATCTTATTATGTATCTGATTTGCCCCTATCTTTTAATAAATAAAGTAAGGGCTAATTTTGAATTTATCCCAACTTCTGTGTGATATTACTAGTAATACAGACTGTTATAAATCATGCAGATGATGGATCATCCTCGGTATCCCCAGTGGTTTCATCCCAACCCCCCGTATTTATTGTGAATCAAATTGCCAAGTATAAGTTCAATAATAATAAACATAACAGAATGAAACATTTCAGACAAAGAACGAATAGTAATAATAATAACAAAAGTCAAACATATAGATGTTATACATATTTGAAATCAGCGAAAATACTACAGATTTTGATAATACAATTAAATATAAATGAATTAGAAATATATACATTGCTTGCGTAAATCATTCAGTATCTGTACATGAATTATCTACCCTTATAAAAACGAAGGCGAAACAACAGGTTTGATTGGTTCGTAGACTATAGCTACAATCAAGACCAGGGCAGATAATTTGTAATCGTAGAAACCCTATAGATTAACCCAGGGTATAGTGGAGTAGAACGGGATGAGTACACTGGGGATACCGAGGATGATGATGGATAATAATGTCAATTTCACCCATTTTTATATTATCTACCATTAGGCTATTATGCTTGATGTAGATCTAAAGGACAGTTATATAGGCGATGAAGCCCAAAGAAAAAGGGGAATATTATCCTTAGAATATCCAATAAAACATGGAATAATTAGTAATTGGGATGATATGGAGAAAATTTGGCACCACACTTTTCATAACGAATTAGGAGTATCACCAGATGAACATCCTGTTTTATTAACCGAGGCACCATTCAATCCTAAAATCAACAGAGAATTAATGACACAGGTATCACTTTAATTAAATTTTTCAAAAGTTTTTGCATAGACATTAAGTATTGCGTGTTATAAAAATGAAAGGTCTTAATAACACCCGCTTCCCCTTGTTGGAACAATATTTGAGCCACCATTTCAAAACAGAGAATAAATGACATAACAGAGAATTAATAACACCGGTATCACTTCATTTTAAATATTGTGGCAAATTCATGATATATATTTATTCATGGGTGTTAAAGTATCCCTCCACTCGTCTTTATTAGCATAACAGTAGGACGTTAAACCCCATTTCATTTCATTTATATACCGCACTGTAACCATAAATCTGTGTGAAAAACCAAACGTCTGATTGGTGTAGTGGAAAGAACCTCTCTCTGTGATGAGATGTGTGCTTTGTCTGTCTCTAAAGGGGGAACCAAAATGTCAGTTTTCAATTCCATACCCCACCCCGTTAAAAACGAACCTAGACTAGAGATGAAAAAGATCAGGCTTCCACATAATATGCAATTCATAAAAGACAAGCTCATTTTTAAATACATGGATATTTCTGTTACAGATCATGTTTGAAACATTTAATACCCCTGGATTTTATGTGGCTCTACAAGCTATTCTTGGAGTTTATGCCTCTGGAAGATGTAGTGGAATAGTGGTGGATTCTGGAGATGGTGTATCTCATGTTATACCAGTATATGAAGGTACCATAAGTTTCAATTTATGCTTTACTATCCCTTTAAACAGATGTGTGGCAATGGGCTCATCTATTAAGTGAGAATTTGTTAAATATGAGATTTGTGTAGCTAATAGTTTTATATTCATGTTGGCATTCGGGTTTATGTTGACACTATCTGTTTGTCTATTAATATTGCTATATTTTAGCACCTTTTACCTTGACATTTTGGATTTTGCAGTCTAATTAAAATTAGACCCTCCTTTTTGATTAGGCTTTATCTTATTCATATTTACAAGGGGGGGGGCTGAATGATTAGCACGCGCACGCTGTATCATACGGTCTGTCATTGAGTCAACTGGCGGGGTTTCGATTCCTCGGTTGTACGCGACAAGGAGTAGGGTCGCCTGTCCAACCTCTTGGGTTTTCTCCGGGTCCTCCGGTTTCCTCCCACTGCTAAAGACCCCTACGCGCAAGCGAATTATTGAAATAAAAAATTAAACCATATGTTAGTCCCGAAATAACCTAGTTTGTGTCAAGTGGACGTTAAACCCCATCTCTCTCTCTCTCTCTCTCTCTCTCTCTCTCTCTTTCAAATTTACAAAACAGTATAAGATCTCACAACATCTTTAAGAAATTTGTTTTCAATTATAGCCACAGGGTGCGTTTGGCAAAATGACTATCACCAATACCAGTGGGTAAAAATATACTTCAAAGCGAAAAGCGAATGTATACTATGGAAGTACTAAGTGTGTACATGAAGTCTGGGCCAAACAAAATTAAACCGAGACGAAATAATTATTAAATTTTAATTTTGAACGCTATGTGATATGTTTGTGTACCGTTTGTTATATGTCTTACTAGATATAAAACCACATGTTTGATGTCTCAGATAATCTGTTTCTCCTGGTAGAAAGTAAACTATTTATACCCATGTATATAGATTCGATCAAATCGCTAGTACTAATTTCTGGGTTAAATCTGTGGGAAATAACATTGTTTAATTTCCATTTTGTCACACAATATTTGGTTTGTAGGTTACGGTATTCCATGCGCCATTAATAGACTGGATTTAGCAGGAAGTGATTTAACTGAGTATTTACAACGGATACTAAATGAACGTGGACATGGTTTCACAACAAAAGGTAGGTAAACTATAAATATTTATGTTCATCTAAAATATAAAGTCTTTATAAATTGAGAACAAACACAAAACAAATTAATTCCTAAATGGGCGATTTTAGTCGAAAACGCTAATTATATTCCGCGAATTTTGCGATGTTTTTATTCTGGTTCCATCCAGATCGTTATCTTGCTAACGTGTCGTTTGTTACCGGTCCTTTAAATTTCTGTTGCTGGAAAGTCAATTTCATTATCCGTTACCTAACGGACTGATAAAGGCGGAAATTGCAAATTTTCTAAGAAAGTCAAAACTATGACTTTTGCTCAATAGGTTGTCAACTCACAATTATACGATCATAGGTATCATTCTCACACTTAAAACTCATTTACACAGGAAATAATAACACAATTACCTCCCAATTAAGGGGATCACGTGGCTAAGTGGGTAAGGCGCTGGCTCGTTAGCCTGGAGGTCGGGTGTTCGATCCCTGCATTGGCCGAGAAAGTTCACCCAGATTTTCCGGCGTGGTTCCCCCTTGTCAGTGATGCAGGACGGAGGGCCTGACAAGGACAGCTGTCTAGTCCTTCGGATGAGACGAAAAACCGAGGTCCCGTGATATATTGGAATGCACGTAAAAGATCCCCTGGCAGTTGGAATTCGATATAAGAGTAGGCGATAGTGCCGCTGCCCGGGCAAAATTTCCCTCATAGCACACTGTATGGCGTATGCCCGTCTTCATTAGCCCAGTATAGGAGCAGAACAGTAGGACGTTAAACCCTATTTCATTTCATTTACCTCCCAATTACCTCCCTTGTTTTCTATTCTCCACCATGGAGTTTGAAAATGAAGAGGAAAATGATATTTTTGCCAATTTCTCAGCTGGCAATAGTGAATTATAGGATTAATAGGATTATTCTTTAACAAGGTAGGACTGTTTATGGATACCATCTATTTTCAGGCTTTATTTTAATAAATTTTAAATATATAACTTAAAAATTTGCAATTTCCGCTTTAAAGTTAATCCAAGAAAAGTCTATTAACGTGTCGTTGAAAGTTAACGGAGTTTTGAGCAAGCGGCCTTAGTTCCCAAAATATGATTTTGATGTTCATTTTCAGCTGAATTAGAGATAGTTCGAGATATAAAGGAAAAGCTTTCTTATATTGCTGAAGACTTTTCAGCAGAAATGAACAAAGCAGAGTGTACATCTATGTTAGAAAGTAGTTATGAACTACCAGATGGTCAAGTTATTACGATCGGTGATGAAAGATTTCGATGTCCAGAAGTTTTGTTTCAACCCTCACTTGCTGGTAAGTTGTTCATGAGAATAATCAGATGTTATATATGTCTAATTGTCCCCCACTTTTCGAAAAAAGCGGGGGACTATTAAAATGGGTTCGTCCGTCTGTTAATCTGTCTGTCTGTCTGTCCGTCACACTTTGTAGGTCACAATAACTCTTCTTTTAATTGAGCTAAAATGTTCAAACTTGGTGTAGGTGTTTATTAGGTCGATGCCTTGATGGGATTCGAAGATGAGCAGTTACTGCTCAGGGTAAGCATATATAAGCAATTTTATTTGTCGGTGCTTTTGGGCACGATAACTTGGTAAATAGTTTCATCACATCATCAGTACCTTGACTAAGTTCGATAATGAACATTTTCTGCTTAGAGTAAGCAGAGCGATGAGTAGTTTGATTGGTCGAGACTTTGAAACACAATAACTCCCCTTCTAATTGAGGTAGAATGTTCAAACTTAGTGTAGGCGTTCATTAGGTGAATGCCTTGTTCTAGTTTGATGATAAACATTGTCTGCTTACGGTAAGCAGAGATACGCAATTGATTGGATGATGCTTTGGGCACGATAACTTTTTTATAATTAAGTGAGAGCTATGAAACTCCAAGTATAGATTCATTATATCATTACCTTTACTATGTTTGATGAGAATTTTCTGCTTAGGCTAAGGAACGATTGATGTTCATTAGGTGAATGTCTTGACTGAGTTCAATGATTAACATTTCCCGCTAAAGTTAAGCAGAGCTAAGCAGTTTCTTTGACTTTGATTCTATCTGATAGGGAGTGATGAAACTTAGTGTATAGTTGATAATCAGTTTGTTTGCTCGATACTTTTCAAAAAGATAAACGTGCAATTAATTAATATGTGTCATCTATTTATTTTGGGATTTGGGCTGGGAACACCAGCCTCACTTTTGGCTTGTTTCACTCATATCGACCAATTTTAACGTTAGTCATGTTATCCATTCAAAGTTAACATTAGTTTTTAAACTGATTTCACGCCGCCATCATTATACATTCACTGACATCAAAGTCAGTAGCCTATCTTACCTACAATTTTAATATTTTAACTTACTATCCAAATAAACTTTACAGTCCTGATTTGTGTTCAACGCGGCATTATGCAAGATTTCGATAAATTTCTTACCGTTCTTATTATAATAGTTCAAAAATAGAATATATTGAAAATTTCAGTCAGATTACTTTATTCTGAGTTAAAATATTAATGTTTGAAGATTTTACGATCGCCGATTGACTGTTCATATTGTCGATTGTCCAGTACCTAGCAACGATAATAAAGTCTCGATTTTCAAGCCTTCAATCGGTGGTCACGGTGATTGCCGATATGTTATCGTTTAAGGCATATACGGCGGCAATGTCTAATTTACTCTATATCTAAACCATCCGATGATCTAGAGATTGTCATGTAAATAATAATTAATATAATATTTGATTCCAGATAGGCATATTTAGCTCTTGGATATGTCTTTTTGATTTAAATATTAAAAATTGTTAGTGCCCTTCCATCAGTAACAAGTGTATGTAAGACGAACAAATTTATTGTCGATAATCAGCTTTATTTGATATTAATTGTTAAATCAGCCTTGTTTAAGAATTAGCATTTTCAAATTTTGTTAAGAAGTTTTGGGATTTGAAAGATTTACTAAGGTAATAGATGACCATAGTGTAGTCTGTTTAACTTCATGGTTAGTTTTTATTTTATATTAAACAAGCAATTTTACTACTTTAAGTCTAATGTCGTTACTTCACAAATAAGTTATAAATTTAAAAATGACGTCGTTTAAAATTTTTGAATTTGGTTTTTTTTTAAGGTAGAGAGGATAGAGGGATACATAAGATGATATATGATAGCACTATGAAGTGTGATATGGATACTAGAAGAGATTTTTATGTTAATATAATTCTCTCGGGTGGTAATACAATGTTTCCTGGTAAGATATACTAGTAAACGTGTTTGCTTTCTAACGTAATTATGAGCTGAAACATACGTTCTAGATGATAGCTCAACTTTTCTGTGTATGTGTGTGGGGAAAGGACCCGGTTTACAGATTACCATCCCACCTTCAATCAATGGCCATTACAGACTAGTCCAATCCTGTCAGATGATGATACAAGTGCTAAATTTATAAATTGTTTAAATTAATGTTAAAACTGGAAAAGTTTCCACTAGACTGAAACTAGCTTAGATTTGAAGTTAAAAAAGACAGTGTACAATGAAAATATTGAACATTTCTGACGATTTAACTTTACTCTGAGCGAAGTGTTGAATCTAGAAATTGTTTAATTAATTCTTAAAATTACAAAGTTTCCTCTAGACTGAAACTAGCTTAAACTTGAAAATATGTTAAATAAAAGATAGTGAAAAATGAATATATTGAAAATTTCTGTCGATTTAACTTTATTCTGAGCGACGTTTTGAATGGCTACTTTTATCGGGATTCAGACAGCTGATGCGATTAAATTTGATAGTAAGGTATTGTTAAATAAATCGTTTGAACAAAAACTGTATCTGAGAATTATTTGATGACTGGTCGAACGACTAACCTAGTTATGGTTGTATATTTCGTTGCAGGGTGATCAATATTTAATCTTTTTGTTGTAGGAATAGAAAAACGGTTGACTAAAGAAATGGTGTCTCTACTACCCCAGACTAAGGCAGTTAAAATTGTCTCTCCACCAGAGAGAAAATACTCCGTGTGGATTGGTGGATCGATTGCAGCATCTTTATCAACATTTAAACATTACTGGATAACAAAACAGGAATACAATGAATGTGGACCAAGTATTGTTCATAGAAAATGTATTTGACGGCACCTCAATAATATTAATACTCACATAACTGAACTTCTAGGCGGAGTTGGTTTCTAATGCCTCCATACATCCCATAGTCGTGCAAAACCGCCCGTGCTACCTCTAACATCCAGTGTGCAAAAGTCAAAGGCCACTCTAAACTATGTCTCAAGCTGTAGAAAATGTAAATAAAAAGATATCTCTGCAACACGCTTTCGAATTTTAAAGGTGTATTATGTAAGATTTAGTTAAATAGCTGGTCGTTCTTCGTATAAAAGTTCAAAAATAGATAATAAAAAATGAATATATTGAAAATTTCATTGAAATTACTCTATTCTGAGCGAAGTTATGGGTGCTGGAAGATGGGGCGCATTTTAAAATTTTAATACGATCGCCATTTAATGATTTAAAAATCATTAAATGGCGACCGTATTTCAATCTGTTTAAATCTCCGCCATCCGATAGTATAGAGAGTTGATTATGGGCTTGTCATGTTAATAATTGTTTAAATAATAGTTTATATAACATTTGAAGGCAACATAGAAATTAGCAATGGGCAGATTTAGTTCTTACATAATGCATCTTTAAGATCTAAAAATTTTGAAATTATGCTTCAATACGCAAAGTTCTAATGAATTACGTGAATGGTGGATAGGTTTAGGACTCGAAGCTAACTTGGCCTAAAAATATAGGGTCGGTCCGTCGGAATACCTTTTTTTTCTTTGTTATTCTCGTGGGGTTGGGGTGATGGGTAATAAGGGACTGAACTGATTGAACCAATAAGCTAATTAGTAGGTATTATATTAGGTCACTTGATTATGCCACACATATGTCGATGCCATGGATACTTTTAGTCTCGATACGTTGTCCTGTCATTTTAAATACATTACATGCTTATTTTCTTCGTAACATTTCCAGCTAAGACCGATTTCAAAGACTTGGGGAATAGGTAAAAAAAAAACGTTTAGGGTTGGCGATTTTGGATCCATCAAATCGAGTCGGTCGGTTAACCGTAAACACGTTGAATACGTTGAAAAATGTTTTCCCCAATCTTAAGGCTAAAGTTATCACCCCTTTCACTGTAATTCTTTTTCATCAGACGATTGCCGATAACCCGAAAAATGATCTGATTACCATTACATGTTTTGTATAAAAAATATTAGTATCAGGAAAAGCTAGAAACCAATCAAATTTTAATGATTTGTACTCTTGATCAGTTTGTAGTGTCTTATAATGCTCCCATTATCTACAAAAATCCGTGTTGGCTGTACAGACGACATAGCTGCTGTGGGCGCATGTTTCGTTGCCATGCAATCTATTTTTGTGTAACTGAGTATAGGCAACATATTTTCTTTGACTATCTCTTATCTTAACTACTCACTTTGTGTAGTCCTTTTATAGACCCCTATTTTGTGATTAAAATGATAGATTGTCATGGATTTTTTACCAGTAAATAATTAATTTGTGTTCACTCTCTGAAATCAATTTCACTTTTAGCAATATAACTTGGATTTCGTGATCCTTAACCATACAAATCAGAACTTTCAAAGTATGACGTCCATCGAAGTTGTTTTCCAAAAGTCTTCTTTTAAACTTTAATTATTATTTCGAGTAAATGTTGCACAAATATGGGGACTTAATCAAGTCTGTCTTAAACAACAAGAACTGTGATATATATTATGTGATATTGATGAACATAATCATAATTGTATTCCAATACAGAAATGTTATATATATATTTATAATGATGTGTGCAATAAATATTTACTTTTTTAGTAATTCGACTTTTTTTCCTTTTAATATAAGCATTGCCTCCCTGAGAGAGAGAGGGAGAGAGAGAGAGAGATAACGTCCACTCGACACAAACTAGGTCATTTCGGGACTAACACATGGTTTAAGTTTATTTCAATAATTCGCCTGCACGTAGGGGGTCTTTAGCAGTGAGAGAAAACCGGAGGACCCGCAGAAAACCCACAAGGTTGCAAGGCAAATCCTACTCGTTGTCACGTAAAAGCGAGCAATCGAAACCACGCCATTTGACTCAATGACAGACCTTATGATCCAACGCGCACGCGTTAGCCATTCCGCCCCCCCCCCACATTTAACAAAATGGTGAATAGCTTAGAAGTAGCCCTCTCCCCACAGGCATGGTCGGTCTTGCCACGATTATATTACTACTAGCAGGATACCCGGCTTCGCTCGGCGGGTCATAACTCCGAAACCGGAAGTGGTAGACTAACGCCACCTGGCCTATGTTACTCCCCTGTCCGAGCTACCCTTATACCGCAAATTTCAGACTCGGGGCAGACCTAGTGTAACCGCCAACCCCGAACAGACAGACTTCGCCCGGGGGTCATAACTCCGAAACCGGAAGTGGTAGATTAACGCCACCTGGCCTATGTTACTCTCCGGTCCAAGCTACCCCTATACCCCAAATTTCAGACTCGGGGCAGATGTAGCCGCCAACCCCGAACAGACAGACTTCGCTCGGGGGTCATAACTCCAAAACCGGAAATGGTAGACTAACGCCACCTGGCCTATGTTACTCCCCGGTCCGAGCTACCCCTATACCCCAAATTTCAGACTCGGGGCAGATGTAGCCGCCAACCCCGAACAGACAGACTTCGCTCGGGGGTCATAACTTCGAAACCGGAAGTGGTAGACTAACGCCACCTGGCCTATGTTACTCCCCGGTCCGAGCTACCCCTATACCGCAAATTTCAGACTCGGGGCAGACCTAGTGTAGCCGCCAACCCCGAACAGACCGGCTTCACTCGGGGGGGTCATAACTCCGAAACCGGAAGTGGTAGACTAACGCCACCTGGCCTATGTTACTCCCCGGTCCGAGCTACCCCTATGCCTCAAATTTCAGACTCAGGGCAGACCTAGTGTAGCCGCCAACCCCGAACAGACAGACAGACAGACAGACAAACGACAGTCACAAATATATATATAGAAGATAGATAATGTATGTTCTCGACATCATTTGGGGGGGGGGGGTCGAATGGTAAGCACGTGCGCACTGTATCATAAGGCCTGCCCTTGAGTCAACTGGCGTGGTTTCGAATCCCCGGTTGTACGTGACAAGGAGTAGGGTCGCCTGTCCATCCTCGTGGGTTTTCTCTGGTTTCCTCCCACTGCTAAAGACCCCTACGCGCAAGCGAATTATTTAAATAAAATTGAACCATATGTTAGTCCCGAAATGACCTAGTTTGTGTCGAATGGACGTTAAACCCCATCTCTCTCTCTCTCTCTCTCCCTCTCTCTCTCTCTCTCTCTCTCTCGACATTTGAAAAGTTGTTACCTTCGTTCGCTTCCATTTTGCCTATTTAGTTACCCGATATATGTCTCTAATCACGTGATGTTATTTTAAATTCCTATCCGAAATTCAAATTAATAAAATGAGATGAATTGAAATATTTATTTCCAATTGCAACTGTCAAAGGTTTATTTTTTTCCGTGCACGCTAATGTGTACACGGGACTTGGTTTTTCGAACGAATAGACACAGTCTTTACCAGGCTATCCGCCTTGCACCTTTGACAATGGCGGATATAGTTGATTTCACATCTTGTATATAGTTTAATTATTGCTATATGTATCGTACCCATAGTGCATATATTATATGTTTACGGTATGACTTAGTATTGATAAGATCTAAAAATAGTAATAAACAGGCTATCCCGATGAAGAAAATCAATTGATGACATTCAGTAGTTCTCGAACCATATTTGGATAGTTTCAATGGCAGAGGCTAAATATTAAACATCATGAGATAATAATAACTGAAAATCTACAGTGGTATTATTTTCAAGTTAAATTTTACGGTGAAAGATAACTACGTGTGTATATTTCATACTACACTAACGACAGGTAAATATATTATTATGATGACCTACATTACATACCATACAACAATATCGCATACCTGAAGTTAATGTTAATATTTATAGTCAAATATATGAGTACAAAAATCACGTCCATCCAGATGTCATGTTTCATTTTTACAAGGTTGTTTTATTAATGATTTTCACCAAATTAAGAATATTCCCGAAAAATCTTATTAAGCTTCGGTGTTTGTATTTACATCACAAAATTATGTACTTATTTTTTGTCGATGTGTAAACAGGTTAATCTTTCGTTTCAGCGAGATTTGGCCAGGAGTTAAATTGGACACAAGTCATGTGTGAAAAATATCGGACCAATCCATAACTACGTTGTGCTATTTTAGTAATTCTATACGAGTCAAAATTAGGGTGAGTATTTTTAATATTTTATGGGATAATATTTTTTTAAAAAAAAGAGCACTGGTAGTTTGGGTTGTACGAGACGGGTTTATTAGTACCGGTAGCGAAAACCCAGATTTATATATATAGATATCTCACTGTCTTAATTCTCGTCTCTCGGCCCAGCTCTAACTTTTAAAATGAATAACATTCATAGGTTGAAGGCTTTGATACAATGGAAATTTTGAGATACACAAACTAAAAATAACATACATGTAGTAAGAGGTAAATCTCTACTCTATGTCAACGAAACCCTCCTTTTAATTATTTACCCTTCCACCCCAAAATCATGAATATTATTCAAGAACTGACTGAAAATGTAAATTCTCTTCGATTCTGCACACAAATATGGGCACGTGAATGGTGGGAAAGGAGAGCGAAAGACCCCCCAAAAAATAGACATTCGTGATCGGAAATTAATTGGGAGAATCTCGGTGGTCTGGTTCCTACAATAATATCACAGTCGTTGGGGTGTGGGGTGTGTGATTACATGTCAGGGTATTGTTTTCAAGAGAAGTAAGTCCAATAAACGAAATTTGTCTTTACATTAGTTCGACTGTAAACGAAATGAGCAAATCTTCCAATGTTGATGTAATAGCTTCTCTAATCGTAAATAAAAGAATACAAACAAAAACAGAAGAACTGTCTGTTCCCAAGCTCTAGTCGTCAAGAAACGACAGACAATATAGTTATGGTTGACAATTTAAAATTATGAGCTCGCTTATTATCTTACAGCACGCAACATTCTAGAGTTTTATTATACAGTTTGTTTTTTTGTTTTTATTTTTTTTTAGAAAATCTAATTTTACTTTCAGGATGGATTTGGATGACCTACAAGCACTCGTAATAGACAACGGATCAGGAATGTGTAAAGCAGGGTTTGCAGGAGATGATGCTCCTAGGGTCGTGTTTCCGTCCATTATTGGCAGACCTAAATACTCGGTATGAACCATTGACTTTTCATCATGTTGAATTAATTTCCCATGTTCTTATTATTATTGTCTTATTAAACAGTGTTACTGTTATATATTCCTTTCATTTTTTTTTATTTTTATTTTTTTTTTTTTGAGGTTCGATTATTAAAAGTATAACTAATGGTGATAAGAATAATGATTATAAGTAATCATGCTGATGATGATTCAATGGTCAATTTCACTATTTTGTTATTTCACTAATTTATCAGCAGACTATGTTTGGGGGATATGCGAAGGACAGTTATATAGGTGATGAAGCCCAAAGTTTGAGAGGAATTCTATCCTTAGAATATCCAATAAAACATGGAATAGTTAGTAATTGGGATGATATGGAAACAATCTGGCACCACACTTTCCATAACGAATTAAGAGCATCACCAGACGAACACCCTGTTTTATTAACTGAGGCACCACTTAATCCGAAAATCAACAGAGAATTAATGACACAGGTATCACTTGATTTAAAATATTTCGACAGCTTTTGTATAATTATTACAATATTACTTGTTATGATATGGCAGGTATTTTATTAAAATAATGTTCTTGCCTTCTTTCCAAACGATACTATTTCAAAATATGTATCCACCACTGAAGGCGTGAAATCGATTAGGCCCGTTTCACATGTACGCTTCCGCGCACAATTTTGAGTATTTCCATGTGCACTGAAAACTCGCTGAAAAGTTTTGGGAATCCAATGTAAATGACGTAATAATTAATGATTTCTCTTTACAGCGAGAAGATCAATATGTTTTCGTTCAATCGCTACCTTTTTTAAATAACGTGCATTAACACATACCATGTCCAAAAGGCTGCCATTTTTAAGTTGAATATGCATCAACAAGAGCGGATGATTAGAAGTTGAATATAAACATTCGGTTAAGCATAATTATATGTTTCCTCACCGATCTTTTGCCGGCGGAAACCCCATCGTACCGAATCCATTAATGTTTCTAACGTAGAGTTAATGACCATGTTACCCCTATGAAAAGGAGAATGCCTGCTTGTGGAAGGAACGTCTCCCAATGCTTAGCTGTAGTCTGTCAGTGAATCTGTTGTTCATTTCAAAGGTGAAACGGAAGGACAAAATCAAAAAATTTTGAGTGCATGTGCGTTTTGTAGTCCTCGCCGAACTCCAAATCAAAACAAAGCTAATATTTGTGATAAACTATGTTACAGATTATGTTTGAAACATTTAATACGCCTGGATTTGCGGTTGCACTGCAGGCAATTCTGGCCATCTATGCTTCTGGGCGAGGTAATGGAATAGTGCTTGATTCTGGAGATGGTGTATCTCATGTTATACCAATATATCAAGGTACTATAATATTGTATTTTTTTATATGCTCACGTCTCACGTATTTGCCGTCAACTATAGTAAAAAGGCGTACTCTGGGTTATTTACCTAAAAAAAAAAAAAAATCTACATTTACTAATGCCAAGTTTTGAAATCCATTGTAGTTAATGTAGTATATTTCTCGTCTCCTAAAAAAACCCACAAGTTTGGAAATCAAGTCTAAGTTCAAAATTAAGTCGAAGCACTAGGGTATTGCATACATTTAATTAATGTCCTTTCACTTTTAATTGTTTGATATAATTAAGAACATCAGAAAGGGAAAAAAGCGTACAAATTTGTGAACTATATCGTGAATTGTCAAGTTCTTTATAAATTAATTAAATATTTTAAAACATGTAAGGATGAATATTATCATATTTATATAGATCATACAATGTCACCTTTATAGGTTATACAGTGCCATACGCCATTGATAGACTGGATTTAGCAGGGAAAGATTTAACTGAATATTTACAACGTATACTAAATGAACGTGGATATAGTTTCACAACAAAAGGTAGGTACATATATGTTATAAATGTTTATGTTCATCAATAAGCTTTTAAAAACTCAATGTACATTTTATTTTATTTCACACTACGTTTCATCAATTTCCTCTTGTCGTTCTCAAGAGGAACTTGTTGAAACGTAGTGTGAAATAAATTCAGTGATTTATTTCCATATAAATTTGTGTTTTTATATTAAATCTTTAAGTTACTCTTCAGTCTGTTGTGGAAGGCAGAGTTGGGAATCATATAGGATGTGAAACATATCAAGATAAGCATATGCAATGGCTGCTACTGACAGGGACCATTATTAGATAGTTAATCAAATGTCTGGATAATTTAAAATCAGTGTTTCATGGGTTTTGATTGGTAGGTTAATCTGGAATTGATCAATAGCTCAACACGCCCCAGTTTTTAGATGCTGGATGACTGTCCGAGACATGGGTCTAGTTATTTTTTTTATTTCATTTGACGCTGTCCGTGAACATGTTTGCGGTCGTCTAATTTTCAAAATTATCTGGACCTCCAGCAGAACCCCATTCGTGGTGCATTTGTCAATGGAATAAGTGTAATGAAAAGAACATAGAAGATATATCAATGGCTGAATTAGTACCAAAAATCTAAGTTATGATTTTGATGTTTATTTTCAGCTGAATTAGAGATAGTTCGGGATATAAAGGAAAAGCTTTCTTATATTGCTGAAGACTTTTCAGCAGAAATGAACAAAGCAGAGTGTACATCTATGTTAGAAAGTAGTTATGAACTACCAGATGGTCAAGTTATTACGATCGGTGATGAAAGATTTCGATGTCCAGAAGTTTTATTTCAACCCTCACTTGCTGGTAAGTTGTAGAAATAATAAAATGGTATATGTGTGTTTGTTAGATTCCATTAGAAAAGTAGTCTATTATCTCCATAAACTTCAATTCGGAGCGGAGTCACAAAATAATCTAAAGGTGGTTTAATTATTTATAGGTAGAGAAGATGAAGGTATACATAAGATGATATATGATAGCATTATGAAGTGTGATATTGATTTTAGAGGAGATTTTTATACTAATATAATTATATCTGGAGGAAATACAATGTTTCCTGGTAAGTATGTACATGTAATTTAGGAAAACGACCCCCACACCCGCCCCATTAGATTAATAGGTGAAACACGTTGGTGTAGATTTAATATATATGAATGTATATGTATTGATGGTAGACTAATACATTAATATCAATTATTTCTAATATACATTTTATACGCTATGTTCCAAATTTCAGTAATATACCTTTTTATTCATCCGTTGATCCCTCAATCCGTTCGCACAATCAAATTACTGTTTGGAGTTTTGGGATGTTTTTAGATACCGTTATCGAAAGTTATCGTCCGGGCTGTCATTTAAACGGTGTAATGCCTCTGCAGATCAGATTTTTAAAGATTTATTTTGATAACTTGCTGGGTTTGTTCGACTGGTATGAAGTATTAATAAGGATGGACCCTTTCGAAGTGTGTCACTTACACGCAGTGTTATCAAACTGTTGCAATTCAATTACTTTTTCACGGTTGGAAGAGACACGGTTTGAACGATTAATCAACGATTTATGATAAATATTTGCATAGTAATGTTATCTTCCTAGTATAGATGACTTTGCCAAATGTTGAAATGTATGCACTTGTCAATGCTCTAGATACTAAAATTATTATTTCATCTTTAAATAATGAAAGGAAGAACGTATTGCAATGTATGTTTGGCTATTGTATGAACAGTTGTGCCCCTTGATATTTCCAAGAATGTATTGTAACCTACCAACCTACCTTTATTAATTTTAATATAGGTATAGAAGAACGATTGACTAAAGAGATGTCGAGCTTGTTTCCCAATAATAGGGTAGTTAAGGTTGTTTCTCCACCAGAGAGAAAATATTCCGTGTGGATTGGTGGATCAATTCTGGCATCTTTGTCAACATTTGCTACCATGTGGATCACAAAACAGGAATACAATGAATGTGGACCAAGTGTTATTCATAGAAAATGTCTTTGATGGTACCTCAATAATATAATATGTAAAAAGAGTTTCAATAACTAAAAACTAATTGTGGATATTCGCATAAATATATGGGTGGGGAAGTGCTCCAATGTGTGTGCTATGTGGTCGTCTGCCTACCTTCATGGTTTTCTACAGCGAAAAGTATCGAATGGACGTTAAAATACATGTACTTTATGTATTCGTTTCTTACTGTTTAGTTCATGTACTGTACAATTCGCGAGTCTGGAGAAAATCAGAACAATAAAAAACTACATACATTAAAGATCTGATTTTGTTATAATGAGTTTGGGTCAAATAGCTAGGCAACGATTGTGAAATTTAAATGGTATATAATATGTTTAACGAAAAAATTATGACTATTTTTCTCATACAATAACATGAAGTGTCTCAAGAACGTAGGTTTCTATATTGTTGACTATGGAAAGGGCTGTGATATTTCATTTTTTTTAATATGACATAATTATATATTTTTCATGAAGATTGTTTGTGTACACGGTTAAATCAATATACATGTGCAATAAAATACTACTTTTTTGTTATTTGTCATTGTGGCTGATTGGTATCATGTCGTGATGTCGTGGTGTCGCCCTTCATAAGGCGACAACCCGACAACCCGGCATCACAACATTTTTACCCGACACCACGACTACCCGACAACCCGACATCACGCCATTTTTAACCCGACAATACGCCATTTTTACCCAACACCACGACATTAAAAATGTCGTAATGTCGCGTATAACTGTCGTGATGTCGTGATGTCGTGGTGTCGTGGTGTCGGGTTGTCGTGGTGTCGTGATGTCGGGTTATCGGCCATATTCCTCTCAATACTATAATTATATATACTGATCCTGGTGTTGGTCAAGAAAGTTCCCCGGGATTTTGCAGTGTGGTTTCTCCCTGTCAGTAGTGCAGGAAAAAAGGGTCTGGCAAAGTACAGTGTCTAGTTGTGTAGATGGACAAAAAACAAGCTCCTGCGTACACATTGGCGTGCACATAAAAGAATCCTTCACAGTTGAATTTCGATGAAGAAATGCCACGGTTTATTGAAAATTCCCATCATAGCACTCTGTATAGCGTATGCCTATCTTCAATAACAAGATTGGTTCAGAAAAGTAGGAAAATTGAATAAAATGAAATTGGATTTAACGTCCTGTTCTGCGCTGACTGGGCTAATGAAGACGGGCATACGCTATGCAGTATACTGTGAGGGAAACTTTGCAAGGATAGCGGCGCTACGGCTACTCTTATATGAATTCCAACTGTCAGGGGGTATTTTACGTGCTCTCTTTTATGTACACGGAACCTCGTCCCATCCAAAAGACGATACGTTATCCCCTGCCAGGCTCTCCGTCCAAGACCACTGTAAAGTGGAATCACGCCGGAAAATTCCCGGCCAACGCAGCGATCGAACACGAGACCTCAACGTTAGCAAGCCAACGTCTTACTCACTGAGTCACCGTGACTACCAGAAAAGTAGGACATTAGACCCCATTTCCGGAGTGATTCCTCTTTGATAGTGGTGCAGGACAGGGGGCTGGCAAGGGAAAACGTATAGTCCTTCGGATGGGCCGAAAAACCGAGACCCCATTAACATATTGACAGTAGGAATTTAATATAAGAAAAGACCGTATCGCCGCTATCCGGGTAAAGTTTCTCTGATAGTACACTGTATACGGTATGTCCGTCTTCATTAGCCCAGTCGAAGCAGCTTGAAATGAAATGAGATGGAGTTTAACGTCCTACTGTTCTGCCCCGACTGGGCTAATGCCCGGACAGCGGCGCTACGGCCTACTCTTTATGTCGAATTCCAATTGCCCAAGGATCTTTTACGTGCACGCCAATGTATACACGGGGCCTCGGTTTTTCGTCCCATCCGAACGACTAGACAGCTGTACTTTTCAGGCCCTCCTTCCTGCACCCCTGACAAGGTGAAACCACGCCGGAAAATATTGATGAACTTTCTCGGCCAACACCGGGGGCGAACCCGCGACGTCTAGACTAGCGAGCCAGCGTCTTACTCACTTAGCAGAACAGTTGGACGTTAAACCCCATTTCATTTCATTTCATTTTCCTACTTTTCCGAACCATTCGGACTATTGAAGATAGGCATACGCTATGCAGTATGACGGAAATTTCCAGTGGACCGTGGCATTTCTTCATCGAATTTCAACTGTGAAGGATTCTTTTTCTTTTACGTGCATGCTAATGTGTACTCAGGAAGTTGTTTTGTTTGGTTTTTTTTTTGGTTTTTTTGTCCTATCTACAATACTAGACACTGTTCTTTGCCAGGCCCTTTGTCCTGCACTACCGACATGGAGAAACCACGCTGCAAAATCCCGGGGAAAATAATCATAGTATTGAGAGGAATATGGCCGGTAACCTGACACCACGACAACCCGACATCACTACACCACGACAACCCGACATCACGACATTTTAACTCGACAATACGACATTTTTACGCGACATTACGACATTAGGGGTCAATTGCGCGATAGATACCGCAATAATAAGTTGGTAATATGTCAACATATTGTGATTTTTCTGATGACTTTATCTCTGAAAAGACAATTTTTGCCCAGTTAATTGAGTCAACGCGCTATGTTAGATGTCCCCATTTCGTTTTAAATGAAGCTCTGTCGACATATTCCATATCGCCGTAGCACATGTCGACATTTTCGCGAAATATCCCCATTCGCTATGTCGACGTGTGCATTTAAAACGAAATAACGACATACAACATAGAGAGTTATTCAAATAACTCGGCAAAAATTGTCTTTTCAGAGATAAAATCATCAGAACAATCACAATATGTTGATATATTACCAAGTTAATATTGCGGTATTTATCGCACTATTGACCCCTATACGCTTCCATAGATAAGCCATATAAATGTACGTCAACATTCTGTCTATTTGTAAATTGAAATCAGTGTCTAAAAATAGAACGCTGTGGGATGTCCTCATATTAAAACAATTATCGATCAGCCAGAGTTTATCTGAGTACAGGCCATATTTGGATTTTGTTACGAACTGTAAGGTAATTTTGGTCACTATCAAAACCATTCTTGTTAGATTCAGATGCACTTCGTAAATATTTTAGCAATTAGACCGATAAGTTTGATTCAATTATGCACTCCAACTATAGGTGAACTATATGTCAATGGTACACTAGTAAGCCCACATTCCGATGTATTTGTACTATAGCATAGTTGTCATATACACATAACGAAGCATGGCGTACGAGACATAATACGTCTTCGTGAAAAGGCATGCCGAGTGAACGAGCTATCCATCTTAATAATATATGCCTGTATAGATATAACAAAAATGTAAGATTAATGAGTTCGATCCATATTACTTGCCCGTTCTACCGCACTTTTGACGTAAATATTAAAATTCTGGCAAAATGCATTTTCGAGCGTTGAGAACTCTGTTATTATTAAAACCCTTACAGCTACGTTGAATACAAATTCAACAGAAATGTAGTGAAATGGATTTTAGCGTCCTTATACTTTTCTGCACCGACTGGGAAAAGACAGGCATAGCCCACGTCAAACAGTGTGCTATGAGGAAAATTTTGCCCGGACATACAGCGGCTCTACGGCCTACTATTATTTAGAATTCCAACTGTCAAGGTTTCTTTTACGTGCAAACCAAAGTGTACACGGGACCTCGGGTTTTTGTTCCATCCTAACGATTAGACGCTGGCTCCGGTGAACCCCGGATCTCATGCAAGTTAGTGAGCCTACGCCTATAGCTCACTGAACCACCGCTACTCCCAATTTCAAAAGTACAATAGGGGCAAACAAGATATAAATTTTGAATTAAAATATTGATGGAAATGGGAGAAAACATTAAAATAAGTACCCATCTGTCTTGTCCAAAGTATGTTGCCCATGCTGTCCACATTGCAAGTAATATGGTGTGATCCCGGTGTTGACCGAGAAATCCCCTGTGGATTTTCCAGCCTGGTGTCCCTTTTCAAAGGTGCATGACAGGGGACCGGGTGGGAAAAGGCGTTTAGTTGTTTTGTTGTTCTGTATACCATTGGAAGTAGGCTAGAATCCCTGTCCTTTAGGAGAAAATTTCTCGCGCACTCCATGGTGTCTGACCATCTTCTTTAGCCTGGTGAATGCAGAGAAATTAGACGTTCATCCCCACTTTATTTCTTTTTTTAATTTTCTCATGCCAACCACCTAATTGTATGTTTCGAAATTCTGGGATTGTTGATCTTGGTATTTTCAATCGCAAAACGCTCCTTACCAATCACAAAACGCTCATTGTTCAGCATTCTTTGATTATATGCATTTGCTAACAAACTGATTCACATTCAAAAAAAGAATGGAAATATTTAAAACTTTTATACGCCCCCGTCTGTTCGTCCGTCCGCCCGTCCGTCTGATCGTCCGTGGGCGCTCTAAGGACTAAATTTAATATCCGATTGACTTTAGATTTATATACAGTATTTAAGGTCACGAGACAAAGAAGCCTCTTGACTTTCAACGATATCCGATAGTTACTTCCAGAGTTATGGCCCTTATCATTCGATTGACTTTAAATTTATATTATACGGTGTTTAAGATTATGGGATGAAGAGTCATATAATTGATTTCAACGATTACTGCCAAAGTTATAGCCATTGAACACTGTAATATCTTGTGGACGCTCTAGAAACCACAGGTATTATCCGATGGAACTGAAATTTATACACAAGCCCACTGATTTCCGGTAAGTACTGTCAGAGTTATTGTCCTTGATCACTTTGAAAATCTTATGGTGACTATAGAGACGAAAGTTATCATCCGATTGACTTTAAATGTATGCACTGTGTTTAAGGTCTTGAGACAAAGAATTATGTTGATTCTTTTGAACAACTACATTAAATTTTAACGATTTCCGATAACTTGAACAGCTTAATTCTAATGCTTTCTGAATGGGTTGTTACTCTTAATCAATTTTTAGTGTTATGTAAAAAATATGCGACGAAACTTGTGGGCTTCTCGGATGACTTGACTGCTGTGGGTGTATGTTTCGTTGCCTGACAACCTAGCCTTGATATCAACTTATGTCTTCGATATCTCTGTTGATTTCGAATTTGTAAAATATTCTTGTATTGAAATGGAAATTGGAATCAAGCAAACTTCAGCCTTGAATATTGTCGATACAGATTTCAGAAGTTAAAACTTCTTTGTTGTAGAATGGATTTGCTTGACCTCCAAGCTCTGGTAATAGACAATGGATCAAGATTGTGTAAAGCAGGGTTTGCAGGAGATGATGCACCAAGAAGTGTTTTTGCTTCTACTATTGGCAGACCTAAAAATAAGTACAAGGTAGGTGGTATTGAAGTATACCGAGACTAGCGCATGGTTCAATTTTATTTCAATAATTCCCTTGTGCGTAGGGGTCTTTAGCTGTGGCAGGAAACTGGAGGACCCGGAGAAAGCCCACGAGGTTGGACAAGCGACCCTACTCCTTGTCACGTACAGCCGGGGAATCGATTGGTTGTAGTATTTTTACTGAAATATCTGTTGACTGTATTAACAGAGTTGTATGGCTGACATGGAATTAAAGGATTGCTATGTTGGAGATGAAGCTCATAGCAAAAGAGAACTGTTATCTTTACAATATCCAGTAGAACGAGGAATAATTAATAATTGGGATGATATGGAGAAAATTTGGCACCATGTATTTTATAATGAATTAAGAGTGTCACCAGAGGAACATCCTGTTTTATTAACTGAATCACCATTTAATCCTAAAGCAAACAGAGAATTAATGACACAGGTAATAGTGTTTACTTATTTAAATTTCTTTTTAGAAAACGCAAATTCATTGCAGTATAATTCAGTGGGCTTAAAGACTTTCCTTGTATGATCAGAAATATAAATGCCCTCTTCACTTCAATTTTCATAAAGATATATTATTTATATACAATTTATTTACATTATTTTATAATCAATCTGTTGTAGATTATGTTTGAGACATTTGCTTCTCCTGCATTTTACGTGGCGCTGCAAGCTCTCCTAGGTTTATATTCTTCTGGTAGAGTTAGCGGAATTGTGTTTGATTCTGGTGGCGGGGTTTCTCACGTTTTACCAAAGTATGAAGGTAGGTATTTTTATGCATCACAATCTCCTAATATGCTTTCTGTCTGAATCTGCTAATGATAATTGCATAGCTGATTTCAAACAGTCGATGGAATTTTGCGCAATTATTCAAATATTGTTCAGTTAGTATAATTTGTTAGATCTAATAAGTAGAATCAGTCATAGCTCCTGTTTTATTCACATTATTTAATATAGTAATATTTTTTTTATAATCTAATATATTGAATGTTGGATTAAATTTATTCTTACCAAACAATCCACACATTTCTATAAACCAACATTTCAATGTGGTCTTATATTATTCTCAACCATGTCTTTCTGCCTTTCTGATAAATGTCCGATTTGACCATTGGGCGTATTAGCGACAGGTAGAATACTCAGTTTAAACTACCCTTATGTTATTTCTGTTGTAGGTTATACAGCACAACGCGCAATTAAAAGACAAGATTTTGCAGGAACGGATGTAACCGCTTATTTACAGAGTAAATTAAATGAACGAGGAAATTGTTTTACGACAACAGGTATAGGGCTAGGCTATCTTTCTTTTCCCGCTCTCCAATGGAAAACAAATCATGTAATGTCAATACAAGAATTTTTAGGTTCAGATTTTGATCTTCATCAGTACATAATCATATTGCTCAACAATATATTGGGGTTCAGATATTTTATTAAATGTCCACACACCTCCAAAGTAAGTTATAAATATGTTTTGTGCGACTACTGACTATGATAAAGCTTAAATCATTCCGATGTGTGAACTATTTTCCGAAATTTAAGATGTTATTTCAAATTTTGATTTTCAGCTGACGCGGATATAGTTCGAGATATAAAAGAAAAATATTGTTATGTCGCTGAGAACTTTTCAGAAGAGATGAAAAAATCGTCCTGTATACCCAAGAACGGTTACGAGCTACCCGATGGTAAAGTTGTCACAGTTGGTGATGAAAGTTTTAGATGTCCAGAAGTTTTATTTCAACCTTCACTGATTGGTAAGACACAAACATATTATTCGGTAGTATTTACATAACTATAACAACTATAATTATGATTATGTTTTCATCTCTGTTGGACAATATAACTATTACAATATAAATAGAAAATATTTAATATTTTTTAAAATTTGAGAAAGTTGAATAAGGGAGTATCTCTGTTTTCTAACACGTTCTGGTGTGGGCCGAGATAAGAACAGTGAGGTGGCAAGGAAAGCCCGCCTAGTCACTTGGATGGAGCGCAAAAACACACCATCATCATGAAAATTATCTATTAATCTTAAATAAGATGTCCACGCGGCATTAAACCTCGTTGCATGTAAGCACTGTCCCGGTTGGTGTAGAAAAGTGGAACGTTAAATCTCATTCATCTCATTTCCATGTTTTGTTTTACAGGCAGAGAAGCTGAAGGTATACATAAGATGATATATGATAGCATCATGCTGTGTGATATTGATCAAAGAAAAGATTTATATCCTAATATAATTATATCTGGTGGAAATACAATGTTTCCTGGTAAGAACAGTCTAAATCGCCAAAGTATTAACACAATTCCTCATTTCCCCTTATCAATTATAACTACAGTATTTGGTTAAAACACTATAGTGACTCGATTTTTGATTTCATATGGAAATCTAGATTTAAAAGAGTAGACCCCGTTAATATCCTATACATAAAGCCGTGGTGTGCTCCAGGAACTTTGTGGGAGGTGGGGGCGGAGATCATAAAATTGGCTTTCATCATCGAAATGACGTTGAACAAATAAACGTGCGTAGCATTGCAGTCGATATTTCCTCAGTCCACTGTAATATGTATGCACCTAATGAACAGAAATATTGTCTCATAGAGCTTCTGATTTTATAAAATTCTGGTCGTTCGGATGGGACGAAAAACCCAGGTCCCGTGTACGTATTGGCGAGCGCGTAAAATAACCCTTGACAGTTGGAATTCTATATAAGAGTAGGCTGTAGCGTCGCAGCGTCATTGTCCGGGCAAAATTTCCCTTATAGCATTCGTATGGCGTATGCACGTCTTCATTAACAAGCTCAGTGAAAAAATGGAGGACATTAAACCTCATTTTATTTCATTTATAAAATTCTCAGGTAATCCCACACTAAACTTACATGACGTTGTCTCCACTCGGACCCCGCGCCCCCAGACCTGCTCAAATTCCTTAACACGTCCCGTAAATTCTCTTCCATTACGGCTTATTATTTTGAAAATCTGTATTGAACTTCCTTTTTTAAAATGTTATAGGTATGCGAGAGCGGTTACTTAAAGAAATGGGGGCGCTTATACCCAATACTATGAACCTTAAAGTCATTTCTCCACCAGAACGAAAATACTATGTGTGGATTGGTGGATCAATTCTGGCATCTTTGTCAACATTTGCTACCACGTGGATCACAAAACAGGAATACAATGAATATGGACCAAGTATTGTTCATAGAAAGTGTCTTTAGTATAGCTTTAGATACTCGGTAACTTGGATTTTCTGTTATACAGGCGGGGTTTAGCTATGGGGCAGCATGAATTTGGCTGAACAGAATGCTGGATATTGTATGAGGTGAAAAGACGAAGAATGTGTCAATAATAACAGAATAAAGGGGAGTGACAGTCAGTGTTGTTGTATTACCTTGTTAAATAAAGCCACGTTTATACATGCATTTTCATAAAGTCCATATTAATGGAATTTACAATTGGCAAAAGATTCACCGGCCATCTTCATGTTCAAGTGTTTTCGGTAAAAATGCCACCAATAAGGCGTCAAGAATGGAGATGGTAATCAAATTTTCTGTGATATTGTTTACTAGTTAATATTATACTTCTTTCGGTATACAATTTTATGTATATTGATATTTGTATCTGCATTTAAAGTTTATTATTTTTTTATTTTTTGTACTTGCTTTAGATAATGTATTACTACTAGTATGTATGAACACATTTGCAGGATTAATGCCTGATTTATCGGATAAAAAATACATGTTAATTCAAGGGGTTTTTGAATGACATAGCTGACACATAAACATCATTCATGTAAATAATAGTCGGGAAAGTAAAGGTCACTGTGAACGACAATTATATGTACAAATGGATTTTATTTAATGATTTAATATTATTTTTTCTGAGGATATCTTGTACCAAGAAATTTCGGAACAATTGATCACTGCATAGAAAGTTCAGATAACATTTATCAGATTTTGACGCGATAATGTTAACAACAAAGTAGCAAACCATTACAAAGGCAGTCAGTGTACAATCCGGTGTTGCTTTGTTATTTCATGAACTTAGAAAATTACACACCATTAATAAATTGCAAATATTTATATTTGAATTGCATAATTTGAAGGGGGCCACAGTAGCACAGTGACTGGGGTGCTAGTTCACTAAACAGGAGGTCCGGTTTTCGAAACCTGTATTGGCCGAGTAAGTTCTCCGGGATTTAACAGCGTGGTTTCTACTTGTCTGTAGTGCACTTCGGAGGGTCTGGCATGAAAAAGCGTCTAGACGTTCGGGTGGGTCGATAAACCGAGGTCTGCTGTACACGCCAGTTGGAATTCAATTGCTGTCCCGGCAAAATTTCCTCCTTTATAGCACACTATACGGTGTGTGCTTTTCTTCATTAGCCCAATCGGAGAAAAACAGTATAGATTTAAACCCCATTTCATTCATTCCTTGATTATTTGAAACAGTAATAGTAAATTATGTGTAAAACTATTCAGACCCCGCACAATACAATATTAAGCAAGGTGTCTTATAGACAGATAATACTTTAATGTGTTTAAACCAACATAACAATAGATTTATAAGATTAATAATAGATTTGTACATATTAATAAAATGCATGAAATGATTAAACAGTTTTCGTGAACTAGCATGTTGTTACCTTGTATAAATACCATATAATTACAGTACTACAAAGGTTTGTGTACATTTTATAAATGTATACATATGAATGACTTTTATTCTCGGTGTAGTATCTATTTCCCCCCTATAATAGGATCTGTCTTATAGCTGTGTTTTGGATATCATGAATGACATATTTTAGTGCATGATAAATATATATATTAGATAAGTTACCTTCATTTACTGGTAAGACAGGAAAGTCAACGTAGTGATATAGTATTTATCTACAACAGGTGAGTTGTTTAGATTGCTCATAATTGTATATTTGAGAGGTATTTCCAATATTACGTAGAGAATGTTTAACACATCGACTAACTTATAGCAACACTCCAATCATTTTTATGAGCCCATATTGTCGCCACCCCTGGAGGCTAAAGTTACCTTCATTTACTGGTAAGGCAGGAAAGTCAACGTAGTAATATAGTATTTATCTACAATAGGTGAGTCGTTTAGATTGCTCATAACTGTATATTTGAGAGGTATTTCCAATATTATGTAGAGAATGTTTAACACACCGATTAACTTATAGCAACACTCCAATCATTTTTATGCGCCCATATTGTCGCCACCCCTGGAGGCTAAAGTTACCATCCGTGGGCGTATGTTTCGTTGTCTGGCAACCTTTTTGTTCTTCAATGAGTGATGTTCCGAATTTTCTTTTATTTTTTTTTTCAGCTATATTTTTTTTTTTAAAATGCACGAATAAAATTATAAAGGAATGACATGGTTAATTAAATAAATCAGCCAAAATGAATAATTATAGCTGTAGCAGAGCAGTAGTAATCGACAATGGTTCCCATGAATGTAAAGCAGGATTTGCTGGCGAAACCACTCCTAAAGCTGTTATACCTACCTGTACCGGTAACCAGTCATCAAAGGTATATTTTTTACAATCTATTTTTGATATTTAATATCTTTAAGTTGCGAAATACTTTTCGTTTTATTTTTGATGTTCTACTAAATGTAGTGTAACAAAACAGAATTTAACGAAACGAAACTGGAATACAATTATGATCAGATTGTTGAAAAGTACACTTTATATTGATATTAAAAAATCATCTTCTTATAAACCACTTTGCTTTACAATGTGGTCTAGCGCTAACACAGATTATCACATGAAATACCTTAATCTGGTCGGACATAATACCGTGACTAGTTGGTTGGTGGGGGGGGGGGCATAATCACTTTCGGGTGTTCTAGCTATTCTAGATAACTATTGAGGTTGTATTTAAGATAACCAGAAGTGATCAGATCAGTTTTTTTATTCAAATAAATGTACTCCCCAAACTCTTGAAAGAGTGTGCATATCATGACTCGTACGGGACACCCATCACTTCCTATAGCTAACTGGGGATATGATTGGGCCTGGATTACAGAAGCCAAAATCTACTTGATTGTCTGGATTTAATATAACTTCGGACAGAAAAGCCAGGAGTTTTCAAGTATTTGAGTCGAAGCATCATAGTGGGGTGGATAGCCGAATGGTTGGCACGTGCGCGCTGTATCATAAGGTCTGTCATTGAGGCAACTGGGGTGGTTTCGATTCCCCGGATGTACGTGACAAAGGAGTAGGGTCGCCTGTCCAACCTCGTGGGTTTTTCTCCGGGTCCTCCAGTTTCCTCCCACTGCTAAAAACTCCTACGTACAAGCGAATTATTAAAACAAAACTAAACCATGTGTTAGTCCCAAAATGACATAGTTTGTGTCGTGTGGGCTCTCTCTCAATATTAAACTTTATATTTTAGGCGATTCTGGTGGGTATGGGCCACAAAGATAGCTACATAGGGGATGAAGCTCAGAGTAAAAGGGGAATATTATCTTTAAAGTATCCAGTAGAACGTGGAATAGTTAAGAATTGGGATGATATGGAGAAAATTTGGCATTATATATTTTATAATGAATTAAGGGTGGCACCAGAGGAACAGCCTGTTTTATTAACTGAAGCACCACTTAATCCTAAAGCAAACAGAGAATTAATGACACAGGTAATCGAACATATTTTCTATCATTGCCACGTTCTGCCAGCGAGAGTTGTATTTACACCAGCCAATCATAAACCTATCTTTCACTCTTTTCTTTGGTTCGGGTTTCAGTTATAATAATAATCTTTCCTCGAAATCTTCATCAGAAGATACATGAATATACATAATACATAATATAAATATAGTCGAACATTAAGTTAGCTATAGCTATTTACATATAATTTATCGTGAATAAAAACTTCTAAATTGATTTGATATAACTGATATAAATTTACATAATTTGATTAAGCTTGTACCTGGCACTTTAAATAAATCTTTCATTTTATAGGCTGTTATAAAACCAGATAAATATAAAGCCCTTTCCTTAAGAAAAAATAAACACCATCTGAATATATAGTCATATAGTTCATTCACTACAAAACACAGTTTTGTTTTCCAATACAAGCTATTTGATTGGTCAGTAGGTATGCGAATACATGATTTCGACATCAGCTTCAAAGAAACTGATGTTGTTAAACATGGAATATAAAGTTACTAAGGACCGAATGCTGAACAAGCTAAAGTCGCACTTTACTTAAAACGAAAATGCATTTGACTTCTGATTTAATTGTTAATTGTGGGTTATATTACCCTTTGATTGAACGAATGAAAACACGGTACGCAAAATATTTGAGTGGAGTATTTTTTACAATTTGACTAATATTAACATGGATGTGGTTTATTGTTTACATAATATTTTGAACATTAAATCCAAATATTTTACAGATAATGTTCGAAAATTTACAATCTCCAGCTCTTTATATTGGTTTACCGGCTGTTCTGTCCTTTTATACTTCTGGTCGATCAACAGGGATGATGTTTGATTCCGGAGATGGGGTTTCCTATGTTGTGCCCATTTATGAAGGTGAGGTGCCATCTTTAACTTGGTGTCTGATGAAGAAAAATATGCTCTAATGTATAATGGCTGATCTAATGCTCATTCTGGCATCAGCTACAGTTGACGAAGTTTCGTGCAACCTTGCGCTCATTGCCGTAATTATGAATAAATTATCAGTCAGTACAAACCCCGCTTGATTGGGCGCTACAGCTTATTCTACTTTCGATTTCCAACACTCAGGGGATCGGAGTTTCCAATTGTATACACGGGACACAGGTTTACTAAATATGTCATTGTGCTTGATAACGATAAAATGATACGTGTCGAAACGTCGTGCTTCGTGAATAAAACCAGTGATTGATATCCTATAAAAGTGTGTTCTGCTTAATGAATAAAATATAGTTTATTATTACTTGGGAACAAGCCATTTTTATTTTGTTTCAGGATATGCAATAAAACACGCAATAAAACGAATAGACTTAGCTGGTAGAGACCTAACAACTTACTTACAGAGTATTTTACGCATTGGTGGAAATATTTTAACTTCTGAAAGTAAGTATTTAATTTAAAAAAAAAAACCCAAAAATTCCACTAGAACTTCGAAGGACTACGGGCGTGTTTCGGTACGCCAGATCACGCCTTGTAAACGTCAACAATCAAGTTACACCATGTATTATTGAGTACAGTAAGATCCAATATCTATTAAAGTGGAAAATCGGTCATTTTGAACGCTTAATAAAACCGGAAGGCCAAAAGTCGAACAAATTTCAAAGTGAAACCGGAAGTAAACAAAATCGAAATTCCAAAATCGGTTCCCTAAGAATTGTTGCCATTTGGAGTAGGTTCAAAACAAAAAAAAAGGTTTTCGAAATTCTGAATCAAAATGGCGGCTGAATATCGATTTGAAGTTGTTTTTTTTTTAAAATCCAATTTGGCGGCTAAAGGGTTGAAAATGTTATCGAACAAGGTCTCTGAAAATGAAAGATAATATCTGGGGCTAACACTGCCATATGTCATTTTTTGTCTATCTTCAAAATAGAGAGAACTATTCATGTTCAGGGAAAAAATCAGAAGACCTTGGTAATTTCCAGAAGTTTCCGGAAGCCGTCACAAAATTTTGAATATGCCATTTTGAAGGCATCGATGTGTTCCTTATTCCAACCAAGTTTCAATTTCCACAAGAGATACGCCATCTTGAATGTCGAAAAAATGATGAAGAAAACTTTCGCAAATCTTTGATGCTAAAACTAATCGAGCGAACTTCAGAGTTTCGAAAAACCGTCAGTCAAAGCCCATATGGGATTCGTCCGAAGAATCCAAAAAATGAAAACCCGAAGAAGATCCGTTGAGAAAAAACCGAGATATGGGCAATCTGAGATTATTTTTTGGTCCATCCGTAAAACAGTTCCTGTTTGTCAAAAATAACCCAATTTACATTTAATAAATAGATCCACGGAGGTCAACAACATCTACGTTGGTAGAATGGTTGCACCATGCACAGTTTTGGCTGCGAACTATGACTAAATCCTCCCCACATCACACATCACTTTCCATATATGGAATCCATGTCCATATTTACATGTATATCCTAATATTCTCTTGTAGTAGTAGTTCGCAGTACCACTTCCTTATAACGACAGCGATGGGCGGGGTTAACGCGACACGATATTTGGCGAGATTTCACCTGTGTGATGTCATGGCGTCCTGTACATCATTAGAAATATCCCTTCGAAAATGTAGAACGCATTACCACAAAGAAAACTGTTCGGTAACTATTTTAGTGGTCCAGTCTTAACTATTTGTGATAGAATAACTTATTTGAATACAAACTGTGGTGATATGTGTTGAGAATTGTGCGTTTGAAGCTTTTTTTACTTGTGCAAAGCCTCTTAGATATATCAATTGTAGCGGTGTACACAAGTACTAACCTACAAATATTCACTGGAACCATTGTGGATGAATTATCGAATTAGCTGGATCATTCATTTATAATTTTGTTCATGCATTTTGTTAAAAATGTTGCTGAAGAAAATAATAGCATCGTCGTAAGTCAGCTCACAGTACAAATCACCTTAACTACGAGAAGTTTATTTTCAATTTGTACGTTACTGATTTTATCAAAAATCAAAGGATTCTTCATTTGAATAAGTTAAGCAACTTGTACAAATTTCAGAAAGACCGGACCAAAATTGAATCCTTTGAAGAGCTAAGAAGATTTCATAATAAAGAGGAATAAGTCTGAATTTATTAACGAAAATCGTTGAAAACCAATAGGCCCTTTTCTGCGATATGGCTTTTGTGGAATCAGGCGTTAAAGAGCTAAGCTGCTACTACTACTACTACTTCTTTCGTACACAGCCAATACAAATTTCAGAAATAAGTATTGTTTAATGGTCGAGAGCGAGACATTAAGTAATATATTGTAACAACAAGAGGGCCGTTGGTCCGCGTGTTTTTGCAATATATTACGCAATGTCTTAAGCTCGAGACCGTTAAACGAATTAAAATACAGACACTCCGCACGTGTTTTTACAGTGAAATACGTCACACGAGTCCAATATTTCACTAATATAAATAATGTACGATTGGCAAGTTGCCCGTACGATTATTTGAAAGAGTGGCGTCACATCTGTATTTTAAAGGTAAATAATTTCCGCCTGTAATGTGCTAACGAGATTTCATAACAAAGGAACATAACTCTGATGGTGATTATCGAAAATCAATAGGCCTTGCCATTTCGAATATTCAATGATACAGGCAATCCATATCAATTTCAAAACGATATGGATTCTTGTTGCCTCTATGGGCGAGCAAGAAATGTGGACGACGGACGGACAGAAATAGTGACGTTGTATACGACCACCCTGAAATGTGAGTGTACAACAACGACAATGCTACCATATTTAAGTAATATATTGGATTCAATCCCCAGTCGCTTATTTCATGAAAAGAATGGATACGCGGCAGTGCTCTACAATATGTTATTTGCTGACTCGTTTTACTAAATGTACAAAAACTTAACTTTTGCAGACGACAGAGAAATTGTTAGGGATTTGAAAGAAAAGGTTTGTTGTGTAGCTCTTATGTACGAAAAAGAAATGATTACATTCACACAAAATAGAAGTTACGAACTACCAGACGGATCCAATATCTATATTGGTAATGAAAGAATTAGATGTCCAGAACTTTTATTTCAACCCTCTTTTATAGGTAATTATAATGTGTTAATGGTTATAATGATGCAAAATTAAGATCCTTAAAGTTGTCTATCAACACTCGATTCATTTCTGTCCCCAGAAGTTGCATCCTGATTTATAGGGCAATTCAAAATCCCCCCACCCCCAAACCTTAAAGGAGCTAAATATATGATTTTGGTCAAAATGAGAGAGAGAGAGAAATGGGGTTTAACGTCCACTCGACACAAACTAGGTCATTTCGGGACTAACATATGGTTTAATTTTATTTACATAATTCGCTTGCGCGTAGGGCTCTTTAGCAGTGGGAGGAAACCGGAGGACCCGGAGAAAACCCACGAGGTTGGACAGGCGACCCTACTCCTTGTCACGTACAACCGGGGATTCGAAACCACGCCAGTCGACTCAATGACAGACTTTATGATACAGCGCGCGCACGCTAACCATTCAGCCATCCAACCCCCCTGGTCAAAATGAAGTATTGATGTTGTTCTGATGTCTTAGAGTTCCATCAGTGATTAAGAACGTCAATCGGATTAAATTTCTGTTTTGAAGTTTAAGCGAAGTCGTCTTGTTAATATTTTCATTTTGGCTAAATGTGGAGCACAGAACGGTTATATCTCCATACTGACCTTATCAACAATTTTAATCCAAGATGACAACGTTTTTACAAGGTTTTCATAACGAACCTTCTTTCTCCCAAATCGTGGAGGCTAAAGGTTTTTCTTTCACCGAGTATTAAATACACATATTATAACGCTCTTTCAGGAAGATCAGAAAAGGGTATACATAAAATGGTTCATGAATCAATTCAAAATTGTGATTTAGACGTTAGAAGAGATCTGTACAAAAACATTTTGATGATTGGTGGCACATCTATGTTTTCTGGTAAGATTCTTCTCTTGATAAATAATGTAGCTAACAGGAGCGATCTAAGAACCCATAATTTAAAACTACTTGTCAACATTCTACTAATCTGAAAAATATTCTGCATCTCTAATTTAAACATTTCAGGTGTATGCGGAAGAATGAAAAGAGAACTTATAAAACTTTTACCACAGTCAGTTAATGTGAATGTAATATCAGATCCTCAAGGAAAACACTCGGCTTGGCAAGGAGGGTCAATCCTGGCATCATCATTATCTTTTATGGAGCGGTGTGTTTCAAAAGCAGAATATGAAGAATTCGGACCTAATATTGTTCACAAAAAGTTTCTTTAAATCATGTAGAGATAGAAAACATTTCCACAGTTCTTTCATTTTCAAAGTGAGAAAGGGGTCACCTTTTTGAATCTGTGGGTCCCTGTTATTACGTTAGTTTTTTTTGTTCTATTAAAACGTGTTATAAATGTTCGTATTATTTTTGGCACTGTTTTGGATTATAGAATGGCGGGAAGATATAAAGTTTGCGGCGAGAATAGGCAGTTCATTTGCACAGTCCAGTTGTTAATGAGTAACTATGGGACGTGACAGTCCATCTTGATATGAATTGTATGATTGAACAACAAAATGGTCTACGTTTCCAAATCTCGCAATACCTTGCTAGATTTGAAAGTTCCGCCGCCACCTCCAGGAAGGGGCGAGGATGCGTACATGTAGTTTGATTGTGCAGTGCCAATCTTGAAATAACTGAATCATGGACTGAATTACAAAATGATCTAACTTTCCTCCTCAGACGCAATGTAGCCTACTACCTTTATATATGGATAATTGTAAATCTTGTATGAGAGATACATGTAGCTAATCCAATGTTTCACACCAAATTTAAAAAAAAACCCTCTAGGATCCGCCAAGAAATGGTTATCGTGTTCACATGCTATTCCGGACACGTCATATCTCTGGAACAGAAAGTCCTAGATTGGTGAAAATGAACATTGTTCATGTTCTCCGATCCAATGCTTCAAACGAAATTTGAAAATCAATATTCCGATTGCCCCTCCCCATCCCCGACTCGTGTACGTCTATCCTATCATATGATTATCGATCACGATCGTCTGACTTACCAGATCTACGCAGGAGGTGACAACAAAGTTTCGTCTGCTTTTAAATCGATTTTGGGCGTTTATTTTAACTTAAATTTCAATTATTTGGTTAAAAAATTGTTAGTATGGTGATAATTTATTCCTAGTCTGGGGAGCTTGTCCGTTTGTTTTGGTCGCGATTTCAATATTCCAAAGTGTAAAAAATAATGTTTCCGACGGTCTAATTTTGGAAATTTTCTCGGAACCCTGGGAATGACAACCCCATCGGACGTCATACCCACAACTTCGCAAACCTTAAAAAATGGCCACCTCCCAGACAGGGCCCTGTTCATGAATTTTAGCAGTAGGTGTCCAAAGTAGGGAACGTCAAGTTTGACGTGAGGTCTGGGAGATTATCCAAGAATTTTATAAAATCAGAAGCTATGCGACAATATTCTGCTCATTTGGGTGCAATGGCCTTTCCCACGTTTATTTGTTTGACGTTATTTAGATGAATATAAGTGAGAAAAAGAAAAGAACAAATCTGTGGCACCATGCAAGAACCTGATAAGCCACATGACATTCAATTTGAGAAAAATGCAACTAAAGTCTGTGGTCTATAATTCCCAATCTATGATCTCTATTTGATGTTTTGTGATTTTGATGTGTACAGAGGCATAGTATAAAAATTCTGGATGATAATCAGTCTTGTAACTGCAAACCTTACAGAAACTTTTGGGCAAATATGAATTTCTAAGATAATACTTTTGAATTTTCCATGCAAAAACCTGAAATCCAATTGAAGGTTTGTTGGCTTTAATGTTATAAAAAACGTCATAAATCAACTGAAACAACACATACAAAAGTAAATAAAACAAAATCCCACATATACTAGGAATATCAATGGCGGACTCAGCGATCTTAGGTTTTTGAGGGGGGGGGGGCTCCGGTGACGAAGCGCTCAACAGGGGATCCAGGTGGCCTACTCCTGACAATTTCGAAAGGTAGAAGCCCAAAAATGCCATTTCCAGTGACCTGAGACAAGAATCCGGTTCTAAAGTGCGCCCACTGGATTAATTAATTACAACAATTAAACCAGCGGTTACCATGCACGATACGCCCACATTTTGCAAGAGATGTACAGAGAACAAACTAAAACAAATGTGATTTTTTTGTAGAAACAGTGACCAAAATCCAGGAAGTTACGGTCCAATATGCACAAATATCGAAAGGAACCAAGATTTGTTTGTTGGATATAAACATATATGTCAAGTTTCATCAATATCGGATAAAAATTGTGACTTCTAGAGGGTCCACATTCCACAAACTTGGTATTACGTACTTTTACACTATTTGCGTACAAGTAGTAGCAATTTTGTCAGGTAGTTTTTACGGAATTCGAAGTCAATCATCATTATGGTAACAGTGACATATTTAAACCGTTTTTAAATTGGATAAAAATTGTGACCTCTAAAGGGTCCACAAGCTAAAAACGTGATTTTTCATACAATCGGGGGTCATAACCCAGGAAGTCATGGCCCGATATATGCAAATATCGACAGGTACCAAGATCGTTTTGATATAAACATATATTTTAAGTTTCATCAAGATCGGATAAAAATGTGACTTCTAGAGGGACCACAACCTTGGTATGACATACTTTTACACTATTTGCAGCCATTTTGCGGGGTTGGATGGCCGAATGGTTAGCACGCGCGTGCTGTATAATAAGGTCTGTCATTGAGTCAACTGGCGGGGTTTCGATTCCCCGGTTGTACGTGACAAGGAGTAGGGTCGCCTGCCCAACCTCGTGGGTTTTTCTCCGGGTACTCTGGTTCACTCCCACTGCTAAAGACCCCTACGCGCAAGCGAATTATATAAATAAAATAGAACAATGTGTTAGTCCTGAAATGACTAAACTTAGTTACGGTCCTGGGGGCCATAATCCATGAAGTTACGATCCGATATGCGCGAATATCGAAAGGAACCAACCCGAGATAAATGACCTTGGGTGTGACTTGTGGGTTATCCGGTTCTTGCATGGAAACGTTGGCACACAAATCCGATCTTATGAGGCTTATCATTTTTATATCAGGTTAAAACTATTATAGACTTGGTTATCATGTCAAATATATTCACAGTGTCTTCATGATTACAGTCAAGATGGATACTACCCATCTTCGTTCAATGGCACTCTTATCTCAATTTTAGGGAAAATGTGGGTTATCAGGTTCTTGCATGCTGCCACAGAAATCAGAAAAAAATCAGATTTTACATTTTCGACTTCGCCTTTCCTGTGGTGAGTTAAATGGTTACAAGTTTTTAAGGTACATCTCAGATTTTGAAGATATCAATCATTGCCTTTTAACCTGCCCTCTACATTCCGATGCACGTAAACATTCAATTTTTTTTTTATCTTACCTCAAAACCTAATTTCAATACAGACATTATTAAAAAGCACAGGTGTTATTCTTATTTCTAGTGTGATTTTTCAACAAGTCCATACGTTTCTAGACATATCTGGAAGGTTCAGTTAAAACTATGTTTCGGTAGTTAAGAATATGAATATGGCAAACCTGAAATTGTATACATTTTCAGTTATATATATAGGAGCGGGGTAATACAGGTCTAGTCTGTTCCTCAATCTTTTTCTGAGAATAAAATATTGTTTATGAAAAAAAAAAATGGAGAAAAAATATGCTCCGTGCGAGCAGGTGAGGGACCGAATGCCACAGACCCCCATCGCTCTGGACACATCTCTTGACGCTATAGGAATCCCTTGCAGACTAGAATATTGTGAAATATGGATGTCTAATAGGAATATCAGTCAAGACAAAGGTGCAATTCCGTTCTGTATTTACATAGATTATGCTCATCGTTATGTAATAAACCCGCCGCCATTTTGTTGTCAACGAAAATTTAATGATTGGCCAGTTTTAAATCAGATAGAATCCAAGTCGGGACATTATCTAGTGTTGGTATTTTGATTTTGTTTTTAAATAATCAATATGAGTAATATTGGTACATGTTTTGATTTTGTTTTCTTAATTAAATGTTAAATAAGGAATAATGAGTAGGTTATACAATAGCATGGATTAAGCCGTGAGAAATTTTATATTTTAGCAAAAAATGCCGATGGCGCACCGTTACTTTATGGTAACAAATAATTTGAAGGCATGTGTACTTTGAAAGTGCTCTGTGGGGTTGGGTGGCCGAAAGGTTAGCGCGTGTGCGTTGTCATTGAGTCAGCTGCCGTGGTTTAGATTCCCCGATTGTAGGCCTGGTTTCCTCCTACTGCTAAAGACCCCTACACGCAAACGAATTATTGAAATAAAATTGAACCATATATGTTAGTCCCGAAATGGCCTAGTTTGTGTCATTTAATCATTAATCAGTCCATTTCATCTGTGGTTTACTGTTTATATTTTTAACTTTTGTAATATAACCAGTCCGCCTGCACTCTAAGTACTTTTTACCGTATTCGTATTAGAAATGTCCAAAATATTTATATTTGAACTGAAATTCAAAAGAAAATGAACTACATATTTTATTGATAATTATATTATAATATGTTGGTATTTGATGACGGCCTGTCGGCTGAAATTATTCATTATGATGAAATAAAGAATATTCCTTATCCCTTATTTGTGTAGTTATTGCAGTTATTCTCGCTCAAAAACGACAATTTATTCTCGGTACGTTCATCTCTGCAGAATGCTCAGAAATGGTCTCAGATAGCGTTTTCGGGCATCCTGCTTTCAAAATTCTCTGGGGGACGACCCACAGACCCCCCGCTAAACGGTTCGCGCCGGCGGCGCGAGCCGTGTGTCGGGCTCTGCCCGCCACCTCCGTCCACCCCCCCCCCCCAAAAAAAAATTTAATAAGATCTGCGGCCATGATTCTAACAGAGTGTTTTCCCATGATACTTTGTTGTCTGCAATATCATCACCCCGGTTAAAACGAACGTTAAATAAATCTTTTCACACGCATATTATTGTTCATTTGATCTTTATACCAGTACAATTAATCGATTTGTAAACCCCATTAAACCAGTCGACTGTCTCAAAATTAAGGTTTTAATAGATAGCTTTAACTCGACTAGATATTCGAGTCTACACAAATCTTTCCCCGTAACCGGAAGTAAATATTTGAGCGGAAGAAGATGGTGAACTGTACATAGTTTACTTAAGACACTTTAAAGTCAAACTTGTAATAAACATTTCAATGGTATAGATAAGCTATTATATTTGTCTTAATGCATCCCTTCTTTGTCCCAAATGAGTGTGCCGTCATCATATTACTAATGTCTTGGCTTTGAAAACGTCGCGAAAGACAATATAAATTATTATAAATCTGATTTTTTTTTAACTAATTGGCCTATTTATTTAGAGCCCTCTTCTTAGTTGTAGTATCAGTTTTGTTTTTAAATAGTATTCTAAAAAATAGGGGGGTTGGATGACCGAATGGTTAGAACGTGTACGCTGTACCATAAGGTCTGTCATTGAGTCAACTGGTGGGGTTTCAATTCACCAGTTGTACTTCTAAAGACCCCCACGCGCAAACAAATTATTGAAATAAAATTTAACCATGTGTTAGTCTCGAAATGACCTAGTTTGTGTCGAGTGGACATTCCCATTTCTCTCTCTCTCTGTCTAAAAAATATAATCTTTTAACAGTATGTAAAATAAGCCTACCCTAACCAAACCAACCCTTGTGTGGGTTCAAAATTTAGTATGTACTCTAATGTAAATAAAGCACATTGTTCACATTTTAATATTTGGAAATATAAAATCAACATATAAATATTATTATCATTGATTCACATTAAACATTTTTAATGCATACAGTAACATAATATTAATTTACTCTAGTAGTGTACATACATGCAAAAGCATTAACAACATAGGCTACAAATGTATCACATCATGTCATTATCATTCATAGATTTTAAACAAAGATTCAAAGCAAATTCACAATCACATTCATCAGGGCCGTGTACTGCAGTACAAATTATTAATAGCATGGACACACTATATGCTATTTCCATAAAAAGTGTTGTCTGGGTTTGCATTGGACCGTATCTTCTCATGCCTCATTATAATTCTTCTGTGCTATGGAATGAAATTGACAATTTTACAAATGATTATATAACCAGATTGTCTGGTTGATTATAGCCCAACAAGAAATTTTTAAAACACATATCAATATATTCATTTAATTTGAGTTACCGGTACTTTATTCTCTACTCTTGCTTTTATTGAAAAAATTCTTGCTTTTAAAACTGAAATATATTAGTCTGTTTACAGACGACTAAATCCTTTTTCTGCCAAAATGCAAAAAGGAAGCCATGAATGGAACCATGTTCCTGAAGTGAGGACCATGAGTTTTTACAACATCTAGATGTTGCTAGACACGTGAACGGTAGCGTCCAATCAGAGATAGTGATACAAACACACTCAAATCAAACATGCAGACCTCCACGGAAACCTTGACATTGAATGAACCTTGAACTTTGCAACTCGATTATCACAAGTAGACATTTTAGCTGGAAATTGCGAGACTTGGTATTTGTGATGATCGAAAAATCTGATCGACCCCCCCAGCTGGGTCAGTAATAGTCAGTGTCCAATCGAAATTAGTGCTGAAATATGCAGTGTATTACGTAAAGGGCTTGATAATGGACAGTTACATTTATTTTATGAAACAGCCAATACTGCTAATAAATTTCATTATATTTTGGTTATAAAAGTGTTTATTCTTCCCTTATTCTTTAGTCACAAGCAGTAATGAAGTGTGGGTTTTGTAAGAGGGGTAAAGAAGTTGAAGATGTTTGTGGAGAATTACACCATGTAAAGACCCCGAAACTAGGAAAACCTTGTACGGCTCATCATAAATGTATGGTATGTAGAATAGACCACACATAGAATAACTCTTGAACTATAGACCACATGTAGAATAGAAATGAAATGGGGTTTAACGTCCTACTGATCTGCTTCCGAACTGGGCTAATGAAGACGGGCATACGCCATACAGTGTGCCATGAGGGAAATTTTGCCCGGACAGCAGCACTACGGCTCTTATATCGAATTTAAAATGTCAAGGAATCTTTAACGTGCATGCCAATGTGTACACGAGACGTCAGTTTTTCGTAACATTCGAACGACTAGACAGCTGACCTTGTCAGGCCCGTCCGTCCTGCATCACTGACAAGGAGGAACCACGCTGGAAAATCTGGATGAACTTTCTTGGCCAATCCGTATGCCCGTCTTCATTAGCCCAGTTCGGAAGCAGAACAGTAGGACGTTAAACCTCATTTCATTTCCCCGTCTTCATTAGCCCAGTATAGGAGCAGAACAGTAGGACGTTAAACCCCATTTCATTTCATTTGGACTAAAAACATCTTCAAACTAATTAATCTATCAAAATTTTGCTTCAAATCCTTCTCAAAACACTGTTTTTGCAAGGGAATACCCATACCATAAAAAATCTATTAAAAGAAATCATGTTTGTGTCATGTGACTTAGCTGACGCACTACCTAGCAACAGGTGTGAAGCCGGAAGAGAATTCATTGCATACACAAGACAATATTGTCTTTAATCACAATCCATAAATCATAAATATAGAAGCCTAATTAAATTCTCAGATTATCCACTGCCCACGTCTTTTTCTGTGGTTTTTATCTCAGAAAATGTTGTACGTTTAGCTCTTCATCAAGTTTATCAACATATACATCAAGCGCTCAATCTTTGCATGCTACCTTTGACATTCCTAATCGTCAGGCTGCCGATTAGGCGAACCCTTACATTTTTGTCCTGTATGCGTTCCATGGTTGTTTTTAAGGGAATCCAGTATTTTTCTAGTAAGATTGGGTATTTCTACTTTCCATATATACCAAAATTGTCATACTTTCATTGGAAATAACCACCCGATAAATACTTTTCTGACAAAGTATTTATCGGGTGGTTATTTCCAATAAAAGTATGGTAATTTTGGTATATATATATGGAAAGTAGAGATATCCAATCTTACTAGAAAAATACTGGATTCCTTGAAAAACACTCATGGAGCGTATACAGGACAAAAATGTAAGGGTTCCCCTAATCAACAGCCCGACGATTAGGAATTTCTGCACGCGTGATGTCAAAGGTCACAGGCGAACATTGAGCGCTTGATGTACAAGTTGATAAACTTTATGAAGAGTTAGACGTACAACATTTTCTGAGACAAAAAAACGCGGGTAGTGGATAATCCGAGAATTTAATTAGGATTCGATATTTGTAATAAATAGTAAGCGATTAAAGACAACATAGTTTTATGTATGCAATGAATTCTCCTCTGACTTCCAAGAGAGGTAAGTCACGTGACGTAAACATGACCTGGTTTTATCGAAATTTTATAGCAGGACATTCCTTCGCAATTACAATGTTTGAGAAGGATTTGAAGCAAAGTTATGTCAAATTAATTAGTTTGAATATGTTTTTAGTCCATATATACCATTAAATCACCCAGTTTGTACGTGGGAACCCATCTTTAAGAAAACACACAGGAATTTCTCATACACAAGTTACTATATTTCCAAATCCCACCATCCCACGGGTCTGTCATACACCAGTTCACAATTACTTTAAATTTAGAAATGGTGTTCATGTTCTTGAAACAAAGAAAACTGTTGATTTCCAACCATTCCCAATAATAATTGTATATTTATTTCATCATATTACCTCGCTCTATGACAAAAATTGTAAAAAGTTAGATAAAAATAAATTGAGTAAAAAGGGATAACCTTTAATAGGATCCTTGACTTGACTCTAAACTCTTGAAATCTCTCGGCAAACCTCGACAGATTCCGTTACTCTACATCTAGCCTCGGCTGTATGACGGTAAGTGATATGTACCTACACCTATACAATTGCGATGCCGCTTTTAAAAAGAAGTTATCAAAATTGCGTTGTTCGAAGCGTGTGTAGAGTTTTTAGTGCAAAGTTGTCCTTGTTTGAAGAAAATCGGATAAACTTGAAAGAAAATCAGCTTCAGACTTTGAAATATTTGAATTATAAAACATTCTTCAAAGGCGTCGTCATGGACAACGCCGTTGGTAAACCGGGAACTTGAAAGTAGTTCCGATGGCGGACTTCGTCATACAACAGCCGGGGCTAGATGTAGGGTACTTTAATCTGCTGAGGTTTGCCAAGTGCTCTTGAAATGCCACAGCAATACATGTAGTTCTGGATTCACATATGGTATGCAGATGATTAAATTTATTTTACAGCAATATTCAGCAATGTTAATCCAGTATACGGACAGTTATTTTGGAGGTTTTAAGATTGACAAGGTGCTAGAAGAACAAAAGAGAGGGAGATTTTCGGTAAGAATTTTAATTAAAGGAGAATTCCCTTATTTCACAGGGTATCTGTTGATACTGTTGAGTTCAATTATGGTATGTAATTTATCCACAATAATACCTGATAGACATATATTGTAATTTCGTTAAGAAAATCAGACATTATTCTATAGTGTTGTTAACATTTATCATTGACAAAGTGTAAAAAATCTATCCGAATTTAATGCTAATTCACAGACAATACTTAATTAAAAAATCTGATTCAAGATAAAACATTCATGATTATTTGATTGTATAGTTTCCTTTAAATATTTTTGTTGTGTTTCTCAGAAATGTACAATTTGCAAAAGTAAGAAAGGGAAGTCAAAAGGAATGCTGACTGGAGCTACATCTGGATGTGCCGTACAATCATGTAGAAAAACTTTCCATTTTTATTGTGCTAGGACAAGTAATGAATGTATTACTAAAAGATTGGTTGTTAGTTTTAAAAGTAGTGGAAAAATCACAGTTCTATACAGGTATGATATTAATATCATCAATTATTTGAACTAATTTTAATGGTAATATAACTTTGGAAATATGTTTTTCGGACCAGTTATGTTGGACAATGTTTTATACAGCCATGATCCCTCTTAACACCAGGATTGAATACTTACAACTTTTAGTTTGGTAAATTTTATAATTCTGTATCATACAAATAGTATGTCATATTGAGCTTGTAGACATGACTTTTGGGGTTTGCTTTGTCAAGAGTTATTTAAACTGGTATCGTATCATAAATATATTGCAAATAAATTTTATAACAATTTTACCAAATATTGAGAAACGTAGAAACATCTACCACCAACATAATAATGGCCTTTTTTGTTCAGGGCTCAAAATTCACAACAGCCATCGCAGGCATTGCCATCGTAAACATGGGAATGGCCTTCGATGGCTTGAACATCACAGCCCAAAATTGCTATCGTAAATTTCGGAAAAAAATCAATAAAAATATGACAGCCATTGGCTGTAGAAATACCTTAAATTGCCGTCGATGGCACTCATATCAGAAGCCAAATTAAATGAAAAAGTTCATATTGTGTGAGATGCATTTTTTCCGTAAAACGTGGCTAGCTCAATACCTCCCACGATAATTGTCTAGGCACAACTGTCCGTGTTCTGTTTCTATGATTAACATGACTAAAAATAGAACAAATTATCAAAGCAGAAATTGTATGATTGGTAACCCAAAGTAGGGATCTCTCTAGACGCGAGAAATTACGAGATGGAGACGTGAAAATTTTGACAAGCACGAATGTCAGAGAACAGATTTTATTTTGATGGCATCTTCTAGGGTTTATATTTTGAATGGGGGCAAACTAAAAAATGTTTAGAAATGTCGGCAAATATTTCGATTGGAATATAGTGTAAGTAGTCAAGTGCTATATTTAGCAGACGACAGATGATGTCTTAACCAAAAAAGTTTCGAAATGTCAAATGTGTGTTTTACCTTCATCCATATGTCAAGCGGAGAAGACCTATAAGATGGAAACCGGTCTTCCGCGGGAAAATAGTATCGACATTTGGTAAATGGATTGCACATTGACTTCGTGGATATCATCACATGTGGAGGAAGAGAATGGAGTCATGTAGATCATATGTACGCAGAATCTCCGAATAGCATATTATCGACATATCGGGAAAATAGTATCGACATTTGGTAAATGGATTGCACATTGACTTCGTGGATATCATCACATGTGGAGGAAGAGAATGGAGTCATGTAGATCATATGTACGCAGAATCTCCGAATAGCATATAGCATAATTAGCGGACGTTTTAAGGCAAGTGTCATTAAAAAATCGAATGTCATGGAAAATCTCGATGTCATTTGAGGGCACTTACAGCCAAAAACTCATGTTTTTTGTCTCTTTATAACAAATGCAGAATCAAATGAATAGATGGGCCCTTCTTCTTTTCCAAGTCTGTCAGTATAGCTACAACAATTCACAAAATATTTTTAATGATTTCAACCAAGAGCTGAATCAACTGTATGGCTTCATTGCATTATTGAAGTCTATTTAAGTTTTCAACAGATTTTAAAAAATGGCCTTCGATAATCTCAAAATTGTAAAAATGGCCTTGGTTTTGAACGAAAAGACCTTAGAGAGGCTTTGCTGTATACAACCATTTTCAAAAAATGGCCTTAGATACAGATCAGCTAATTTTGAGCCCTGTTGTTAATGACGTCATTCCTAACTAGCAATCTTTTAAATACTCTGAATTGTTTCTCTTCTTAATTTTAGAGTGTTTTGTTCTAAAGAACATGAAAAATTATACCGTGAAAACCTAAAAGATTGTAAGTACCTATAAACTTATCTTGGGGAAAATAGCAACCTATTAACCATATATTATTGCTACCACCCTTGCCTGTCTGTCAATGATTCATTGACGACACTCTTAGTGACGATCATCCAAACAAAGAAGCCTTTTGAACGTTATAAAGTTATTGCCATTAATGTATCAGTTTTTCTGCCTTCACTTTCTTGTGAACGCAATAGTCTAAAGAGGTAGAATGAACCGACTGGGTGTAGATGTGCAGTTGGTGATCTCTCCAAGTGTAGACCTATACACATTTTGCATTAATTTAAAGAACTTGAGAGATTGATCTAAGATTGTCATACAGCTTTTCAACATCTATTACAGACAGTAAAGATATGAATAAAAATGATCAGAATGATGACAGTGATGAAGATGAAGATGATGATGATGATGATGATGATGATGATGATGAAGATAATGATCTTGTTGATGATGAAGATTTTAGTATGAATGACACAGTTGATCGTTTTGGAAATAATAACCATGACACAACAAACATTTGTATATCAAGCCCTAATATTCCATCTGGTAAAAAAACAATAAAGAAAACACCCAAGCTTGAAAACCCTGATGACATGATAAATTTAAAACGTATGTTAGATCACATAAACTTTGAAAGGGAATGTCCTAGAAAGAAAAAAACTAAATTACCAGATGATAAATCATCTGAAGAGGAATCTGCTGAAACACCACCTACAGATGAAGAAGAACTTGACTGTAGTGTACTGTCAACAGATCAAAATGGAAATTGTTTAAAGGAAAAAACTAAAACTTCTTCAAACCCTCTTGACAATACGACTACTGATGAAAAGAATGAGTCTAGTACAAGAAAGCCAAGTCCTGTTAAATCAGAAAGTCCAATAAAGAGTAAAGCTTCTACAGAAAATATTAGAAAATCTTTAGGTACGTGATGGGTCTTTTTTTGCTTTTGTCCAAAACTTCCATTCTAATACATCTTTTATAACATATTTGCAATTACAGTTACAAGCATAATTTTGATGAAATATTATTTCTGTTTATTTGTATATATTTTTTTCTTTGCTGTAGAATATGCAGTTTGTATTTTATCATCAACTGACAAAATTGAAGAACAAAGAAGAGAACTGCGGGATATCATTGCTTCATGTTATACTGTTGATAGAATAGTAATATGGCAGGATATTTCATCTAACATCTTAAACAAAGATCTCACTCCATATTTCATGCATTCAATATCTAAAGAAATGATGTAAGTACTGTCTTCAGGACGGGAAATAATGAGATTAATTCTACCTGACAAATGTCAGACAAAAAGGAATTAGTACCTAACATTTTGAATTTTGTACTGTAGATGTCTTATAACATTATCAAAAAAACAACGTAAATAGACAGTACGAGAGTTGTCGTTTTCCCCGGCTCTAAATAGACAAATCTGTGACAATGCCTGAATTTGTGTCTGACCATGTCTGTGATGTGCCTTATTTCGAATTCGAGTACATTGGCATTGCCTGTCTGTCTATCTGTCCATCCACTGACTGGGGGGGGGGGTTGGGGGGGATGGCCGAATGGTTAGCATGTGCGTGCTGTATCATAAGGTCTGTCATTGAGTAAACTGGCGTGGTTTTTGATTCCCCGGTCGTACGTGACAAGAAGTAGGGTCGCCAGTCAAACGAATACTAGTCTGGATGAGTTGTCAACATTTGAGAATAATTGGTCATTGTCTAGATTATCAAGTCTTTTACATTATCATAAACAAAGTCTAAGGGGGGTAACTAGCCTAAAACAAGATGTTGACGCCCATGAAATTAATTTAAGAATGCCATTTCAGAAAATCCATTTGCCAGTTTAATATCCAACACTCTTATTTTTTTTTTATTGTAAAATTTCTCTCTTCATGGGCCATATTTATGTTTTATTTAATTAATGCTAATTCATCCTCACGATTCATATTCATTTATATTAATGCAAGAATTATGGGATTTATTGTGGGAAGGGGCGAAACTCTTACTTGACTTGACCAAAGATAGTGGATAATCAACCACATAAAAAACAAACTCCCGGTTATTCATGGGCAATATAACTTTTTGTCAAATATTGACGATAAATCACGTTTTTAGCTTGTGGTCCCTCTAGAGGTCTCAATTTTTATCCGATTTAGGAAACTGTTTAAATGTATCACCGTTACACCCTAATGATGGTTGAGTTTGAATTTTGTGAAAATCTAACCTGAATTGCATGGACAAAAAGGCTGATCCTTGTACGCAAATAGTGTAAAAGTATGTAATACCAAGGTTGTGAACATTCTAGAAGTCACAATTTTTAGCCAATTTTGATGAAACTTGAAATGTATGATTATAATACAAAGATGTTGGTTCCCTTCGATAGTTGTGCATATTGGACAATAACTTCCTGGATTATGGCCCCTGATGGTACGAAAAATCATGTTTTTAGCTTGTGGATCCTCTAGGTCACAATTTTTATGTGATTTTAAAAAAACATTTAAATGTATCACCGTTACACCCTAATGACGGTTGAGTTTGAAAATCGTACCAAAACTGCCTGACAAAATGGCTACTCCTTGCACGCAAATAATGTAAAAGTATGTATTACCAAGGTTGTGGACTCTCTAGAAGTCACACTTTTATCCAATTTTGATGAAACTTAAAATATATCTTTATATCCCATACTTCAATATTCGTGCATTTCAGACCATAACTTCCTGGATTATGGCCCCTGATTGTACAAAAAATAGCGGGTTTTTTTTTTAGCTTCTCTATCCATCTCTTGCAAAATGTGGGCGTATCTTGCGTGGCAACTGCTGATTTCTCATATTACAATATATATATGTATATATGTTATTACAATTTCATAAATATTTTTATCCTTTAGTTCAAATTCAACTAAAACCCTTAGAAGCCTCCTCTTTTCTGAGAGCTATTTGAAAAAGAAAAGGGATACAGATTATCTATACCAGTCGACATTCATCAAGGACTTAAAAGACCCGGTCGTTGACAGAAATGTTTTACAAAGTACTTGGAAAACAATATCAAACAATTTGAAAACAGCATCAGCATCTAAGGGAATATTAGTAGGAGAACTGGTATCTGTAACAAACAGTAAAGCACTGATTCTGTTTATTGGGGATGTTCTTGATAAAGACCAAACCATAAGATCAAAATTTCCTGAAGAAACACCTACAGTTTATACCTGGGGCGAAAATACATCCTTAACAACTTTTACAGATGACAACTACATGTATAATCAAACTGAAGTTGATATTTTATCTTCGTATCTTGATGATCAAAAACAACCAATCAGTGATGTGGTGATACAACCTAATGATAATCTCTTATTAAAATCACTTAATTCACAAACTGTTGTCAGCCATCTTGTAGACAAATATAGAAATGTTGCAAAAAAGGAAGTTCAATATGGTGATCCAATCTGTTTAATTTTATTAACAGAACTGGACACTAAATTGATCAATGTTGAAAACTATGTGCATAAAATGTTAAATCATTTCATCACAGAGAAGAAATCACAATATTCTAATTTCATTGTACTTTTACCAGTCACTGGATTTGCTCAGGCACACAGCTTTCACAGAGATATTAAAAACTGTGTGCAGGGTAAAGTGGATGTACAAGTTATTAGTGCTTATGATCCAAAGGCTAATAGAATATCATGTGTGTTTGTGGAAATGAAGATTCTTCCTGGTGTATCTAATAGTGCAAAAAGTAGTAAGTTCAGTTGCTTACATAATTTAGAATAGATTTTATTATTGAAATGTAACCCCACATGTTTTTGTGACCATATTATCATATGGTCATGTTGTTATGCTGTTTGTCCATCGACAAAAGGGGGGTTGGATGGCTGAATGGTTAGCGTGCGCGAGCTGTATCATAAAGTCTGTCATTGAGTCGACTGGTGTGGTTTCGAATCCCCGGTTGTACGTGGCAAGGAGTAGGGTCGCCTGTCCAGCCTCGTGGGTTTTCTCCGGGTCCTCCGGTTTCCTCCCACTGCTAAAGACCCCTACGCGCAAGCTAATTATGTAAATAAAATTAAACTATATGTTAGTCCCGAAATGACCTAGTTTGTGTCGAGTGGACGTTAAACCCCATTTCTCTCTCTCTCTCTCCATCGACAAAATTGTCTTGTAAATACCACAGCTTTCATTAGATCTTTGTAAAAATTTAAAGTGATATGAAACTGGATTTTGGTGGAGCTTTTTGTACAATCTAAAGTTAGTTTTGTGGTAATGGTGGTGCAGATTTTACCATATTTAAACTTGATTAACACACTTTAATTCTTCACTAATTTTTATTCACTGTTCTGATGTTAATATTGGAAAAAAAGGTGCATATCAATTTTACCATACACTTACTCGATCCACAGAATTGTATTCTTTATCAATTTAATATTAGAGTAAACCTGGTGAGGTGCAGAGCAGCTTCGTCCATTTATGCAACAGTTAATTCCACATTTATTGCCCTGTATTTATGTTTTCATAAACATACTTTATTGTACACTCTACCTTGTTCTTAACTGATTTTAATCAACTTTACAGAAATAATTAATATGAATAGTAGTATCAGTCTGATTATTGTCAATGATTTATATTTATAAATATAAATTACTGTACTCATACTCACTCCTAAGTGTTAATAAGTTCTAGTCCAAATTAATTGTCAGAAATGATTCCAAAAGATTTTGAGTGTGTTCAAAAAGTACTTCCAGAGTTATTGTTCCTGACTTGATTGTTGACCCTTTTGATTTGGGTTCTTAACCAATTTTCACAATAGTGGATAGTGATCATTATTTACAATTTAAATTGTTCTGTACGTTAAACAAATAAAATGGAAGAACGAATCATGAAATGACAAAGCTTCTGGTGAGTGTATCTTACCATGTGAATGCCATGGAGTAAATGTCACCTGAAGTTATTTATTCATTTGGCATGGTAGGCTTTATTTCCCGATTAAAGTTGTAAAACAGTTTGCTATATCCTAATTTGTGTATTATTTCAGAACCAGCAGTTGTAGTTAGACCATACATTCAAGATGGAGAGATGCCATCAACTTCTGGAACCAGTAAAAAAAGACGACTTAAAGCCACACTATCACCAAGTGCTCTCAGTTTTCAGCATAATTTAAAAAAATAACAAATAATGAGATGTATATTATTGTTTTTAAAAGAATGACATTATTTCAAAGAGCAGCTATATTATATATACAATCTTCAACAAAGGTGAACATGAGTAGCTATCACAAGCTGTTAACCTTCCTTGCATACCATTAAATAGTTCGCACTGTTGTTTGTGTATATATATATATTCATATTTTTCTCATTTTTTATCTTTTTGTGTATATGCTTGATAACGACTTGTGAAGTCTTGTTGAAAATCGCATTGAAATAAACCATAGTAATTGTTATCCCAAAAAAGTATGCTATTTGATTATGTTCCAATTACTAAATGCCATTCAAAGAATGAAGAATAAACTGTAGTGTTGATATGACATTTTAAAGATATATGCTTCTATTATTACACATGTGTGCATGAGATCGAGATTATACTATTCATTATTCTGTTTTAGCTTTAGATGTTATTGTAACAACTACGTTTATATTGTGAGTATGAGTATAAATGGCTCCCCCAGTAGTCATATATTGTTGTCCCCCGTCCGTAAGTCGTTCTTGCGTCCACAATCAGAGGCTCTAGAGGCTAAAGTTAATATCTAAAGGACTTTAAATTTATACACAATGTTTAAGGTGATGAGACGAAGAAGCCTATTGATTTTCATCGATTTCCAATAATTACCACCAGAGTTATGGCCCTTGATCACTTTAAAAAATCTTGTGGATGCTCTACAAGCTACAGTTTATATCCAATTGACTTTAAATCCATACACAGTGTTTAAGGTCATCAGATGAAGAACTCTTGATTTTCAACTATTTCCGGTAATTACATCCAGAGTCCTGGCCCTTGATCACTTTGAAATATCTTGTGGACACTCTAGACGTGAAAGGCAATATTTGATTGACTTCAAATTTATACACAGTATTTAAGGCCACGAGATGAAGAAGCCTGTCAATTTTGAACGATTTCCAATGATTATGGAAATTGATATTAAATGTTTTGTATGCTAAATGTTAGAATAGGGTAGAACTAGAGAAGCCAAATGGGTTGTTAATTGTAATCAGATTTAGTGTGTCGACTCACCATACGACTTAGCTGCTTTGGGCGTATGTTTCGTTGCCCGGCAACCTATCTTTAAAAATTTGTTTTACTCAACGATAAAATTTAATTAAAATACTTAAAATAATAAATTTGATGAATAAAAATTGAACTGAATAAACTACATTTATATTGTGAGTATATATATATATAGCTCCTACATGAGGTGGTCGATGAAATATAATGAAAATGAACCAACCAGGTTAATGAATACAGTAAAAAAAAATAGTTTTAGGAAGTCTGGCCATCAAATAAATTAAAATTCTTACAATAATGAATTTGTTGAATAAAATTTTAACTGAATAAATAGATGTGAACAATATGTTTGCAATTAATGAAAAATGTGTCATTGACCTTAGATTTCACTTTTTATATGTGGTAGTATACTGTCATCACCCCAGTCCGTCTGGCATCCACAGTGTTTAAGGTCATGAGACAAAGAAGCCTATTGATTCGCAGCAAATTCTGATAATTAGTCAGAGTTATGGCCCTTGAACACTTTGAAAAATCTTGTGGACACTCTAGAGGCTAAAGTTAATATCTGATTGACATTAAATTTATGTACAGTGTTTACGGTCGTAAGACAAAGAAGCCTATTGATATTCAGCGATTTCCAATAGTAACTGCCAGAGTTATGGCCCTTGATCTCTTTGAAATATCTAGTTAATGCTTTATAGGCTAAAGTTAATATCCAATTGACTTTGTTTTAGGTCACGAGACGGAGAAGGATTTCTGATAATTACTGCCAAGAGTTATGGAACTTGATTGTTTTGAAATATCTTGTGGACACTCTAGGGGCTAATGTTTATATCCGATTGATGTTAAATTTATACGCACTGTTTAAGGTCATGGGATGAAGAAGTCTATTGATTTTCAACTATTTTCGATAATTATAGTCCTTGATCTCTTTGAAAAATTTTGTAGAAGCTCTTGAGGATAAAGTTAATATCTCATTGACTTTAAATTTATACACATTGTTTTGGGTCATGAGACAAAGAATCCTATTCATTTTCAACGATTTCTGATAATTACTGCCAGAGTTAAGGCCATTAATCACTTTGAAAAATCTTGTGAACACTCTAGAGACTAAAGTTAATATGAATTGTTTAAGGTCATGTGACAAACAATCGCAACAAATTCTAATGTTTTCTGATAATTACTTCATGGGTTATTACTCGTAATCAGATTTTCATGTGTTGTAAATGTTCTCATTACTGACAAAAGAAAAAATATGCGACAACACTTGTTGACTGCTCGGACGACTTGGCTGCTGTGTTTATACACCCACACTGAATTTTGGTCATATTTTGTCATTAGTCATCACCCCTGTCGGTCCACAAGCAATTATGGATAACCTAGAAACCAACAGTTAAATTTATACCAAGTGGATGCTCTAAAGTTATTACTTACCATCTGATGGATTTGAAATCAATTTATACACAGCTTTATTGATGAGACAAAAAAGCCTATTTTCAATGATTTCCAAATATTCAAACAGCTAAATTTCTAAAGTTATCATCTAATAACCATAGATGTTTTGTGTAATAAATGTTAACACTAGGTAGAACTAGAAGCCAATTTCTAATAATTGCTTGTGGCCGCTCTTGTTAGAATATGCTCCCATTAGCTACTAACAGATGACTTAGTTGCTGTGAGCATATTTCCTTGTCTGACTATCCAATTCAACATGGGCAGTCCATATAAATTATAATAAAGCTTAATGGTTATTGAGTACCAGTATACAAAATGTGAGAAAATATTTCATAAAATCTATATGAGAAAGAGCAAAACACATTCTGTTTGTGTACATTGTGTAGACAGTTTATGTATATTTAATCAAGATGTTTGATTGAAAAATTTTGACATCAGTGCTTATTTACTGTTTATTTGTTTTACGCATTTTATTGCTCATTGTTTTTATCACATAGAATGTCAAAGTTATTGTGGTAATTACTGTTTGTTTACTTTTTTAATTTTAGAATTGTAGAATGCAATGGAAATAGATCATTAAGCCTAAAAGTTAGAAACCTACTTAGTATGGTTATTTCCACCATGTGTTCCAACTGAAAATTTGTAAAGTAATTTGTGGGTGTATTGGAAATGTTTTGTTAGGGCAGGCAGGGGATAAGTGACCTTATAATCTCACTTCATTACTAGCAGTCTAGAGTCGTAATTAAGGTGTTGTGAAACAGCTATTCATTTTCTGTATGTTTGATCAGATAAAGAAAATATTCTTCTCCTTGGATTTGACACACCAATATCAAAATGAAAGGAAAACAGCAATACAATATATAAATCAAAATTATAAAAAGATGCACTATTTTACAGAATTCAAATTTAACCTAATGTTCTCATTACTGGCAAAAGAAAAAATATGCAACAATACTTGTTGATGGCCCGGACGACTTGGCTGCTGTGGGTGTTTTTTCGTTGCCTAGCAACCTATCTTTAGAAAGACCTACAGGCGGTCGGTCCATCCGGTGTCCACAATTGCTTGTGAATTCTCTAGGCGCTAAAGTTAACATCCGATTGACTTGAAATTTATACAGTGTTTAAGGTCATGAGATGAAGAAGCCTATTGATTTTCAACGATTTCCGATAATTACTGCCATAGTTATGGCCTTTGATTACTTTGAAAAATCGTGTGGATGCTCTGGGGGCTAATGTTAATATAAATTGTTTAAGGTCATGAGACAAACAATCGAAACCAATTCTAATGTTTTCTGATAATTACTTCTTGGGTTATTACTCGTAATCAGATTTTCATGTTTTATAAATGTTCTCATTACTGACAAAAGAAAAATATGCAACAACACTTGTTGACTGCCAGAACGACGTAGCTGCTGTGGCTTAATTTATGAACAACTAGAACAGTAGAATTTTCTATTTCTGTCATGTATGCTTCGCTTTTCTATTTATATTGAAATTTAGAATTTTATTAGTTAATTATTAGAGTAATTCTTTACTTTTATTGTTTACAATATTTATAGTAATTTTGTACTGGATGATAATGACATTTATGCAATTAAACAAATACACATGTAGTTCGCATTTTAAATTTCTAAATGAAGTAGAATGTTCATACTTTGTGTAGGTCTTTATTAGATGAATGCCTTGACTGATGGTGGTTATTCGGCTCAAAATGTGTTTACCTACTATTCCTGACCCAGAATACAGCAATTTGAAAGTGGTCCAACATAGCCTTATTTATGTGTTCTTGGGACTGAAATCCAACCTGATGCCAAACTGAATTCCAGATTTTGGAGGAGTGGGAAAAAAAATCTTCGTTTAGAGTCTACGGAGTCGCAATATGCGAAGCCTGTCACAGGAGAGCGATGAAGCGACAAAGTTCTACGGCGTCGGGAGGTATGGGGGGTATCCCACAATAGTTTTGAAAAATAGACAGATACCGGTATGCAAACTTGTTTTCCTGCTATTCCAGCCAGTAAGGACAGCAACTTGAAAGTGGTCCAATATAGCCTTATTTAGGTGGCTGACCTGAATTCCAATCAACCAATCGATGAAATTGACCAAACAAATAATGAAAATGCTCGAAAATTCTCAATAACAGTCCACGAGCTGCTGTCTGTGAAGTCGGTCGAAGTAACTACCACGTCAGTATGGGAGCCTACAGATCTATATTTGTTTTCATTTTTTTTTATACTTTCGATGACCTACACTACATGAAGATCTGACCGGTTGTATCGATAGGTCACGTCAGAGGTCATATGAGCGGCTTTTGATCCTATGATGTCAGACATTTGATTAACCAATCAGCATTGATGTTACTAGTGGATTACCCACTGTTCCATGAAAAACATGCCTAAAGCTCGCCGTAATTACAGACCATTTCATTGGCTATAGCACACATCATTCAGATAATGATAACAACTCTTCCAGATCCTAGTGTAGTAAAGCCAAGTAAAATGAAATTTTGAACTATCAAAACGAAACGAAATAGGATCTGTGTTTTAATCAGATTGGGAAGCCTCCCCAAGAAAATTTCGAAAATTAAACGGCCTCAAACCTGTTTTCCTGCTATTCTTAATCCTTGGGGTTCAGCAATTCCATAGAGGTCCAACCTGAATTCCAATCTACCAATCAATCAGACTGTATAGCATTAGCAGCTGCATTCTCTGGACACCAGAAATTTAACTTTCCCAAAATTTGATGAAACAATTAATGTTGATGATGCCAGAAATAATGTCGCGCATAAAACAGAGTGACCACCTGGGTCCGTGAGAGGGAGGAGGGGGGGGGGGCGATGGGTAATGCCGAGTAATGTTTAAAAAGAAATTAATAACTAAAATAAAGCTGTTAATCTAATCGTAAAGGAGAAATGTTTTAATTCATATCTTCAATTTAGTACTCGCCCGTCTCGCCGTATTCTGTTTTATTATTGGCAGGTATATAAAGGTCGTCGGATTACGGCATATTATTTTGCCAATTTGAATTAGAAAATAGAAGGCAAGATATTTTAATTTATTCTTTCATTTTCAATAATCAGTCACTGTAGGCTACTCGTCTGCCCGAAAAATCTGATTGACCGAAGCCTGAAATAATATTTAACTATTAACAATGGCGATTGAAAATGTATGGATTGTTTGAGATACTTGAAAACCGGATTATATGGAGCAAAATTCTGAAGATTTTATTTTTCATATGAAAATCCGGTCACTGGCCAGCCACAGCCTTGTTCTGGAAACATTTTGATATACGCCTGGATTATCAAGACTACTACTAAAATATCACGTGAAAATCACATGACTTTAAACATGGCGTAGTATTTTTGCTCGCTTACTTGCACTGCACTGCTAGAAGTGCTTCCTTTTCTTTAGTCAGCCATACCATTACTCAAAACACTAGTTAATTTCTAATGTTCTGTAAGTATTGTGTATGGTAACCTTTAGATTATAAGAGGAATGTAGATAAGTAAATGAATCGTTAGATTAGAAATAATTATTTACACACTCTTGTCTGTTAACTAATGTTACTTTACTGTTTAACTGTAGTGAAAGAGTAGGGTTAATTTTGTAACCGATGGACGTTGTGACTCGGGGTTTTGTATGTAGTTATATCTAACAATACCTAACCGGAATCAATCTGAGATAATTTGACTAAAAATTATCTGTATTTGTCTTTCAAACAATGATTGATAATTGTTATTTATTCAATTACTGTACCAAAACTAGATAGTAGATGTGCCAGGTCCATGGACTTAACAAAACAATATTAATTACCCATAACAACCTGTATGTTTGAATAAAACAACACATTTTTATGATATTTTTATATGTATAGGTAGTATTCCGTAAACATAGCTCTTTTTATCCCCCCGCCTTTTGAAGACAGCAGGGGACTATTAAAATGGGTTTGTCCGTCTGTCTGTCACACTTTTTTGGAGTTCGAAAATGAGCATTTTCTGCTTGTCTAAGCAGAGATAAGCAATTTGATTGGTTGATGCTTTGGGACAGGATAACTTTAGTTGTAATTAAGTGAGAGTGATGAAACTTGGTGTATAGTTTTATTATATCATTACTTTGACTAAGTTCGATAATGAACATTTTCTTGTCTGGGTCAGCAGAGTGCAAAGCAATTTGATTGGTTGAGACTTTGGAACACAATAACTCACCTTCTAATTGAGGTAGAATGTTCAAACTTGATGATTAACATTTCGAGCTAAAGCTAAGCAGAGCTAAGCAATTTTATTGGTCGATGCTTTGGGACAAGGTAACTTTGATTCTATCTGATAGAGAGTGACGAAACTTAGTGTATAGTTGATAATCAGTTTGATTGCTTGATACATTCAAAAAAAATAAATGTGCAATTCATTAATATGTGTCAACTATTTATTTTGGGATTTCAGCGGGGGACATCAGCCTCACTGTTGGCTTGTTTTTTTTGTTTTTTTTTAATATTTATAAAACAAACCAACCTATATAGCCTTATAATAGCAATTGCCCTGCCCGTACCTTCCAAAATTGCAATGTCGCTGGATTTTGGTGACTTAAGTCTTCTTGTTTATAATTATAGATGTTTTTATTTTAGGCAATCATGGAAGATGGACTTGAAAATGATTTCAAAAAGGCAGGTATTGTAGCTGAACCATTGTCAACTCAGGTAGCTGGTTGTCATACTGGAAATGCCGGACCATCAAATAAAACAGGTGGAGAGAATGTATTTCATACACAATTCATCAATTTAATTTTTAAGATGTCACTTTTTTTGGCTAAGTGCCCCAAATAGCTTATGATGTCATTACAATCATAAGTATCATATATGATGGAATCACACTCTTGCAGTCAACAGAATTGCCACTGAAATGAGGTGGATATTGCATGCATTGTCCAAAATTTTATACAACACAACAACATAAAATATGGACATCAATAAACTAAACTTGGACACAAAAACAAAATTCCCTCCTCGACGGTCGAGAGCAAGACATTAAGTAATATATTGATACTTGTTCCTGAAGCAATGACCACAAGTTTTACAACATCTAGAACTGCTTTGCAATTCCCAAACTTATAGCTACGTTACCCCCCTTTACCGCAGACATGTGAACAGTAACATCCTATCAGAGGTTGTGGCACAAACACACGCAAATCAAACATGTGACCTGCACAGAAACCTTTCCATTGAACGAGGCTTGAACTTTGCCACTCGATTATGACAGGTAGACATTTTAGCTGTTGGCTACTCTGATAATGGATAATCATTTATAAATTGTGTTTCTATCATGTTTGACTTTTATGATACATTTTGCATGACCACATCTTTTCACTCCTGTACTCTTTTACTCAAGGAAATTAGAACCACTTGTAATAGTCTTCTGACGGAAATGTATCTTGAATCGTTTGGACTGTAAACGATAGTAGAGGGACTCTATCAAAAAGTCACTTTAAATTATTTACACATAATGGGTTGAAAATTGGTAAAAACACAAAATAAAAAGCTCTGTGTATATTAATAGTCACCTTAAAATTAGTAAAAACACAAAACTAAAAAAAAAATCCTTGTATATCAAAAAGTCACTTTAAAACACAATTATAAAATCGCTGTCATTAGAAGAGAGGGCGAATCATCTTCTCCCTTTGTCATAATAAAAAGACAAGTTAAAACAGGAGGTCCAGCTGGCCGATGTTTGGCATCATCAGTGCCAATCATCATCAGTGCGGATAGAAAAAAACCTGTGGGGGAAAAAGAATCCGCTTGCTTTATGCGAGAAGAGAGGGCAGGACATTATAAAACAAATTCTAAATTGGATCTTAAAATAAATTACAAAACAAATTATTCAATAGTCAATTGTTTTATTTAATTAGGGGATTAAGGAATCGGTTAGGCGTTAATGACTTCACACGTCGGCTGATATAGGTAATTCAGGAATAAAAATTTTGAATATGCATTTGGTCACTGTCGTCTGAGGGGATTAAGAGTTTTTTCGATAATTGGCAAAGTCGTTTTTACGGGAGGTCTCTTTTTGCTACTTTGAGTGAAGATAGCTGAATTAATTTTAATCAGATTGGTGTGAACTTGCTGTAAAGTGGAAATAGTAACCATTGGCTATATACGTGCCAAAAAGTTTTTTTGTCCATCTTATGTGTCCTTTAAAATACAGACACTATCCCACACATGCATTTCAATGATATACATTTGGCACATTGCCCATACCATTATTTAAAATAATGGTACACCAACATCAAAGAATGACATCACATCTGTATTTTAATTCATATTAAATACCAGCATCAACACAGACGCAGAAGAGTGGACAACGTTAAGCTGTAACAAATCTGTGTCTTCAAAATCCTGATGCTACACCATGACCCTTTGCATATGATCAGAACCTATAATCCTAAACTCACAAGATGGCAAATACTACCATTCTTAACACCAAACATCTTGCAAGTAAATAAATATGGCTGGATTCAGATGAGGCCTATTAATGATTTTTGATTGTGTAGCCCAGTAATGTTTCTAGAATACAACTAAAGCATAAATTTCTGATCATATTAACCCTTTACTTGTTCTAGAAATGTTGGATATTGGAAATGGATATGTTTTGAAGCTGACACAAGCCCCACCAAGGGGACCAAGGGAAATTGGATTCTATGAAAAAGTCTTTGATGAAAAAACAAAAGAAAAAGACCTTTTAGCATTACGACCACACTTACCTCAATTTTATGGCAGCCATGTTTATAATAGTTGTGAGTAAAATTACATTTTGAATGTCAAGATTTAAACATTATAATTTGAAAAGAGGTAAACTTACGTATTGTTTGTTTTGCTCATTAATTTTTCAGAATGTATTTTTCATTACTTACTGTCCATTTATCATACATATTGAGGCCTAAGTAAATTCTTAATTTTTTTCTGTCAACTTCTTTTTCCGCCGTTTAATTGTATGTTGACACCCCTCAGTGTTCCCAAATTCCGCCTAACCATTTGATCAAGAAATAACAACCGCTCCCTTAGTCAAGCTAGCACATAACTAGCTGGCAAACAAAAGTTAGGTTGCCAGTTAGTAGTACATTTTTGCCCAGTTCTTGGCCCTTGGGTATTTTTTGACTAATCCATTATTTTTTCTAGTAAGATTGGGTGTCTATATTTTCCATATTAGGGACCGTACAATATAAATACATTTATATTTTCATAAAATTTTGTCATTTCTCATATTTAATTATCATAAATTGGAAAAATATCATAAAAAGAATACAAAATTTCACTATTTCTCTGGTTTTGAATGAGAAAATCATCCAGGTATTTTATTACCCCCAGCTTTTACACTCTTTCATTTTCTATTTGACGATGTTCAGTTAATGTTATGATGGTATATGTATATGAAATTAAATTAAATAAAATTTGGGTTTAAGATCCTACAGTTCTGCTCTGATTGGGCTAATGAAGATGGGCATACGCCATAAAATTCCACGAGAAACTTTCATAAAATATAAATTTATGACAAAAATCTGTAAGGTCCCTGATATATACCAAATTTGCCATATCTTTACTGGAAATAACCACCTGATGATTATTTTCGTGACAATGTATCTTTAAATATTCACAATCCAGTTGCTTTACATGATGCCGATTTCCTTGTGGATGTTAAAATACATTACTCACTAAATTGGAACATTAATTACCGAGAAAAATGCTTCTTGGCTTTTAACGGATCAAAATAAGTTCAGTAAACTATGGTGTAAATGACTAACTTAGCTGTTTTGACTATGTGTGAGGAAGCCATCATACAGTTTGCTATTATTATATTTCAGTTACTTATTTAAAATTAGAGAATATTACCTCCAGTTTTCGAAAACCATCAGTGATGGATGTAAAGATTGGTGCCATTTCCTGGGATCCGGAAGCCACAGAAGCTAAAATTAATCAAGAGAAAAGTAAATTTCCTCCAGCACAAAAAGTTGGCTTTAGATTTGCTGGAATGAGAGTATGTCTGATATTTGTCATTTTATCCTCTCCCCCCCCCCCCCTCCTTGGGTTTACTGATAATATTATGACAGATTATGCATTTTAAAGATAGATGTGTAATTCTTGCACCTGTTCACTACCGGTACCACCTCCAGTCCAGGATGATTTGCAATTCTCAGATTCTTCATATTTTAATGTGAATGATTTACTACACACTACAGTTCTTGTTGAAATATTTTCAATATTCGTTAGATTGCATATTTGGCTATAAGAAAGAACCCTATCAAATTTGAAAATTTTTCTATCACAAATTTTAGAATTATCTCCCAATTCATATTCAGATTTATGAAATCTTGTGAACATGATAGAGGAGAAAGTTCTTGGTACAATTATCAAAACTCAGTGGATTGTTCATTAGGGTATAAGCTCAAAAAGGTTTTGGAACCACTGGGATAGACAGTGGCGAGGGGGTGACAGCCCCAGGCATCCATTTCATAAGGACATCCATTCAAAGTGTGTAATTGAATTATATTTCATAAAATTATCGCTAATAGCTTTGTTGTACAAACTGCACTACTTGATTTGAATAATAAGAAACATTTAAAAGTTTGTTGGAGGGGCAAAGCTGGGGCAAAGTCCAAGGTTAAGGGGGACAAATGCGCAAGTTTCAATTAGGGGTATTGTGGGCCTCCCCTAGAAATATTTAAAAAACAGACTGCTGGAAATGCAGTCTGGCAGTATTTCAAACACTGATCGTGGAGATAAATAAAGCTCACCAGATACCATGAGTCACCAAATCACTAGTTTATCTCACCAGAGAGGAACGTGTCAAATGAACGGAGTGAGTGAATCGAATGAATATTTTTGCCATAATATTTTAAGAAATAGAGTGCCGGTAATGCAGCCTGGCAGTATTTCAGACACTGGTCGTCGAGATAAATAGAGCTGACCAGAAACTGTCGGTCGCCAAATCACTAGCTTATTCGAACTGAGAAGAAGGTGTCAAAGAACGGAGTGAGTGAATCATAGAGAATGAATATTCTTGCCATGTTGAACCTATACCCCAAAACTTTGAGAATCGTAAAAAAGCACTTCTCAAATGGTTCATGTGTTATTGTTTCTAGTAGGTTTACAGCAGGATGGGTTCGGTAAGAAATCACTCTGACTCTACAACATGCAAGTTTATGACTGAGTGGGAATGTGGGATTGATCACTGTAGAAGGTATTGATTACCGAAACATATCACAAATATTTTTTTATACGCCCACATTTTCATGTGGACGTATATTGTCATCGCTCTGTCTGTCCGGACATCCGTCCGTCTAGAATTGTTTGTGGACACTCTACAGGTCACAATTCTTATCCGATTTTGACGAAACTTGAAATACAGGTTTATCTCCAAAAGATTTCGGTTGCTTTCTATATTGGCATTTATCGGACCGAAACTTCATGGATTATGGCCCCTGATTGTACGAAAAAGCACGTTTTTAGCATGTGGACCCTATAGAGGTCACAATTTTTATCTGATTTTGTTGAAACTTAAAATGTAAGTTTATAACCCAAAGATCTCGGTTCATTTCGATATTCGCGCATATCGGATTGTGGTTGAGTTTGAATTTCGTAAAAATCAGACCAAAACTGACAGACAAAATGGACGCCTCTCGTACTCTAGAGGTCATAATTTTGATCTGATTTTGATGAAACTAGAAATTCATGTTTATTACCCATAGTTCTTGGTTCCTTTCGATATTCGGGCATATCGGATAGTAACTTCTTGAATTATGGCCCCCGAGTGTATAAAAAAATCATGTTTTTAGCTTGTCCCTCTAGAGGTCACAATTATTATCCGATTTAAAAAAACCTTCGAATATATCATTGTTACACCGTAATGTTTATTGAGTTTGAATTTTGTGAAAGTCGAGCCAAAACTGCCGGACAAAATCGCCGCCCCTCGTATGCAAATAGTGTATAGCATCTGGTATATCAAGCTTGTGGACGTGGGTGGGTCCGGGTGGGTCCGCCCCCCCCCCCCCCCAATTGTTTTTCTGGTCCTCTGTCTGCCTGGGTTAGGGTTAGGGTTAGTTTTCGGTTTATAGTATAGCCCTTCTCCGGATTACCTATTTAGGGTGTTTTCCGGTATTTAGTGTTTTTCTGGTGTTTTCCGGTATTCAGTATAAATGGTGTTTTCCGGTAGTTTTCCAGTGTTTTTTGGTGTTTTCCGGTATATAGTATCCAAACGTAACTTCCTGGATAATGGCTCCTGATTGTTTTATCTTGCAGATTCTCTAGAGGTCACAATTTTTTTTCCGATTTTAAAAATCGTTTAGATATTTCACCATTCCACCATAATGAAGGTTGAATTCGAATTTCGGGAAAATCGAATTGAAACTGCCCGACAAAATGGCCGCTCTTTGTACGCAAATTGTGTAAGAGTATGCAATACGAAGGTTGTGGACCCTCTAGAGGTCACAATTTTTATCCAATTCTGATGAAACTTAAAACATATCTTTATATCCCAAAGATCTCAGTCCCTTTTGATATTTGCACATTTCATACCATAACTTTCTGGATTATTGCCCCTGATTGTACAAAAAATTGTTTTTGTTTTTAGCTTGTTCTCTATCCATCTCTTGCAAAATGTGGGCGTATCCTGCCTGGCAGCCGCTGGGTTGTTTTTTTTCAATTATTGGGGGGGGGTGTAAACAGAGGACAGACCAGATTTATGGGAGGGCAAATGCCCCTTCTTGGCGCTGCCACTGTCTGCCTTTCTCGCATTTCTGAGTACCAGGCCCTATACCTAAATCTTAGGGGCATACAATGAATGGGTTTTCCCTGCAATCACCAAAACTCTGCAGTGGGTGATAACTGATAACAACACTAGGTTATAGAGTTGAATTGTGTTTAAGCTCCATGGTTTATTTTATAGGTCTATAACCAGGAAAGTGATTCATTTGAAGTATTAAATAACTACTATTGTTATAGTTTAACAGAAGAAACTATTTTAAGTCATGGTAAGTACCATATAAATATTTTATAAATTAGAGAGAGAGAAATATAGTTAAGCTATGGAATGTTTAAAACTATGGAGGAAGAACCCCACTGAAATTCAAAGTGATTTTATTGTATATTTCATGGAATACTTGCGCAGGGATACACTCTCTTGAACCATTTAATAACTGGAGCGGTATTCAATGGTCATTGAGTTCTATTTTTATTCTACAACTACATGTAAATCTCAAAATACACTGTACTAAAAAAAACCATCACCAATAATGTTAAAATTCATCATAGGTTCCGCCTTTTTTTCTTTCTTTTTTTTACAAAAATTGTGGTTGCCTAGTGGTGACGTCATTACAGTTTGACATAATTCTGAAAGTGACGTCATTCTTGACAAAGGTAGTATGTGTCCAAGACATTGAATACAACCATAGGTTATTCAATGGCTGTATTCAATGATATTTGCTTGTATTTGTATGTAGTTATAGAATAAATATAGTTAAGCAATGGAATGTTTAAAACTATGGAGGAAGAACCCCACTGAAATTCCAAGTGATTTTATTGTATATTACAATGTTATTCACTGGTAATATTTTCAAATTTATGAAATACTGTAAATGTGATACAGGAAAACTGGTTCTTAATGGAATTTTAAAAACTTTGTGGGATTGTTCATCGGGGCATAAGGAAGAACCCTACTGAATGTCAAAATCTTAAGATGGTAAATTTCAAAGTGATTTGCAGAATTATTTTTTGCGGCACATTTGTAGGGCTTAGTGCAGAGTACATAATAGATTATTTAAAACTTGCTCTGTAGGATTTGTTTATAATGATTTTAGAATAAGCACAGTTGACTTTGCAACTAATGGCCTGACAATCAACGGTCTATATGAGGAGTTCACATAGGTAAAAAGAATTTGTCATAATTTATGTATATATTCATTATTGAATATGTTTTTGTTAATGGGCCATATAGACATAACAATCTCCTCATTACTCCTAAAGTGTCAAATTCATAAGTTTGGCAATGTGACATATTACAATATCGCCATATAAATGTCAGTGAACAGGAGTGTTTTTGTTAGTATATGACTAACTGGGCAATTTATTCGCCAAAATTGACATTCATATAATCAGAAAAATTTGAGTAACATGCAAAAGAAATTGAATTACCTCAAAATGTATAGATTAAAGGCTTTTAAGGCGACAGATCCTTAATATTGATGAATATCATCAATTTATTATAATTTGTGCTCATTTCAGGGTTTGAAAGATTTTTCAGACAAGGCAAAGATATTCAGAAAAATGCCATACAAGTAATACTGTCAAAGTTAAAAGACATAGAACAGTGGTTTGTGTCACAGCGAACATTTTCTTTCTTTTCAACCTCATTGTTATTAGTCTATGAATCTTCAGTTAATTCCATTGAAACTCCACAACTTATGTCATATGAAAGTGAGAACAAAATAAACAAAAGACCACAAGATCACCCTGTTATTGCTGATGTTCGTATGATTGATTTTGCCCACGTCTTTTCTTCAAACAGCCAAGATGAAAATTACCTCCATGGACTAAGAAGTGTTATATTCTATCTCAATTCGTTATTACATTCTGTTTGATGTTAAACTTCCTTTTTATACGCCCACTCGTGCACAGTAGGTTGTGGGTGGTCTCAAGGCTAAAGTTAATATCCAATTGACTTTAAGTTTATATACAGCATATTAGGTAATGAGACAAAAAAGTCCTGTTGATTTTCAATGATTTCTGATAATTACTGCCAGGGTGATGGTCTTTGATACTTTGAAAAATATTATGGATGTCCAAGAAACTAAACCTATCATCCAATTAACTTTAAAATATACACAACATTTAAGGTCATCAGATGAAGAATCTTATTGATTTTGAATGATTACCCTAAAATTGATACTTTGAAAAATATTGTGGACGTTCTGTAGCCTACAGTTATCATGTGATTGACTTTAAATTTATACACAGTGTATAAGGTGAAGAATCCTATTGATTTTATTATTATTACTGTCAGAGTTATGACCCATGATCACTTTGAAGTGAACACTCTATAGAGGCTTATCGTCCGATTTATACACAGTGATTATGTTCATGATATCATGAACAGCTAAATTCATCATGTTTTGTATAATAAAGGTTAACTACAGAAAGAACTAGAAGCTAAACCAATTCTAATGATGTCTGATAATTATTAATTAGTTGTTACTCTTAATCAGTGTTTAGTGCCTTGTAATTAATCTAAATGATTTCATCAACTGACAAACGAAAATATTCCACAACATTTTTATACGCCCATATTTTCATGTGGAGGTATATTGTTATCGCCCCTGTCCATCCGTTCACATTTTGTTTGTGGACAATCTACAGGTCACAATCTTCATCTGATTTGGACAAAACTTTATAGGTTTATATCCCAAAGATCACGGTTCCTTGGCATGTATTGGTTACTTCCGGGATGATGGCTCCTGATTATATGAAAAATGGTGTTTTTAGACTATGGACCCTCTAGAGGTCACAATTTTTATCCGATTCTGATGGAATTTAAAGGACAATATTGGTGTCAGTCATTATCACATATCGGATAGAACTAGTTTAACACATTCCAACAGGGCTCACACTGTCGGTCGCCAAAGTCGCAATTTGCGATAAAAATATGAAAGTGGCGATTAAAGTTCCAATTTCATATTTTTATGTTATATTTTTAAAATGTATTAAAATAATGCCCGTAAAATAGATGGTATCTATAAACAGTCCTACCTTGTTAAAGAATAATCCTATTAATCCTATAATTCACTATTGCCAGTTGAGAAATTGGCAAAAATATCATTTTCAACTTCAAATTCAAACGTTTGAAGATAGCTATTCCATGGTGGGGAATAGGAAAACAAGGGAGGTAATTGTGTTATTATTTCCGGTGTGAAGATTTTTAAGTGTGCGAAAGATAACCTATGATCGTATAATAGTGAGTTGACAACCTATTGAGCAAAAGACATAGAAATAATTATGTTTTGACTTTCTTAGAAAATATGAAATTGTAACTTTAAAATTTGATTTTGGCGATAATTTTGGCGATAATGTTTTGCTGTACTGGCGATTCTTTTTGAGAACTGACGGAAAAAAATCTTAAAATTCTAATCGTATTTATCCTAGCTGGATTAACCATTAATTGATTGAGTGTCAATCACGTGGCTGAATACTATAAATTAATCAACTGGCTGATAATCCGGATTGCGCGTCAATGACTAATACTAATACTAGCTGGATTAACCATTAATTGATTGAGTGTCAATCACGTGGCTGAATACTATAAATTAATCAACTGGCTGATAATCCGGATTGCGCGTCAATGACTAATACTAATACTAATCCTAGCTGGATTAACCATTAATTGATTGAATGTCAATCACGTGGCTGAATACTATAAATTAATCAACTGGCTGATAATCCGGATTGCGCGTCAATGACTAATACTAATCAGTTGTCTTGGATTAATGATTAGTTGATTGATAATTGCCATGATGTATATAAAGTCTATCGCACGTCATTATTTACTCCTACTGATTAAACCAAGTGGTTATTATTTAATGTTTCGTTTCGTCTTAAAAAAAATGGTAATACATGTAATCGAAATGGCCGACAGATCCTTTCGAAGAGAATTAAATATTTTGATAGTTGAACTGTGGCTTCATATATTCATATACGGCATATACAAGCATGCCGATCGGATATCATTAGTTCAAATTATATCATAACCTGGTCGAAAACGTAAGAAAGAGTTGAATAGCGACGATTCTTATCTTATCTTATCTTATCTTATCTTATCTTATTACCGTCGCAAAAATGCTCTAAAGGTGAACGACGGGTATAATTGTAAACATCTCTTACAAATAAAACCTAAATTTAAATCGTTCTATCAGGGATTCAGATTCTGATACCTTTACGGTACCTGGAAATAACTATAGGCCTATTGTACACGCAACATATAAATTTACTGAAAATATATTGTGCAGTACGGTGTTCAAATAGACTAAATTCACCCCCTCCCCCCCCCCCCCAAAAAAGATCTTCTTAAATCCAAAGTTGTTGTATATTGTATTGTATATATCCGCAATTGTTTTAGAATGTTAATAAGCCTAGCTGAGACATAAATTCGTTGGATGTTGTCTTTTTTATCACACATTTTTGGCAGATAAAATTTCCAGTTGGCGGAAAAAAAATATGAACATTTTTTTATATAAAAATTATCATCCATTTTGGCGGAAAAAAATTGAAAGCCAGTGTGAGCCCTCAGACCAAATATAATTGTAACACAGAGATCATTGCTACGATAGATGGATAGTGCAGGTTTCAACAATCAGAAGTGACAAATGCAAAAGGAAAACACGAGTTATCCCTCTATATAACTGACTGAAGAGACGAGTGATAACAGATACATGGGCGAATTTCTGCTTACTAATAATTCCTTCGAAGACCAAAAGTTGTTGTGTGAGACTGTGTGAAATCACTAGGTAAGTCAGTTATACAGAGGGATAACTGGTGTTTTCCTTTTGCGTTGGTCAGTTCTGATTGTTGAACCCTTCATTACGCATCAATCGTAGCAATGATCTCTGTTTTAAAATTATATGAAATAAAGTTGTATTGTCATCACATTATCTGGCAGTGTATACTGTTTATAGATTTCCAACAATTTATGAATAATTGCTGTCAGAATTATGGCCCATGCTCAATTTGAGAAATCTTATAAATGCTCAAGAGGAAAAAGTTATTATCTGATCTGACTGACTTGAAATACACAGTGTTGATTTTAATGAGATGAAGAATCTTATTGATTTTCAATGATTTATATCTTGTACAGCTGAAGTTATCGGATTAACACAGCCTGCTAATCACCAACAAGACGCGTTTCTTTTGTAAATATCAACCAATAAGTATTGCAAACAATGACCAACAAGGAAAGATTTTATAGATATGCATATTCTACACATCATATCCAAAATTTGAATGATTTCATAAAAACTGATAGAATTATGGATTGAAATATTGACAAACACAGTCTTTCTAATCACTGACAAGAACCAACAAGTGCTTTGTCGGTTCTTGTCAGTGATTAGCAGGACCCTTGCCCAGTACATACTTTATATAATAATAAGTTTAAATAAATAAATAAATAATTAATAATTATTCTTTAACATTAACTGTATATCTAATGTAATTTAGTTAGTTGGCATGGTGGTTAGAACGGCCTGTTACTCATTTATTTATCTTTATTAATTTATATTGTTGAATTTAACTTTCGTGGTCTTCAAACATGTACCTTATTATGTTCTTGAAATATCACAAGTAAGTAACATAACCATATATGAAGCAAATTTATATAAGCTTTTAGCTTGTTTTTGTATCATATCTTTAAAACTGTAATGTATTATAGGATATTTTATGAATAAATATTGTTTAAACCAATAGTAAGTTAGAAAGAACTAGAGGCCAATCAAAATATTTTTTTTAGCAGTTGATCTACAAAAGTATAATATGGGATGTCAGTGGACTGACCCAATGATTTAGATAAGTGTATGTTCCATTGCCTGGCAGTTTATCCTTACTTATTATATTTAGGTCTAATTAATACTATTGAGTACTGCATTGTATATTATGTATGTCTAGAATTTAAATGGAAAAATGTTAAAGCAGTTAAAATGCCACACCAGTACCGACCCATTCTACCTCTTTGGATACATAAACTTTTATTAATTGTAAATCTCATTGTTTTTTTGTGTTTTTTTGTGGAAATACCCAGTACTAGATGGTAGAATTCCACTGTCCATATGTCCGGTGCAGAAAAGTAGATGGTTAAACCCATTTCATTTCCATATGTCCATGTCTGTCTATTGCACATACACGTGCACAGTGACTTCTCTCTGTACTTCGAATTGTTGAAGTTTCCAGTTACTACCGGTATTAATATAATTTAATTTGCAGGTTATTGCTGCATTTTTATTATCCTGGAAAATTTATTTTTTATATACAAGACATTATGAATTGATACACTTTTACTTTGCGTTTGCAGTTGCACCATTCAGTGAAAAAATATACGAACAAGATATTTTATGAAACCAAACTAAACACTAAAAAATTCTCAAAATTTTCCTTGAGGAGAAAAACCAAATATTCTCCCCCCCCCCCCCAACTGCTTGTGATCTAACTATTTTATAGTGGAATCCAGTCTCCACAAATAATTTCTACCAAGGTGATGAGCTGCACTAAGTATTGCGATTCGGGTGTTACCATACGATTCGTATCACGATTCATAACCAGCTCAATATTTATCAAGAAAACATTAAGATAAATGAATAATTGATACTTTTAGTCATGTTATGTCGAAGAAATATAACAATTTTATATCACGATATTGATGTGGGTCAAAATATGGACCAAAACAGTTTAAGAGAGTTTGTGTTGCTATTGATAATGTGTAACATGGATAATTAAGAGCGTCAGGAAGCGAATCATGAGAAGCATCTCGCGATTCAATACGCGAATGGTGAGAAGATAAATCGCGATGCATAGATTCAACGATCATTACTACTACCACTTAATGTAGTGGTTTACGTCCGCTTTATTTACAAATCACAAAAAATACAACTATCCATGATATACAAATCAGTTATGATACATGCAATCGGCAATATACAAAATATTTTATTTACAAATTACATAACTACATAGCAGCTATGGACCTAGTACATTATAAATATTCTAGTTCTATGATTATACATATTATTTTGAGTAAATCAATAGCGCTTGCCGACGTCAACTGCTGACGCCCCATAACTCAGGTTTGAGACTTAAATAAATAAAAATTTTATCCAGTCGAAAATTAAATTCCAAGCTTAAATCTAAACAGTTTACAGCAAAGTCGTAAATTTGTTATTATTGTTTTTACTACTTCACTTATGTTAATTAGTAATAAAACAAAAGTAGAATCTGGGTGTAACAGGTGGGTTTCTATAGTTTCTTCATTAATTTGTAATCATATACTTAATCTTCGTGGTAGATAGATATTACAGTCATAACAGTCCTAACACCTTAATTATAGTAATATCAATAATATAAAGAACGAACATTTTAAAAAAAATAAAAGCCAATTAGCGGTATTTGATTATGTTGTGCTCGTGTTTAAAGAAAAGTTTACACCATTATTACTACAGAAACCATTGCTTTTTTTCACTTTACATGTATGTATACCGTCGAAAATTCTGTTTAGTGTAATTTTTATGTCGTTGTCCAGGAACTGTACCGGCGGGGGGTTATTGGGTTTATTCTTCAACTGGGCTCAAAATTTTATTGATAAATATATTTTTTTTCTAACACGATTTATACTTAACAATATGATTATGATTTACCTTGCATAGTCCTATGTACAGGAACCCAATACAGAGACAAGTTGTCTTATTAAAGCATATACGAACGGCTAGCGTGATGATCGAACATGGAACCCAGTGTCTAACTCACTTTATGGTTAAAATTGATGTGTTAATTTGAATATCCCTTCGTTATCCAGTCCCATTGTAGTGCAATGTATACAATCCCAAATATCGGAGCAAGATTATTCAAGCCTACGATTTAGTTATCCAAATTCTATTTCCATTTCCCGCGCTTTCTTTATCAAATTATCACGTGATGACAGAATAAGAACGCAACGCTCGTCTTTGTGAAAATGATATAGATTCTGCATACGATATATTATTATGCCCTAAATTGTAAATTTGTTTCCGTTATTGATCAAAAATAATGGACAACTTCCTTGTTAAAATGGTTAGCATATAATAAACCCAACTGCACATTGTATATCCATTCACCTTTAACCTGAAAATTAAACTGAATACGGTTATTGTCATCAAAGGATGAACTAAAGATATTAGACATTACACGTGTGTTATGTAACCAAGTGTATTACAATGTATAGTAAAATAATGTTGTAGGCGGTACGAAGAAAGTGTTTGATTTATGTATATATACGGATGTTTATTCATTAATTAGCTGCCTTTTATACACATTGTTAGTCGTTGTGGGATATCATTGATGATGAGTAACATGATTCCGCTGTTGTGTATACCAGGAATGCTTTTTCATCAATCAAGAAGAGTGTTGGAGGCGGAGCTACTTTCTTGCCGAAATTTGATTGGCATCTACCGATGCCTCTTAGCACAAAAAGGCCTACTTGACGTTTCGAGGTCAGACCAACAACTTTTCCAGTGGTGCTAGGAACTTCTTTCGAATTATGGCTTCCCTTTCTACTATAGATACGAGTGCTTCTGTGATGCAACCAGCTCAACTTTTAAATTGGGTGTTTTTGACTTTAGCAGATCAACAGAATGCTGTACCGAACGGACAAAGTTTATATACAGATCCTTGGAGTAACCCCAGTAATCCACCCATTACATCAGTAACTACTGTTAATAATCTACTTAAAACTCATAGCCAAAGTATCTTTACCCACGATCCATGGTCCAGTCCCGTTCCTGGTGGAATAAATACGGTAAGATTTCATACAGTTGTTAAAGAAAGGGAATTATCAATTTGTAGTAAAACTTAAAAAGTAAACTTTGTTATCTGGGACATTCTTATACTGAAACCAGCATTCATACGTACGGTACATTGGCTATCCACGTCATCCGAATTGGACTTTTGAAGTTAAACGCAATCATTCACATAATTATATAATGGCTATAGACTATCCCAATTATTTCTTAATCACGAAATAATGAAACATGGTTTATAAATTAGGTAAGTAAAAATCAAATATTTTTTCTTTTTATTGTTTTTATATAATATTCTTAAGGAAAGGAATCTATGAACCAAAGCTTGATATTCTCGTGCCCTGTTATTTTATTACCAAAATACTGTTTTATTGCAAACTCGATGTTTTCAGAATGTGGGTGTTTTAAACTTAATATTCCTAATATTGTAAATAGAAACGCTCAACTTTTTTGCAGCCACCGGTCTAATTAAGACGGTGTGATATTAGGTCATTTTTTTTAAAGGCATAATAATAATAATATTTCTTTATTACACAACTGCATGGTATATACACGAGTATGGTAAAGCATACGTACAAAGTACAATACAATAAACGTCCACGTTAATGTTATCAACTATTGTAATCCTTAAAAATAGCAATCGAGGGCTAACTAACATTAAAAACAGTGACAAAATCAAAACTGTAAAAAAAGCTATCGTGTTTTTAAATGGTTAAATACGCACTCTATCACACACATGAAGAAGCCACTTTAAAACTTCCTTAATCAATTGTTTCCTCTTCCTGCCCTCTTCCACAATCCACTGCTTGATTTCTCATTTGAAAATAAGCCCTAAACAATAAGATATTCCAACATTTTTTATAGTTTTGATATTTTAAAAATATACACTTTATTTTAAAATTTGAAGTTAAATAGAAACCATTAACAACTCTAATAAATACGCTTACGTGTAATTAACTGGCCTAATTTTACACCAAGTTTGTTTTGTTAGTACATGCTGCAATTTGACACTCTTCCTGTATCGTGTACCGTTACATAAAAATACTTGTAAAGATATTATTTAGAAACCAAAAGTATACATAACAACCAAGTTATGATTTATCAGAGAAAATATAGGTCACGATATTATCATGCCGTCTGTGGGGTATTGAATTACCGTATTTTTGCTTCCAAATAGAACCGAAAGCAATGCGCACCAACCAGTTCAGTTTTAACGTTGTACCCAGTACTGTACGTCTTTGTTGAGATTCTTGGTTTTCTGGTATTATCGTCTTCACGCCAGACTTAAGACATCTGCTGCAAACATTAGGGTTAAACTAGTTTGGTTAACATACACAAGAAACATTCTAGAATAGCACATGTGATCTTTGATTTCCAAAGTAATTGACCTATTAAAATTGACCATTCTTTTAATAGTACCAAATAGTATTCCTGTTGGTTTAGTTCCTGTATTTTCACTGACTTATGCCAAATCATAGACTGAGGAATTTGCCAGAGTGACGGCGTTATACTAGCGATATACATGTATGTTTATACGGTCGGCATATCGTCCCTAGTTCCCCCGGCTTATTAGATAAATTAAATATTTGTTAATCTTATGCAAATAATATTACGGTTTTAGACTTTTACACGAAGCTAGGCTATTGCGATCGAGCTGGGTGCTTGAAAGAATTGATATTATGTGCCTACGCACATGTTATCATCATGTTGTTACTTAATTCAGAATTGAGTAAAAGTACTATAGACTATGTAAGTAGCAAGAATTGCAAGATTAAAGTATATCTCTTAAACGAGATTTACAATCATCCATCTATAAAAGTCTGTATTCAAAAACTACAGATACGCACAGCATTGAAATACACAGGCCCAATTCTATGGAATGCAATATACTGTACTGTTACTGAGCAACGCCTGGACCAGAATTCTCTAGTGTTTATCATTTTGCTTGTTAGATTAGATTATCCTTGTGGAAACGTTGCTCAGGAATAAACAGTAAAGATCCCATAGAATTGTGTTCAGTTCAATCACTAAATGCCATTGTCTAGAATAATTTTCTTTTTTATGTCGATTTCCATTTCGATTTATGTGTCTAGAAATAATATGATAAATTTTAGTTTGGTTATTATACATATGGTTAGTTTCGCTGCACATACATTCAGATCCAGGTCAGATTGGCCTGGTAAGTAGTACTAGAATAGTAACTGGTTTGTCAATGTTGTAACATGATCTAATTAGGTTAACAGAGATTCCTTTTGGCCCAAAATACATTTATATATTATGCATCCATGACTTCGGATGTTTAAAGCGATTTAGTCTTATTTTGAAAGGGCCAGACAGGGTGAGTCCACCATGAACACCTAATAAAGTAATTGAAATGAAAAGATTTTCTTAATTGTGTATTTTTGTTCTATTTCGTTCAGGCAACATCCCCGTATGGAAGCATTCAGGATTTAGCAGATCATTTTAGTGATTTATCATTATCTATAGATCGTAAACCAGTCCGACGACCACCTAGTACATACTTGTGTCATTTGTGTTTTAATAAGGGTCATTACATCAAAGACTGCCCGCAGGTATGTGATGAAGTGAGTGTCGACAGTATATTTTTTACCTTATTCTTTTGCATGCCCTTCTTTTTCTCTATCTCAGCTTTCTGGCCTTCTGGCCTTTGCATAAACAAATATCTGGTTTTAAAGGCAATGGAAAATTAATTAAAAATATTTTAAATTTCAAATTGAATAGTAAGTGTCCCAGAAGTATAACATTTACAAAGTTATCATGTAAATCGAAGATTAAATGTTAATAAACAAGTTATGCAAAAACTGTATTTGTTTCTTGAAATTTTTAAAACATCTTTTCTTCTTCCAAGGCACGCCCAAAAGGAGAAGGTCTCACTCCATACCAGGGTAAAAAGAGATGTTTCGGAGAATACAAATGTCCCAAGTGTAAACGAAAGTGGATGTCGGGAAATAGCTGGGCCAACATGGGTCAAGAGTGTATTAAATGCCATATCAATGTATATCCTAATAAACAGGTAAGCTAACAATATTTGAATATTATTTTTACTTGTGGCTTGAAAAAACTTAATATCAAAACACTTATTTAGATCATTTTACCACAGGTTGACCTGTCGAATTTAATCATTTACCCCATGTTGACCTTAGAATCAATGGATGGAAGGAATCTTCTAGACATGACTTTTCTTATTGCCATCATGACACAGTTGTATTTAGTCTGAGAGAGAAAAACACAAACTGGGTCATTTTGGAACTTAACATGGAACAATTTTTATTTCAATAATTCGTTTGTGAGTAGGAGACTTTAGCAGTGGTAGGTAACCAGAGGACCCAGAGAACCTACATGGTTAGGCAGGTGACCCTATTCTTTCTCACTGACTGCACACCACTTGACATAATGACTGAGCTTGTGATTACATGTATTCATTTTGAAAACTAGCAGTAACAACCTTCATTTATCATACTAAAACACTTCTTTCAGCGACCACTGGAAAAGCCTGATGGTCTGGATGTGTCAGACCAGAGTAAAGTTCATCCTCAGCACCTATGTGAGAAATGTAAGATGTTGGGGTTCTATTGTAGAAGAAATTAGATAAAACAGCTGGTGCATATTGTTTGTCCCTAGTGTTGAACAGAAATAGCATGCTCAGAAGTAAACAAGCCTTTGGTGCCTTTTACAGACAAGTTCTTTCTATATTTGGTGCCTTTTTAAGAAGAGTGTCTTTGTATATATTTTGTGGTCTTATTTATTGCAGTTTATAACCTATCTTCTGAACATGCTGTAAACTGAACACTCAGTTCCTTTTTAAACTTAATGAAGTTTGCCATAAACCTTTTTTTTTGTGCTTACATTAATAACTTATACAAGTGTGTGCCAAAATGATCTATATTACCATTTTTAAAATGCATTTATTTCTTTTAAAAAAGGCAGATGTTTTTAATTCTTTGAACTATTATTAAATAACTCAATAAAAGATGATGGGAATATAATATTATAATAAGTTATAGATAGATTTAGCCATAGGAAGAATTATGTAAAATGAATAATTATATCCAGTAAATGAGAGGATAAGAATTGTAGATTCATGAGAGTTCTGTAATGTATGACTGGAAATTTAATCTAAAAATTGTGGTGTTAAAAAATATGTAAGGTATTAATTTATGTTGATAAGTCTGTTATTGGTATATCCCCTACATGTATGAATTGAATGATCTTGAGAAATTAAATAGCAGTAATATTTACTGTTCTTCTTTCTCGGTTAGAATATTTTGTAACAATATTTTATTCAGGACATTTATTTTTTAGACCCTGATCATTGTACTAAATTATAGATTCCAGTTTAACTATAAAGAAATATTAAGTAGGGGATATACCAAATGTGTATGGTTGATTTAATGTTAGTAAGACTACATCATGGTGATTTCTATGGACCAGAAAGAACAACATCCCATTTAATAATATTTCTTTCCTCTTGTTGTGACTTAGGACATATTTGGAATGAAGATTAAATTGGATTGGCTATTTTTTTTACAATCCAAGGTGCAATTTGTATCGACCAAGAGCTGGTATAACATTTTATAATGTTCTCTTAAAATACAGCATGTGCTGGATAACATGTGTATGTCCCAAGTTATAACTAGATAATTGAAGTGTAAAACATGTTATATGATCTATGTGTGGGATGGTATGTTCCACACATGTGAGAGATGCACATTCTCTCACCTAGAAATTATTGTTCATAACATTCTTTTTAAAACTTTGACCAAGAATAATGGTTATGATTTGTAAATTTCTGGAAACAAGTAATACTAAGAGACAGAACATGGAGCTTTTATATCTATATTGATGATGGTGTTTTATTTTGTATATATTTGGTGTGGATTGCTCTATTGCTAAAGCAGATATAACAGTAAGAAGATATTTGTATAAATTTGTTTTTTTGATATTTCACTGAAAAGAAAAGATTCCAGTTGTCTTCTCATTTCCATCCACTGTTTAGAAAAGCTCATACATTTTTTATGTTTTATTTAAGATAGATTTTTATTGTCGAGGATTATGTTAATTTAGTACATTTTAGAGAAATGTAATTGATTTGTTGTATTAACTTATGGATAACATAATCGAAAAAATAATATGTGCCAAAAAGGGGGCTAGATGTCCAGTAATTTATTTTTAAAGATTAATTTGGTATATTTTGACATTAGTTAAGATAGTTAATTAATATATAATAGAGAGAGGTATATGTTTATTTAACCTGTACATGCAACTGTTTTATCATGTCTGTGGACAAGTAAAAACCACAAAAATGGCTATGAGGTCAAATGTCAACAAACATGTATATTAAATTAAAAGATTTTTTTTAGCTCAAGAGGTTTTGTAGATTTTCAGTCCTATTTAAATTAAATTATATTCTGAATTGTTACAACTAGACACTATATGTATATAATTTTGGTAAGCTTTCAGTATTAAAACTTTTAATGGATTTGCATTATGATGTACCTTTTCATCCTATTATATGTTTTTCATCCTTATTTTTATTTGTGTGATATGCTCAATTATTTGTGATTTGTGTGTGTGCATGATACTCGCCAATAAATATTTATACAGTCAATTACTTTTCTTTTCAATAACTGATTTGAATGGTATCCAGGAGCCTAAACAAACTTCAACAATCTGACTTATTCTCTCCATTCTTCTGCATTATACAGATATATTCCTGAGTGAGCCTGTATATAACTTTGTTCTCTAATACTGAAGTTCCACTGGGGTGATCTCCTTGCAGTCCATAATCTATCCTTTTATTCCTGACAAAGATTCTCGTAATCATTGCTATTTGCACTCAAGCCACTTGATTCAATATGTTACCACCCTCTATATTTAATTTATGTGAGCACTTAACATCCTAAATATTGAGATAATAAAGGTATAATAGGAGTGGTTTTCATATTGAAGAAATACAGCAGAATATTGACTGAAATGGGGTAAAAGTCTGAAAACAATGTTAAATTGATTTTGCCAATGTTAAGATAATAGGAGTGGTTTTCGTATTGAACTTGAAGAAATACAGCACAATATTGACTGAAATGGGGTACTTCGGTAAAAGTCTGAAAACAGTGTTAAATTGATTTTGCCAAGTTTACTATAGACATTTATTTTTACTGCACATCTTCAAACACTATGTCACCCAACCTACTTATATCATGTTTACAAGATATATTATGCATAAACTAAAGTTTCATTATTGGTATGTACAGTAAATGTACACTAAAAATTGTCAAATCTAGGTGACAAACACAAAGCTGGAAAGTTTAACTTTATTTTGACAATACAATCACATAATTGTTCGACATAAAAAAAGTTCATAATACAGTACATACTATCATGTATAATATAGAATATAAAATAGTCTGTCATAATAAAATTGATCTTTTACCCACAAATTATTTGGCACAAGGTTTTATTTAATATATATTATTAAAAGTGTTTGATAATACTGCAAATTCACTGAAAGATAAAAAATATTGTCTGTATGAAAATACTGAATTGTAATAAGATTAAAGTACATAGATTATTTTTGAAAAGCTTTGAAAAAATATAAAAATTGGACTGTATCTTTATTACTTAAACTGAAATTCAATTTGCCAATTGTCTGCACAGGAGTCTGGTAATATAATACTAATACTAAAGTCTCTGATAGAATATTCTTAACTTTGTGAATCCTTTAAGTTTTGATAGACAAACATTTAAATCTTGTAAATTTTATTACTGGTAGCCCAAAGTAAATGTTTCTTAATCAAAGCAACATTCGGTAAATGTGGACATTTAAAACGACAAAGCCTTTGCTTTTTTATCATTTTGAATCTTTCTGGGACACAAATCCATCAAAATAGCCATGAAAAGGGTGCAAAGGACAGTCGGATATTTCAGACTAAGTCAAACATTCTCTTCTAGAGGGAATGCATGTTTTGTTGGTAGAGATTTTTTTCAAAAACATATTCTTATATTTTATTTTATTTAACTCCATTTGCTAGATATCACATTATGTTTAACCACCTCCTCCCCTGTAATACAGATGCAGCTAATTACATTATCTACTCTACTTATTACAGTTCATAATAAGTCAAGTTACCAATATTTTGGTATACATTGTATAACATTACATAATGTGAAATATCAAGTAAATGTATTTCACGTTAATATGAAAGCATATGAATGGAATCATAAATATATACCAATTTCAGAATTTAATTTGATTTTGGTTTGGATCATTTATAAAACTGAGAGCTTTAGGGTCAGGTAGATAAGTTTGGGTCAATCAAGTTTATCCATCATAAAATGTCTATATGGTACATAGATTATTTCATATGGTTATTTTCAAGATGATGGAATTTATTTACTCGTATTTCAGATAGACCTATTAAAAATGGCCAAATAGCATACAAAGCCAATTGTGGATAACATCTGGAAGGAATATTATAAAGTGAAATGAACTGTTACGTGGCAGCTGTCTTACAAGCCTAAACTATGATGTAATGTATGTATCATTTTACACTTCCAAATTGGCAAAAACTATGTCTACATTTCAACAAAATGTCTAGCTGTGATGATAAAAACAGAAGGCTACTTCTTTATTCAAATACATATTTTATACTTCTCACAGTTATATATTAGTCTGTACATTAGAACATTTTAACCTTTTCACTACTTTGACAATCTATTCAAGCTCTATAACTACAAAAATGTATTTCTTGAACGAACTGGTTAGTTTTGAATACTAAATTATCATTAGTTTTTATTCATTTGAATCAAGTTGTATAATATAATGTTTGCAAGATAAAGTTTATAAGTTGAATGTCTGCCAGAAGGCATGAGATTTTTGTTGTATATTCATATCATACATGTGTAGGAACGTGCAAACATATGGAGTTAATATCCAGAAGGAATTCAGTCTGAGAGTTTAACTCAAGGCCATCTAATCTATCTGACTGGTGCAATAACACTGCCAAAATAAATACTACTTTATGCATCATTGACAATGGTATGGTAAAGATATGACTAGCCAGATAACTTATAATAATAACACTGACTGTCTTTATAGTATCATTTTGTGAAACTTAATACAGTTTCAGAGAAAATTTCATTCCAAATGCCTAGTCAAAATCACAATTTTTTGGATATTGTGCATGCTGTCAATCCTATACTATGACTAAATAATATCATAATATATTAAATTTGGTGTGATTTTTAATAATATTTTAAAATTTTTACTTGTTATATTTATATCCTTGTTTAATTAATATCTTTGCTGGGGGGAGGGGTATGGTAAACGAATCATGGGACATATAAGTCACAGGACAAAATGTCACATTAAATAGGTGTAATGACCACAGACAGAATAGCACAGTAATGTCACTGAACAAAATGTCACAATATTAAAAATGGACATAATGTAAGAATTATTTTTTAACCCCATTTTGCACTATACATTTGTTTTTCAGACAATATCAAATCTTTCAAATTAATCATTTAACATTCAATTATGGAAATAAAATTGAAATGTCAATGGCAGATAATCTCCCAGCTTGGAATCAATCAGATTAAAAAAGAGGTCCATCAAAAGATTTTATCGAAGATTATAGGTGATGCTCGCTTGTTTTCACCATTTCACATTTACATCATCTGCAGAGGATGCAAACAAATATTTAATTCATCATATCTTTGTAAAACATATACTGAAAGAAACTGAATTATTTTTATATTCACCTCTTTATTTTTAGAGATACAACTTTCACAATATTGTAGTTTGCTTGGGATTCTAATTCCCTCAAATGATGATCAGTGACTTTATGTAATTCAATTATCATAAAGTTAGTGAGTAAAAAAAAGAAATAATTAAAGTGAAAAGCAATTTAAAACTAATATTATTGCAAAATTATGTCTAGTATTTATATTGTGACATTTGTTCTGTGACAATTTATCCTGTGGGTATTATGTACTGACATTTTGCCCTGTCCATTATGCCTGGATATCCCATGGTAAACACCGTGTCTGAAGAAGCATTTTTATGAGAAAAATACTTGTTTTCATATAAAATTGAAACAGTAGAGTGACTGCCTTTTTGTCTATTATATATTTTCTAACATACAATTCAAATTTATTTTCAAGGTACTCTTGTTCAGGCTATTCTGAATTCTCTAGAACATGAATTCTTAATTTCATTGTATTAAAGAGTCACTTATTTATAAAATATTAAACAGGAATAAGTTTGACATTTATTTAAATAAGAACTAATAAAACATGCAGATAGTTTGTAGGTTTGTGTTGAGGCCTACTGACAACCAGACAAATCTCTTACACTGAAGACTACACAGCTATCAGGCAGTAACAAGAGAACTTGTTATCTACAGAATGGTGATAATGAAGTATGACCCAGATGGAGCCAATCAGAGTTTAGGAAAATATGTTGGTAGATGAGTGTTGGTACCAAAGCAAGCCCACATTATCTGTTAAGTAATTGATGGTTTGTTCCATCATTATCTCCTGAACTCTGGAGGTCTTCACATGAGTAAATTCAAGATGAATGAAAAGAAGTGTAATGTGTGTAGAGTAAGAAATAAGATATCCATTGACCTAGGTTGTTATTAACTTCCTTGCTTCTGGTCTAAACTTGTTTATAGACTGTATGGAATTTCTTTGAATGATATTAAACAGAACAGATAGACACTCAATGTAAATTTACTACTAGGACTAAATTAAAGAGAGAGAGAAATTAGGTTATGTCCACTTGTCACAAACTAGGTCATTTCAGGACTAACACATGGTTCAATTTTATTTCAATAATTTGCTTGCGCGTAGGGGTCTTTAGCAGTGGGAGGAAACCGGAGGACCGGAAGAAAACCCATGAGGTTGGACAGGCGACCCTCCTCCTTGTCACGTACAACCGGGAAATCGAAACCATGCCAGTTGACTCAATGACAGACTGTATGATACAGCGTGCACGTGCTAAACATTTGGCCATCCAATGCCCCCACCCCCTCCCCCGGACTAAATTAAAAGAAATTCTTTCATAGCAAGTACCAGAGGAAGATTTGAATAACATATGTTTGTTTTATCTTATAACTTATAGTATCATGAGTTCATAAGTAATGCAATAAACAACTTGTAAATAAATTAATATTCATACCTAAACACATTTTACACACCGACATGCTGCCTTCCCTATGCAATGAACTTCTAGCTTAGAGTCAAGTGCTTCAAGTAGATCGACCAACAAGAAACTGAACAGCACATGTCCTAATAGTCTTATAATAATATCAGTAGAATGTATTTAATACTTACATTCCTTTGATCATTCCTGATCCTGGAACATTTTAATACATTGGAGTGAATTGGCTTTATTTAAAAGGAATGATTTTGATGGAATTGTAACATTTCGTTGATAGTTGACCATGTATTTATTGAGTCCCTTTAATTTTTCATATCTTTTTATTTTTTGCCTGAAAATAAACATATCTATTTGCGTTTCCCATGATATTTTATATTACATAGCCTGAGCAATGAGTTTCACTATCACTCTGATATACACTGCATTTTATGGTTTAACCCAAGTAATACATATATTGAAAATATTGTGCACATCTACTCCTCTGACATTTTATACAATGTTGTTTTGTATTCACCTATACACTCATATCCTGGTGAAATGCCAATTTGTGGGTCATTTAAGTGTATCCATTTCTACAACTAAAGATGTAACTACTCTGGAATATTTAGTAACATGAATTCAATATATTCATGAGGGTAAAAAGTAAAAAATGCAAACTAAATCTATTTTTTCATACCTGAATATAAACTCTGGGCGTTCCATTTGAAGACAGAGCTTTAAAGGCATTTCATAAAAATCTGCATCCGTGACAAAGTCTATTACTGATTCACCTTCACCTGTGAATGTTATACCTGCTTTTATGATAGATGAATCTAATTTCATTGTACCTTCTAGATATATACCACCACTTTAAAAAAACAATAAAGATTATTCATATATAATACTGATAATTAAAAAGATCCAGTACTGACAAATTTTACCAATGAATTTCATTCTGTGCTGCATAGACTCCGGTTACGCTCACATTGGGATTAGTCAACTTTGAAGAAAAATCGACTTCAGGTAAAAAGTAGGTTGCTGCTGAATGTTCATAAATGTTAAAGGGAACCCTACTTCTAATGAACCAATATTTGAACATCTTAATTAATCTTGTGAGATTAACTGACATTTTGTAGCACCACCAGACGGACTGACCCATTTCATCAGCTTACATAAATTCCAATACCAACATTAATCCAAATCTATTTGGGTAATATACATGTAAATGCAATGTTAATGAAATTATTATTACATGAAGTATGATGAACTGTTTCAAGTAATGAATATGTAATCCTCTGATTGAAAACCAATTAATCATTATGCTCCGACACTGGGATAATGAAGATGGCCATTTGACATACAGTGCGCTATAAGGGAAATCTTGCCCTGGCAGCAATAATATGGCCTACTATAACATCGATTCCAACTGCCAAGGATTCTTTCATGCACGTGCACAGGGCATTGTTTTTTTGTCCCATCCAAACGACTAGACATTGTCCCTTATCAGGCCCTCTGTCCTGCACTACTGGCAAGGGAGAACCACGTCGGAAAATCCTGATGAACTTTCTTGGCCAACACTGGGATCGAACATGGGACCTCCAGGTTAGAGAGCCAATGTCTTACTCACTGAGCCTGTGCGCTCCTTAATCATAATGTAAAATTCCTAAAGTACAACATTGGTATCATTAAAAACTAAAATCCCACCTATTTTTAATAACAGAATGTGAATTTCTGCTCCATAAACTTATGCTGACAAGTCCTGATAGATCTAAGGAGGCCACACCTTGAACTTGTATATCCACTATCATACCATTTGATAAGTGAACTCTTTCTGAGTGATCTTGTAGTAATAAATTAACCTATATTGAGAGAAAAAGATCATTTTTTCTAAAACAGTATGTATATGTAACAACTGATACTGTGATCATTTTGCTTAGACAGTGGTATTCCATCAATTGCTGAAACTACTGAGACTTCAAGAGTCAAGCCATTTAACCATTTTGTACAAGAAACTTTTTTTTCTTTCAAATGTTACAGGGGAAGAATTGTATAAATGCTGAACTATAATGGGAGTACCTGAAAAGCTGATGTTAGTTCTGATGGAGCATTCCATGCTGCAGACATTAGACCTGTTGTACCTCTGAAAAATTCTATCTGTTTTAATAATACATCTAACAATGTTAATGACATTCCTGCTGTAGGTTCAATTACGTTTTCCTCAACAGACTCCTCTTCTATCTCCTCATCCACTGGCTCTTCTACTTCAGCTTCTGAACCTACCAGAGATTCCAAACCCTCAGCATATATATCAAACTAAATTATAAAAATAACAATTATCCAATAATACATTCTATATGCTGCATATTCTTAGCATTATCAGAAGATTGAATCATTGCAGATCATTGAATCAAAAGAAGTCTTGCTATATACCAAACCAATTTAATTTTTAGTTATTCAGGACATTGATAAATAAATAGCCACTCCAATCTCGATGGACTACATTTAGTTTAAAATTTCAAAATTTAGAACTAAAAGCTTTTAAGAAGGGTAACATTTTGTTTTGTAATTTTCCCAAAGCAATAGGCAGTAAAATTTGTTCCCGAAGAACTAATATTCAAATTACTTCAACAGATTTGAATTATACAAAATGTTTGTATTATAAATAAGGTCAAGCTGATAAATTATGATAATGGATTATAAGCAGAATATCTGACATATTATAATATGGGTTCTCAGGGCTCACACTGTCAGTCGCCAAAGTCGCAATTTGCGATAAAAATATGAAAGTGGCGATTAAAATTTGATTTTGGCGATAATTTTGGCGATAATGTTTGGCGGTACTGGCGATTCTTTTTGAGAATTGGCGGAAAAAAATCTTAAAATTCTAATCGTATTTATCCTGGATTAACCATTATTGAGTGTCAATCACATGGCGGGATACTATAAATTAATCAACTAGCTGATAATCCGGATCGCGTCAATGAGTAATACTAATTGTTTGTCTTGGATTAATGGTTAGTTTATTGACAATTGCCAGTGATATCTATAAAGCCTATCTCAAGTCATTATTTACACCTAATGATTAATCCAAGCGGTGACTATTTGATGTTTCGTTTCGTCTTTAAAAAATGGCAATACATTGTACAGGTAATCAAAATGGCTGACAGTTTCTTTCGAAGAGAATGAAATATTTTGATAGTTGAATTCCGTTTACTGTGGCTTCATACGGCATGTAAAATATACAAGCATGTCTATCGGATATCATTATTTCAAATTATATTATCGCCACTGGTCGAAAAAGTAAGAACGAGTTGAATAGTGACGATTCTTGAACGAGAAAACAGTTCGTCATTTGTAACATATTACCTTCGCCAAAATGCTTTAAAAGTAAACGATGGGTATAATTGTAAGCATCTCTTAAAAATATAATTGACATTTATATCATTCTATCAGGGATTCAGATTCTAATACCTTTACGAAACCAAAAATAACAATAGGCCTATTGTAAACCAACACATAATTCTTTGGAAAATTGGCAATCCTTGGATGAGATTTGACCTGTAAATACTGAAAATATATTGTGCAGTACGAATGTTCAAATAGACTAAAGTCACCAAAAATAAAATCTGATCTTAGTAAATCCAAACTTTGCTAACCTATTATGTAAAGACGGATTTTTAAAGTTGTTGTATATTGTATTGTATATATCGGTAATTGTTTTATAATCAACCTAGCTGAGGCATAAAATTGTTAGATGTTGTCTTTTTTATCACACATTTTGGGCAGATAAAATATTCCGGTTGGCGGAAAAAATGAACATTTTGTTTGTACAAAAATTATCACCCATTTTGGCGGAAAAAAATTGAAACCCAGCGTGAGCCCTGTGGGTTCTCCTCTATGAATCTGAAGTTATTTAATAAAAACTCTGGATAATCCTTCATTCAACACTAAATTTGTTAAATTTGTTATAAATTAAAATGTAGCCGACCTCAAGTTAATTACATGCATTTATCATAATGATTTAACATCAGTAGCCATAATGATAACTAGTGTGTATTGTGAGAATAAGTATCATAATTGCTTACATGCATAAATGGTTGTTTCCAATTTTCACCCATCAAGTTTACAACCATGCCACTTCTTTTCATTATACCACCATTTGTTGTTTCAAATGACAATGTATATGTACCATTAGTTTCCTGAGTATCTAGAAACAAGAACATTGTTGTGCCAGGCAAAAAAAATACGACCACAAGCAGCTTTGTGAAATGGAGGCAGCAAGGACATGACAACAGGATGTTGATCAGTCAAAGAATCAATAATTCCAATCTCAAATTTGGACTGTGACAACAGCAATAAAATAAATGGGCTTGATAGATGAGGCAGTTTTTTACCCAACAGTAGCTTGCTACAGTAGCTTGCCAATCAGGATTTGAATTACTTACAAACCCAATTCACTTTTAGGCCTACATGTAGCGTGTCATACATAGTGGATGTTGTTAGATAATCATCCATTATTACAATACATACTCAGTCGGATACCATACCAACAGATATTCTATAAGAAAAGAAAAACTTACTTGCTAAATAACTAGTCAAGGCACTAGATTTTCCATTTTGGCTTAAAATGTTGTAATTGTTCACATTAGCTTCTCGGAGCAGTAATTCTAATGTTTTTCTGTAAAAATGAAAATATTGAGCAATGGGAATATAACACTAGCTAAACACAAACAATCACAGGACAACTCTATAGTTAAACAATAAATAAAATTCAAGATATACATATTGTTCTTACTTGAGATTCATGTTCAATTCAGCTTCATCAAATATTCTCTTTAATATGTAAGTTGATATTTCAAATTCTTCTTGATTTTTGCAAGTTTGTAAAATTTCTTTTAGTTCTTCTAGTGAGATGCCAGCTCTTAAAAGAGCATTTAATGCTGCAACCCTTACACTGCTATCATAGGCTTTTATATTCTGATAAAATATTCTTATCAGAGATCTTCGATGCTGAAAATAAATGTTTAAGAATTTATCCATTACAGAACATTATGGGTACTATACGAAAAAATAAACTTGAGCAGAAAGTCAAAATTTATTTTCTGTATTTCTTATACTGTAGTAAGCGCAGTAAGTTATTGATATTCCTACTTGTCTTTATCAACCTGTGAAGCTTGTAAAGTGCTCTGTGGTAGAGCTGGGTGATATTTCGGTTTTACGATATAAAACTGTCACAGAAAAAAAAAACGTAAAAAATACCATCTTCAGAAAAATATCAAAAAAAAACCCCCAAACATATCGCATTTTTTCTGGATGATATTTCACATAGCTATTGAAAAAAATGTTTACATCATGTGTCTTCTTGCTCACTTTTCCACCGTTAGAATTATCCCTGCTTATGTTCAATTTCTATGCATAGATTCTAAACGAATTGTTTATACCGATACTTGGATTTTCCAAATGAATCATTGATTTTCTGATTGATATAAATTTAAATAGAGCAGAAATATAAATGATGCCAACTATATTGCAAGTTCTGGTAGACTGATTATCCTTCACAATTCAGTGTGGAACATGTCATGGAGGTCAGTGATCCGAAAAATTGCTATTTGACTAATTAAATGGACACTTTTTGACATAGTACTTAGGATTTAAAGTTTAATTTAGTATTCATGCCTTCTGAAAAATGAATTTTCAAGAAAGCATACGGTTGAATGAGAAAAGGCAGTTTGCAAGGGTAAATAAATAGCATCCAATCGTATCCATAGCTATAAAAACATGCACGGCCGAAAGAACATATTGTTTTTTAATTTTTTTTTTTCGTTTTGGAGCCTCCTTTATATATATTATTAATTTAAATAAAATTTCATAATTAATATACTCAGAATTAAAATTGTAATAAACAACAAGAACATAGACCAACATTTTTAGCAATGTTTGAATCAACTGATTAAATTTTGTTTAAAAAACAAAATTAAAAATGAATATTCCGGAGGTATTTCCAACTTTTTATGCTTGTTTATTTACATTTAAAAGGTGATAAATTGAAATCATTGACATTTTATAAAATATTGCCACATAGTGATTTTATCGCAATATTTTCTGAAAATATCGCAATATTTTCTGAAAATATCGCAATATTTTCTGAAAATATCACAATATCTGCTTCCAGGGATATCACCCAGCTCTATTCTGTGGTAGGAATACCGACAGATGGAAAGGATCAATTCAATTTATTGCTAAACTAAAATAAGACATGATTCCATTAAATGAATACTTGACTATGTACCAATATTAATGAATCACTGGGACCTTGTTATAATGCATATATACACGGTTACCTGATAATTGTTGTCTAACACCTGTAAGTAATAACTACAATTCATACCTCAGCTGTATAATATGATTGTGATATTCTCCTTAATGAATTAATAGCAGTAAATGACATCATAGTAGTTTTAGATTCTTCTGCATATTTCAACAACAGCACCATAGATTCTGGTAATGCAGCATTTCCTAGAGCTCTTAGAAACATCAGTTCACAAACTTCATCTTTACAGTTTGTTATATTATTCAATAACATGGATTTTATATCTTTAACAACCTGTAATTATAAGACAAACTTTTGTTTATTCAGACAGCATAGTAAAAACATAAGTAAAATTCACCCAAAACAATGACTAAAAAAGTTCCAGAGATCAAGAATGACATGAATAATTATAAGGTTACTCTTCGGTTTCCTGCTATGTCTCAATGTTAAAACATGGTAAGGTATTGGTGTCCCGGCAATATAAATTTCAATAGGTTGTTCTTTATAGCAAACTGCACAATCAAAGCTAATTTCATTTAAAGAAAATCCTCTGACCTGTACACAGTGTGCACAATAAATTGTGTAAAATTGAAAGCTAAACATATACCTGATGCTCTCTTTGTTGAGGTATTTGACAGTATGTATATAAAACAGCACTCATTGACAATAATAATGGTTCTTTGATAGGAGAGTCTATCGGTATCTGAGTGGATATTTTCTATGCAAAAAAGAATAAAAATATTTAGACAGTACAAACTACAAAATTAACATCACTCAAGGTTAAAGCATTATGCCAAAAATCACAATCTCATGAGAAAAACAGTTGCTTGCTCATCATCTCACTCCAGATATCAAACATACCAGTGAAGACCATGCTAATTTTTCTAGTGTCAATTATTTTTATAAATCACAAACCATTAAAAAGGATATATCTAAACTGATGTATAACTGTCAGATAAAAATCTCATTAATTATCAAGTAACCTTGATCAGTAAAGTTTGTGGTATAAATAATATTAGAAAATTTACCAGCATATCTTTCAGTATAAAATCATCAGGATGAGTAACATAAGCAACAGCTAGAAAATATCGTTCCACATAAGCTAAACCAGAATCATCATCAAAGTTTAATAGTTCCATCAAAGCTTGATGTGCTGGACCTGTTTGCGTAGCTGCTGCTATATCTATTAGCTGAGGTCTAGAAATAAGAATAGTTCAGGTTTAAGGTAATCATAACTGAATAGGTCACACTTATTTTTTTATAAACAATACTTTTATTCAGGTCACACAGATTGTCTATTACTGATTAGTATTCAATGTAATTTAATAACAATTATGACTTACATAATATAATAACTCTCAGGGCTTGAAAAAACCTCAGCAATTGTATTTTTCCCACTGTTTCTAAAACTTTTAACCATTTTTAAAAATGCTTTAGCTGAAGAAAGACTGGCAATTTTATCATTTACTAAATCATCTTTTAAAGAAACAGCTAACGATGTAGCCTGAAAAATAAAAAATTTATTATTTAAATCATTGACAAATAAGTAATGTTAGCGATCAAAATTATTTTCCATCTGTGATTCCTACTGTGATGACCATATTCTTCTATATGCCCCACAATCAGCAAATGATCGACAGCTCCTCTGTCGATCATCAGCTGATAAAGAGTCAAACAGCAGCAGAAGATCGACTACATCTAGGGCAAAAAACAAAGCACTGAATCAAGAATTTTCTTATACCGTTACATTTAAATTACATCTGATTGGATGATAATTATAATTTTTAGTGGAAGAACGGATGATTTTCTGTTGGTGATTAGTGGATGAATCATTAATATAATGTGGTTACACTGTAGATGCAATATAGTCTGGCTTTGCATTGATATTGGCAGACCCTGAAACCCACATGCACACTAGAAAATAAAATTTTAAATGTTCTTACCGGTTGACATTTAGGACCACACTGCCAGATCTCTGATCCACTTGGTAACAATGACAAAATAAGACTTTTCCCAATTTCTGCAAATTAATAAGGAATATATTATTAATATCATTTTTTTTTCATTTTGTCAGTGAAAATGCATCCTTTTTTTCAAAAGATAGGTTGCCAGACAATGAAACATTCATTTATTTGTAATGGGAGTCTAAACTTATCAAGAGTAACAACTCCTTAAGTAATTTTATCAGTAATATACAAATCAATTGAAAAATAAGTTTAGTCACTTTAAAATTGATCAAGAGCAATTTCTCTGATAGTAATCCTAGGATTCATCATAAAGTCTGTATATATAAATTTAAGGGAAATTGAAAAATAGCTTCATCACTTTGAGCATCCACAAATATTTTTAAAGTGATCAAGGGAACAACTCTAAAAGTAATTATTGAAAGAACAACTACAAAAAATTCCATGGCAATCCGATGAAAATTTGGCCTCTTGAAGATACACAAGATTTTTCAAAGTGATCAAGGGTTGTACCCTGGTAGAAATTATCAGAAATTGTTGAAAATCAATAGCATAAATTGTGTATAAATTATAAATCTAAAGAAGAAAATGTAAAAAAAAGAAAAAGATAACAGATAAACTATATGATGTTCTTAGCATTGTGGACCATGTGCATCGTACAAATATAGTCACACCAATCAAATATAAATATGACCTAGTATATCATTAAACACAGCCACTTACCTTTTTCTGCTACACCAACAGCTTCTTGTATGGAATTAGCTTTGATGATATTGGATGTAGAAGAACTGTTTTTTAATGTAAAAATCTGACTGAAATAGCAAATTTATATATTTTATACATGGTAGGTATTATTAGGCAGAAGGGTCTCTGTCAATTCTATTCCTATTCATTCATAAATTATCTACCGGTAAATAAAATAAACTATTCCAGTCACATATTCAAAATTATATTGTACTAAATGGAGAGATTTGTCAAATGTATTCATTGTGTGTGTTGAAACTGTTAGTTTGTTTCTACTCTTTCCAATGGACAATTACTAGCTCTGATGCTGCTGGTGATTTGATTTCACAAACATAATTTTAATTTGTTGTGGGGTCTAAAAAAGATATTTATATTTCCACTTAACCCTATTCCATATCCACTTTAAATGAAGAAATGCTTTTTCAGATCTTTAAATCCAGCACAGATTATTCATAGTGATACAAATTTTTTAAATGAAATGACATGTCTGGTTTGCTATTCTAGGATCTATGGATTAAATTAAGAAGAATTAAAGATACAATTTCATATTTCTTACCATATACAATACAAAAAGATATTTTTTAAACAAAATTTAAACAAATCTTTAATTATAGTAGATAATCGATAAACTTACCTCGATGTTGCAGCTCCATTGATGGATTTTCTTATATTTACTATGCTTACAGCAGTATTCAAACTGGAAACTTTATTTATAATACCATTGTTTAGATCATAATTAAATGTTGTTGTACTATTAACAGATACTTTAAGTGCCTAAAATATTCAAAAGACAATTTAAGAATAATAAACAATTTGTCATAAAATTGTTCATGATTCCTTATTTTGATTGAACTTCACTTACAAGACAAGTCTTTTATGGTGGATACTAATGTAGTGTTTTCTTTCAGATTATTAAATTGTAAGAATTATGTTTATGCACTGTTAATTTTCAAAACGCATGGTCAGCATTGAGACTTGAATACAGCAAATAATTAATTATGTTAATTCAAGAAGGCATGAGTACCGGAGCCATTTCATGATATGGATAGCATCATTCATGTATATTGGAATGTGTACTATCTTTCGATGTAGACACTAGATTGGAGGGGTTACTACTAATCTCTGTGTAAAAAGAATGGGTACTATCTTTCCATGTATATTAGAATGGTTACTATTAATCTCTTAGTGTATATTAGAAGGAATACTATCTTTCAGTATGTTAGAGTGTATACTACAATTCTCTTTGTGTATATTAAAATGTGTACAACTATCTTTCCATGTATATTATAAGAGTGCATACTACTCTAATCTCTTTGTGTTTATTAGAATGTGTACTATCTTTCCATGTATATTATTAGAGTGCATATTACTAATCTCTTTGTGTTTATTGGAATGTGTACTATCTTTCCATGTATATTATTAGAGTGCATATTACTAATCTCTTTTTGTGCATATTAGAATGTGTACTATCTTTTCATGTAGATTAGAGTGCATACTTTAGAGCACATACTACTAATCTATTCATGTATATTAGAGTGCATACTTTAGAGAGCATTTATAAGTGTGTTTTAACAATTTTCAAGTGTAAATAATTTAATTAAATCAACCTGTCCATAATATCATATTTTTTGTATTGGACGTTAAATCTGTAATAAACAACAACACACAACAGTATGGTGGCTGATTGGTATCATGTCGTGATGTCGCCCTTCATAACCCGACAACCCGACACCATGACAACACAACATTTTTAACCGACACTACGACATTTTCACCCGACACCACGACATTAAGAATGTTGTAATGTCGCGTAAAAATGTTGTATTGTCATGTAAAAATGATGTGATGTCAGGTTGTCGTGGTGTTGACTTTATTTATCAATGTTGAAGCAGCCATGAATAATAGAGTGCTGACCCTTGCCGAGAACAAGTCAGCCCTCACTATCTCATCCTTCACTAAGAATACTTACCCTTCACTAACTGCGAATCAAGCTGGCCCTCACTACCAAATTCGCTGGATGATCATGACTTGAGTGTACTCACGTGCTCGGTATGGGCTAATTCGAGACTTCGATAAATAAAATCAATTGAAAGTAGTCTATTTTTAGTAACCCATTTCTTTGCTCAAAATAAAAATGCATTTATCTCTTCTAAAGTATGTAATCGTGAATGTGCCAGAAAATAATAAGTAGATTTAAAGAGCCATAGAAACTTACTTTCCGGTGATGTATGACACAAACTAGGTCATTTCCGGACTAACATATGGTTTAATTTTATTTCAATAATTCGCTTGTGCGTAGGGGTCTTTAGTAGTGGGAGGAAACCGGAGGACCCAGAGAAAACCCACGAGGTTGGACAAGGCGACCCTACTCCTTGTCACGCACAACCAGGGAATAGAAACCATGCCAGTTGACTCAATGACAGACTTTATGATTCAGCGCCTACACGCTAACCATTCAGCCATCCACCCCCGATGTATGACACAATAACTGAAATTTCGTATAAAGACACGTATGTTGACATTAAACACTCGCCACACCCAGCCACTCTCTTTAATTCAGCCAGTGAAGGCTACCAAACTTGTATCAATTTAAATTTAAAAAAGTATATTTTCCGCCCAAAATATAATAAATACATTTTAAGAGAGGATTGACTTTATACAGAATTTTTGATTAAGCCCCGCATATTTATTTCAAATCCCCCCCCCCCCCTTTTTCACTTTTCAAGGCAAGTAAATATAAATGTGCCAGAAAATTATTTATATATTTGAAAAGAACAGTGAAGGTGCTTTCTACTGATATGTAGCATGATATCTGGAATTTCGTGTTAAGACTCGTAATTTGGCAGTGAGGGCCAGCTTGATTCGCAGTTAGTGAAGGGTAAGTATTCTTAGTGAAGGATGAGATAGTGAGGGCTGACTTGATCTCGTGGCCGCTTCAACATTGATAAATAAAGTCGACAACCCGACATCACAACATTATAACCCAACATTTTTACGCGACAATACGACATTTTTACGCGACATTACAACATTCTTAATGTTGTGGTGTCGGGTGAAAATGTCGTAGTGTTGGGTTAAAAATGTTGTGATGTCGGGTTGTCGTGGTGTTGGGTTATAATGTTGTGATGTCGGGTTGTCGCCTTATGAAGGGTGACACTACGACATCACGACATGATAGGGCCTACCAATCAGCCACCATACAACTTATATATTAGTGGTGCATTCTGTACATTAAGTCGTGTAATACTAGTCTTTCCATGTAGGTCATACATATCAGAATATGTACTACAGTTACTTAACTTATGTTATTAGAAAGCATAGACTATTAATCTCTTCATTATATTAAACACCACTCGCTCTTCTGACATTTGTCAGTGAGATTGGTGGAAACAGACATTAAGCACCATAAACAGGGAGAGAGAAATGGGGTTTAAAGTTCACTTGACACAAATATGGTCATTTCGGGACTATCATATATTGTTAAATTTTATTTCAATAATTCACACCACTTGACTCAGTGATAGACCTGCGCATTTAACCACAAAAGTACAAATAAATGACCAAAGGAATATGGCTCTCAGTGTTTCCTATATGCTCTTCGACTTGCCGGAAAAGAACAGAGTTGGGCAGGATACATAAGTAATAACCCTGTGTGAAAGGATGACTGGTGGCCCTGGAAAGTACATTTGTGTTTTGGAGCTGAGACTTGTGGTAAGAAAATGTCTGAGACTCGTAACTGTGCTAGGTTCTGAGTGACAATGGTTGTTGGGCCTAGTTGTCCTACTGTCAGCCAGCGCCCAATCGTATTATGTATTAAACCTCTCTAAATCGGAGCAAGGGCGGCAAAACTGATCAGTCAGCTGCGGTCCTGATTACCTATCTTTATATCCCTTGTTACCAGGATCAATCATCCCATTATATTTTCAGTTTTAAATAGAACTATAGTATTCCTGAATATCACAAGGTTCCATTTAATACAAAAAATTGATTAATTCCAATGCATTAAGAAGAATACTTTATAAAAAAAACTAGTATTATATGAATTCTATTTTCCTTTCTTTAAAATCTGGAAATGCCATGGCTCAGTGATTAGGTGTTGGCTTGCTAACCAGGAGATCCTGGGTTCAATCCTGGTGTTGGCCAAGAAATTTCCTCAGGAGTTTCTGGTGTGGTTTCCTCTTGTCAGTGGTGCAGGATAGAGGACCTTTCTAGGAACAGCACCTAGTCATTCAGATGGGACAAAAAACTGAGGTCCAGTACACACATTCGTGTGCACGTAAAGAAAACTTGACAATTGGAATTCCAAATAAGTGTAGGCTGCATAGGCGTAGGAGCAATGAAAAATTCAACGACCTTTTTTTTCTATTAACGTTTAGAGAAAAAATATAACTAATTTATTTCTATGAGATCCACACTGCCTGAAAAGTATTTTCTCGTCTTTTCCTTGTCCACTGCATGCCGGAAAATATGCCCGAAGCTCTCTTATGATATATGTATGCCCGAAAAAACAGTATTGATTTTGGGCAATTTTCTCTTATGCCCCCCTGAATAACTTTGAGCTCCTATGCCTATGGTAGGCTGTAATACCACACTCCAGACAAAATGGTGCAGAAAATTCTAACCTCATTGCTTGAAGAAAATTGTCCAGCTATTTCTATGTTATTACAATCTTTCTTTGTTTTGAGAATTGAATTGGAAGACAATTTTTCGTATACTGCAGAACATTCTCCTGATACATCTACCTGTAAAACAAACACATCAAAACATTCCTTTAATATCAGGGAGTATGTTTATTTTAAATGGTAATATAGTAATATTTATACGGTAAGAACCTACATATATAAATGTATGATACAAAATTATAGTGTATATTATTTGGAATCAACAGCATGAACTAGTAAAATGTTTTTATTTGTAAATTGTAACGATAATCAGAATAATGTAACAATGAAAGCAAACCTCTGTTCGTTTTCCAGATTCTTCTTGCAACTGGAAAAGTGCTGCTATACCTTTTTTAATATTTGTACAGAATATGCAATCAGGTTCTGTTAGATACACACTGTTTACTGTATCTTTATTCAATTCAAAATATAAAGGATACTTCAACAGAGATCCTAATATCTTTTCTTGATTTACTCTTGAAGCACTTGTGACCTTTGCACTGGTTATCTTTAAAAAAAAAACCCAAAAAACTGATAATCTTAATAACTACAAAAAAAGAAATAAATATGCAAAGCCAAGTAATAAAAATCAATAATATTTCAACACCAGAGTAAAAACACTATGGTAAATAAATGATTGGCATATTCTTTATGTCATAAAAACAATCCCACAAAGTTTCCGTTTCAACTATAAGTATAAGCTTTAGTCAATTAAAATTAAAGTCTTAATGGCTGGGAGACTCGAAGTTGGGCTCAAATTTTACACTTAAATCTTGATTATTTCCAAATTTGGAAAAGCTTCTTTCTGAATAATCAATCACATAACAAGATTTGATTAAAATTCATGTTTCAAGAACATTCACTTGATGAAAACATGGATAATCACCATATTTACCGGTATGGTTCGATTGTCTTAAAGATTTACAGAAATTGAATTCAAGCATCAATCACTTTACACTGTAAAAATAGCATATTTTAAACTATTTTCAAAAGTGACCAAACAATCAACCTCCATTAGTCAACACATGAAAGATATTTCCTTACTTTCACTCTGAAAAGCTGTGAATCATCAAACTGAAAAACAGGAGACACATCAACATCCATCTGTAAATGGAATCCAGTTCCTTTCTGTGAATATTTGCCTCCTTTATTGTCCAAATCGTTGAAAAACACTGATGTTTCATAATTATATCTGTAAGATCTTCCATTTTCATATAACAGTGCATCACCTACAGTTATGGAAAAAGTAAAATAACTTCAAAATATATACATTTCTAGAGACAAACCCAAACAACATGCACTAATAATACTATATGACCATTAACAGCTTAAAAAATAAGATATGTAAAATATTATATATGCATCAATTCTTGAAAAAATCAAAACTATATTAGTACATGTATATTATAAAAATACTTTACTGTACCATAAACATAATCAATAGTTAGCAATCTCTTCTATCTCTTTTCATCGAAAAAGCTTCGAAAAGGTGGAGAAGCAGCGTTAAGTGTAAATTCATTACAATCTGACATACTCCTCTAAAACTCCTATTTTTATTTGAACATAATATAGGCCTGTAATACCGTACCTTAAAATGATGCTCATCTCATACTTTCAAAAGATCTCAATATTGGTGCATCAAAACTAATTGAAATATAATGTTTGAGGTAAGAAGTGTAAGTATATGAAATGACCTATATTATGCAAATTAGAAATTATTAACCTATTTGAAATCAGATAACAATTTCATTTTGTTCATTTTTTCTGATTTTTACAGTGCATTGTAATCTAACCAACTTTCTATCATCACCATCTTTTACCAGGAAGAAAAATAGACGATTGTATTCCAAATGCTTCTGACCCAATAACCACTCAAAATCATTTTCATATCATTTGTCCATAATACATTATCATACTACCGGTATGTATACAGTCAATTTGATAAGTCAAGGTATTCACATAATTTGAACAGAGACTTTAAACAAAATATATAGTACAACAACAAAAAAATGAAACAGTTATGAATGACATGATTTGAATCAGCTTGGGAACATATCAAATACTCTTTTAGAAAGACAAATAAACCCAATGAACTATACATTACTATGGGACCATTAATGGTTGTCAGAATTACTTGACAAAAAAATGGGAATAGGCATACATTATTTTCCATTCAGTGTAAACTTTATCCTTCTTTAAACACACAGAGAGCAAAATTGGTGAGTAAGGACTAATCAGGTGTTGCAGCAACCCCAAAAGTTATCTTGAACACTGATACATGTAACTATTTAATTATTCTCCTAAAAGATGATTCATGTAAGTTATTATGACAATTCATTTCATCAGTTAATTGACCTTTGAATATTGTATGTTTTAGATAATAAATGTTGTAGTTATGTGTCATTAGAATGATTACAATTAATTCATATCAGGTAGTTGATCCACTGAAACTTACAAAATATATCCTGTAGGTACAAAACAAAATCTATCACATACAGTACCCCTGATCCCCACCCCACCTCCCCCTGCATAATTTAGTTTTCTAAATTCCATAATACCATATTTGTTGGGAAAAAGCATTACATTTCTGTTGAAATTTGAAAATGAAAGGCAAAGTTATTGTTAATGACTTTCAGAAAGTTGCATATTAGCATTTTATTACAAAATTACAGATAGATCTAGCTAGTGCAGATTAAACTTGGGCCAATGAATAGCTCCTTGCTCCCCTCCCATTCAAAAACACACAAAAAAGAAATTAAGTTCAAAAATATAACTTTTAAATTTCTTTCCTTCCAAACAATTTATAAATATATATATATATATATATATATATATATATATATATATATAGATATCAGTTCAAATTATCTTGCAAGTAAATAATTTTAGAACCTAGTAATGAAGTATCTCAACACCTCTTATCTAAAATTAGGTTGTCATAATGTTTTCCTATGAATGGAATGGTTATTAAAATGAATCATACTAAACAGTTTCCTTGTAAGTTGTGTAGAATGTATATGATCCCCTCTTCTGTTATAACCTTTAATTAATAAAGTTTGGGCTACCTGTATTGAAGTTAAATTTAAACATATGAAATAACATTTACAAAATACTGTGGTAACAGTTTTTGTGATTATAATGCCATTCAAAATCTAGGAGTAGGCTATAAGTTTACTCTGTGGTCCACGTAGTCTACCTTAAGATTTTGGCAACTAGGACAATATTATACACTTATCACAGCCAGACATATAAGATATAGTTCTAAACGTCAACAGCCATGTTATCCCACGCCAAAAGACCATTGTTTGGAACTTAGCACCGTCAAACTCAAAGATAACTGAATTTGGTGTAAAATTAGATCCATAAAATGGTTTCAAATCGTGCAAAATGTTCAATGATCACTTACTCAGTACATAGGTTACTGTTAGTAATACGAGAACTTTCACGCCACAAGCCATACTGGACTAGACGACACAACTGAAGCCGTTGATATGGAGCTTCCTGCACGTCAGATGTGCGAGGCTGAAAGGATTTTGGACGAACGGACAAAGTTCATTAGTACAACCACTAGGCCTATACAAGAGTTAACCACTGTGTTATCACACTATCAGCATTTAAATTATCTCATTGATAAGTAATTAGATAATTGATAACAATCATTCAAGTATGAAATTTTTCAATTGATCCTAAATCTGGGATGAACAAAGGAACGTAATTATGAGGAGTTTTTGTATTAGATAAGGCCATTTTTTTTTTCGGAATCTCCCAGTTATCTGAAATAAGCACTGCGGGAATTTTTGTGCTATGCATTATAAACAAGTCGCTCCGTTATTAAACGTACATTACATACATAGTCATAGTATTTTATAGCGTTATTGGGAAAGGACAACTTCTTGCGCGTGATAAATTTAGCAGACGATGCTTGGAAATATCGCGAGAACGCTGAAAATCACACGAGATTGAAGATGTCAGCCTCCATTGCCAACATGATTTCGGATTATAATCATTAATAAACAAACATATTGAGTTATAAGATTGTGAATTGAAATGGCTTGTTTGGACAAAAACACGCCTGAAACCGAAAAGACGCCTTCACCTACTCAAATTGGTGAACAAATGAATTCAGATGCACCACATCAAGAAGGCACTGATCAAACTGAAATTGAAACGGAAGCAAAGCCGCTTTCTAAAAATCAACAGAAGAAACTGAAAAAGAGAGAGAAGTGGTTGCAGTTAAAAGCAGTGAAAAGGTTTCATTAAGATGTTCAGTTACATTGTTCAGACGTTCACAGAGACTGGCACGCGACCGTTTAGTAGTAAAGAGTTTCCCAGTAAAATTGACTGGGAAGCGATTTTATTTTCGACAAGATAGGACAGTTCTTGAACGTATATACAGGGCGAGTGTAATGAGACCTAGGTTCAGAGCTGAACTACAGGTTGGCATGCGCGTAACTTGACTGTTGGAATTCAGTAGCTGTCTGTCAAAATTTCCCTCATAGTGTCGTAGTTGTCATAGCACACATATACCTGTCTTCATGACTAATAATAGCTTAGTTGGTGCAAAAAAGTAGGACAATAAACCCCATTTCATTCATTTATTCATTCATTCAAATTACCTACTATTGAAAGGAGTATTATGGGAGATGAGTTGACAGTTGTCGCTAAAATAGTTAAAAAATGAATAACATAATTAGAATATGCTGAAAATTTCAGTCAAATTGCTCCACTCTGAACCAAGATATAGATTTTAAATTTTAGGCTAGCCTCGATCGTCATTACTTAAGTCAGTACGATCAAAAACAAAGTCTCGATTATCCATTTTTATGTTTAATTAGTTTTCAAAAAATGTATTCCAATCGGCTAAATATTGCAGGCTAGTGATGGCATCGAGAGTTGATTATGGTCTCGATAAGTTGATAAATGTCTAATTAATAATTTAGATAACATTTCAAGCCTAAAGAAAGACCTGCAATAAGCAGATTTAGCTCTTTCATTATGTATGTTTATGAGATTGCTTATAAAGTGCCATATTCATGAAACTTGTAACTATTACTTTTTAAAGGTAACGTCTAATTTCAATTTATAACAACAAATTTCTTGATAAATTATCCCTTTTTTATGAGTGGCTCACAACTGTAGATCTGCTACTGGTTAAGTATGGTAATGCTTTAAATTGCTGACTGAAAGAATATACAGTTGACAAAACTACTAGGTATTTGCATGCAATGTGTTCTCTTTTGTAATCACTTCAGGGCAGGTGAAAAAAATAAAAGAAAGAGAAAGTATGCTGAAGCAAGAGAGAAGGGTGTAACTTTGGGTCCAACTAGAAAATCTTTAAAAAGAACAGGGATGAAAGATTCCCAGTGTAAAGTTAGAGTGGTGATTGATTGTTCGTTTGATAACATGATGACCTACAAGGTAATAAAATAACTGGGCATGATTTGCAGTTTTTATACTCCCGTTCTTCCGGCCAGCCGGCCGGCTAGATGCTAAAGTTAAAATCAGATTGACTTTAAATTTATACACAGTGTTTAAGATCATGAGACGAAGAAGCTTATTGATTTTCGGTGATTTCCGATAATTACTGCCAGAGTTATGGCCCTTGATCACTTCAAAAAATCTTGTGGACACTCTAGAGGCTAAAGTTAATATCTGATTGACTTTAAATTTATACACAGTGTTAAATCTCAATCAAATGACAATCTCTAGTGTCTGGTTATCCCAGTCTATACCGATAGTATTTATCTCCAGATAAGAATATGGCGTCACTGTTTGACATGACTTGTGGAATATGTCTAGCCTCGTTCTTCGAGTCCCTTGTTACACAAATGGCGCTGAAACGCATTATGGGACACGATTCTTATACCAATAGTAAAATGGTTATTTTGTCTTAAACATTGGATGTCAGAAGCCCATCTTTTCCCGGTTCGTATACCAATAGTAAAATGTTTATTTTGTCTTAAACATTGGATGATATTGCGTTAGAGACTTAGCTACTTTAATCCATACTAATATGTAGACCTACCAAGATTCATTATTTAACAATTACAGTATTTTAGTTTGCAAGGGATTCATTGCCAAATCGCTCAAATCACGTTCAGAGACTTTAAGAGGCACTCCCCCTTTGACGATCTTTACCAATTTACCATATTTGAACCTGCCACAGGGCATCTCTCTCATAGTTTAGCTCAGTGAAATGTTGTGTATGATACAACTTATAGCTATGAGGCCTAAACCAGTCTGTGTTTGTTAGTCACACATTATCCCAAATTTTCATAATTAGATGAATTAGAGAGAGAGAGAGAGATAGAGAGAGAGAGAAATGGGGTTTAACGTCCACTCCACTCGACACAAACTTGGTAATTTCGGGACTAACACATGGTTTAATTTTATTTCAATAATTCGCTTGCGCGTAGGGGTCTTTAGCAGTGGGAGGAAACTGGAGGGCCCGGAGAAAACCCACAAGGTTGGACAGGCGTCCCTACTCCTTGTCACGTACTTCCGGGGATTCGAAACCATGCCAGTTGACTCAGTGACAGGCTTTATGATACAGCGAGCACGTGCTAACCATTTGGCCATCCACCCCCCCCCCCCCAGATGAATTTGAGATTAGTTATGAATAAGATGTTATATAAATTACTCAATAAAAGAACATTACAAGTATTGTGTAAGTTTTCAATTTATAAAATATATTATTAATTACAGGACATTATACATTTGACACAGCAGATACAACACAGTTATGCAGCCAACAGAAGAGCGCAAAATGCTCTTCAGGTAAAATAGGTTTTGAAACATTCTAATATGGCTATGGTTACAGTAACAAAATTGTCATACAAAAAAAACATGTACTAAACAGGAGATTAAGGAAGACTCACACATGTAGTATTGTGGCTTTCTGTTTTGAGAATAATATTAAATTAAATGTATGGGGTAATTTAGTTTTCTATAATATCAATTGGATTGCCTTATCCATGTTGTAACACAAGTCTTGATTTGTATTCTCAAACCAGTGCATTGCCCTTCTATTTTGAAATCAGTCCCAGCAGACATAATGCCACAGTAAACACGAATGCTGAAATCAATGGCAATTTCACTGTTAAAGGAGATATGGTTGATATGGTTATATATTCTGATTTACCATAGATAATGCTAAATTGATCCACTTTTAGAAAATTCTTGGTGCCCATGTTCAAGCACTACCCTTAATTAAAGAACGTATTAGTGACATCATCAATACTAGTGGACATGGTATCCTCAAGCTTAAAAATGTTGATGTTTTTAGTAAAATTATCAAATTTGTTTATGTTCTGAGTATTTAGTAGTGCCTCTACTTTTTCCGAATGTAATTTACTAGTTCTGGTTCTGCTAGTTAAGCCATAAAGACAGTCTTTAATTTAGTGTGACATTTAAACTGACGCGACTAGAAAGGTTTAAATACTAATAGTTGATTCTTTTGTTAGAATGTAGAAAGAGTTGGACCATTTATTTTAATAGTCATAGGACTCAGAAAGTACAGTGTATATAAAGTATTTATTAAATCTAAAGTTTTTTTGTTTTTTTGTAACAATTTTTTTATTTTATAGTTTTATGTGAGTGGAATAAATGGTAAATTAAAAAAGAGATTAGAAGGAATTGGTGATTACAAAGGCTGGGATGTAAGTAATAATTACCTATATATGTTGTTATACACCCACATTGAAATGTGGGCGTATATTGTAGTCGCCCCCGTCCATCCAGCCTATTGATTTTCAACGATTTCCAATAATTACTGCCAGAGTTATGGTCCTTTATCACTTTGAAAAATCTTGTGAACGCTCTAGAGGCTAAAGTTAATATCCGATTGACTTTAAATATATACACAGTGTTTAAGGTCATGAGACGAAGAAGCCTATTGATTTTCAACGATTGCCAATAATTACTGCCAGGGTTATGGCCTTTGATCACTTTGAAAAATCTTGTGGACACTCTAGAGGCTAAAGTTAATATCCGATTGACTTTAAATATATGCACAATGTTTAAGGTCATGAGACGAAGAAGCCTATTGATTTTCAACGATTTCCGACTATTACAGCCAGAGTTATCACTTTAAAAAATTTGTGGATGCTTTATGACCATAGTTATCATCTGATTGATTGTTTACGCCTATATTGTTTCGATTGACTTTGGCTTGATACACAGAGTTTAAGGTCTTGAACAGCTAAATCCATGATATTAAATTTTGTATACTAAACGTTAGCATGGGCCAAACAAATTCTAATGATTTTCTGATAATAACTTAACGAGTTGTTACTCTAAAATCAGGTTTTAGTGTATTATAAATGTTTCATTACCGACAAAAGTAAAAATATGTGACAACTCTTGTTGACTGCACAGACAATTTAGCTGCTGTGGGCGTATGTTTCGTTGCCTAGCAACCTTTCTTTAATAAATATTAGAAATGAGTTACTGTAGAAAATAGATACCACCAACTTTTATTCTGACCCATTCTGATACCTTGATACCACTGTTATAGTGATTATTAATCCTGCGCTAATATGTATAGTTTATATAAACCCTGGCTTGGGTATTAATTATCTAAACAGTTGAAAAAGGGCCCTGGATTAAAAACCTCAAATTATCTACACAGTTTTGAATAGTGTGTTGCTTAGTGATTATTTTTGGGGATTATTTTTGGAACACTGCTTCCTTCTCACCCCAACGGTAGCACAGAGATCCACGCTATCCTGCACTATTTCAGGGATTCTTCTGAAATTGACGAAACTTAAAATATAGGTTTATCTCCAAAAGATCTTGGTTGCTTTCAATATTGGCATTTATCGTATAAAAACTTCATGGATTATGGCCCTTGATTGTACGAAAAATCACGTTTTTAGCTTGTGGGCATTCTAGAGGTCACAATTTTCATCTGATTTTGATGAAACTTGAAATGCATGTTTATAACCCAAAGATCTTGGTTCCTGTCGATATTTGCGCATATCGGATCATAACTTCCTGAATTATGGCCCTTGATTGTACGAAAAATCGTGTTTTTAGCTTATGGTCCCTCTAGAGGTCACAATTATTATCCAATTAAAAAAAATATTTGAAAATATCACCGTTAGACCGTAATAATGGTTGTATTCGAATTTCATGAAAATCGGACCAAAACTGCCGGACAAAATAGCCGGCCCTCGAACACTAATAGTGTAAAAATATGGTATATCAAGGTTGTGGACCCTCTTGAGGTCACAATTTTAATCCGATTTTGATGAAACTTGAAATAAATGTTTATAACCCACAGATCTTGGTTCCTGTCGATATTTGCGCATATCAGATTGTAACTTCCTGAATTATGGCCCTTGATTGTATGAAAAATCGTGTTTTAAGCTTGTGGTCCCTCTAGATGTAACAATTTTGATCCAATTTGAAAAAAACGTTGAATATATGACCGTTACACCCTAAGGATGGTTGAGTTCGAATTTCATGAAAATTAGACTAAAACTGCCGGACAAAATGGCCGCCCCTTGTACGTTAATAGTGTAAAAATATGGTATATCAAGTTGATGAAACTTGAAATGCATGTTAATAACCCAAAGATCTTGGTTGCTTTCGATATTTGTGCATATCGGATCGTAACTTCCTGAATTATGGCCCTTGATTGTACGAAAATCGTCTTTTTAGCTTGTGGTCCCTCTAGAGGTCACAATTCACTGTTACACCGTAATGTTGGTTGAGTTCGAATTTCGTGAAAATCGGACGAAAAGTGTCGGAGAAAATGGCTAACCCTCGTAGGCAAATAGTGTAAACATCTGGTATATCCAGGTTGTTGACCCTCTAGAGGTCACAATTTTGATCCGATTTTGATGAAACTTGAAATGTATGTTCATAACCCAAAGATCTCGGTCCCTTTTGATATTCACATATATTAGTCCACATCTTCCGGGATTATGGCCCCTGATTGTTCATTCTCTGTCCATCTCTTGCAAAATGTGGCCGTATCGTGCATAGCAACTGCTTGTTATCTTTTAAAATTATTTATTTTATGTTGAATTATTTTATCATTCAGATATTTTGTTAAGATTTAAGAACTTCTGAAGACAGTACTATATGAAAATTCTTTTTGTAATAAAAATGAAATTTATTGTACTTTCTTCTATAGAAAGATTATTATATATTGTAGTGCAAGTTTATTTGATTTATTTTTAACAGATTTTTATGAAAGAAGAAGGATTTATGTCATTATTTGATAAAGAGAATATTATATACTTATCTAGTGAATCACCTAATATATTATCAACAATAGAAGATGATAAAGTTTATATTATTGGTGGACTGGTTGACCATAATCATCATAAGGTAATTGCAAGTTTCAATACTGTTAAGTATCAAAAACAATATGGATGTTAGGTCACATGGCAATTTTTTCTCAAATTTTGCATACAATCACCTGTACTGCAAATATTGAAAATATATCAAAGCTTTACATTAAAATTTAGTTGGAGAGTGAAGAGTTCAGTTTAAATGCATTTAGAACTTGAAGTTATGTCTTTGATTTATATAAGATCCTGCATACCAAATCTGCTCATCGTTGTTTGGTTTCATTGTTGTAGAATTGCAAATGCATGAGAAAAATAGAAAGAAAAAACTATAGCTAGGAAGCTACCCCACACAGCTAGTAAAAGATGTTCACATTGTAATAAAAATCCCTTGAGTGATTATGTAAATGCTCTTTTGCAAGGTTCTTAAACATTCATTAAAGATACATTATGGGAGATTCGATAACGAGTTGGCAGTTCTCACTATAATAATTAAAAACTAGATAAGGTAAAGGCAATTTGCTGAAAATTTCATTCAAATTGATCCACTATAAACCGAGAATTAAGCGAATAAAATTTCTGCCTAGCCTCGGTCATCATTACTAAAGTCAGTACGTTAAACAGCATAGTCTCGATTATCCAATTAATCGTTTAATCGAGAAGGAAAGTTATGCAGTAAATCGGATCACAATCCACTTAAGATCGCAGGCTAGCGATGTCATCTAGAGTTGATTATGGTCTGGATAAGTTAATTAATGTCTAATTAATAATTTAGATAACATTTCAAGCCTAAAGAAAGACCTGCAATAGACAGATTTAGCTTTTGCATAATGTATGTTTAACTTGTCACGCTTACAATGTTCTGAACTAGGAATTTTTACCTGGCTGTCTATGTTTCATATAAAATGGTCTTAATAATCTGGGTCTGTCAATCAGCCAGTGAACGGTCAGAGAGTTGGTTTAGCTTAGCACAACTGATTTTAAACCAAGAGGATGCAACTCCAATGGCATATTGAAGAATATCCAAACAAATATAAGCAGTCTTATTTTAAATGGATATAGCTTATGAAATGCAGCATAAAGGAATAGTACTCATGTTATTTTTTTACTTGCCTAAGAGGGGAATTTTGTTGCCTAATCTTAACTTTTACATTCGTCAGGGCCAAGCTGGCAACCTTTGAACTCTATCTATTATGTGTTCATTCAACTGTCTAACTGTTAAAACTATATTTCAGGGATTTTGCCATAATCTTGCAGAAGAGAAAGGCTTTCAACATGCTCAGCTACCTATTGGAGAATATATTGACATGAAAGCTAGAAAAGTTCTTACTATTAATCATGGTATGTAAGTATTGAAAGAGGCTCTCATCAAACAAATGCATACACATTTATTCCAACAAATAGAAGATATTTCAAGCAAAATGAACTAGCTAATTGTTTATGTCCTATAGGGTCCTCTAAACCAGTTCAGTCTGTGCAAGAGAATAAGTTCTCGAACACAAGTTTTATCTTGACTTTCAAGTTCCAACTTTAGAAATTCCTATATTTGTAGTTATCTCCATTCTGTAAACACTGACCTTCCACTATAATTTTCTGCTATTGATGACATGAACAGCATGTGAAGAAACAATAATGGTATCAGCCACATTTTTTATCATAAATATTCTTTCCAGACATATACTAAATTTAATTCGGTAAATGCATGAATTATGAATAACACCTGCCAGGACAGCAGTGCTTCTACTTGAAACTGCATCTTTCACTCAGACATGATTGAAATGATTAGTTCACATGAACATTGTATGTAGAAATATAGGGAAAACCATGATGCTCTATGTTCTGTGGTACAATTGTTGTATCGTTTAAACTTACTGATCATTTATTGAAGTACATGTTTGTTTGATCTTTCCAGTGTTTGAAATCTTGCTGCGATATACAGAAAGCCAGAGTTGGGAGAAAGCCTTTTTTTCTGTTTTACCACAGAGGAAAGGAGCAGTGGTAAAGAACTGTCACAGTTATGAACAAAGTGAAATGGAGAAGGATGAAGATACTAATGAAAGTTTAAGTGTCAATGATAATGCTAAAGAAACAATCAGTGACATTTCGCAACACCCTGATGTGACAAACAAAGATGATAATATTTGTGAGCCAGATCTTAAAGAGGACATAGATACATAATAATAATTGTTCTTTATAATAAATCAAATTTTATGATTTGGTGTTTTACCATGGTTAATTAATTCGTAGATCTTTGTTTTAAATCAAGTCAGGGTATGCTTTCACCTCCCTCTTTTTTGAAACTTTACTTTTGTTGAACTTTAAAGAGGTGTAAGCTCTTTGGAGTTCTTCAAGAATTGTTAGGAATATAATTTTGACTGACCTGAATTGACTACACAGACAGTTACTGCCCGCATATTCAGCTATATCTGACATGAAATAACATGATATCATATGGGGTTTAACGTCCTACTGTTCTGCACCAAGAGCATATGCCATACAGTGTGCTATGAGTAAGCTTACTCTTAGGTACTTCTATTGAGAATTTTGTTTAAGTGCAGGGAAATAACTCATAAGTAAATCTAATTTTAGGGAATCTTCGTTCTAAAACAGTATATGAAATTCCCACTGTCACAGGTTCTTTTACGTGCACACCAATGTGTACACAGGACCACGATTTTTCATCCAATTCGCAGTTCCTGCAACCTGCTCATTCATTTTACGTGTTTTACAAATTTTGATGTGATTTTCAGAGTGAAAAATACTTTAATATTAGTATTTCTACATTATATATGAATAAGAAATTTTCCATTTGACAAGGGCCTGTGATTAAGAAGACATAAATGGTTGTGGATGTTTGCAGGTGTTGGTCATAGAATTATGACACCATGAATTTTAAAAAAAAACCACATCAGTTCTCACAAAAGCTTTATGCATGATATGTATAAATCTATTTACAACAATGATTTAGCAAGGAACAGGTTAATATATACATTATATACAAGTACACAGGCAAAGGGATATCAATTTTCACAAACGAATAAAATACAAATTTGTTAATGTTCAGGAATTTATTTTAGTCGGAGACTAGTAAACAGCAAACATATTAAAAGGATGATATAAGAAATAGTATTATGTAGTTATTATACAAGTAAATATAATAATCCATGAATGATGTGTACTTTCAGATATCACAAACTTTTATTAATGATATCTATACAAAAAAAACTCTTTTACAACAAATACTGGATGGTAATAAATAAAACTATTATATATATATACACAACACTTCAAATATACACAAATAACAATGTTTACAGTACACAAAGTAGATTGATTATTCTGAAAAGAATCTATTTTGAATTATTAAATGCCCTTAATTAAAATCGTTACAATTTCGTTCAGGTTATTTTTGATTGTCACTTAGAATCATACACTTAATACATAGACCATGCTTTCCCATAAATTACCACTCCTGTTTACATACATAGACAATTTGTTAAGTCAAGAAATTCACACGATCTATACCCCTGACCTAACCTAATAAAAATCTGATTTTAATCATAATGCCTTTTATTATATCTAATCTTAAACAGGAAGACCAATCATTGGTTTTATTCTAAAAGCACTGAGGTTATAAAAGCAGGATGCTTCGGCAAGTATCCGGTTATAACAATAATGGGATACTTGTTGAAAGGAGGTGACTTTAGAATTAAACCGGTGATTAATCTCCCATACAAATTGTGTTCTGTTTAATGTGTTCCTCAATCCCTAAAGATTTTATATCAAACCTAAAACATTTTAAAGTTGGAAATGTGCCTAATTATTTTTATTGAAAGTAGTTAAGATAATTATACTTCTTTTATTAAAAAACATAAATCCACTGCACTATGAAAACACATCTGATTTAACCATGAGAAATATTTTCTGTGACGAAGACAAGCAAATGGGTTTAGATTCAGTTAAAAAGCTGAAGCAATTATATTTCTAAAATGTGTTCTGGCTGACTGAATTAAAAGGATTCCATGTTCCTGTAGGTTGTGATGTACTGTTGGTGTTCATCATGTCACCAGTTGGAAGCTGGGCTTCTAATGGTTGGAACTGACATTGTGGACCCTGTGTAGCTGGTCGAAACACTTCAGTAGACGGTGGTTGTACACCATTGTCTATTGATAAAAAAGAAAGAAAATTGGTAGGATACGCCCGATTTTATACTATTTTACTATTTGAATGAAGGGCTTTACGTTCTGGGAAAAGTAAGAGTACTATAAAAGCTTTCAATACGTTGGAAATGAAAACTTACTATCGTCGGTATCTGTAACAATTGGTTTTGAAGCCAGTGGTGGATGTATTCCGGCAGGCATTTCTAAAATATCGTCTGCTCTTTGTAATTTACTTGGAGACCATTTCTGGTTTTCGTCACCATTTTCTACTATTAATCTGAAAAATGAAATCCAATAAACAATAAGTTGGTTTAACCGAGATTAAAAACTATAATATAAGAGTAAAATCCGTTTTGTAGAGTTTCTACTGACGATTCTCGGTAGTTACCTCGGCCTCATCATCACCGCAAGAAAATGGCAGAACCATTTCATTCGGCATTTATGGTACTCGAACTGCCGGTAACCACCGTAAAAGTTTCGACCCCGGTGCAAACGGTGCTAAATCTTGGCATAAAATTATATAAGCGTTTTTGGCACTAACGTCCTTATTAGCTTACCAGTATATTATCGGCTAGTCAAAAAAGCATTCAAGACACCGGTCGCGCTTCATGGTGGAAATTCGTGAAAGACCACTGAATTCTTGTCACATAATAAAACCTACTTAGGATATTTTACCCGCAAATGTTCGTTGATAAAGATCTTACCTATCTATTTTACTCTGTGTTCCTGCGAGTCTAGCATCACCATTAATTAGACCATTACCCTCATTTATTGGCGGTAAAAATGATTTAGCTGGATCTTCTTCAAATATCTGTACAGGTTGTTGTTGACCGTAATATTCTTCTTTTCCCACCATTGCTGCTTTTATTAAATCCATAACAATCGCTTTTTCTGGAATAATAGAAATACGTCAACGTTTACAAAAACAATTCTTATGTTGTTTTAAAGATGTCCTTAGAAATTCTGACATGGCCAGCATATTCCTCGTAACAAGCCGAGAATAAATTGAATTTTTAACTTTACAGAGGGAGGGACTGACATCGACAGCGTATATTCTGTCGAATCTTACGAAAACCGAGGTCCAGTGTACACAATTGGGCTTGCGTAATGAGAGAGAGAGAGAAATGGGGTTTAACGTCCACTCGGGACTAACATCGTTTAATTTTATTTACATAATTCGCTTGCGCGTAGGGGTCTTTAGCAGTGGGAGGAAACCGGAGGACCCGGAGAAAACCCACGAGGTTGGACAGGCGACCCCACTCTTTGCCACCTACAACCGGGGATTCGAAACCACGCCAGTCGACTCAATGACAGACTTTATGATACAGCGCGCGCACGCTAACCATTCAGCCACCCCCCCCCCCTCCCCCGTACGTAATGAACGCTTGACAGTTGGAATTTGAAATAAGAATAGGCCGTAGCACCGCTATCCGGGCAAAATTTCCCTTATAACACACTGTATGCCGGTCTTCATTAGAAAAGCAAGACATTAAAGCCCTATCATTTCATAGAGATTCAACCAGTTTTCGGCCGCTGCTCACTTGTTGTAAGGCATTACATATCACTGAACAATTCATCGTCTGTACAAAAAATAAATTTTACAGTGTATTTTGCGTATGTTTTCCAATCGAGGGTTTTATATTCAGTATGTCGACTGTCAAAGAAATAGCTTTCAAGAGAGCATATGAATAACTAAAGAATTGCCTTGCGTTTTAAACCAACGTTAATAAAGTACGTGTAAACGACGACCAAATTGAACCTTGTCACTGGTATATGTGAGATAGATGTACTTTGGTATTTTAATATTAAAAATATTATATATTTCATTTACCGTTGACATTGAAATTTTGGACTCTGTGATGTGTATTGTTGTATATTGATTGCTTGATCCAGCTGCATCATCTATTAAATCAAGAAGCGAATGGCTCCTTGACCGATGATTTAAATAGTACACGTACAATTGGGAAACTGGTGGTACTTACCCCGTTCACCAGCAGAACATAACCAGGCTTGTACAGCATTAGTATCTTCTGTTTGTAATATCTGACATAACATGGTCAATACCTGAACAAAATGAAGAAAACAACATTATTATTAATCTGCCATCGCCACAGAATAGTTAAACACATATATTTCTTATATAGAACACCAATAGGCCAATGGGATATCAAGACCATAATATGGCTAAAATTCGTTCAAATGTTTCGAATGTTTTTTTTTTATACGCCCACATTTTCATGTGGTCATATATTATTTTCGTTGCCCCTGTCCGCCCGTCCAAAATTTGTTTTTTGTACGCTCTACAGGTCACAATTCTTATCCGATTTTGACGAAACTTGAAATAAAGGTTTATCTCCAAAAGATCTCGGTCCTTTTCGATATTGGCATGCATCTGATCGAATCACGTTTTTAGCTTGTGGAGACTCTAGAGGTCACAATTTTCATCTAATTTTGATGAAACTTGAAATACATGTTTATAACCAAAAGATCTTGGCTCTTGTCGACATTTGCGCATATCGGATCGTAACTTCTTAAATTATGGCCCTTGATTGTACAAAAAAATCGCGATTTTGGCTTGTCGTCCCTGTAGGGGGCAATTTTTATCCGATTTAAAAAAAAAACCTTCGAATGTATCACCGTTACACCCTAATGAAGGTGGAGTTCGAATTTCGTGAAGATCGGACCGATACAGCCGGACAAAATGGCCGCCCCTCGTACGCAAATAGTGTAAATATATGGTACATCAACGTTGTGGGTCCTCTAGAGGCCACAATTTTGATCCGATTTAATGAAACTTTAAATTTATGTTTATTTCAAAGATCTTGGTTCCTTTCGATAATCGCGCATATCCGAAATAACTTCCTGGATTATGCCCCCGGTTTTTCGAAATCTCGCATTGTTAGCTCGTGGACCTGCTAGAACTAAACAATTTGTATTCAATTTAAAAAAAAAATGGTTAAATATATCACCGTTACACATCAATGAAGGTTGAGTTTAAATTTCTTAAAAACCTGACCCAAACTACCGGACACAATGGCCGTTCCTTGTACGCAAATAGTGTAAAAGTATGTGATACCAAGGTTGTGGACAGTCTAGAAGTCACAAATTTTATCCGATTTTGATGAAACTTGAAATGTATGATTATAATTCAAAGATCTTGGATAGTTGCGCATATTGGACCGTAATTTCCTGGATTATGGCCCCTGATTGTACGAAAAATCACGTTTTTATCTTGTGGACCCTCAAGAGGTCACAATTTTTATCCGATTTTAAAAAGCGTTTAAATGTATCAACGTTACACCCTAATGGCGGTTGAGTTCGAAAATCGGACCGAAACTGCCTGACAAAATGGCCGCTCCTTGTACGCAAATAGTATAAAAGTATGTAATACCAAGGGTGTGGACTCTCTAGAAGTCACAACTTTTATCCGATTTTGGTGAAACTTAAAATATATCTTTATATCCCAAATATCTCAGCCCATTTCCATATGCGCGCATTTCAGACCCTAAATTTGTGAATTATGGCCCCTGATTGTACGAAAAATCGCTTTTTTTTAAGCTTATTCTCTATCCATCTCTTGCAAAATGTGGGCATATCTTGCCTGGCAACCGCTAGTTTATTGTTGATTTTGTTCCATCGTGCAATTTGGCCATATATCGTGTAATAAATCCAATGGTTCTTACCATATTTTCGATATCTGGATCTGAAGAAATGTGTTGAAAGCCGCCAGCAAAGGGTGTTCTTTGGCCTCTTCTGGAGGCATGGCGTGACATTGCTCTAGACGGAGGAGGGATAATACGACCAGTGTCTCTAGAATACATAGTTGTTCTTGGTCTATCTTCTTCACGTTTAACACCTACTACATTATCATCACCATTTAGTTGATCAGTAAACATCTTTAACTGGTCTCTCCAAGATTCTGTCACGGGCACTGATGAAAAGAAAATATAGTAACTTACGTACAATGTCATTATCAGGTTGGTTCTTTTTTAAATGAAATCAGCGTTGGAAATTAGATATTTCACTATACTGTAGTTATATCAGAGATTTATGCAAATTTAACTCTCAATTTACAAATTGGTTTTTAAGTTGTAACGAGCGCTATTTAGAAAAAAAACACACTAAGTAGGTTGGTTCTTGGATAGTCAATAATGAGGTGAATTTGTGGTTATTTTGAATATTGTATTACATCGAATTAATTACATTTATTGTCTTGTTGAAAGTTCACATTGACTTAGACGAGTGTAGGTATTGTGTTACGTTTTATACGCCCACATTGTCATGTGGATGTACATGTATTATGTCGTCGCCCCTGTCCATCCGTCCGCCCGTCCACTATTTTGTGGACACTCTACAGGTCACAATTTTTATCCGATATTTAGATATTGGCAAGTATCGGACCATAACTTGATGGATTATGGTCCCTGATTTGTTCGAAAAATCACGTTTCTAGCTTGTTGACACTCTAAGAGGTCACAACTTTCATCTGATTTTGATGAAACTTGAAATGCATATTTATAACCCAAAGATCTTAGTTCCTATCGATATTTGCGCATATCAGATCGTAACTATTTGAACCTGTAGTCTAATGACGTTTCAATAACAGTTTATTAAATTCAGAATGACAATTATTATCCGATTAAAAAATAAATGCTTAAATTAAGTTAAATATACCACCGCGACACTATAATGTCGGTTGGGTTCAAATTTCGTGAAAATCAAACGAAACTGCCCAACAAAATGTAATGGCCGCTCCTTGTACGCAAATAGTGTAAAAGTATGTAATACCAAGGTTGTGGACCCTCTAGAATTCACAATTTGTATCCGATTTTGATGAAACTTAAAATATATACTTTTATCCCAAATATCTCAGTCTCTGTCGATATTTGCGCATTTCCGACCATAACTTCCTGGATAATGGCCCCTGACGTTCGGAGCAGAACAGTAGGACGCTAAACCCCATTTCATTTCATGGCCCCTGATTGTACGAAAGGTCGCCTTTTTAAAGCTTGTTCTTTATCCATCTCTTGCAAAATGTGGGCGTATCTTGCCTGGCAACCACTGGTTTATATTTCTGTCATGGTAAACCCCTACTGAAGAAGATACCAATGGTTTTCCAACCGTGTTGCTTGTTCCGGAGGGTTCCGATAACAGTTCAAGCTTCAGCACCCATCAAATGTAGGTCTACCAACATTTCCACTGTCGGTTGTGTTGTAGTATTATTGAACTCGGGTTAATAATACCGCGGACCTGGCAAATTTCATAAGCAATAAATGTGTCAGATCTGGCATGAAATATATTGTAATTAATGGAATTTCCCAATAAGGCCATTCTTGTAGAACGGAAACTATAGTTACACGGCTGATGGTGGCAGATTGGAAAAGGTGAGCGGTAACATTACGACCCATGAAAAATTCGTCAGACTGGGTGCGAAAAATAGCATTATAAGAAATAAAGAAGAAATTATTTGCATGTTCGGCAGATTATTTCACGGGGGAGCTTAGTCAGAGATAAACAGCATGTAAAAACATCGCACTATTTGAACCTGTGTCTAATGACGTTTCAATAACAGTTTATTAAATTCAGAATGACAAAAGCTACTCTTTTCTAAGAACCATGGTTTTTTTGTATGTAGCGTAAACAACATCATATCATATATAAATTTAATTAAACCTTAGAGCGACCACCTCCAAGTTTATTGTTTACCAAATTTCATTTCAAACCATTGCAATGGGACGTTCGTGTCAGCGTGACATATACAACAAAAGATCTATTTATGAAGTGATAAGTAATATTATAAACAGTATGTTGTTCAGTAAGTTCAACACATACAGACCATGTTAAATCCGCTCTAAATGGCGAACATTCTGTACATTATAAAATTAATGTTTAACGCCATTTGACAAATTCTAATTTAAGTGATGACTACTCTTTTCGTAAAAACTGCACACCTAACCATAGAAATTAAAATGATCATACATAAAGCCCCATCCAGACAATCATAAAAACATCAGCATATTTTGTTTGACGTTGTGGATTTTCGTCCACACGGTTCGACATCATTTGACATCTGTATGACCATTAACAACAGGAGTTTGAATTTCAATTCATATATACATACACCATACCCTACTAGACAATATATTAATATGTGTCATCTATTTATTTGGAGTTGGGGCGGGGGACATCAGCCTTACCGTTGGCTTGTTTATCATTATTTTTTTTTATCAGAATGTATGATTCCATTTCCCTTGGGGAGTTGGGTGGCCGAGTAGTCTAGCGAACAAGTTGTAAATCATAAGGCCTGTCATCTTCGATAGAAGGCTTGACTAGATCTTTAGATTATACCGAGAGAAGATTTGTCATTGTACAAGTTGTGGGTTAAATCCCAAGTGTCTTCATGACAAATAGTAGGGTCATCTGTCTAATCCCGTTGCCCCCCCCCCCACACCCACTTCTTAAGGCCCATGCTCGAAAGCGGATTATTCAATAACTGAAATTAATTACCCATGTTAGTTGGATAGGAACTGGGATTTGGATGGCTTAATGGTTAGCACGTGCGTGCTGTATCATAAAGTCTGTCATTGAGTCAACTGGCGTGGTTTCGAATCCCCGGTTGTACGTGATATGGAGTAGGGTCGCCTGTCCATCTTCGTGGGTTTTCTCCGGGTCCTCCGGTTTACTCCCACTGCTAAAGACCCCTACGCGCAAGCGAATTATGGAAATAAAATTGAACCATATGTTAGTCCCGAAATGACCTAGTTTATGCCGAGTGGACGTTAAACCCCCATTTCTCTCTCTCTCAATCTCTCTCTCTCTCTCTCTCTCTCTCTCTGTGGATAGGAACTAGTTAGTTTCAAGTGCACCACATGTGATTACATTTCTCCCCAATTGTATCCACGTGTCTATATCCTATCATTCTACATTTTTGTGATATCTTTTATAATAATATTGCTTCATTTATTGTTTACGATATGTATTTTATCAACAATAGCCTATCAAAGTCTCGACAAATAGAAAATCTTACATTCATATACACAGATTATATGGTTATCAATGGACCTTTTGGTCATTTCATATATTCTGATTATTTGCTAATGAACTACCCCTTTCATTTTTGGTCTATATACATAGATTTATAATGCCTACAATACTAGCTTTTTCGGCTAGTTGTCGGGAACAACGGCGTTATTTTTCTCTGGTAACAAAAAGTGCAAGAACCTTACCATACAACCAAATTCGAATGTCTAATGATTATTTTATTCAATATTTACCTAGTCCGACTTTGGGCACTGCTTTCTCTCTAAATGGATAACTATTTAATCCAGTGAAGTAATTTAATCCGGCCACAGTATTTGTTGAATGACGTTGAGAATCTACGTTAAGTGAATTAACGGGTATACGCCCATTCCATTTGCTTATTTTTGTTGAGTTATAATTGTTCGGCGGAAATGGTAGACTATATTTTGGAGAAGCAAATATTCCATCATCGTTCACTGAACATATTGGCACATCTAATAAACCTGTGTGTGAAAAAAACAACAAAGTAATCATAAAGTTATTCATATTTTAACTTTGCTTTATAACAAAATACAAACGTACAGCCTACGTCTTTTACTGTTCATTTATTTATACCACAAAGAAAAGGCAGATCTAAAATTATTTTAACGATATAAAACCTTATAAACGATCAAAGATCTTATAAACAATTCGGTGAAAGCTGGAATTGTGGTGTGTTTGGTTTTCTGTGTGTTTGGAAACCCGTTTGTTGCATAAATTGGCAGAATACCTTTATTTTAATTGGTTTACATACCTTTAAAATGTCTAACTCGACTAGGATGAGGGTTGTGTCTGGTGAAGAACTGACTACGACTAAGTTGACCAAAACGATTTCCTCCTTGCGTTGCTGGACGCTGCCGTAAAAAACTATCACTGGCAACTGGTACACCGTTAGATATGTTATCGCGAACAACTAGTCCAGCGGGTCCTGTATTCGGACGAAAAACTTCTGAAAGACTCATCCTGTAAGATACCAGAAACCATTAAAATTATTGAAACTGTTGTAAGAGACAATACACCTTAACATACATTAGGAAAGAGCTATATCTGCCTATTGCAGGTCTTTCTTTAGGCCCGAAATTTTATATAAACTATTGATTAGGCATTTATTAACAAAACATAACCATAATCAACTCTCGATGGCAACGAATTCGTCCATGGCCTGAATGGCTATTGATTAGGATCGATTGTGCCCGAATTTTATTACACTGAGTTTTTATTTTAAGAAACGCTTTACAATCTATATTGTCTTCCCTCAGTAAGTTATTTACCAATTTGAGTTACCGTAAGCATTTTCACAAAAGTAGTTCCAGATCTACTGTGTCTAATTGATAGACTGTCCACCTAAGAGTTTTAAAGTGCTCGTATTCAATCCACACAGTTAAACTTTTGACCAATTTTCATCAAATTTCCAAGAATATTAAAGGGACAATAACACTCTTGCTGGCTTGAAAGCTCCAGAAAATAAATAATATCTCTATCTAAGTACTAGATGTTTAAGTGTCCTACCTGTTGTGTAAATTATCTATTACATCCTATTTTACTTGTCCAGAGGGTTCGAAAATATTTTTAAATCGAAGTTTCATTTGAAAAGGTTTACGTTAGACGTTTCAAACCATTATGTTGAATATTTCAAAATTTTGAAATAAGGTGTGTTAAGATGAAATTTGTATCATCAATTAATTGAAATATTCTAAAATAGTACAATTTGTTGACCAGAATAAAGATTGGGACATATCATTCAGTTACAACAAGAGTGGTATTGAGCCTTTAAGTATTATCAAAGTTTTTTTTGTGTGCAAAAGTAAGATTCTTTAGTCGACAAACTCTAATGTTATGGAATGTGTTCTTCATTACGCAATTACCAGTATAACATGTAAATATTCTGTTTTTTAACTCGATGTCAGATTGGTATGAACTTTGTACACACTGTTTAGATAGGGTAGAGTGGTTTGTTTGTTAGAGTATTTAATATTATCTTTTGTTTATCATTCTCTTATCCTTTGTTCAACTACCAGTTATATTCACTTCATTATTAAATATACAACGATAAAGTCAGAAAAAATCAATCAATCACTTATGGCACTGAAAATCTCTAAAATAATGACCCTTCCATGTTATTATCATAACAGTCAGTGTAGAAAAGTAGGACGTTAAACCCCAGGAGTCAAAATGAAATGAAATAAATTGGTTAAATTTTGATTAAATTTATATTTATAATATATACTTATTTAAAGGGGTATACTATTATGTAAATAAAATGTATTCTATAATATGTCGTTTATTAGTTGGAAATAATAGACCGCGGTTTGCAATGTATTTATACAATACAATATTGCATAAATTTTGGATGAGTGGTCTTAAATTAATTCAAATGATATTGTGCCTGTCAAATTTGTGTCATGTATGAAGAGAATATTTTTCGATATGAGTAATTAGATATCGTTACATTGGCGATATAATCGCTGCAACGCATCATTAGGTGACATGATCACTCTCATTTTATCACATATTATACGATACACTCTAAGCAGGGCGTAATCTAGCGTGGCCTTAGAAACCAAAAGCACTGAAGATACTAGCAGTAATAAATTGTTATTATTAACCATAACTGAATACCAATACTATGCCATGTCATCGTAAATAAACAAAGGAAATAAATAAATGAAGGCACATTGTCTTCTCCCATAGAGCATTTTATTAATTGGGTCTACATGTACATGTGTTATGTTTAACGGTATGTCAGAGGAGAGGTGTTTTTCTGCACTAAGTCTAAGGTTTTAAGTTAACATACACGGTCGATTAATATTCCATAAAAATAACACGGGGTCGTAACATTACATTTATTATTATTTATATTTAGGTGAATTGAAACATGTCAATACATAGGTTTTCAATAGAATCTTACAAATATTATAGTATATAGTAGTGATAGTAAATTGTACACTATTATTATCATATTTTATTGTTACATGTACTATAAGAATTCTTCAATATGTTTACTGAAACGAACACCATAACAATGTCATAATAGTATTACAATTTCTGTTTTTCGAGCTTCGGCGTTGTATATCGCGTGATCTTTACACAATAGGAAGCAGTCAGATTAAAACATATTCGACAATAAAGTACATTTTCATTATTGGACCGGTATTAGATCAATACTTCTTCTTGCAATTACTACTATGTATACATCAATCATTTTTTATTGAATGAAATAGACACGAAACTTACATCTAAAACAATGACAACTATCACTTGCCATTCTGTCTTTAAAATTTTGTGAAATGAGAAGATCAATATGAAGAATCCTTCAGGTGTAACATAAAAAACCTTTGGAAATGAGTTGTATCACGTGCACGATCCCACCCACCACTACTTATAGCTAACATGGATCGGTATAAGTTAAAATTTCTACAATAAAACGAATTTTGCTATGCTGAATAAGTATTCAATTACATTTCGTCAGTAATGACCTTACCTCACACCCACGGGCGAATTGTTTGTCATGTTAATGGGTTTAAGACTGGAATATTGAAGGAATACGGTTTATGGAGAGACTTCCACCATAAATACATTTAGATGCAATAATTGCATGTCTATAAATAATAGTTGTTACAGACTGTTTAATCATGTAGATTTAATACGCAAACATGGTCACGCAATCGTCTTTAAGACTACCCTGTGGGTTATATGAAATCTCAACATGCCCCTAATTGATATTTACAAATAATCGATTAATGCACAAACGAGGAACTTTTAGAGAGGTTTTCTCGAAAATGTAAAATAAAAAAAAAAATGATTTGTAGAATTGGACGTAAAGTCCTGTAGATAAACAAGGCAAAATATGTATTGACGCTACTGACAAAGCTGATGCACTGAATAAATATTTTGCTGAACAATCAAATTTAGAAAATTCAAACGACGACCCACCATTTAGAAACCCCCAAATTCAAGGAGTCTGAAATACGAGATATTATCACACCATTTGCAGTAGGTAAAGCTGAAATACCAGCCTGTATAAATCATAAAAATCATTTACAAATCTGTTCAACTTTCTATAAGAAAACTCAGTATTCTCAGATCAATAGAAAGAAGCACAATATATTGCGCCTATATTAAAGAAGGGTACATCATCGTCAATTATTAATTACCGTCCAATATCCCTATTAAGTTCCATTAGTAAAATATTCGAAAGGTGTCTTTACAATTTTCTTCTTGATCATAAGATACTAACACCATTCCAATCTGGTTTTATTAAGAAGGACTCCACAGTTTGTCAACTTCTTGATCTATATGACCAGATCTGTAAAGCCCTTGACGAAGGTAAAGAAGTGCGATCTGTGTATTTCGATATAGGTAAGGCCTTTGATAAGGTCTGGCATCGAGGTCTTCTTGCTAAGTTTGACACTATCGGTATATCCGTGGCAATATTTATAGGCTTCTAGAAAGTTACTTATCAGATAGACAACAACGGGTAGTTTCTTCAAACTCGTCATTGATTCACGCAGGAGTACCACAGGGATCAGTATTAGGCCCTTTACTTTTCGTTTTCCGTTGTCTACATAAATGATCTTGTTAACGATATAACATCAAATATACGACTTTTCGCAGACGATACGTCGCTCTATCTTGTCATTGAAGACCCCGTTTCATCTCAAAGAATTTTAAACTCCGATCTTTGCACAATCAGCAAATGGGATTCTACGTGGAAAGATGCCTTGATTATTTCCTGAATGATTTTTTAGTTGAAAATACTTGTTTTACTTACTGCATCTTGATTGACGCTATGTATCTTGATTATTATTACTACCATTATTATTGTACACTGTGAAAACTAAATATAAAATTACAGTGAAAATAACGTTGTAAAAATGCCACTGCATGTTTTTATACTACAAAGTTACTGTATTAGTGCGGTAACATGGGATTACTGTAAAAATTGGTAAATTAACCATAAAAGTGTAGTTTTACAAGTTAGAGCTGTATTTTGTTACATGTAACTATGTTTGTTAACATACATAGATGTATGTTGTATTTTAACTGTTTTTATGGGTAATTCTCTATTCAAACATGTTTAAATACGGGATTTGTGTACAATTTACAGGAAACGTGTAATTGTACACATCTCGGTGGCTAAGTGGGTAAGACGCTGGCTCGCTAGCCTGGAGGTCGAAAGTTCATCCAGATTTTCCAGTGTGGTTCCCCCTTGTCAGTGATGCAGGCCGGACAAGGATAGCTGCCTAGTCGTTCGGATGGGACGAAACACCGAGGTTCCGTGGACACATTGGCGTGCACGTAAAAGATTCCTATTAATCTGTTAAAAGTATGTATATATTTAAAGTTATACGTATACTTAAAATACAGTGTCCGATTTGGAACATCACATGGTTTGTTAACTTGAATGCATATGAATACAAGGCTTATGTAAGATTACATCAAACGTAATATAGAAATACAACCATATTATGTCAGTTTACATTATGTAAACTGTATATTAACAGAAATGCCATTTGAATTATTATTTTTACAGCAAATTGTAAATTAACTGTCAAATAGTGACCACATCGGTTATTCCCTCTTCGGCCACATGTAAGATTACATCAAACGTAAAGTAAATACAACCATATGTCATTTTACATTGTATGAGCTGTATATTAATAGAAATGCCATTTGAAATAGTATTTTTACAACAAAATTGTAAATTTACTGTCAAATAGTGTTCAAATCGGTTATTCCCCTTCGACCACATATCGAATTTTGTGCAACATATTTACTGTTATGTCAGTCAGATTAGTCTATTTTAAAGAAATAGGTTATTCAAAATCTGATTGCACCTAACAGGCGTATGGAGACAGTGATATGCCATACATTGGCTTGTGTGGGACATGTTGCTTCGTGTCACGCCCCCTACTCTTTCCATTGTAAGAAGCAGAACAGTAGGACGTTAAACCCCATTTTATTTAATTTCTTTCCAATATCTAATGAGGTTTTGCATGCTCGGCTGAAAGGTTAGCATAACTTTATGTGTTCGCCAGGATCGAACCTAGGACTACTTAGCCGAGTGGGGAAAAACACATTCCCTTTAAAAATGTCACCTTTTCAAAGTATATTTCAGGTAAATATACGCTTCGAATTGTATTTTTACTGTAAAATGACTGGTAGAAAGTTGCCAGTAAAATCACTGTATTTTAACACTGACTTGTAAATGTACTTTGCCTGGATAGCGGCGCTTCGGCCTACTCTTATACTGAATTCCAACTGCCACGGGGTCTTTTACGTGCACGCCAATATGTAAATGGAGCCTCGTTTTTCATCCCATCCGAACGACTATACGTTATCCCTTCCAGGCCCTCAGTTCTGCACCACTGTCAAAGAGGAATCACTCCGGAAATGGGGTTTAATGTCCTACTTTTCTGGTAGTCACGGTGACTCAGTAAGTAAGACGTTGGCTCTCTAACGTTGAGGTCTCGTGTTCGATCACTGCGTTGGCCGAGAAAGCTCATCGGGAATTTTCCGTTGTGATTACTCTTTACAGTGTCTGTAAATAATTTATTACGGGAAATGGATTAATATGAGTTCCGGCTTGTTTTCAGATCTCATAGTTAAATATTGTATCTTTATAGTATGTAAATATTGATTGAATAAATATTGTTAAGACAAAAATAAAGTCCTATTCCCCAATCCCATTCAGACAACCTGAATAAAATATTGTTTTTAAAAAAAAGTCCATTTAATCTAATACCAATAGGCCTACACAACCCAGTTTGTCAAAAGTAAAGTGTATTATTCCACACACGCTTCGTTGTATATACGATACTTACGTCTATTATTGTACATACATCATAATATAGCTTAGGTAAATTATTTTCTGAATATTAAGCGATTAACATATTGTTGATGATCATGTAAGTGTACTAAGTGTAAACATGAATCCAATATTATAGTCATACCGAATCAATTAGGATTGATCCATATACAGGATCTAACTCAATCAATTATATATTTCAGCAAGTAAATTATCAAAGGCACTTTTATAATATTCAATTTTAATAGATACTGCATGCAAATAGATGTTAGCGATTTGGTGCGACTTTGCCAATTGGGATCTTCTTCTCTCTTTTTTTTAGATTCTATATATTCTACCCCACACCTAAGTTATCATTTGAATACCAGTTGTCAACAGATTTTCTCAGTACATTCAATATCTAATTATATACATGTTGTTCTATCGTAACGATAAAACCTACACCCTAGCTTGTCCAGCAAACACAGAGGTTATCATTGAAAAATCAAAAATGCGCTGGAAAATTTCATTTGGGGTCACGCCGGTATTCCAGCATACCTATAATATACTTATAGGCAGCTGAAATCCGGAGATGGTGGCAACACCGCGGTTCAGAGGCCTAAAATGCGCAAAATATAAGACATGAATGCCTAAATTTGATTTTCATTTTTCTTTACATTGGTCATCGAAACCATATGATTATCTACGGGAGGTTATCAGGTAGCATACAACCAGTTGGTAATACCTTTAACACGTGGTAACATGTTTTTCTATATTAAATACTCGTCAAATATAATCTATATATAAACGTGATCAAGTGTGACCAAATAATACAACAATAGACATATATTAACAATAGACCGTAATTTATCGATACACGTATATAATAGTTTTTAACACTAACAACATATACCAAACCTTAACAAACTTTAACGATACACACATTCCAATTTCTCAATTTGATCCAATCAATAAAACTAAAACTTTAATGATATCCAATGCTTTAAAACTAATCATGATATAAATTAGACCATGAATTATTCTGTATATAAACATTTTACACCTTTTCCTCGTTTTTATTCTGGATTTTGAACATTTGTACTAATGTCTTATAATTACAAAATAAATTTCATATTCAGTGAATTTTATGCACTTGAATGTTAAAAACTGGTTTGTATATACACACGTTATATTGACTTTTAATACTATGATATGAAAACACGTTTATTGAAAATCCAGAATCGATACACGGTGTCACATATAATATCTTCTTTACTATTCTTGATATAAAAGGCCACTTATGCGTTAACGTCATCGATTCAATTCAAATAAATTGATTGATGGGAATTGGCATATAATCTATAAGATTTTTTAATTTAGTCTACTTGTAAAGTTTTTGTACCACAAGTAATCACCACCTATTTCAAACCTGATTGTGACTTGTTGAACTATTCTTACACTGTTGACGATTTGATTTTGCAAAAAAAGATGCGCAGAAAGTTATATCTGTTTTGTATAACTTTAAATTATTCTCGTGTTCAGACTAACGTAATGATATAGTTACAGGACAGTGTCATTAATATTACATAAGAACTTAACGGCCCAGTAGTCCTTCAACACCTAAATATTTATCACCGATCAATTGAAATGAAGGAACCATGATATATAGAGATTGTTTACCGCTTTGTATCATACAAAATATTCACTTTGTCATTATATAAAATATTAATCATTTTATGAAGTCACCGATGTTTGTTTAATGCACCAGGAATATTTGTTTAATACAGGTTAACTGGAGTAGCAGTTATGTCACAAACGATCGAAAAATCAATACCAAAAGCATTTAGTTAGATTTATAGATTGTATATCCAGTTGAAGATATTGTCATGAGTTCAGATTTATTTCCCTAATATTGGGTAGTTACCCTTTCTGTTCATACACATTCAATTTTTCCTTCAATTAATTGACGAAGAAATTGAACGTGTATGGAGGACATTGAAGGGAATTAATTGAAACAATTTAATTGAATCAATTAACTGACGGATCAAAGTTCTTTGATATTTATTGACGACTCGTCAATTAAACTGACCGTGTGCAAGAACATTGCTAGTGCCAGAGATGCTTTCAGGAAATTAAAGCGACTTAAATCAAATTGTTAAATGTACTTTTTATCTTGTAACAAATATCGTATATACCACATTGTACCTTTCATTGCCAAAGATTTCCAAACGGTATAAATGTAATATTATTCTTCCACTCTGTTCTGTAATGATTTCTATTCAAATATTAACATTACTATTAATCCCAAATAAATAGTTTACTAACCCTGAAATATTAGAAATTAATTTGGCTTACCTGTATTAGTTTAGTTGTCTCGAACAATAAACACGATGAAACGGTAACCGTCCTTTAGAAGCAGACGACAAGCTTTCAAGACACAATTCCCCTTTTTGTAGCTTAGTAACCAAGGACGCTATATCTATATCCGGTGAGTGTACACTACATTTAACAATACGCACACGAGGATTAATGTTCTAATCGGATAACACAGAAATCTAGGTGTGCGATAACATCAAGATTACAACGCTTGCATAATAGTCGTAAAGCAGATTTATTATATTATAAAATATACATACATATTTATTCTGCTTGATTAGAAGCATTTGACTCAAAACTAGTAATTAGTCCACAACAACATTCTTGAGGAATAATAAATTTGATACTGCCATGGGGATTATAAGATCTTAAAATGAAATGACATTTATGGATAGTTGATTTCCTCTGTAGGTGATACCAGGATAAAAACCTGGATTGTTCATTTCCGAAAAATATGTAAATATGAACACGAGACGCCATTATGTACTCAGTCTGTCTATTCCAACTAGACGTTACTATAGAACCCCGAAAGGTCACCTCTTTTAAATTCTTACAAAATGATGGTCTTCGATAAAATTAGTAAGGAGAGGAGAGGCAAATCCAATCGCCCAAAGGATATGGTCTCAAACCAAACAAATTTGCTGGGGGTGTGAGTGTGTGTGTGGGTGGGTTTGTGTGTGTGTGGGGGGGGGGGGGGTGCTCCCAAACCATCCCCAGTTTTGCACTATTACTCAGTTGCTGCAAAAAGAATAATGGTAAGGTTTGTGCAAAATTGGTTTCAAAGCCTTGCTCTGTTGAAATTATTATACATTATTAATGTATTTTTACCCTTTTTAACTGGCAGAAATATTGCCATTGTTATAACTGTATTTTAACATTGCATGTTATTTCACAGTCTGTAATGTATCTTTACCTCTAGCTATTATACATCCAAGGATAATTTACATATCTGTAAATGGAGTACATGTAAAATTATCATGATGTTAATTACATAAATTTGTACAATAACATTTAATACAAAAGAATATTGTGTATTTTGACAGAGTTTATGTATTAATACCACATAACTATTGTAGAATTATATATTACGTAATTTGCCAAGGTAACATTACTAAAAGGAATGTGTTTGTCCCCGCTTGGCTAATTAGTCCTAGGTTCTATCCTGGCGAACACAGAAAGTTTCAGCCGAGCACGTAACACAACATTCGATAATGTAAAGAAATTGTGTGAGTTAGTTGTATTTTACGTCCGCTTCCACCGAGGTAATATCGCAGACAATAAAGAAATTAAATGAAATGGGGTTTAATGTGCTACTGTTCTGCTCCTTACAATGGAAGAGTAGGTGGCATGACACCGCCCTAGCAAAATGCCCCACACAACTCAATGCAATGTATGGCATAATATGTTTTTATTAGCCAGTTCACGAACCTTATAATACAAGAGGCTGGCTCCCTAGCCTGCAGCTCTCGGGTTCGCTGCCGGTGTTGGCCGAGAAAGTTCCTCGGAGGACCTGACAAGGTTAGCTGTCTATTCGTTCGAATAGAACGAAAAACCGAACCACGTGTACACATTGGCGTGCACGTAAAAGAACCCTTGACAGTTGGACTTTGATATAACAATATGCCGTAGCGCCGCTATCTGGCAAAATGCCCGTGTCATAGTACACTGCATGGCGTATACCGGTCTTAATTAGCGTTGTCGGTACAGAAAAGTCGGACGTTGAACCCCATTTGATTTCATTTCTGATTGAGTAGATACTATAGTATCTTTAAAACTAATATTATGATCAAAAATAAATCTCATGACACAAGTTATGGGAGTGTAATTTTTCGTTTTGTTCATTCTTGCCAAAGATTCCCACTGCTTATATATAGGACTGAAAGTGCCTATATTTTGGGCTCATAACCCAGACAAACAAGCTAAAACATATGAATACACGCTCTTCAATTTTGAAATTCGATATTTTTAAAAATGGGTATGTTTTTAATAACCGTGGTTAATTAAAGTAGATTGTTCATAATATTATAAGGGATGAAAACCGCCAAAAAATTATTTGAATAATTACACTATAATTGTAGATGTCGGTGTTGTCGCATGAAAAGTTCTTACTTTTCAATCGACTGAATAATCGATAGAAATTGGTGAATATTTTTGTAAGGTAAATTACCACATATTACATACACTGCAGATCTAAATCTACTAGTCTATATTGAAAGCTGTTTTTACAACTTTGGCTAAAAGTAGTTTAAAGATGCATTCAGCTAAATCTGCCTAGGTTTTTATTTTGGCTTCAAATGTTATATAAATTATTATTTAGAAAATTATTCACATGACAAACCTATAATCAATTCTCTGGATCATCAGATGGCGCAGATGTAAAGGGATTATAATACGACCGCGATTTTTAATGATTTAATTTTAAAATGGAGAAACGAGGCCGAGTCTCGATTCACAAGTATATAACGCTGCTACGATAATAAATAAGCTATGCCAAAACTTCAGCAGTGATAACGTCGCTCGGAATAAACTAATTTGAATGAAATTTTCAATATATTAATTTTGAATTATCTGTTTTAGAACTATTATAGCTCTTTATCTAAATCTTACATAATGCATCTTTAACAGGACTATAAGTTAACCATTTTACTTTAAGCAAAAGAAACTGGTTAAATATGGAATTTGGTTAAATATGGAATTTACCCTGTGGCAGCTGATCGGAGTTTCAATGATTGGCAAACGTAAATCATACGAAAACTGACACTTTTAAACAATTAACAATATTACATTTCACACTAAAAGCAAATATAGTGACATAGTAATACTTTTATGTCGTTAAAAATAATTGGAAATCGTAGCCTACAGTAACCTATCAAGAATAATTTCTTTTAAACCTCCATATCTTAGTGCCCTTACATTAAGCTATAGGTGAATTTTATCGATTTGAAACAAACAAAATTGTCCTTCTAAATCGCAATAAACTATGTGATAATACACAGAAGCGGATATCATGGGCAATGCTTGGACTGAGTGATAACTCATTACTGTCGACGGCTACTTTTATTATTTTCTGCACACCTTTTGGTAAATAGAACAAGCTGTTTCCAAAGCTCCGGCATTTATTTCACATATATAAGCACCTGAACAAAGTAAAGGGCATATATTATTACTCATTTATCTGGAACATTCAGATAGCCCTATTTTCACTTTCGTGAACAACAATTCTTAAAATAAAACAATGGATGAAAAACCCAAATCTGTGTAGCATATCGTTGGAGAATGGTCAGTTTTCGTAGACCTCGTGGTAAAACCAATGCATTAATATTATTTTTTTTTGTTATCTTGCCTGTGATTTTTATTATTTCCTGGAAATGGAAAAATATCCATCGCGGATGCCAGACTATACAGCAATATATACCATTGACAACTACTTTCCCGCAAAAAACAACATTAGATGTAACACCAGTTTATATCGTAGAGGAACATCATGAAGGTATGTAATTGGTTTATATTTGAGGAGTGGCATATAATTTTGCCCCTCTATTGGTGTTCTAAGAGAAAGATATGATATTCCAGGGATGGAATATAAATGTAAGGCTATCTCTCGGTAGTCCTTATGTGAAATTCCATTATCCAAAGATTAAACTGTATATCTAAATTGAGATATTGCCTGTGGACGTCTCACAAGTCTGATAAATTTTCTCAGTGGTATATAATTACCCCACAGGTTGTACATAGTTCCAGGTGATAATGTGCACACACCAGATGTGTATATATTTCCCAATGAACATTTCCATACACCCTATCTAATAACTAACACTGACAATATTCATACACCCGATGGGTATACAGTATAGTTGAAAGTGAAAATGTTCATACACCCGATAATGTATATATTTTCCAGTGGATATGTCCATACACCCGATGTGTAAATATTTCTCAGTAAATATGTTCATACACCCGATATATATTACATATATCCTAATGAACCAGGTGCATACACCTGGAGTGTTTATATTTACTCTGTACAAAAGATCCGTCAAACTACGACCGGTGTCCAGTAAAATATTACTGGGTGTATACGGAAAATACATGGTAAACTATGCTTGTAATGCAGTGATTTTGTCCATTTTCAGTTTTGCCGTATTGGTTTAAATCTGCAGATAGGGGTTTAATACCGAAGAAAGGAAATGTTTTGGTAAGTCTTTCACTTAGTAGCTAACAGAGTATCTCCGACGTCTGCTTCACAAATAGAACTTATCTGAATATTTCTGATTCATTTCAGTTACATATAGATGGTCATTCTGATGGCGCACCACCAGATAGATTTGACATAATATCATTGTTTAAATATCCTAAAATAAAGGATGAAATTCGAGCCCTGATGCAAGCAAATGACGTATTTATAGCGGTAAGTTTATCCTTCTGTTATTCTTTACACCATACTATATTTCAAGAAATTAACCACAAAAGAAATGATATTTGAAAACAGTTTGTTATAGTAAATTTTAAAGAAAAGTGTATGTCCTGTCCCTACCAATTTGACTTATGTAGCTGAGCCTTTGCTAATCTTGTATTCCCTTTTCTACTAGGGTCGCCTGTCCAGCCTCGTGGGTTTTCTCCGGGTCCTCCGGTTTCCTCCGACTGCTAAAGACCCCGATGCGCAAGCGAATTATTGAAATGAAAAATTAAACCATATGTTAGTCCCGAAATGACCTAGTTTGTGTCGAGTGGACGTTAAACCCCATTTCTCTCTCTCTCTCCCTTTTCTACTAGTGACATTTCAATGCACAAATATGTTTACCAATCAGTCATACTGTAACCCCAAACTACAATTAATGTGAGTTTACGTCCGCTACCCTAAAAGTACGTAGTTCATGGTATTATACGCCCGCTTATACGCAGGTCCTTTTGATTGATTTGGTGATTAGATCCATTTCTATCAATTGTGAATAGAAGTCTTCATCGCACCCCCCCCCCCCCCTTTGTTGTTTTCCGTTAGACTAACTGGGTATTCTCCTATTGGTGAGGGTCTTGGGGATCTTGGCGGTATTCATATTCTTCTTTTCTGTAGCATTCCTTGTTGTTTTCCAGAGGTTTATTGTTTTAATATATTTCCCCTGTAACTTATACACAGTTTGTTTGACTCCATTGACTTTAATTCGTTTCACTGAATTTGGAACTGGGCTTGGAGTTGTTGTGACTGTGTTTTAACCGAGGCCGTGTCTCTTTCTTTCCATTTCCAGTCCACATAATAATATGCGCATTTGTATAGCGTCAATTCCACACTTAAAGTATGCTCTATGCGCTTTCTACACACAATTTTAAATTAAATACTAGAACTGCGATGCAGTAATGACGGGTTTCACCGGTGCCACGTTACCCTAAACATATGTCACTTCCGGTACCAATGAAACCATTAAACAGGTTTCCACCTCACCATTGCACACATCAAATAAAATGGACGCCGAATCAACCAAATCCAGCAATATCAATTCATTTTATATATTTGTTACATGTAAGTGTACAGTACTTCCGGTGATAATGAAAATATTCAATTAGTTTTATGAAATCAGAAATGGCATAAGGCATCACATGGTGAAAATTTTATGTAAATCGAATAATAATTGCCACTTTTATAGACCAAAAACCTTAAAAAGTGACTTGTAGAAAACCGTCAATTCCTCTGCAACCATACAAGTTAGAAACCATTTTCTGGAATCTGTATGATCGTATGGGTTTATTCTATTTGTTGATTGGAATCAAATATCATAATTTTAAAAACATAACAACTCAGACTCATTTGACTAAAATATCTGTTTTGAAAGCTAAAAATACAGTTTTTGCCAAAATGACGTTACTTCCGGTGATAATGAAAATCTTAAATTACTTGTATGAAATCGTAAATGGCATTAGGTATCACATAGTGAAAATTTCATGAAAATCGAATAATAATTGACACTTTTATGGACAAAAAACCTTGAAAAGTGACCTGTTGAAAATTACCTATTTCTCTACAACTGAACAAGTTAGAAACCATTTTGTGATACCTATATGATCGTATGGGTTCATTCTATTAGTTGATTAGAATCAAATATCAAAATATTAAACAAACAACAAATACGACTCATTTCAATAAATTATTTGTTTCTAAGGCTATAAATACAGTTTTTACCCAAATTTCGTCATTTCCGGTGACATGGAAAATGTTAAATTGAGTTGAACTAGTCACAATTGACATTACGCATCAAATGGTGTCACTTTTATGAAAATCCAATAATAATTGACTCTTTTACAGACACAATAGCGTAAAGAGTGACTCATGCAAAATTGACCATTTCTCGGCAACTGCTCATATTACAAACTAATTTTGAGATAGATTCTCTTCGTATGGATTAATGCTACAAGTTTATGAAAGTTGCGAAGAAATATTTTAAAATATCAAAATGACCCGAAAACGAAATTGAAATTAAAAAAACTGAGCCCGATGTTTTCTGCGCTTTACAGGGCACACACTTTCAGTCATACCAGATTTGAAAAAAATAATATTTGCTTTCAAAAAGTGGTACCGAACTGTCAAAATTGTAGTTTTTGCTAAATTTACGTCACTTCCGTTGCCGAAAGGTAACTTTACCGGTAACAAAAAAAATGACATTTTGGATTACGGAGCATATGAACTTTGTTTTATACAAATTGAGCAATAAATAATTAATCCAGGACTGAAAAACTGAATTAGCCAATGGGGGTCATGGAAATTTACGATGACAAAAAATGGTGCCATTTTTGGTCAAATCAGATGACTTTTTAACCCTGGGTAAAATACCACATTAAAATATTCATGAATAAAAAAGTTTTTTGTAAAAATTTAAATTTTCAAAATTTGGCGCCTAATATCTCCGACGATTCGTGGAAAATCAAAAATCTAAAGAACCGTGGCTATGTGCCTTGTCTCTGGCTATGTCAAAATGTATCCAATGTTAAAATCCGACGATTATTGTTAATATTACGGCAATATTTCAAAAATCGACAAATTCGACGATTTCGGACATTTCGCATTGTCGCAGAACGTTCGAAATAGCTTTAATCTCTAAGTCACACCCACTTTTCCAGTAAAACCGAAGACATCGAATCAATCCGACAAGTAGTTTCTGAGATACAATCAAATTGGAAAAAAAAAAAAAATAATAATAAGAAGAATAATAACTAGATCTGCATAGCAGATATCAAAGCTTTCATATAAACTTCAAAAGGGGTTATTAGAATCTATGAATCATCAACCACTCTGACGGATGTAGAAAGGAATATATTGTTACTAAATCTGTTGTACTGTTTCTTGTTATGGTAAAGAAAACATGAATACAACTATGAGATTTGTATAGAATTGGCATTAATCAATATATTTATTGTTTAATACTACATGTATATTATAGATACAAAGTGAATTAAATGAACCCAATTACATGTACTTTATATAAGCAATGTTTTTTTATTCATCGTTACTTTGAAATCACATTATTTTCATTGATGATAAAAAGGTTGTATTTGTACCGAATCCAAAAAGTATGTTGTATGACATTGCATTATCTGTACCAATTATTTATTTGCAAACCAATATACAATGTTTATTTCTACTCCAATATATTTGTTTCAACCCATGATATTTTATTCACTCTTCTCACTTAAATACAAGAATAACACACGATTAAATTACTGAAACAAGTAATGCTGGTAGATTATAATTTGATATTGTATACCATTTACTCTCTGTTAGATAAGGCGACGTGGTAATCTGTTAGATAAACATACATGGAAGTATATGTTAGATAACTACAATTTATGATATATTTTAAACCAAGGAAGTGGCCTTTCTAAAAATAAAAAAAAATAAAGGAAAATATATTTCATACAATTGTTATACTGTTACTGTTATCGTGAAGAAACATGATTGTTTATTTAATGTTGTTTATGACAAACATGTAATCATGTACATTTTTTAAATAAGAACAATTATGCTACATGTATGAATAACTCTCAAAAATTATGTTTTCATCAATCCAAGTATTTTTTTATTTGTATTACTTGATTTATACTGAATAAAGATTACACAAACATACAAAATGGTGTTGGCTGTGTGACTGAATTCCTCGTTGAGAAGTGGTATCGGGTGTCCCATAGAGAAGAAGCAAACCCTCCTTGTGATACACTTGTGAACATTTTAAAAGACCCATTTCGCTGTGTTCCAGAAAAATCCCCATTATAGCTAGTGCATTACATGGTTGTTGTTGGGGGAAAGGTGGGTCTTTTCTATTGGCAATGATTTACTTTTTATAGGCCCACATTGAAATGTGGTCGTATATTGTCGTCGCCCCCCTTTTGCTGTTAATATCCGATTGACTTTAAATTTATACGCAGTGTTTAAGGTCATAAGACGAAGAAGCCTTTGATTTGCTCTGCCCAGGCAACGTTCCTGTGCTCCGATTGCCTTCAAATATGCACAGAATGTACCTTGGGATTCTAGCTATCACATATTAAAAATAGAAGAGTGTTGGATTCCGAGAACGTTCAAAATAAATTCAAAACCCGCCCCCAAAAATCAAAGGTTTTTTGCTTAAAAAATTGCCGTATTTTATCGAATTTTTATTGTTCTTGATATCTGAGGATTTTTCTCAATTTAGTATGTGATAAATATCATCGCGGCGCAGCCAACCGCTAGAAATTCCAGAGATTTGGACCACCGGAATGATGCCTCAGCAGTCAAAAAAGGTCAAAATAGGCGATTTCGGTTTTTAGTGTCGATACATCGTTACGGTCATTTTAAAAAATTGTCTTTTAAGGATAATGTGTATAGTACCAGTACCTATCACATACGGAAGAGGCGATAAAATCTCTTTGCATTTGCAATTTCAAAATTAATTAAAACCAATATTAAATTCCGAAAATCGTTTTTTTGCTAAAACATTTTTTTTTTTAATCGGATCAAAATGGGAGTAAGGCACAGAGTCCGGGGTGGTAATGGGCGTATTGTGTCCAAATTTCATGGTTTTCGGACAATCGGTGCCGGTGTCACGGCGAAATTCCACTTTTTTCCCCTCATGGAAGCCGTAAATTGACTTGAAGCCAGGGTCCTTGAAGTTGTACAGCTGCACCCGGTGACCGATATTTATTTAACGGGGAATAAGTGATAATTCATATTATAGCAGTAAATAATTAAAATATTTCATAGGGATTATAATAATATCTATATCTTGTCTGGGTACAGGGTTAAAACCAATATTAAATTCCGAAAATCGTTTTTTTGCTAAAACTCTTTTTTTTTAATGGGATCAAAATGGGGGTAAGGCACAGAGTCCGGGGTGGTAATGGACGTATTGTGTCCAAATTTCATGGTTTTCGGACAATCGGTGCCGGTGTCACGGCGAAATTCCACTTTTTTCCCCTCATGGAAGCCGTAAATTGACTTAGAAAAAAAACGACGAAAGGCAGGTGACAAGAACAAACGACTTGAACGAATGCAGGTATCACCTTGAAATTTTCAGGGTACCTAGGTACCAACGTGAAAAGTTGCTCGCCGGAATTTAGTACTCATGGTACCTTTGGTTCCAGCGTAGCGCATGCGCGAAGTCAAATCCAGCTAAACTCGAAAACAACCTTGTCGGCACGGAAAACATCAAAGGAGAAATTCGAATAAAAAATGATACAATGATTTCACACAACAGGCCAGCTATTAGCCTCTCGATTGACAAGAGTTTCATCGCCCTCCATTCATTATAACCAATGTCATCGTGCCCTAAAGAATCAACAAATCAGCTTGCTTATCTCTGCTTACCCTAGGCAAAAAATGCTCATCTTTGAACTCAATCATGACATTGACCTAGTGAACGCCTACACCAAGTTTGAACATTCTAGCTTAATTAGAAGGAGAGTTCTTGTGTTCCAAAGTCCCGGCCCTTCAAATTGCTTCTATTTTTCATTTTCAATTCAAAATGGTGACCAGCACGTGACCGAAATCAAAATTCTGATCCGATAGATTTTTAGGTATTCCTTCCAGGATTCCGAAAATATGACGCCCGAGTCTGTAAGTAAAATAGCAAAAAAGCCTTTTTGATTTTTCACGTTTAAAGATGGTGGCACTTCCGGTTCGATGGACAAACTCCATATTTTGTGTACGAATCAGTAATTACTTGTCTAGTATCGAATTTTTTTTTTAGGTCATTCTGACCTATATTTCGACGATTTTTTTGAAAACTTTGATCCTTAATTTCACCAAGGGGAGATAATTTAGAAAATTTCCAAGGACATCATTGAAGTCGCATTGGCAAGATCTACTAACATTCTAAATTTCACGAAAATCGCACAACTATTAAAGAAGTTGTCAAATTGGTAATAACTTCCGGTTCGAAATGACAGCGACGAATTTTCGAAATGAAAAAATCCGAAATTGCAGATTTGAAGTAAATGTTTCAAGATACTCAAAGAAAAAAGAATTAGTAAAATAGGTCAAATAGTCACAGAGTTACAGCATTGTAGGTCAAATGCATTCCTTCGTAAAATTCGGTGATTTCGGATTCGTAAAACGTTTTGAAAATATATTTAATCAACAGCCACCACCAATTTTTGGGGGGATAGGTAAAAGTTTCAGAACGATCCTATGGTTAGATTCTGAGAAATCCGATTTGTGGACAAAACACAAAAAAAAAATAACAATAATAATCTTAACAGAAACAATAAGCTTTCATATGTAATATGAAAGCTTAATAAGAATAATTTTAACAAAAACAATAGTGTTTCACACAAGCTACGCAGTGTGAAACCCTAATAACGTTGAAATAGCTATGTTTTAAGTCTGGATTTGAAACACTCTATAGAAGAGGCACTTTTGATGAACATTGAAAGATCGTCCCATTTTGATGGAGCAAGAAAACTAAAAACTCTTTGCCATAAATGTTTTCAATCTTCACTTTGGGTTACGAACTGGTCATATGAACGTAAACTCCGGGAAGGCTCGTAATTTAGTTCAATTAAATAAGATGGTGCTAGGTTGTTAACACATTGACAGGTCAGTGATCAAATCTTGAAATCAATCCTTTCCAGTATTCACAGTCAATGTAAAGAGTTTAATATTGGTGATACATGAGATGTGTGTTGAGCATGAGATACTATCCTAGCGGAAGTATTGTGTATCTTTTGTAACTTCTGGATGGACTCTTTTGACACACCACAAGGCTATTGCAATAGTCTAAACGGGATAGGATTAAGGAGCGAACAAGTGTACTTGTTTCGGGGGTTAGATAATCTCTAAAGTAACATTTCCTGGTAAGATCATTGATATGACTGGAGACTATGAGGACACCTAAATTTCTGACTGACGGAGAGAGAGTAATTTCGGATTCTCCGTTACTATATGGTTAAAATTAAGTTTGTTCACACGAGTCTGTGGTCCAATGACTATCGCTTCGGTCTTGTTACCGTTTAGTTTCAGGATATTTTTTGTCATCCATACTTTGATGTCTTGGACACAATATTCCATATTGGAAATATCACGCTGCTGAGCTGACAGGTCTAACTTTTCCATCAGTTGCGTGTCATCTGCATAGAGGTGGTGATTTACATCAGTGTGTGTGTTGATGAATATCAATTAACGTTGTTGTAAATAAGGTTATATTACACCCCTTTTCACGTAGGGTGATATCGCAGACAAGGCAATGGTTTTGCTTCTTCTCTTTGCTATTTCCCTTTTTTGATCCCTACTTGTGGACGTTTTCTGGATTTTAGTGTCTGGTCGATATCTATGGCATGCATTCCGAAAATAGAAACTTCTTTGTTAATTCCGGTTGGGCAGTTGGGTATCCCTTTATTGAATAATTCCTTCTGTTTTTCTAAATTGCATTGCTTTTAGTGAAGGTAGCAATTCTTGATTCTGTTCTGGGGTGGACTGCTGTATTGTATTGCCTTTCTTTGGTGACAGATACTCATTTATTAACAGACCAGATCCCCTCTTACAACCTTGCCATTTCTGTTTTAAAAATCCCACAATGCACCTGTATACTAATGCAGACAATTTATTTGATTGGTCAATAAGTTCACTTGACCTGATCACCATCTCCAAAGAACATTGTCAGATATCAATGTAATACTACATGAAAAACAAAACTAAAAGCAACTGACATGATTAGAAGCATGTTAATCCTTACAACCAGTCGTCTTTTAACGTCCAGCTTTATCCAATTGTTTCAACTCAGTAAATAATATAATCTGCATTTATTACTTCCAGGGAGCTGCACAGACGGGGTTGATATCTCGCTATATCTGGGTGTGGCCACCGTGGGAAACGACAATGAGTTCAAGGGGAAATGATCATCTTGAATTTAATCTTCTAATGGGCTTAATGAAGGGTATTTCATCAGATAACAAGCTTCCAGTTTGTGTTTGTTTTGAATTTATTAAAGACATTGATGGTTGGACAAACAACTGTGCCCATCTAAAGAAGTCAATGAGAGAAAGCCATACTTTAGAAGAACTTGGAATATCAAAAGACAAATGTGACATTAAGAAGACAACTTTTGTAGAAATTGTTAGTGAGGATAAAGCCTTGGAACTCACCAGATCAGATAAATGGTTATCTCCCCTTGACCATATAATATTGGATATTGATGAAGATTATTACGGATGTGAAGCCGCCATTATTACATTGTACGACGTAGGCATGACATCACAGCAAGTTGATGATCTCTCAACTTTAACTCAAGCCACATTCTGTGGAGGTAATAGCACACAAGAAAGACACTTCAATAATTTATTTTATGACTTAATACAAAATGTCAAGTTCGTTAATGAATGTCGAGTGGGAACGTCTATTGATAAATTGGCGTTTCGGTTGAATGAAACAAAACGATTATCAGAAAAATTATATGATACGTTAAAAAATCCGATATTTGGAAACTCTGTGTGTAAAAATGAAAAGCATTCTTTGAAGTCCATTATATTTACCTTGTTAAAATTCCTGTGTAATTTATCTATTTCTCAACTAACTGCTATTTCAAAAGTTGGGCTATGTCTTCCTGGTTCCGCCCAAACCTACTCGTTTTCACCTGATCTTGGCATGAGATTGTGTGTTGGTTTTAATAGACCCAATAATACCATGGTAATATTTCATACACCAACTATGAGTGAAATTGAGATTAGAACAGCTAATATGAGGAGTCTGTTAAAGAATGTACCAGCACCGTCTGTAGTTACTGTCTGTCGGTCAATGCGCGATGGTTATACCCCAGTTAAATATTTTAGTAAAATAGAAGAGGACGTACTCAATACATTATTAAATACTTATGAGAAAATATCATTTGATTCAATACATTATGATCCTGAATTATTAGGTGGTAAACCTGGTTTACCAGCCCGCCATTTTTTTGCTGAATAATAGCCCGCAATTTTGTTGTTGGATAATATAGTACAATCTGATTAAAACACAGATCCTATTTCATTTCGTTTTTTTGTAGTTTAAAATTTATTTTTATTTGTCTGTACTACACTAGGATCTGGAAGAGTTGTTATATTACAGGCGTTCTAGATGGCTGAGGGATTAGCCAATGAAACCATCTGTTACGATGACTACTTGGCGTGCCATGCACGGAACTGTTGGTAAACCACTAGAAACGTCAACGCTGATTGATTAATCAATGTCTGACGTCATAGGATCAAAAGCCGCTCGTACGATTCAAGAGAATCGCATCACACAGAACCAGGGCCGAATTAAACTGCCATTGGTCCCCGGCAGTGGTGGTGCCAGCCGCTGGTGGATGGAGGGGCAAAGCCCCAGCCCCAACGTGGGAAATGGCTGGCCTCCCATAGAAATTTTTTAACAATAGACTGCTGCAAATGCAGTATTTCAGGAATCTATCGTCGAGATAAATAGAACTGACCAGATGCCACCTGTCGGCTAATCACTGGCGAAGATGCGAGTTCCAATGTAGGGTATAGTGGGCCTTCCTCGGCAAATTTTGAAAAATAGACTGCCGGAAATGCAGTCTGGCAGTATTTCAGGCACTGATCGTCGCGATAAATAGAGCTTACCAGACACCGCCTGTCCCCAAATCACTAGCTTATAATTATCTGACTAGCTTATCAAAGTGAATGAATTCTCGCCGAGTTGAAATTATAACCCAAAGGTGTACGAACAGAATTAATCAAAGTGAATAAGTATTCTCGCGGCGTTGAACCTATACCCCAAAACTTTGAAGATCGTAAAAAAGCTTTCCGGTGCATGCCCCCTGATTGCCTTACCGTAGCTGCGATAATTTTATGTCTCTTTTGCCTTGTTAGACTATACCGTAATGCATACAGTAGCTAATTTAGGGGCTCGTTTAATAGGCAATAACGACTCAGGCCACCTCGTTATTCGTTATTCACCGCTTGAATAACAATCTGGTTTATTTACTGATTATACTTCATTTAATCAGTTTTCTACTGCTAGGGGATACTTTGCAATCCATTATTCTATTGTTGTCTAGTGATCGTTTTAAATTAAATCCTGAAATATCCCTATTCAAGATACACGAACACCTTCATATGTGAATCCCGAATAACGAGGTGAAAAACGAATAACAAACAACTCGTTTATCAATGCTTGAATAACAGGTCATTTTGCTTTGTTTTATCCTACCGGGGGATACTTGGCATCCATCATCCTAGTCATGGCTAGCTGCATATTTGAATGCCAAATAACAAGTTAAATAACGAAAAACGAATGAGGTAGCGTGTCCCTCGGCCTTCGCCAATAACGAGGCAGGCCACCTCGTTATTTGTTATTCACCGCTTGAATAACAATCTGGTTTATTTACCGACAATAAGTCATTAAATCAGTTTTCTACTGCTAGGGGATACTTTGCAATCCATTATTATATTGTTGTCTAGTGATAGTTTTAAATGTAATCCTGAAATATCCCTATTCAAGATACCTGAACACCGTCATATGTGAAGTCCGAATAACGAGGTGAAAAACGAAAAACAAACAGCTCGTTATTCGCTGCTTGAATAACAATGTGGACTGTTTTTGTCTAGTCATGGCTAGCTCCATATTTAAATCCCGAATAACAGGTTGAATAATGAAAAACGAGAGAGAGAGAGAAATGGGGTTTAACGTCCACTCGACACAAACTAGGTCATTTCGGGACTAACATATGGTTTAATTTTATTTACATAATTCGCTTGTGCGTAGGGCTCTTTAGCAGTGGGAGGAAACCGGAGGACCCGGAGAAAACCCACGAGGTTGGACAGGCGACCCTACTCCTTGTCACGTACAACCGGGGATTCGAAACCACGCCAGTCGACTCAATGACAGACTTTATGATACAGCGCGCGCACGCTTACCATTCAGCCATCCAACCCCCAATGAAAAACGAATAACGAGGTAGCTTGTTCCTCGTTATTCGCCAATAAGGAGGCAGGTGACCTCGTTATTCGTTATTCACCGCTTGAATAACAATCTGGTTTATTTACTGACTATACTTTATTTAATCAGTTTTCTACTGCTAGGGGATATTTGTAATCCATTCTTCTATTGTACCATAATGCGTTTAGGGACTCAAAGAACAGGGATAGACATATTCCACCACGGGCGGATTGGGCCATCGGGCGGACAAAAAAATGAAAAAAAATAATTTTGTCCAATTCGTCAAAAAAACCTTTTTCTGCTGAACATTATATTGGGGGGGGGGGGGGATTGGACCGATGATGATCATGTTGTATGTGGCTGGTTTGCTTTAAAGTTTAATGGGCCGCCACGCCATCACTGGAGTCTGGAATGGGCTGGTATAATAGACTTCATGAATTTCACTTTCGTCACTCTGTACCAATGTGTCTCGTGGCCTTCCAGCACGGGAGGAATCAACTCGCGCTCCCAGCAACAAAAATGGTACATTTTTCAATGAAAATATTCCTACTTATTCAATATTTGTAACTGGTTAATCAAATGGTCAAAATTTTCTCAACTAGTCCCATTTTTTAACCAGTAAAATTATCTTGACTCCTGACGATACAATGATAGTACGTTAATTAATATATGACGATATGATAATTTCAGAGGTTGATGGTTGTAAATTACTTGCAGGTCGGGGTTTTGGCCTAAATTTATCGATTTATGAGATATATTATTTGACAGAGATTATATAATCAGATATGCCACCAAATCGCATATTTGGGGTTCATTTTTCAAAATTTTCCAGGGGAGAGCCCCTAGACCCCCCGTCCGGGCTCCGCGGACAGTAAAAGGGGCCGCTCCGACACTGGAGCCCGGCCGGTTCCCGGCTCCAATCCGCCCCTGTATTCCACAATTTATCTCAAGTGGTGACGCTGTATTTTATCTGGAGAGCATGCGCAATAAATACCATCGGTGTAGACTGGAAAAACCAGACGCCAAAGATTGCCATTCATATGAGACTTCTGGCGTATTTCGCCGAACATAACTGATTAGAAATTACAGTAAAAACAGAAACGATTGAATGTAAATCTGTTTATATACATTCATATTACAATATTATATGCGTTGCGACCCATTTTTGTCAATTTCTAGGTCCCAAATATTAGCGATTTAGCTCCTTTAATTTGGCTGAAAAGTGGAAGTAAGTTGTTGTACTGGTAATTATGATTCGTATTAATCATCATTTTGAAGTCGTAATTAAGCCCACTTGTTCTATTCGCGTCAAGCATTCTCGTCCAAAAGCCTATTTTGCCTTTTATGCGAAAAGACAAAAATGTGACCCAGCCCCCCCCCCCCCATACCACGCCCACCCCAATAATCCGATCCTGCACATAACAAACAAACAGAAAATCAGAAGGCAAACTTGCAGATCAGACATTACACATATGGACATAAACAACAAAAAATAAAAGTTATACTATGAAATGAAGTGAATAAATTAGGTGTCTGTTTGTCGTAAGCGCCCATAGGTTGCAAACTCACAACAAAGGAGGCAATCGAAAACAGACAAAACTATAATTTCTAAAACACTGTATTTTTCTAGTATAATTAACTGAAGAAAATGATTCAGAGTTATGTAATTTGTAGAAAAGGGGCTATCCATAAGTGCAGAGCCCAAAACAGGGGAAGTAATACGTCTACAACAACCTTGTGATTTCCAACGAGCTTCGTCAAGTTGCGGCCACGAACGGCTGCTTCCGGTGACAAAACGAACTGCCCTCAAATTTTGCACATCTGAATATAGTAAGAAACGCCGGCCTTCTTTTTTGTCTTTATATTTGCAGAGTGGAATTCAGACCCCAGAAACCAATTGGATAAACTATTATCCGAAATGTCTGACTCTTTTCTGACATTTTGATGACTATCTTGATGATTGAAAGTCAGGTAAGGCCCAGTCAACAATTTCTTAAAATCTAAAATTTCCAGGCGAATTCCACAAGTCTACAACTTATGCATAGCAAATTGTATACAAAAGAATTTAGAGCCCAGGGGGTTAACCTAGCTGAAAAGTGTACCAATTTTCTCCTAAATGGTATCAATGTATGTATATCTGGTATCATCAGAATGTAAGTCTGCCGGGTTTCTGGTGGTGGGTGTGGTATTCCACGCCCTAAATGCCATGATCCCCAACTAGGCTAGATTAGCTCAAAAGTGTACCACACGAAAATCTTACTGCAGTGTACCAAACATCTTCAGGTATTACAAAAACACTCTGACAGACATTTCTAATGGTGGTGTACCCCTGACAGAGCTATGTAATTGCCTGACATTTCTAATGGTGGTGTACCCCTGACAGTGCTATGTAATTGCCTGACATTTGTACTGATGGAGTATCCCTGACAAGAGTTATCTAATTTCCAGACCAAAGCTAGGTTAGATTAGCTCAAATCTGTACCACCCAAAACAGCTTTGGAGTTGTTCAGTACCACCACAGGAATCATGAATGACCACTGCCAAACAGTTTGTGCGGTGGGTTGCCCCTAACAGACACGCCCAAAATGCCACGCCCCCAACTAAGCTAGCTTCGCATCCACTGTTCCCGTGTTCTAAAAAATTAAAAATGATGCCAGGATGCGTAGAATACTAATACCTAGCACCAAATCAGATATGAAGCATAGTCTGTTTAATATGGAAAGTGGAACAACGAAAGCTTATCACACCATGATCAAGTCTAGATATTAAGGCCACCTGCAGATTTCGTCATGGTCGTTAGATGTAAATAGGGTTAGGCCACGTGGTTGATGACGAGATTGTGGGTTAGCGTTAGCCCTGTTTACATCTCCTTACCTTGCCGAAATATGCTGGTAACCTTAATATTTAGACCTGCAGATTTCGTCATGGTCGTGAGATGTAAATAGGGTTAGGGCACGTGATTGTTGACAAGATTATGGCTTAGCTTTAGCCCTGTTTACATCTCGTTACCTTAACGAAATCTGCAGGTAACCTTACTATTTAGACATAACCAAACACTATTCCTACTACCTTGTTTCTGCTAATAATTCAAACGGCGTCTGCCGAACAAAGGTTTACCCTGTTCTTATATATCCGATGATACCTAGTTATTAATTGGCTGATTGGTTAATTACGCCGAATGACTTCAGAATTATCCAAATATAGATATCTGGTAAATTTCCAATTTTTAAAACGCAATTACGATATCAGTTTGAAAACATGTTGCATCACCATAAATAAATATCTCCAAATATCTCGACAATAACACCAACTAGGCTAGCTTCGCATCCACTGTTCCCGTGTTCTAAAAAATTCAAAATTATGCCAGGATGCGTAGAATACTAATAGACCGGAGGCTCAGCGCGGGGGGTGTCCATCAAATGGGCACAAAACCAGTCAGTCCGCCGTTGGGGCGTTTTCGAGATATTCGGGGTCAAAGGTCAAATGAGTTCATTTGCACTGAAAGTGAATGCGCAGTCATTCTTGTATTATGAAAAGAAGCTGAAAATGATCAAAGGTAATCACACTTTCAATAAAAATGTAAACTTGCTAAATTCACCTTTAGGCTTAGTGACCCTGGAGGTCAAAAGGTGAAATTTACCGTTTTTGCACTAAAAAGATTTAAAGCAATAAAATGTCAACGTAAAATATAAAAATTAAAGCGAAACCTGTTCTAATTAATAATAGGAACATTTCAAATTTATCTTTAGATGGTCTTAGCACCGAACTCTTACTTTGGAACGTCGAAAATGATCTTGCATAACAGAACCAACACACTTTGAAACCTGTTTCAAAAATACGTAAAAACTGTCAAATCGAAATCTCTCCGATTTATTTTCACAACGATTGTTATACATAATGATACTAGTTATCTGAAAAACAATTGAATAGTTTCAGTGTTGGACTCCAGCCTGTAGGCCGCGTGGATTTCCGAGAATACCAGTCTAGGAAAACCGACGTTAATCTGTGACGGGAAAACACGCATCTGGCGACGAGATTAAAAGTTTGCAAATTTTTATGAGTTTTTATGAATTTCGCCGGAGCATGGACGCAGATAAAACCGACGTATGCATTGTACATAGTAGTTCACAGATGTATTGGTAAATGTTAGCGGGGAAAATTTTGGCAGGCTTTGTGACGCGGCCTGCAGGCTGTAGTCCAGCCATGGAACTATTTAATTGTTTTTTTCAGACAACTAGTATCATTATGTATAGCATTCGTTGTAAAACTAATTCGGAGAGATTTTGATTTAACAGTTTTTACGTATTTTTGAAACAGGCTCCGAAGCGTTTTGCTTCTGTTATGCAAGAACATTTTCGACGTTCCAAAGTAAAGGTTTGGTGCTAAGACCACATAAAGATAAATTTTAAATGTTCCTATTATTAATTAGAACAGGTTTTGCTTAAGTTTTTATATTTTACGCCGACATTTATTACTTTAAATCTTCCTAGTGCTAAAACGGAAAATGTGACCTTTTGACCTCTGGGGTCACAAAGAACAAAGGTGAATTTAGCAAGTTTACATTTTTATTGAAAGTGTGATTATTTTCAGCTTATTTTCATGATACAAGAATGACCACGCATTCACTTTCAGTGCAAATGAACCCATTTGACCTTTGACCCCGAATATCTCGAAAACGCCCCAACGGCGGACTGATTACCACTCGGCATCGTATTCTACGCAAAATTTTACTGTAGAAAAGTTGGGTCTGGTTTTGTGCCCATTTGATGGACCCCCCCCCCTCCGCGCTGAGCCTCCAGACTATAATACCTAGATGAGGCGATAAACTGCGGTTGTAGGAACAATTTTATTTTTCAAAAACGCATTTTTAGCCCCATAAAAAGTTTTTTGCCCAAAAATCAATTTCTTGAAATCGCAGTTTATCGCCTCGTCCATATAGGCTAGGTATTAGTATCCTACGCATCCTGGCTAAAAATCTAATTTTCTAGAACACGGGAACAGTGGATGCGAAGCTAGCCTAGTTGGGGGCGTGGCATTTTGGGGCGTGTCTGTTAGGGGTAACCCACCGCACAAACTGTCTGGCAGTGGCCATTCATGACACCTGTGGTGGTACTGAACAACTCCAAAGCTGTTTTAGGTGGTACAGATTTCAGCTAATCTAACCTAGCTTTGGTCTAAATATTAGATAACTCTTGTCAGGGATACTCCACCACTACAAATGTCTGGCAATTACATAGCTCTGTCAGGGGTACCCCACCACTAGAAATGTCTGTCAGAGTGTTTTTGTAATACCTGAAGATGTACGGTACACTGCAGTAAGATTTTCGTGTAGTACACTTTTGAGCTAATCTAGCCTAGTTGGGGATCATGGCATTTAGGGCGTGGAATACCAAACCCACCACCAGAAACCCGGCAGACTTACATTCTGATGATACCAGATATACATACATTGATACCATATAGGAGAAAATTGGTACACTTTTCAGCTAGGTTGACCCCCTGGGCTCCCGGTCTAATTTTCCTATGTTCGCCGAGATGCGCTGGTATTTTAGGGACATGATTGGGCATAACTTTCGACAGGTGAGATGTAGAAAGATCGGGGATACATTATATGGAAGAAATATATAATTAACAATGTCAGGTACGAATCAATTTTTTAAAAATCACAAGCTTGTTCAAAATGACCAAAAAACTCTCGCCCGGCTGTCAGCCTGCACCATCGCCACCAGAAAGGCAGGTAAGAAATATCCTGATCAAATTGCAATCGTCAGTAATAATTTATAACTTGATCAGGATAATATTATTAACATTCTCGTAAATGACCGCCATCAATACCAGACTTTATCACAAAGACCATTTTGTGAAGGCGAATTGCACGTATTCAAATGTGACCTGGAATGTAGAGACTACATGTGTTTATTTCTTAATAATTTGGTATTTTTGTGTCGATTTTGGCTTGTGTAGCGTGCTGTCGCCTCACATTTTTTCGTAACTTCTGCTGTTCTACTGTCGTGTTCTGAAGGGGCGAAAATAAGAAATTACGAATGATAGTTATATGCTTCCATACAAAACACATTAAACAACACAGAAGTTATATTTATTTGCATGTTCTCCATCTAAACTAATTGTATATGGGTTAATAAGGCAATATAATGTGTTAATCTGAATAATGAGATGACTTGAGTATACGGATAAGTAGGACAATTCTAAGATTTATACGACGAAGGTCTTTGCGTCTGTACCTGAGTAGCATACTCCTGCAGTGCCATCACATTCTTCTAAACGTAAACGTATCGATTTCAAGGGAAATAACGCCATGATTGATTAATATGGGATGATTTTTTTTAAAGATGGTCCTAAAACTCCCCAACATTGTGCAAATAATAAATAGAACGCGCGATTAGTCAGATAGGTCGGGATCACACTTGGTCAGATTGAATTTGATTAAATTCTCAGCAACTTTGAAGAATAAAGAGTTTACCGGAAATTGTGGAGGCAGAATACTCCAGAATTTCATGTGTGCGTATAAAAGGAATATAAAGACCGTAAATGAAGATTTAAGAAAGCTAAAAACTTCAGTCGTTTAGGTTGCTTCAGCTGTTTATTCAAATTAACTGTTCACATAATATATTCTATAAGATGCCAGTACTCCCATAGGTACCCGTACAAGTAACACCCCTCTTCTTGAGCACTGCCCGCCATTTGAATACCCATTATCGCTACACACGTTGATGAGTCCTTTTCTGAAAAACAAGCCCTCCCATATATCGATATAATTGTTAACTACCTACCAAAATATCTAGCAAAAGGCAATAGTATATTATTCAGCAAAAAAATGGCGGGCTGGTAAACCTGGTTTACCACCTAATAAATCAGAATCATAATGTATTGAATCAAATGATATTTTCTCATAAGTATTTAATAATGTATTGAGTACATCCTCTTCTATTTTACTAAAATATTTAACTGGGGTATAACCATCGCGGATTGACCGACAGACAGTAACTACAGACGGTGCGGGTACATTCTTTAACAGACTCCCCATATTAGCTGTTCTAATCTCAATTTCACTCATAGTTGGTGTATGAAATATTACCATGGTACGATTTGGCCTATTAAAACCAATACACAGTCGCATACCCATATCAGGTGAAAATTCGTAAGTGCTCTGTGAAACTGGTAGGCATAAGCCAACTTTTGAAATAGCAGTTAGTTGAGAAACAGTAAGTCTGAACAGAGAATTGATAAGGATTAGAGTAATTTTCTTCAATGAGTATTCAACTTTTTTACACACTGACTTATCTAAAATGGGATTCTTCAAAGTATCGTAGAAATCTTCATATACAAGTTTAGAAGCATTCTTTTTAAATCCCAATCCATCAAGTGCTTTTCCTTCTTTGCGCTTATTGAGCTGATTAACCAATTTGATTTGTTGTATTAAATCGTAAAATAAACTGTTGAATTGACTTTCTTGGCCAGAGTTACTTGGGCAGAATATGAGTTGAATTATTGCCGATAGCGCATCAACTGTCTGTGATGTCATTCCTACGTCATACAAAGGCATAATGGCGGCTTCACATCCATAATAATCTTCATCGATATCTAATATTATATTGTCAAGGGGGGATAACCAGTTATCTGATCTAGAGAGCTCTAAAGCTTTATCTTCACTAACAAGTTCTACAACAGCGGTCCTTTTAATCTCACAAGCATCCCTTGGTATTTCTGTCTCTCTACTGTGCTCGATTTCCATTAAATCATTTAAATGTACACAATAATTGGTCATATTCCTAAAATTTTGTATAAAATCCAGACAAACACATACAGGATATTTATCACCTGGCGACAAACCTTTCACTAAACCCATGCGAATGTTGAACTGAACATGATCATTTTCCATCATAACCATACTAGATTCCCATGGTGGCCACACCCATATGTATCGAGATATTAAACCCGCCTGAGCTGCTAGCTGGAATAAATGATGGAACATTTTGTTAAAAATGAAAACGTTTTTCATTAATAACGATTCACTTGTGAAAACAGTTGTACAACGAATCAATCTGATTAAAACACAGATCCTATTTCGTTTCGTTTTTTATAGTTCAAAATTTCGTTTTACTAGTTGATGTGAGGAATTAGCCAATGAAACGGTCTGTTACGTCAAGTTCTTGGCGTGCTCTGCACGGAACTGTGGGTAAACCCCTAGAAACGTCAACGCTGATTGATTAATCAATGTCTGGCGTCATAGGTCAAAAGCCGCTCGTATGACCCCTGACGCGACCTCGCAGTACAACTGGTCAGATCTTCATGTAGTGTAGGCCATCGTAAGTATAAAAAACCGAAACGGAATATAGATCTGTATTTTAGTCAGATTGACAACGAGTGAAATGATAGTAAAGTATAAACTTATACCTTACTTTATTTTCATTACTTTACCTCATACAGTCAACGGCTCGCTAGCCTGGAGGTCGAGTGTCCGATCCCTGCATTGGCCTAGAAAGTTCATTCAGATTTTCCGGCGTGGTTTCCCCTTGTCAGTGATGCAGGATGGAGGGCCTAACAAGGACAGCTGTCTAGTCGTTCGGGTGGGACGAAAAACCGAGGTCCCGTGTACACATTGGCGTGCACGTAAAAAATCCCTTGGCAGTTGGAATTCGATATAAGAGTAGGCCGTAGCGCCGCTGCCCGGGCAAAATTCCCCTCATAGCACACTGTATGGCGTATGCCCGTCTTCATTAGCCCAGGTTAGGAGCAGAACAGTAGGACGTTAAACCCCATTTCATTTCATTTCATTTCATTTCATACAGTCAACGATGGAGTCAGTGCGACAGTAGTAGTGATAGTACTGGGAAAATCATATACAGAAACAAAAATGAATAGAAATGTGGTTTAACGTCCTACTTTTCAGAACAGACTGGACTAGCGATGAGGAAAATTTTGTCCGGATAGCGGTGTTACGGCATACTCTTATTTCGAATTCCAATTGTCAAGTGTGCACTCATGGATCTCGGTTTTTGTACCATCCGAATGAAAATACGGCGGCGTTACTGCCTACTCTTATATCGAATTCAAACTGTCAAGGCTTCTTTACGTGCACGCAAATCCGAACTACCAGACTGCTGTCCTTGCCAGGCCCTCCGTCCTGCACCACTATCAAAACATAACTTGTCCACAGTGGTGAGATTGTGCCTCCCGGGGTAGCAGTGTAGGGTTGTCTGCTTAATATCATGACATGGACAGAGGAACACTTGTTATACTTACAGCTATAAATACGTCGTTCTGTTGCATCATGGCTGTAATTTCCTTTCTTGTTCTAGGATACTGAAACAGTGATATAATATCAAATACCGGTGGAGGCGCACCATCAGAATGTCCGTCTATGTGTAGCTGAATGGAAATAATATGGTTGTTAATGAGAAATATTATTTTCAGCAAGAAATAAATGTAATTAATTTTATGTACTTTCACGATCAAATAACTGTCTAGAATTTAGGTTCAGATCGATATTATCGTGCACAAATTCATAACAATTGTACATTTTGTGGTGAAAGCATCAAGGTATGATCGTAGCAAGAGGTATGTATAGGTCGGAAGGTCGCGTGGGAACCAGTTGCACCACTGACAAGGTAAATGAAATGGAGTTTTACAGGGTCGTATTAAGGGATCGGGCGCCGGAGGTGGATCCTTTCGAAGGGCCGTAGCGACAGGGGTTTGAGGTTCCTTCCTAAGAAAAATTTGAAAATTCGTTGGCCGTAGCGCAGCTGTTCGGGCTAAATTTCCCATATAGCACACTTCATTAACCGGGTTGGTTGAGAAAAGTAAGAACCCCCATGTTATGGGCATCTTGGTTGTACTGTAAGCATCTGACATTTTCCGTGTGGCAAAGCAGAGAAGAAACCCACATTTTAAAAAAAATATGGGAGCTTATACAAACGGTACAATTATTTGGCACGGCTTTCCTGAAAGCATAACTGATACGGATTAATAAGCAATATTTGCACAAAACAGGTAATTTCAATAAAGATGGGGGAAACTAAATGGACAGTGATTCTGCAATGGTTAATCTCCCACTCCACGGAATCAAAATTGTTGGAAGTGGAAAGTTACATCAATTGTAAATGAGGACTTAAACATCATTATGCAAGAGCTTACTCTGCGTATTACAGGTCTTTCTTTAGGCCTGAAATGTTTTCTAAATTATTAATTAGACATTAATTCACTTATCCAGGCCATAATCAGCTCTCGATGGCATAGGATTTCTCCGATATTAAATAGATTAGAACGGTTCAGCCATATTTTAATTTTATTTAAGAATGGAGGAGCGAGACTTAGCTTCGAACAACCAGTACGGTGGTTGCAATTATGGCACACGTCTTGTAAAACCTTCAAAGGCTAATATCTTCGCCCGCAATAGAGTAATTGGAATGAAATTTTCAAATTATTCATTTTACATTATCTATTTTCGAACTATTATAGCAAGAATGGCTAGCGCTTTATCCAAATCTTGCATAATGTATCTATAAAGTATTTGGAAAAATTTGTTTGAAAAAATTACTTAAAAGCAAATGTTTGAATTTTAATTGTTGAATATTAACTGTAGCCCAGGGGCCGACAGAATTTTAATCTGGGTGTGATACTACGCATGGGAATTCATCTTATTTATTAATCTGTGACAACTTCTGCAAGTGATAATTTTGCCTACATCGATATATTGTTGTAGTGAATATACATAAATTAGCAAATATATGACTATGTCCTCATATTTTCCACACTGATTAGCAGTGAATATTTCGTTAGGCCCCTACAATCACCGATAAGGATGACATCGATGCGACTTAATAAGCCACAAATATTAACTTTTTTTTCCTCTGACAAATTAAATTCTAAAACAATTTTTTTTTTATGTATTAGAAAAAAAAAGACGTTTGAAGTATTAAATTTGTAGGTAAAAATTATTTCCTATTTAGTGTAAATGGGTATTAAAATGAGTATAACTAAAAGGCACCCTTCTGCCCGAACTAGTAACGTCTTATGTAAACAATGCACGTCCCATTGAGTCAATGATTGACGCCGCGTGACGTGACGTCACGTGTTGAAGGACGTCATCTTTTACAGGGATATTAGAAGAATTTCGTAATCTTCTGTGAAACAGATTACATATTTTCATCAAGCGTCCGCGCTTAGTCAAGTTTGACCTCCTATCGGCGATTTTGTCACGACCAATCATGTCCGTCAGGTCAAGCTCACACGCAATCTGAGTCAATATAGTTCACTGAACGCATAACAGTTTTAACTAATTTGAGTTTTGAAAAACTGGCGTGTATTGTGATATCCAATCAAGGCAATCAAACGTATACACAGATATATTCATATGAAGTATTTGGGATTTTTCCATTCTATTTTTGCAGTGTTTGTTTACCTCATTAAAGATACATTATGGGAGATTAGATAAATGCCTGACAGTTCTTACAATAATAGTTAAAAACTAGATAATGTAAAGGGAATTTGCTGAAAATTTCAGTCAAATTGATCCATCCTGAACCGAGAATTTTGCGATGGAATTTTCGGCCTAGCCTCGATCATCATTACTAAAGTCGGTGCGATAAAAAACATAGTCTCGATTATCCATTTCATGATTTAATCATGAATAAAAGCTGAGCAGCAAATCGGATCCTAATACAGTAAATATCACAGGCCATCGATAACATCGAGAGTTGATTATGGTCTGGATAAGTGAATTAAGGTCTAATTAATAATTTAGATAACATTTCAGGCCTAAAGAAATACCTGCAATAGGCAGATATAGCTCTGCATAATGCATGTTTAATTTATTTAGTAACCGATGCATAATTTTGAGACCGACTGCACTTATTTTGAGACCTACTATTTTATTTTCTCCTATACACCCACCCACTGATATCTTGGCCTATGTGAACTAATGAATGTTGGATCACTCATTGCTCTTGGCTCGTGGTGCCTATAACTACTGGACACAGACACAAGGGCCCTTTTTACTTATTCAAGGGCCCCCTTTTCTTGGACTTTATGGCCCTTTTCCTGTACTTGGGGCCCCTCTACTGGACTCGTGGGCCCTGTCTTAGGGTATCCATATCAAATATTTTCCCCGGATTCCGTGTTTTCTTTTGGTTTTATTTTTAGAGATTTTTTTTCGGGTCAAAAGCTAGCGCATCTGGCGCCTCCGCTATAATCCACTGCTGGGGGTTTAACGCTCTTCTGTTCTGCTCCGAATGGACTAATGAAGACGGACATACGCCATACGGTGTGCCATGAGGGAAAGGTGGCCTACTCTTATATAGAATTCCAGCTGCCAGGGGTTATTTTACGTGCATGTCAATATGCACGCGGGACCTCGGATTTTCGTCCCATCCGAATGGATATACGTTGTCATTTGCCAGGCTCTCTGTCCTACATCAATGACAAGGAGGAACCACGCCAAAAAATTAGAAATGATATTAATAGTTTATAATACTTACTAAAACATTTCCTTGTTTTGGTATTAAATTTCTTTCTGAAGATCTAAACCAGTATGGTAATACTAAAATGATTTTAATTAAAGCTTGGATTAGAAGGAAGTCAGTAAGAAGATATAACGATTACCACGAATTCAATGCATATAATTAGCTTATAATCATTTAAAATCACCGAAAATAATTTTATTCCACGAAGTTAATTATTATTGTTTTAAAAACAATTTAAAAATGTTTTGCAAAAATATTTAATTCAACTGCTTACCTTCATGATGCTCTTCTACAATATAAACTGGTGTTAAATCTAAGGTTTTCTTCTTTATATTTCCTTTTGGAATAAATGGTTGCTGCCCATACTGACACCGCTGGTAAGAGTGACTGTCCTCGTGTATATTCTTCCATTGCCAAAAGAAAATAAAAACCACAGACCAGAGGATGAATAGGGTTAATAATAATTCATTTGTTTTGCATGGAAAAATCGTGGATCTACGAATCTTGAACATTTTAAAAACAAATATCAATGATAATATAAATGTATCATAAAGTTGATAATAACTGTACCCTGCTCCTACTCTCTTTATTTCTACTAAATAATTTCTCTATTTAATTATAGATCTATCACAGACAAAAATCTGGCAATCTGATATGTGCATAGGAAACAGCTTGCATCATTTTTGCCTGGAGATGTGAAATTCTATTAAAATGATCAATCACTCCATTCCAATTCTAGTAGGTGCGAAATGCTATATTGTTCTTAGCGCTAAATCTATACGCAGTTTGTCAAACCTTTGAAAGCTTGCGGGTGTTCTAAAAGTATTCCTGGCAAATATGACACAAACACGGTTGACTTAGTGATCCCTTTACAGAGGTGGCCTTTTAGGGAGGTCGTAATAAAATAAACTGATGATACTATAAAAAAGGTATGGAAGGATATTGTGGCCATTTCACGAGAAGTCGAGGGCGAGAGTGCGAGAACACGAGGAAATAGGGCGAGAATGCGAGGATCTCGCCCCGAGAACACGAGATTATTTTCACCTCGACTTCTCGCTCCCTCGAGTTCTCGTTTCCTCGTGTTTTCGCCTTTGAAAATCCTCGTGTTCTCGTGTTTTCGCCTTTGAAAATCCTCGTGTTCTCGCCTTTGAAAATCCTCGACTTCTCGCTCCCTCGCGTTCTCGCCTTTGTTTGAAACTTTGAGTTAATCTCGTCCTCTCGCTCGGAAGTGCAGTTTATGCGCATGTTCACTGACTACCGTATCGGCATTTATATTTGGACATGGATTCAAATAGACGGAAATGTTTGAAGTTCTAGAAAATTTAAACATACATTATGCAAGAGCAAAATTTGATTATTGCAAGTCTTAATTTAGGCTTCAGATGTTATAGAAATTATAAATTAGTTCTTTATTTAAACAACAAGCCCAAAATCAACTTTGTAGACCCACGGATGGCTCGGCTACAGCTCGGATTTAAATAGGATTTCACTTATTGATAAATTCAAATATGGCGCACCCTGATGAGAATACGTCAGTTAGATAGAGGCTAAATGATAGAGTGTACTTAGCGAGGCCGCTGTAGATCGTTTCCGCATGCCATTGAAAACTTTACTTGATAATCGAGATATGTAGGTGGAGTTAACGCCTGTCAATCAAACGTTCGAGCCAAAATGAAGGCACATTTCACTACCATTTCTAGTCAAATTTTACAACGATGATAACTATGTTCAGAATAAAGTAATTTGACTGAAATTTTCAATATATTCTTCTTTCATCATCTACTCTTGAACTGTTATAGCAAGAATGGCCAACTCTCTATAAAAAATCTCCCATAATGTATCTTTAATAGTCCTAAACAATTTTAATCTCTTCTTACACAGATAGAATTGTATTCTGTAATCGATTTTAAGTCTTCAGTCGAACCTTTCTTTGCTCTCTAACTTCACCAACGTTCATCGGGTTTTTTGATTTGATGCATGGTCTTGTCAGTGCTGTAGGGCGGAGATCCTGACAAGGGACAACGTATAGTCGTTCGAATGGGATTTAAAAAAACGGGGTCCCGTATCCGGAATCAAATTGAAGTTGGTTCTACGGTGGCTCAGTGAGTAGGACGTTTGCTCTCTAATTTCATCAAAGTTCATCGTGATTTTTCTGGCGGTATCGACCCTTGTCAGTGGTGTAGGACGGAGAGCCTGGGAAGAGACAACGTATAATCGTTCGGATGGAATAGAAATAACCGAGATCCCGTGTCCGGAATCTAAATGAAGTAGGAACTACGGTGGGTCAGTGAGTGGGACGTTTGCTCTCTTACTTCAGTGGTGTAGGAGGAAAGACCTGGCAAGGGACCACGTATAGCCCCAGGCAACGAAACATACGTCCAAGTGGTGCAGAAAGAGAGATAGAGAGAGGGGGGGGGGGTGTTAACGTCCACTCGACACAATCTAGGTTAATACGGTTAATGATATGTAGCTACACCCATACAATTGTGATGGGGCTATTGGTTTACTTATTATTAAAACTTGCCGCTTTTAGAAATAAATTCTCAAAACGGCGTCGTTCGAAGAGTCCATAAAACAGTGTATTTAAGTTAATTGTAAATCGTCGTCTGAATCTGTTTTGTCATCTGGGGTTCCTCAAGGTTCCGTTTTTGGTCCGATTTTATTTACCCTTTATACGTCACCATTAGGTGATATTATCAGAAAATATGATCTCAGCTTCCATTTGTATGCCGATGATACTCAGTTATATATTTCATTTACACCTAATAATTATTGTCCATCTTCTTTCAAAATTGCAACTTGAGAACTGTATTAGTGAAATTAGAAAATGGATGGCAAAGAACTTTCTAAAATTGAATGATGATAAAACCGAATATTTGTTATTAGGCTCGAGGCATCAATTAAGTAAATTTGCACATGATAACCCCCCTGTTGTAATTGGTAATTGTGATATATTTCCATCTTATTCTGCTCGTAATATTGGCACAATCTTTGATAGTTTTATGCTTATGGGAGCTCATGTTAATGATATTTGTAAATTGTGCTATTTTAATATCAGAAATATAGGTAAAATACGTAAATTTGTAACTGTAGAGGCCACTAAGTCACTTGTTAATTGTCTGGTCACTTCTCGATTAGATAACTTTAATTCACTTTTAGTTGATTTACCTTTAAAGCTTATAGATAAATTACAAAAAGTACAGAATACTGCAGCTAGACTTGTTACTTTAACTAAGAAATGCGACCACATAACTCCTGTTTTATATAATTTACACTGGTTACCTGTTATATATCGAATTGATTTTATGATTTTATTACTTACTTTTAAATGTTTAAATAATTTAGCTTCTGTTTACCTCTCAGATCTTTTAGAACTTGCCGAACATTACGTACCGGTACATCAGATAAACTACTTTTAAAGCCCAAAACTGTTCAACTAGTCTCTTATGGTCAGCGCTCTTTTAGTTATCAAGCACCTGTTTTATGGAATAATCTACCATTAAGTTTAAGATGTTGTACATCTCTATATTCTTTTAAAAAACAACTTAAAACACATTTATTTAATCAGGCTTTTAACGGACTCTGTATACAATACAATCATTAACATGTCCATAATCTTGTTGTTTATTAATGATTATATTGTCACTTTGTAAAGTGCCCCTGAACATGTTAAATATGAAAGGGCGCACTATCAATATGTTGTAATATATAATAATAACAATAATAACGACGAATGGCTTTTTTAAATGACAATTTAAGCAGCTTTTCAGCGCCTTACAACGCCTCGATTTAAAATGAGATGATTTGTACCCATTTCACTTTCAGGCAGGATTACATGCGTAATTGTACTTTTTGTAGTTGGATTGTGACAGAAATGTTATAAATAACAATAATCAATCGTTGTTTTGATAAAAAAAAAAATGCTGCCAATTGCGCTTAATGAAGCCCGATATGTTTCCCGTTTGCCACGTAAATAGGCCTAGCACCATCTGTTATCTCGAACCACGGAGTGTTGAGAGGCGGCTGGGGTCTCTTATCTAGGACTAGTATAATAAAGTTCAAAGTCTTGTTACTACTGGTCTGAGCCTGCCAATAAGCTTTAGAGTTATCTCCTCTACCGTCATGTTGTCGAAATTTTTGCACTTAATGGTGTTATTGAAAAGTATATTTTACAACGAGTCTCGTAATGGCTGATCAGTTTAATTGTATTTTATGTAGGCCTATATTCTATTTGAAAATAGTGTTGAATTAGTATAAATGTGTGTCAGCTGTCGCAAGAAATGATTCCTTTGGCAAACAAAGAAGAATCATGCCCATTGAGGTTGAATTGATTCATTGAAAAATAGTCGGTAAGAATTCCAAAATAGCCTTAGAACAGAGGTGGGGATGAGTAGTATTTTCATATTATTGCAGCAGCTGTCATCGGACACCGTCCGATCAGAGACAGTTCCTAAAGGAACTAGCTAGGCTACATACACATTTACTAACAGGAAAAACAGTATGATAATCATTTCAGTAATGTAGACAATAAAATATGTATATACACATTTACCTCAAACAGGTTTGACAATGACACAACATTCAACACAAAATGATGAATGGGTATAAATGTTATAAATACATAAATAACAGGAAGACTTAAAGGAGCTAAATCGCTAACATTTGGGACCTAGAAATTGACAAAAGTGGGTCGCAACGCATATAATGCTGTAATATGATTTTTATGAATGTATATAAACTGATTTACATTCAATGGTTTCCGTTTTTACTCCAATTTCAACTCTGTTATGTTCGGCGAAATAAGCCAGCAGTCTCAAGCGAGCGCAAATTTCTAGCGTCTGGTTATTCCAGTCACATACGCCGTTTGATTTGGTGCAATGTGTCTAGACTCGTCCATCGAGTCTCTTGATGCAACTGGGGCTGAAGCGCATTATGGTACACGATTCGTGTACCAATGGTAAAATGTTTTTTTTGTCTTAAATATTGGATATCAAAAGCCCATCTTTTCCCGGTAAGATCACAACATGAATGTTGATTTAATTTGACAAATAAATCGTGTTTTCAATGTTGAAGATTTTGGATGATATTGAGTTAGAGACTTAGCTACTTTAATACTAGTATAGGTGTTGACATGGAAATATGATATAGGAATGCTAGAATAATTATATGAATCAAGTAATAAAATATGGAATGAAATATATTTATTCATGGAAATCTAGATAATAATTTTGAAAAAGGTAGAGATACATGTACTCATGTAGCTCTACACAATTTATCTCCTTAGATTTTGCAACTGTTTTGGGTGGGTTGAATAGATTTTCTAGAGAATAGAGTAGATAATTATCTGTAAATGTTGGGTATATGTGAGCGGTACGTAAATCTTCATACAGTGGACTTTCTAGTAAAAAATGTGCTTCATCTTCAATTTTATGCATAGAGCATTGTTGGCATATTCTTTAGATCTGGGGGGGACATTTTTGCATCCGCCCATTTCAGTTCGAAGTGATTGCAGTTAGAGCTGTTTAAAAGTTCTTATTATGTACATTTTATAACAGAGATATTCAGCAGGTTTATACTAGATTTTTGTTTTAAATAAGCCTAAAATCCTAAGTTTTGTAGCTTGAAATGGGCTGGAGTGGCATGATTCAGTGAAAAGGGAGTTGAATTTGGATTGAAGTTATGATTTGATATTATATTTAGTGAGGTTGGACAGACTTATATTCTTATATTGAAATAATTTATTAAGTGTGTTATAGAGGCAGTCCATGAGAGTTTAATATTAGAGTTAGCTATTTTAATATCATCATTTAGGCTTCTTTTATGTCTTGTCGGTTTAATCTTTTATAATAATAGAGTAACATTCTCTAGTTACAGTGAGAAAATTCGAGCTCAGCAAGGCAACCCATATTAGTAGTTTTAGGGGGTTGGCACAATATTGACTTACAGGTTTTTATGGTTATCTTGTTGTGTTCTATATTACTCCACTAAGGTAAATTTAATTTTACATTGTGCACTAAATGAGAACTCCAAAATCAGAGGCAAAATCGAGTCGTACAGTTTAATTAGAACTTCTGTAGTAATTGATTAGGGACGCATACTTTACTTTTAATACCATACCAAGCTCGACTTGCCTTTTTGCAAAGGTCAGACATAGCTCCTTTAAAAGAATTGTTATTTGGTATATTAATGCCTAATAACGATATCCAAGAGAAGTATTACCAAAAGTAAAATTTACATTTTTACGCTTGAGAATTTTATTATCTTTTGGTGTATTTATAAAACACATTATTTTAGATTTAATTGAGTTTACTTCCAATTTCCACTTAATACAAAATTCATGCAGATGGTTAAGAGATTTTTGAAGACCTAGCAAAGAAGTTGAGAATAATACAAGATCATCTGCAAATAGTAGGTGAGAAGTTTTGAGAGCACCGAGACAAGGAACTGCTGTGTTACCAATATGAGTTTGCAAATCATTCACATAAATATTAAACAGCGTGATGCTTAACACACAGCCGTGTTTGACACCGATATCTGAACTTATTTGTTTGGAAGTCCATTGTTGGTTATAACTGTAGTGTATGTAGCTTTATAATTCTCTTTTTTACAGATCAATGAAGACATACATTGGTGAATTCTATTTTTTTTTATTCACAGTGAAACTACAGACTGCCTTGATGTAGCTGTATAAATCTCTTTTTTACACATAAATAAGACATTGACGAATTCTATTTTATTTTTTATTTACAGTGAAACTACAGTCTGCCCTATATGACATGTACATTATGGCAAAATCACCTGGAAACTGGTTGATTCGACATGCATCTGTGAAGTCAATAACAGTAACAGTCCTTGTCTTAACTTTATTTGTTAATGAATATTTGGTTTATTGGGTACAAAGTTCAAGATGGCCAGTATTTCCAGAAGTTGACAGGTTATTATTTACACTTCTGTTATATATTGCAGAATTATTTATTTTTAAAAAAATATAATTTCAATGATTTCTAATTTGAAATATCTAAACCTGTATTTAAAGTAAAAATGCATCATTTTTATTTTTTGCTGAAATATCAATTTCTCACTGCTTAATCTATGCTAATATGTACTCAGATTTATTTTTTAACATTAAAATTTAATGAAGATTGTAAGATCAAAATAACAACTCTAGGTGATATCCGGGCTTGGATTCCATCAGATTTAAAACAGGCCTATATAAATGTTCACGGTCAACAAAATGGGCGTTGGCTTTGTAAAAACTGAACAGAATTGATCCATTTTCATACCGATATTCCTGTTACAGATTAATCTATCACAATATTGTAGTTTGCAATTGATTCCTAAACCATTAAATTGATGCATCAAGACTTTAAGGAAAAATGTTGTTAGTTACACTTAATGCCAATTTAGATATCATATGTTTCTTTTTAGGCAAAAAGAAATGGTTGTGTTGCTAGTATCAGATCCACAGTTACAAGGTATTCGAGATGAACCAGGTTTTCCTGTCGGCATGGTGGCCAGATGGGATGTTGATAGGTAAGCTGATATAAATTAAAGGAGGTAGTTATAGAAAAGATGAAGAAGTAAACAGGCCAAGATACGTAATTGGTACATATTCAGTTATAATCTTCTTGAAAGAGATGTCCTGTTTAGTGACATTTACCTACTTCCATCTAACAAACTATGGTATAGTGATGACAGCTACACTCAGATCAAATTCTGGTTGTCCCAGCTCATACACTTTAAATAAAGAATTTGTTATTGACATCATCAATACTACCAGATCTTTAAATATGATGTCATCAGGTTTAAATATGTTTATGTTGTTTGGTAAACATCACATGTGTATATAATGGTGTCAAAATAAACTTTTAGTTTATTTGTCTTTCAACCCTTTCCAATGGACAATTGCTAGCTCTACCAATGACGTCATGAATGTAATCTTCAGTTTGGTGTGGCATTTGAACGGTCAACTCTAGAGAATTTTTAAAAGTTGATTCTAGTATGGTTATTTTGATCTATTTATGGTTAGTATGTAGAAATAAGTGGATCGTCTCCTTACTGTATTCACATGCATAAGACAGAGACATCTATGTGTTCATGGCCCTAAAAAAAAAATAAACTTAAAATATCATTTCAGATATCTTAGCAAGACATTTCAGCTAGCCTACAGTTATAGTCAGCCTGATATAGTAGTCTTTCTAGGTGATTTAATGGATGAAGGTAGTAAAGCTAGCCCAGATGAATATCAAAGTTATTTTACTAGATTTAATAGTATCTTCCATTCTGCAAAAAAATCAAAAGTTAGTATGTGCACATTTCAATTCAATTGGCCCATTACTGAGTTACATTGGCAGTGAAATAATATTAAATGACTAAACTAAGACTTCTCTGATATACCCCAGACACGATTCTATGGGACACAGTTACTTTCAGCTCTGATTGTCGAAACACATATTTTTTTCAAGTTTTTTTATTATTTATTTTTATTTTTTGGGGGGCGGGGGAGTTTAGTCAGAGTTTGCCACCAAAACTGTACATGGTGCCAACATTCTGCCAATGTAGATGTGGTTGGCCTCCGTGGATCTATTTATTAAGTATAATTTGGGTTATTTTTACCGATGGGACAAAAAATGTTCCCAGATTGCCTATATCTTCGTCTGGTTTTCATAATTCTATTCTATCGACGAATCCCATAGGCGCTCTGACTGGCAGTTTTTCGAAAAATCGAAAGTTAGTGTGATTAGTTTTAGCATCAAAGATTTGCAAAAGTTTTCCTCAGCATTATTTCAACATTTAAGATGGCGTATCTCCGTTAGTAATTGAGGTATCAAGTTGAAACTTGATAAGAATAAGGAATACATTGAAGCCTTCAAAATGGCATATTAAAATTTTTTGTACCGGTAATGGCTCCCAGAAACTTCCGGTAATTATCCAGACTTTCCGATTTTTCCCGAACATAAATAGTTTTCTCCATTTTAAAAATAGACCAAAAATGACATTTTAAACATTTTAAACTGTTGGCCGCCCATATTTGATTTTTCAAAAAACTTTCAAATCGAAACCTACTCCAAAAGGCAACAATTCTTAGGGAGCCGATTTTTGTATTTCAATTTTTTTACTTCGGTTTCACTTTGAATTATGTTTGACTTTTGACCTTCTATCTGGTGACCTAACCTTCAATAACCCTTGACCTTTGTATATATGATGACCCTGATGTCTACTAACAGTTAATATCAAAATGTTGGGCCTTGAAGTATAACTTCCGGTTTTATTAAGAGTTCAAAATGACAGGTTTTGGATAATACTATACTCAATAAGTCATGGTGTAACTTGATTGTTGATGGGACAAGGCGTGGCCTGACGTGACCTAACATACAGATACATGCCAGTACTCCTTCTGAGTTCTAGTTTCTCTTTATTTTCTATTTTAGGTAATATACATCCCTGGCGATAATGATATTGGAGGAGAAGGAAGGGATTTCAAGACATTTAAGAAAGTTTCCCGATTTGAAAACCATTTTGGAAATATATCAGGGGTTGTCAGTACACGATTTGTAGATATTTTAAAGGTTAATTATTATTCTATTGAACTTTTGTTTATATTTGATTCATCTTCAAAATTTTCAGTGTATAGATTTTAGTTTTACATAATAGATGTAATAATATACTCTTAAAAAAAAAGAAACACATAGCCCATCTTTCATCATTTTTTTATTTAAATGGGACCGTTGTTTCCATAAATTTTACTTGTTTTTAATGTCATTATGTAAGGATAAAAGAAATTCATGATTGTTTTTAAATGTAGGGTGACTAATTGTGACGGGTCATACTTTTGCCGAAATTTGTTTTCGCTTGATTGCACCAAGACACATGAGTTGAACAAATTCACAAACTTTTCGCATGAAACCTAAATCTAAGGCCTTTAAAATCATGGGGTTCATGTTTTTAAAATCAGTTGCACATGTAAACACTCAACGAGCCAAGTGATGCCACATCTGAACGAAGACCAACGCAACAACGCTATCGTCGTTTACAAGCCAGGCTGCTGAATGTTTCCCAGAGTACCATCTCTTGCCTTTGGGATAGGTACTGACGACTGACAGCGAAGTTCACTACCTGACCGCCCAAGGTCAGGCCAACCAAGAGTGACCTCGCTTACTCTGGATCGTCACATCCAGTTACGTCATTTGCAGATATGGTTCACAACAACGACCTCTACTGCAGCAGCAATTCATGGATGATATGGGATCTCAGACCAGACAGTCTGTAAATGCCTACGTGAAACCAGATTACGAGCCAGACGTCCCTGTTAGAGCTGCTGTTTTTAAATACACTGACACCGTCAAATCCAACTTCAATAGGTTCAGACACAGAGTATGGCTATAGCAACACTGGAGAATAGTTTGGAATCGCGGTACTTGTTGCAACGAGGCGATGGTAGAGCAAGGGTATTTCGAGGATGAAATGTCACTCTGCGTTTCTTTTTTTGAAGAGTATAATAAGCTTGATCACTCATAGTCCATAGCTTATTTTAAACAGAGAGAGTGTACTGTAGTGTTCACAGTTCATACACTGTTAGCCTTAAAGTTACAATTTCATAATTTCTAAGAAAGTCAAAACATAATTATTTCTATGTCTTTTGCTCAATAGGTTGTCAACTCACTATTATACGATCATAGGTGTCATTCTCACACTTAAAATTCATTTACACCCGAAATAATAACACAATTACCTCCCTTGTTTTCTATTTTCCACCATGGAGTAGCTTTTTCAAACATTTGAATTTGAAGAGGAAAATGATATTTTTGCCAATTTCTCAACTGGCAATAGTGAATTATAGGATTAATAGGGTTATTCTTTAACAAGGTAGGACTGTTTATAGATACCATCTATTTTAAGGCTTTATTTTAATAAATTTTAAAAATATGACTTAAAAATATGAAATTGAAACTTTAATTACACTTGTGTATATTTAACACAAAGTCCAAAGGTAAATATCCTGGGTTAAGTTAAACAAGCTAAGGGAATAAACCTTCTGAAAATCTGGTAGTGAGATGGCACTTTTATATTTTCCATCTTTGTACTAAGGTGACAAAAGTTAAGCTCGCTTAGCTAATGCTATCCATTTTAGAGCAATGGGTAGTTGTAAATTGAAAGTACTTACAATGTTATTAGTGTAATAACGTTCTGATTATAATTTCAGTTAGATGTTAGCCTTCATACAGATGTTCCAAGAGGCACTCAAGAAAAATTAAAAGAATACAAATCGAAAATGAACTCACCGTTCCGTGTAATAATAAGTCATGAAACCATGCTACCAAAGTTAAAAGTTTATATTTATCCTGTAAGTTGTTTTTCTTGTAATCATTATTTAAAAGTTAAACTTTTGGATTTAGTTATAACATTAAAATTCAGTTCATTGGTTGATTTGTTTAGTGAAGTGATTGTTTGTTTACATTTAAAATTTTAGGTCTGGAAGTAAGTCACTGTCAACACTTTCAGCCACATATGAAACTAGAATTTGTAAAAATAATGACTTCCAATAATGAATGGTATACACTTTGTCCCAATTCAAAACCAGAATTTGCCTCAGATCAAAGAGGTTTAGTTCCTTAAACAGGTTCATGAAATGAATGCATTAATTCACAGAATAAAAGTTCTGTTGGGATGTGTTCTCTTATCTAGTGAATGTATGTAAATGTTGAGGTTTTTAACTCCAAAGATACTCCTGTACAACACCCCACGATGCATCACCATGAAATTGTAGTCATTTCTAGTTCTTATTTTTGCTTAATTATTTTCTACAGATAATAAAAGAAATTAAGCCCCAACTACTCTTCTCTGGTCATTGGCACAAGGTAAAGCAAATATAATATTATTTAATTTGAATAATTTAACAGTTCTTTGATTTCCAACTGTCATGGCTTTGTTTACAGCCTTACCAATGTATACACAGAATGACCTTTACTGGGAGAGAATCCAGTACTACAAATGAAGGCTCAAAAACCCCTAACGGTTCTTCTCATCACATGCTGAGATGATTCAAACCCAGTTCATTCTTATCAAGAATCTTAACACCCTGACCATTAGATTACCATGCCCCACAGTTTTTTTTGTGCTTTTTTAAAGACATTTTTACTTCAAATGTTTAGCTAGGTACAAAAATCTAGGGGTGAAAATTGACATTACACAAGTAGACTGACTACTATGACATGATTGACAAAATATCCTCTCCCCTCCCCCCCTTCCCAAAAATACTGATCATTCATTTTATTATAATTTCAGTCAATGCATTTTGTGTGTGATAGCTGTTTATCAGATAATGCTGATACTAGTCATTGGCCTGTACATCGTAGAGAGTTAAGTGATATTAATGATTATATGTATCTGGATCTGACTAACAGTCAAGGTATACAAGAATTAATGATACCTACATGTAGTTATAGAATGGGTGTCACTGATATTGGATATGGTGTAGCAATAATAAGTAAGTAGAACAACATTTTTATTCTTCCATATATATTTTTTATGACCATATAATTATTTTCTTTGACCCTGTCTATTCATCCACAATTTCTAGAGACTACAATGAGCATTGTACAGTTTTGATATGTTGTAGGGCTCGGTAAATAAAATCCTTATTGGATTTTGACAATTTCAGACAATAACTGAGTTATGCCACTTGATGATGAATCTGCTGGTGAGAATTAGTTTTGTTGTCTGGCAATCAATGTATATTTTTAGCTCAACTTCTAGTATTCCATTTAATAATAATAATAATTCATTTAATATTAAACCTAAAATCCAATACGACTCAAATGATGAATGAGTACAACAGGTAATGCAAACAATCTTATTTCAAAGGCAGTAATATTATTGTTTGTCAGTTTGAAATTAAGTTTTTGGATTTGGGGCTTGTTTATGCAGTTTGATAAAAGAGTAAGATACTTTTGGATAAAAATATGTTATTTGGGTGGGTCAAATCATGAACATAACTATTTTTATTTCAGATAAAGAGAAAACAGTAAGATATACAGTACTGTGGTTACCTAGAAGATATGATGTGTTATATGCCTATATTTTTGTTGTTATATTTTTGTTGATATTTAATATATTTGGTAAATTATGTTTTCCAAAGCTTCTCTATAATTATAGACCATATTATAAATACAGATAATTCGTTAACGTGATGAGATGGTTAAACTGGCATGTCCAAATGATGTTAAGATTTGAAATGAAATGAGATTTAATGTCCCACATTTCTGTTCAAACAGAGGTAATGCAGACATGCAATTCTCCAATTGTAATTCCAACGCCAGAGGTACACAGGAACTCTGTGTGTCATCCCATTCAAAATGACTAGAATGATCTTCTTGGCCAGGCCCTCCGTTCTGCACCACTGACAATGGGAAATCGGAGTGGAATATCCTGAGGAACTTCTGGTTAGTGAGCCACCACCTTACTCAATGAGCCAGCATGGCTTCATGTAAGGTTTAGTAGTATTGTTTTGATTGTGATAAATCTATAACTCTTTTCAATTGGTATATTGCAACTTTAATTGGTAATAATAGGCTACTTATACTTGTATTATATTTTGTTTTAGGTTATATTTTTTACAAAGAAAACATATTTTAATCAAATTTGCATGTAGAGATATATTCTTCATATTTTATCATTAATCTTATGTTTGTATGTATCATGTTTATAAATATTATGTTTTTATGTATCATGTTTATAAACAATTTGTTTTTTTTTTAAAATGACTATTTATCTAACATTTATTCAAGGACATTGTAATGATTCAAAGTTTATTTTTTTAATTGATAATTAATATTTTCAGAAGAAATCCATATTCTTACCACGTGGATGAAATCCTTAATGTACATGTACACATAACGTCCGCTTCCATCTGTCTATTGGTCGTTCTACATTTGCTTGTGAATGCTCTAGGGGTTTAATGTTCATGAGATGAAGATTTGAATTACTGTTGGAGTTATTGTCCTCTAGTGGCTAGTGTTATTTTCTAATTTAATTTGATATTGATACCGTTTTTATGTGAAAAATCCCATTGATTTTCAACGATTTCTGATAAATTGAACAGCTAAATTTATCATATGATTACAAGTAGAACTAGACAACAAAATTAAAAAACCCCTTTTTTTTTTAAACAAGCCAACAGTGAGGCTGATGTCCCTGGCTGAAATCCCCAAATAAATAGATGACACATATTAAATATTAATTAATTGCACATCTATTTCAAAAGTATCGAGCAATCAAACTGATTATCAACTATACACTAAGTTTCATCACTCTCTACCAAAGTTATCTTGTCCCAAAGCATCGACCAAGGAAATTACTTATCTCTGCTTAGCTTTAGCTTGATATGTTAATCATTGAACTCCGTCAAGACGAACATCTACATCAAGTTTAAACATTCTACCTTGATTAGAAGCAGAGTTGTTATTCCAAAGTCTTGACCAATCAAAATGCTTATTGCCCCTTAGCCTAAGCAGACAATTCTCATCATTAAACTTAGTCAAGGTATTGATGTAATGAAACTATACACCTAGTTTCATCACTCTCACTTAATTAGAACTAAAGTTATCGTGTCCCAAAGCATCAACCAATCAAATTGCTTATCTCTACTGACCATAAGGAAAAAACGCTCATAACAGACAGCTTTATGGATGACATTCACTAGGTTTATTAACTGCAACGTTTCAATGAGGATTTCAATGAGGTCACTCCACTGATCTATATATAAGATAACTATGTTCAGAATAAAGTAATTTGACTGAAATTTTCAATATATTCTTCTTTCATCATCTACTTTTTAACTGTTATAGCAAGAATGGCCAACTCTCTATAAAAATCTCCCATAATGTATCTTTAAATCCAAGCCATCCGTGGGTCTACAGGGTTGATTTTGTGCTTGTTGTGTAAATAAAGATCTAATTTATAATTTCTATGACATCTGAAGCCTAAATAAAGACTTGAAATAATCAGATTTAGCTCTTGCATAATGTACGTTTAATTTATGTCAGCACAAAAAGCACCAAGATTTTATTAAGCGGTGCTAAGTCCCGATTATACCAGTGCCTTGGTTACCACTGTGCACACATCTTGTCAAAACTACAAATAATGATAACTTGGCTGAGAATGAAGTAAGTTGAATGAAATTTTCAATATTTTCTTTTTTATGATCTATTTTTGAATTATTATAGCAAGAATGACCAACTCTTTATTGAACCAACGCCAGATTAACCATGGGGCCCACGCCCCCCACATTAGAGGGCCCCCCACAAAAATCTCAGTTGCGCGCCTCGAACATGGTCAGACCGAGGACTCCAACGGCCGGTGACCTAGTGACGGGGCCCCGTCGATGATTCGAGATGTTTTCTGAGTGGATCACCGGAATTAAACGCTATTTACAGGCGGATATTTTCTTTCGTTTTCCTTTTATAAAATATCGAATAACTCGGAAACTGTTATAAAATATCGAATAACTCGGAAACAATAACTCGGAAACTGTAACTCGAATTATCGCATAGCTCGAATCAAATTTCAAGTACAATCCTTATCGAAGTCTTATTATTTACATCGCCTAACTCGAACTGTAAATAATGGATCTTGCAGGCGAGTGTGCCTTGGCAACTTTCCCGGAAACTTGAAGATTTGAAAAATAAACGCTTTTTGTTGCTTTATCTAAGGGTGTAACACATGATCTTCTATCGGACTGAACATTGTCTAACTCGAATTATCGTACAACTCGAACAAATTAACTGTCCCCATCATTTCGAGTAGCGCAAATTTTGCCTCAGATTGACGTACGATTGTATATAAGCTGTAGTTGTTGATATTTGTTGTCGGTATAAGCTGAATTTGATGAGATGCACATCATGATCACACGAAGTATTCAGATTTCTTGACTCAATCTCGCATTACCAGTTGGTACTTACAGTGTTAGACGTTCGTCAAAAATGGAGTCCGGCTTGGTCGTAACGTTTACGACCTCCATTCATCAAATCATCGTGGGGGATATAATACGATTCCGAATCAAGTGACCCCGTTATTTATCACTGAGCGACTTCAAAATTAGGTTTGATGTAGCTCTGCTCACTTACAGTGGCAGATTTAACGGGCTCAATGGGTCCCAGCCCCCTCCTCTAGAAATGCCATCATTTCATAGCACTCGCATGGATTGGTCCACTGAAATAACACCAGAATGCGCTAATTTTGTGGCCGAATTTTATTTTTGTTGGGGGGGGGGGGGGTACTTCTAAATGGCTCCGACACAAGTACCTGAAATGCCAAAAAATCACGTTTCCGTCCTCCAATTTCTGAAAATTTCCTGGGGGAGAACCCCCAGACACCCCTTGCTGAGCTTCACGACTTCGTCGCTCGCGGTTGCCGGCTTCACCGGCCACAGCTCCGCGGTCGGTGATCAGGGGCCCCCCATATGTTCCAGGCCCCAGGGCCCCCACCATGGTTCATCTGGCGTTGTATTGAACTCTTAACTAATGTATCTTTAATGTGTGGATTTTTTGTCATTTGAAGCAATAGTTCTGAGGGTGTGTCAAATGACACCCGAGTTAAAAAAAACCTATGCTAAGAAAGAAACTTTGCAATAAACTGAGACTTTTATAGGCCTACATCTCACAGAAATTAATCGATACATTCATTATCGACTAACTGATTTAGCAGAGACAAATGTGACTTGTTTATAATGATAATCGATTGTAAAAACTCTGCCAATTATTTCATTGAAGTTAAGAAAATAACTAAATAAAAACAGTACTTCAAACTATATAACAATTTTATATGTTAAAAATTCACATTCAAATTAAATTATTATTTGGGTAAAAATTAAAACATAATAATAAAAAAAAAAATTGACAATTGCAGGTAAAATTTAACTAGATTAAAAATTAAAATGGAATACAGTTTTAGGTACACTAAGTTCTCCTTTTACACACATTTAGCATGATCTGTTCATATCCCCACATTGTAATAAATATACATCTTAACAGCATCATCTTTAAAAGACGGCATTAAGAATGTAATGTAATATGTCGTGAAATGGTCAGTTATGTGCTACTGTGAAGTGAATATAGCTTGGTTTCCTCCTTATGACTAGTTCTAATATTCCAGCAAACTTAAAAAAAAGACCAATTCTGAGCATAAAATGTGGGCTTAATAAAGTTAAATGTCAAAACAATCAGTAATCTAAATGGAGATTCATGCTACTTTTCTTCAAAATCATGTGTACCACTTTCCATAAATGCTGAGTTAAGTCCAATGCTTAACAATTCCTGGCTATATCCATCTTCCCGTAGTCAAGGTAACAGTCCTACATTTAATGTTTGGGTATATTAAAGGCTCAATACCAATCTTGTTGTAACTGAATAATATGTCCCAATCTTTATTCTGGTCAACAAATTGATTGATGATACAAATTTCATCTTAACACACCTAATTTAAAAAATCGGAAAATTCAACTAAATGATTTGAAAAGCCTGACGTAAAGCTTTTCAAATGTGACTTGGATTTAAAAATATTTTTGAACCCTCTGGAAAAGTAAAATAGGATTTAATGGATAATTTACACAACAGGTAGGACACTAACACATCTAGTACTTAGAATAAGGCTATTTTTTATTTTCTGGAGCTGTCAACCCAGCAAGAGTGTTATTGTCCCTTTAAAATGCCGATTAGTGAATGCATAATTAACTAAATCGAACTATAAAAATTACATTTCTAACTCCACATTCAAACCTTGGAAATCTGTAATTTGAAATTCTTGTATATATATATAATCAAAACATGGATCGCATTATTCTTACAAATAAAAAGTTAATGTCTTCCAGACCAACCTTCTAACCCACCCAATAAATTGATATCAAAATGAACCATGTCTTTTTCAAATCCAAGGAATGATGATCGTAGTACTTTCATAATATCCGATTCTATTTTAAAACTCTGCTCTCTTGGTGTGTAACCATCTCTAACAGAACGAGTAATTGTAATAAATTTTGGGGTAAGATTTTTTGCAGAAAACAAAAGTTCTAGTCTCTTTGTTCTGTGTTCAATTTCTTTGGTGCTGGGGGAATGAAAAAAAACAGTTGTGCTGTTTGGCAAATTGTAACTTGTACATAATCGCATTTCTGGTTGATACTCAAGAGTCCTGGGGGAAATGGATAGGCAAATTCCAACATTGGCTAACACTTTTAACTGCGGAATTGTTAATTTCACCATATTTCTTAATAGTCCTTGTAGAAATATATGATTAATTTGATCATTGTCGGAGCACAAGACGGATTCTTGATAATTCTTCACATTTTCAGTCAAATCTGGAATCATGTTAAATACTTTTTGTTGCAATTGTACATAAGTTAAACACTTATTTATCAAAACCAAGTCGTGTGTTGAACGTCTGCAGTTGAGCATTTCTGTTTTTTCAGCCAAAACAATTTTAATGACTGAATTATAAAAATTGTCTGCTATTATTTCCCCTGCTACTGTGAATGAACAAAACATATTATTTATTATTGCTGCCATATTATCTGCAATAAAGTCTTTCACACCCGATTTATAAAGCTTGGTGAAAACACTTTCGCAGCCATAATAATCTTCATCTACATCAAGAATAACATCTTCACCGGGAGTAATCCAATTGCCAGATTTCAATAATTTAATCGCTTCCCCTTCGCTGATTTCTTCGTAAATTCCAGTAATATTTTGAGAAAATGAGCATTCATCCTTTTTAATTGGTATGTAATCTTCGTTATAAATGCTAGTGTAGTTCATCATATAGCAGCCTTTTTTATCAATGAGTGTAGTAACACAACCACATAGAACTATAACCTCTTGACCAGTTTTGGGCAACGATTTAACAGTACTACCAATCTCTAGATATGCTGTAATATGTGGATTATCATGATTTACTTTATCCCATGGTGGCCACACCCATATAAATCTCTTTATTAATCCAGTCAAACTTGCACCCTGAGAATATAAATAAATCAATCATTTTAATACATAATTATATTTATCAAACTTATCTACTGAGCTATTTCTGAAAAATGATTACAGTACTATTGACCCATTAATTCTGAAATTTATCTTAACCATTATAACCAGTGGTTGCCAGGTAAGATACGTCCACATTTTGCAAGAGATGGATAGAGAACAAGCTAAAAGAAAAAAGGGATTTTTCGTACAATCAGGGGCCATGATCCAGGAAGTTATGGTCTGAAATGTGCGAATATCGAAAGGGACTACGATATTTGGGATATAAAGATCAAAATCGGATAAAAACTGTGACTTCTCTAGAGGGTCCACAACCTTGGTATTACATGCTTATTTGCGTACAAGGAGTGGCCATTTTGTCGGGCACTTACTGTTTGATTTTCACGAAATTCGAATTCAACCATCATCAGGGTGTAATGGTGATAAAATAAAATTGTGATTTTCCGTACAATCAAGGGCCATAATTCAGGAAGTGATGATCCGATATGCGCTAATATTGAAAAGAACCAGGACCTTTGGGTTATAAACATGTACTTTAAGTTTCATGACCTCTAGAGGGTCCACAAACTTGATATACCATATTTTTACACTATTTGCATGCAAGGGATGGACGTTTTCTCTGGCAGTTTTCGTCGGATTTTCACGAAATTCGAACTCAACCAACATTATGTTGTAACGGTAATATATTTGAATGTTTTTGTAAATTAGATAATAATTGTGACCTCTAAAGGGACCACAAGCTAAAACAGGATTTGTCGTACAATCAGGGGCCATAATTCAGGAAGTTACAATCCAATATGTGCAAATATCGACAGCAACCAAGATCTTTGGGTTATAAACATGCATTTCAAGTTTCATCAAAATCGGGTGAAAGTTGTGACCTTTACAGAGTTCACAACCTTGATACATCATATTTTTACACTATTAGGGTATGAGGGTCGGCCATTTTGTCCGTCAGTTTTGATCCGAATTCGCACTCAACCATCATTAGGGTGTAACGGTGATATATTCAAACGATTTTTTTAAATTGGATAAAAATTGTTAACTCTAGAGGGACCACAAGCTAAAAAACTCAATTTTTCATACGATCAAGGGCCATAATTCAAGAAGTTACGATCCGATATGCGCGACTATCGAAATGAACCAAGACCTTTGTGATATAAGCATAAATTTAAAGGACAATATTGGTGTCAGTCATTATCACATATGTGATAGAACTAATTAAACACGTTCCAAATATAATTTTAACACAGAGATCATTGCTACGATAGCTGAGTAATACAGGTTTCCTGAATCAGAAGTGACGAACGCCAAAGGAAAACATGAGTCATCCCTCTATATAACTGACTGAAGTGACGAGTATTAACAGATACATGGGCAAATTTCTGCTCACTAATAATTCCTTCCAAGACCAAAAGTTGTTGTGTGAGACTGAGGATAATCTAGAGGGACCCCAATTCAGGAAGTTACGATCCAATATGGGCAAATATCGAAAGGAACCAGGATCTTTGGGTTATAAACATGTATTTCAAGTTTCATCAAAATCAGATCAAAATTCTGAGTTCTAGAGCGTCCACAACCTTGATATACCATATTTCTACAATGTTCGCGTTCGAGGGGCGGCCATTTTGTCTGGCAGTTTTGGTCTGATTTTCATGAAATCCGAACTTAACCGTCATTAAGGTGTAACGGTGATATATTCAAACATTTTTTTAAATTGGAATAAAATTGTGACCTCCATAGGGTCCACAAGCTAAAAAACGTGATTTTTCGAAAGGAACCAAGATCTTTGGGTTATAAACTTACATTTCAAATTTCAACAAAATCAGATAAAAATTGTGACCTCTATAGGGTCCACAAGCTAAAAACTTATTTTTTGTACAATCAGGGACCATAATCCATGAAGTTACAGTACGATACATGCCAATAACAAAAGAAACCGAGGTAAACCTATATTTCAAGTTTCGTTGAAATAAGATAACAATTGTGACCTGTAGAGTGTCCACAAACAATTGTGAACGGACAGGGGCGACGACAATATACGTCCACATAAAAATGAGGATGTATAAAAATCAAGGTGTGTCATTTCGTTTTATTTCACGAAGTAAGAATGTCCTGCCTTACCACTACAAATACATCATTTTTCTGCATCAGTGTATAAAGCTGGGACAAAGATCTTGGCCATTGAAAAAGTGGAAAATTGTTTCTCACTTCTGGAATTCCTGTATCTGAATGTCCATCCACATGGAGCTAAAATAAAATATTTGGAAATACAGTAATTTTGATTTATAGAACAAACATGCAGATATGTCTTCATTAACAAAGATTTCCAGATGAATTGAAAGGTGACAGGATACACCGTAATTAAAAGTGGGTTTACATACATTGTACATACATAAATCAAATGCCCAAACTTATAATATGGCCTATTTATTAAAGTAGCAATATTGTTATCAATCCATATAACTCAATTCATGTCCAATCTTTCCATTATGTAAAACCAGCGGCTGCCAGGCAGGATACGCCCACATTTTGCAAGAGATTGATAGAGAACAAGCTAAAAACAAACAGGATTTTTTGTACAATCAGGGGCAATAATCCAGAAAGTTATGGTCTGAAATGCGCAAATATCAAAAGGGACTAAGGTCTTTGGGACATAAAGATATGTTTAAAGTTTCAACAAAATCGGATAAAAATTGTGACCTCTAGAGGGTCCACAACCTTCGTATTGCATACTTTTACACAATTTGCATACAAGGAGCGGGCAGTTTCATTTCGATTTTCCCGAAATTCAAATTCAACATTAAACGGTTTTTAAAATCCGAACTCAATGAAAATTACGGTGTAACGGTGATATATTTGAACATTTGTTTTTACATCGGATAATAATTGTGACCTCTAGAGGGATAACAAGCTAAAAACATGATTTTTTGTACAATCAGGGGCCATAATTCTGGAAGTTATGATCCAATACGCGCGAATATCGAAAGGAACCAATATCTTTGGGTTATAAACATGTATTTCAAGTTTCATCAAAATCGGATCAAAATTGTGACCTCTATAGAGTCCACAACTTTGATATACCAGATGTTATACACTATTTGCATAGGAGGGGCGGCCATTTTGTCCGGCAGTTTTAGTCTGATTTTCACACAATTTGAACTCGGCGGCCAAAATTACGGTGTAATGGTGATATATTTGAACGTTTTTATAAATCGGATAATAATTGTAACCTCTAGAGGGACCTGAATCTAAATCAGGGGCCATAATTCAGGAAGTTATGATCTGATACGCGCGAATATCGAAAGGAACCAATATTTTTGGGTTATAAACATGTATTTCAAGTTTCATCAAAATCGGATCAAAATTGTGACCTATTGAGTACGAGGGGCGGCGATTTTGTCTGTCAGTTTTGGTCCGATTTTTACGAAATTCGAAACCAATCATCCTTGGGGTGTAAAGGTGACATATTCAAACGTTTTTTTAAATCGGATAATAATTGTGACCTCTAGAGGGGCCTGAAGCTAAAAACGTGATTTTTCGTACAATCAGGGGCCATAATTCAGGAAGTTGTAGTTCGATATGCGCGAATATCGAGAGGAACCAAGATCTTTGGGTTATAAACTTACATTTCAAGTTTCAACAAAATCGGATAAAAAATTGTGACCTCTATAGGGTCCACATGCTAAAAACACGATTTTTTGTACAATCAAGGGCCATAATCCATGAAGTTACGGTCGATACATGCCAATATCAAGAGGAACCAAGATCTTAGGGAGATAAACCTATCTTTCAAGTTTCGTTGAAATCGGTTAAAAATTGTGATCTGTAGAGTGTCCACAAACAGACAGGGGCGACAACAATATACGTCCACATGAAAATAAAATATGGGCGTATAAAAACATAATATGGCCATTTACAGCTTTCTGTTTCGGATATCCACCCACAAGGTCTCATCCACTACTAAAAAAAAAGCCTCTGTTTATATTTAATGTCCTGAGAGAGAGAGAGAGAGAGAGAGAGAGTGGGGTACATACAATTGTCACACCATCTCTAGGTATTAAACTGCTTTCAGCTGCTGCAAACCAGTATGGAATAACTACAACACAAGATATAACAAATATTCATAGTCTAGTAACACTGTACATTGTGTGAGCTAAAATGAGCTCAAATTCATTATATAATACTTAACAAGCCAACAGTAGGGCGGATTTCCCCTGCCTCAATTCAAGAAAAAATGGAATAATTAACTGAGTCACCGGGTTCATGAACCTTCCACGGTCTCTTTTAACACTGGGTACATGTGATAATGAAGTCCGACACCTGAACGTAAAGAAGTGAAGGTCGAGGATGGAGATCCAAATGCCCATATTGTGGGCATTACAAAGTTGCTTTCATTGGTAAAGATAGGTTGCCAGGCAACAAAACATACGCCCACAGCAGCTAAATCGTCCCGAGTGGTCGACAAGGGTTGACGCATATTTATTCTTTTGTACTATTTGTAGGTAATTGGGGGCATTTACAAGACAATTTTATACAGATCAGATTTTAATTTTTGTCGTTTGAGGGTTCACAAGGTTCTACAAACTGAAACCGGAAGTAATTTACAGAAGATTTTGAAACTTGACAGGCTTTTTCGTTTTACTAATTTAAATAATACATATAAATTTCATACTGATCAGATGATAACTTTTGTCATTCGAATGTTCACAAGGTTCACAAAGTAAAACAAGGGCCATAACTCTAGACCTCCGTTTCACAAATTAAATGATACATATAAATTTCATACATATCGGTTGATAACTTTCATCAATCGTGCTTTAACAAGATTGAACAAAGTGAAACAAGGGCCATAATTCTAGAAGTACTTATTGTAAATTGCTGAAATTCTTTCAATAGGCTTTGTGGTAGTTTCCCTAATTATCTAAATGATGCATATAAATTTCATACGGATCAGATGATAACTTTGGGCGCTGGGGTGTTCACAAGGTTCAACAAAAGTGAAACATGGGCCATAACTCTGGAATAATAAACAGAAATTGCTGAAATTTGATAGGATTCTTCTTTTTACTAATTCAAATGACACATATAAATTTCATACAGATCGGCAGATAACTTACTAATTTAAATGACACATATAAATTTCATACATATCGGCAGATAACTTTAGATGTTATAGCGTTCACAAGGTGCAACAAAGTGAAACGAGGGCCATAACTCTAGAAGTAATTAAGGGAAATTGCTGAAATTCAATAGGCTTCTTCATTTCACTAATTTAAATAATGCATATAAATTTCACATAGATCAGATGATAACTTTTGACGTTCACAAGGTCCAACAAAGTGATACAAGGGCCATAACTCTAAACATAATAAACGGGAATTATTGAAATTAAATAGGCTTCTTCATCTCACTAATGTGAACAACATATATCAATTTTAAAACAATCAGTTCATAACTTTTGGCGTTAGAGCGTTCACAAGAAATTGTTGACGACGGTTCGACTGACAGTGACAGACGGCGGGGGCGACGGCAATATAATGTGTGCGTATAAAAAAGAAAATTATTGTATACACATATAGCCCCGACAGTGGTACAACGGCCTTGTCTATTTCGAATTCTAATTGACAAGGGGTCTTTTAGGTGCACGTGACCTCGATTCCCACCCCATCCAAATGACTAGCCTTTGTTCCTTGCCAGCAACCTTATTCTCTGAACCAGTCAGCAGCTCTATTTTGCATTCTGTCTTTGAGCTAACCTACATATTCCTTGTCGTGATTGGTTGGATAATTTATTACCTTCATGATGTTCTTCTACAACTATAACTGGTGTTTTAGATGAGTCCCATCTTGCAGTTCTTAATATTTTTGGCGGAATGTATTTAACAACATCATAGATGTCATTAATATTTACACGGTCTATCTTGTGTTTTACAGCCATAAAAATAATATAAAAAACCCATAATACTACTAACATACTGCAGATGGTCAAAATCCTTTTCCCTTTCATCCTCATCGTGTTAAGTTAGTAGTCTACAATCGCTTTGCCATGCACATTGTATATTAGGTTACCGGTAAATTCATAAACATTGTCTGTTTTGTCACTAAAACTAAAGTAAATAAATTTCCGATTTTAAGGGAGATAACTCTACAATTTAGTCCAGGACAGCAAGACTTACATCAAATCCAAGAGTCTTTCCGAATTTATTTTTCTTATTTATTGTCAATTTCCACATAATTTATATTTGACAGACAATGCTTGCCATGCTCCAATGTGAAATTCAATAGTTAATAGCCCAAAGAATCGTATGTCGATGTCCCAAACCCCGACGATTGGCACGTGCAAATTCCAAGAAAAATACAGGACGGCAGTTATTGTCGTCAGACCGCTATTGCACAGATTGTGACAGAATACATCTGTTTGGATTGAGTGGTGACACTTATTAACTCCGTTATGTTAATTCATTTGCATTGTTTGTGCAGTTTTCCTGCAATGTAGGATACCATAGATGATATAAACACAAGATTTTAGTAGTGCATCACGAATTCATTGCACTTCATCTAATTTAATTTGTAATGAAATGAAATAGGGTTTAACGTCCTACTCTGTTTTGCTCGGAACTGGGCTAATGAAGATGGGCATACGCCATACAGTGTGCTATGAGGGAAATTTTTCCCAGGACAGCAGCACTACGGCCTACACTTATATCGAATTCCAACTGTCAAGGGATCTTTTACATGCACGCCAATGTGTACATGGGTCCTGGTGTTTTCTGTCCTGTGCGAACGATTAGACGGCTGTCCTTATCAGGCCCTTCGTCCAGCATCACTAACAAGGGGGAACCACGCTGGAAAATCTGGATGAACTTTCTCGGCCAATGCAGGGATCGAACACCCGACCTCCAGACTAGCGTGCCAGCGACTTACCCACCGTGACCCCCAATTTAATTTGAAAGCATTCTGTATGATCATTAACAATTGTGTATATAACCTTTACAACTAATTCCTGATTTAGACTATATCCAGCTTGTTTTCAACATTCTCATATAAAAAATAAAAACTTATTGTTATGTACAAATTTTATTCCTCCATTCAATAAAGATAGACATTAAACTATATGGAGAGTGATTCAAAGGGGGAATAACATCAAAATATATTTTTCATGGTCACATTTCAGTGATTGGCATTCATATATATATATATACAAACATACACACACCAGGAAGAAAACATAAAAAATTATTTTATATTTTCCATATTTTGATAGTGTTGTAAATAGCACAAAAAATATATGTTACTGAATAAGCTTACATCAAATGGCTGGCAACAAAATATTTACAAACTCTAACAGAGCATAATATACTCTAATCTCTATTTATATGCATTTCATATCTTTTCAAAAAGCACTAAAATCCTCTTTTATGTTCTACCATAATTTCTGGCAAAAACTATTCCTATTAAAAATTGCACCCATTAAATAAAGGCAACTCCTTTTTGATCACATCATACTTGGTCCACAGTGTAATACAATGTTTGTAATTTCTATGATAAAATATAGAATATTATAAATATGATGAGGTTACTGGTACAATGATTAAATATCAATGCCTACAACTGATCTATCATCAAGATTTATTTGATTTGTTAGTCTTTGATTTACGTTGTAAAGCTTCTCGTAGTAAACTTAGTACATCATTACTACTATCCTCTTCATCTAGAAAATAAACAAAATAAAAATTAAGAATAAGACATATTTTGAATTTTTTTAAAATGAATAATTTCACAAAATATACAATTTTTTTCAAATTTCTGACACATTGTTAGGGTGATCCGTGCACTCTACAGAAAGTTGGTCTCGACACGGCTAAATGTGCACGCTTCAGTTGCGTGTCTCGAACTGATTTCTGACTACCCCGCACTCTCTTTGAGTCGATAAATAGCCATGGCACGTGCAATTCTCTACAATTATATCAACTATTACAGCCGTAAAAAATCTATTGTTGACGATTTAGAATAGCAGTAAAATTTAGCTTCTTGGTTATTACAGCAGCTTTAGAAATTATGTTTGTTTTATTTTTTAAATTGCTTTATCATTAACTGTACCGTTAAGAGCGGCATCTTTTGGTTTAGTACAAATAATATCTATGAATCACTTTCGTTAGCAGGAACATGATACTAGCAGTAGTTTCATTTTATTTTTACAAGTTTCTTAAAACAATTGTTGAGTTGGCTAAAGTGCTTATTTCTAAATTCAATTTCTTGTTCTAGCTTTCTGTTATGTTTCGTAAAAAAGTAGTCTTGATTATCCCGACTTGTCAATCAGACGTAGAATGGTCGATAGACTGGTTAAGCGAGACTAATTTCAAAACAAGGGCACGTAACCTATCTTTTACTCAGTGGACGACACTTGGAACCAGTTTTCAGTCTATTATTTATAGATGATTAATGGTCATAGCTTATTAAGTACAACATGATCGTTTATTTAGTGACTATAATTGTGTGAAACTGATTTGAGGCTTGGCATATATATAAATATTGTGGCGTAATTGTCGAGATATTTGGAGCTATTTATTTATGGTGGGTCACCCCAACATTGTGCTGAAACCAAATATATAATATAAATATTTGGTAGTGATAAACACTGCAGTACATACCTATACTTGATGTTGTGACATCTTTTTCTAGTTTGAGTTTATCTCTAGCAACACGTACCATACCATCTTCTACCGTACCTTTACTTATTAACCTAATTATATTTACATCTCTACAAAACAAATAACACACATACTTTCATCTATATATTTACACAATTACACAATTTGGCTTCAAATTTACTGAGAGAGCCATATTAGACTTCATTTTAAAAGAAAATTTCAAATGTTCAAATCTGTATAACAAACCTTCAGATTTTGAGAGGAAAAAATGAATATTTACCGTTTTTGTCCCATTCTATGACATCTGTCTTCAGCTTGTTTATCATTATAAGGATTGAAGTCTATATCATGTAATATAACAGTATTAGCAGCTGTTAAATTAATACCTAAACCACCAGCCTTCGTAGATAATAAAAATATAAATACACTTTGATCATTGTTATAGTCGTCTATTAACTTTTGTCTGAAAAGAAAAAAAAATATATATAAGTAGCATTATGGAGGACTAGATAAAGAGCTGGCAGTTCTCACTATGATAGTAAAAAATTAGATAATATAAATGGAATATGCTGAAAATATCAGTCAAATTGCTTCACTCCCAAGATATTAACGTTTGAATTTTAGGCTTAGCCATGATCATCTTTACTAAATTCGGTAGGGTAAGAAACATAGTCTCGATTATCCATTTTTTGGATTAAATCATCAATGAGTGTGATCAGCAAATCGAATTCAAATCGCGTGAAAACCCAACACCTAAGATGGCATCGAGAGTTGATTAAGGTCTTTTTATGTTAATAATTTCTAATCAATAATTTATACAATATTTCAGGCCCCAGAAAAGACCTGCAATAGGAAGATTTAGCTCTTGCATAATGTATGTTCAATAGTTTATTAAAGATGAATTATGTAAGATTTAGTTATAAGAATTGTCTGTTAAACTGGAGCATCGCTAATGCTGCAATATACGTCCACATGCCTGCTTCCATTGATATGGTACTTTTTAAAATGAAGAGCATGAAATATAAAATGGCTGCAATGACTGTAATATGACAAGAGGCAAAGAAGGCTAGGCTTCGGGTTTGTTTTGCCAAATTTAGAGACTAAATATTAACAAAAAAGTGGGTGTGACACCACCCCAGGGCATCGTGGCATGCACCATAATAAATAGCTGCTGTCTTTACGGTACAAGGAATAAATATACAAAGTTCCAAGATGATCCATGCAGAATTGCAGCCTGTAGATAATAAATACAAAAAATGGGCGTGTCTGCCCCTGGGGGATGAATTTGGAACATTATAGATAGGTACCACCCAGTTATTCAAATGATTGATATGCTGAATTTGAACAAAATCTGTTAATTATAGCAACCTGTAGAATATTTACAGAACATGTACCAAAATAAATAGTTGATATCCTTATCTTTATAAGAATAAATATGCCAAGTTCCAAGATGATTCATTCATTTACAGACAAAATATTAACAAAAAGTGAGGGGGGGGGAATCTATTCCAAGATAATCCATTCAGAATGGTGGTCTTCGGGCGCTAAAGACTAAATTGGGCGTGGCTCTGCCCCTGGGGGTCGGGACATCTATAGTTGCCGCCCTTAGGCTGTAAGGAACACGTATGCCAAGTTCCAAGCTGATCCATTCAGAATTGCGGCCTGTGTACGATAAACACAAAAAATAGTTGCCATCCTTACGCTATATGGAATATATATGCCAAGTTCCAATACGATCCATTAAGAATTGTGGCCTGTAGGCAATACACAGACCCACAAAGAAAACATGGGTGTGGTTCTGTAACTGGGGGTCAGGCATTCACCAAAAAACAATAGGGATCATCCTTAGGGTGTAAGGAATAGGTATGCAAAGTTTCAAAAGGATCTGTTAAGAATTGTGGCCTGTAGGCGAAACACAGACATACACACAACAATTCGGTGTGACTCTGTTCCAGGGAGTCGTGCATGCACTCAAAATAATACAGGTCATCCTTAGGGCATAAGGAATAAGTATGAAAAGTTTTTAAGACAATCAATTAAGAATTGCGGCCTGTAGGCGACACACAAAAAGAAAATGGACGTCACCGTGCCCCCTGGGGCATGGGCATTCACCACAAACAATAGGGGTGTTCCTTAGGGCATCAGGAATAAGTATGCAAAGTTTCAAGATGATATGTTAAGAATTGCAGCCTGTAGACAACAAACAAACAAATGCAAGAAATGAGCATGGCTCTGCCCCTGCGGTTCGGGCATTCACAAAAGATAGGTTGCCAGGCAACGAAACATACGCCCACAGAAACTAAATTTTCCGGGCAGTCAACAAGGGTTGTCGCATATTTTTACTTTTTTCGGTAATGAAACATTTATAATACACTAAAATCTGATTAAGAGCAACAACTCACGAAGTAATTATCAGAAAACTATTAGAATTTGTTTGGTTTTTATAAAGTTCTGCCCCATGCTAACGTTTTGTATGCAAAACTTTTAATATCATGGATTTAACTGTTTAAGTCATAAAAATTCATTGAAAATCAATATACTTGTTCGTCTCAAGATCTTAAACTCTGTGTATCAATCTGAAGTCAATCGGATTATAATATTCTTTGAATGGCATTTAGTAATTGGAACATAATCAAAAACACACTTTTATGGATAACAATTACTATGGTTTATTTCACTGCGACGTTTCAACAAGGTTTCACAAGTCGTTATCAAGCATATACACAAATAAATAAAAATGAGAAAGATATGAATATAAATATACAAACCAAATATACCAAAACCTGATAAACCCCAAAACGATAAACCTCCAATTAGAATCTTTATACCTTTCCACGGCAACATCTCTCACCAAATCAGAAGATTATTGAAAAGGGAAGCAGATATTGAAACCACTTTCTTGAAGGGCGCAACAACCAAAGACATAGCAAAAGCGAATGGAAAGTTGAACCCCACCAAACCCTTCTCACCAAAAGGCTGTGTCTACAAAATCAACTGCAGTTGCCAGCAAAGTTACATTGGAGAATCTAAAAGACCTTTAGATATCCGACTGAAAGAACACATGTCAAAAGCCCCCACCAACCAATCTGCAGTTGCTGAATATCTGAATGACAACCCACGACACCGTGTCGATTGGACCAAAGTTAAAACGTTGGCTGTGAACCACCACAGCAAAAGAGTCAGAAGAATACATGAGGCGATCAATATCAGAAGACATGAACCGAAACTGAATCGAGACCTAAGCGTCTATATCCCCAGAGCATATGACCGCATTATCAAATTGTAACACAGTCCCCCTAAGTAATTCCCCATGCAAAACCATATTTAACTACTGGCATTTTGCAATACCGAATTCATTGTATATTCCATACCCACAACCCTCACATTTTATAATCCTCTGTTATCAATATGTAAAATTTGTATGTTTAAATTATTTTCTATAATTTATTTAGCTATTCACAGTATTTTATGTTATGTAACTCAATTACAATATATCATACCTCTCATATTTATAATTATAAAACGGTTTCATCATAGGGCCTTCTGCTTAATTTATCATTATTTATTTATATTTTATTCAACCCTTTGACATATATTCACCTTGTAAATACATATATGCAACTTATTACTTAACTTTAAAACATAACCGTAAAATTCTATATTTCTTAACGGTTATAATCAATGTAAACATTATGGTTTCGATATAATTCTATAAACCCCCAGTTTGATCTTCTTGTATGTTTATTTAGTATTCTTAGTATATACTGGTTTCAGTTATGGTACACTGTGTATGGTTTCAATATTTGTTAATCTTGGTTAATCCCCTGGTTCATCTTTTAATTGTACAATAAGCCAATTCTAATATATACGATTATACACCTTTGTTACATCAATAGCTTGTTATAGCTAATCATGCTCACTCACCTTGCATTCCATTGGATAGTTTGCACTGATGTTTGTATATTTATATTCATATCTTTCTCATTTTTATTTATTTGTGTATATGCTTGATAACGACTTGTGAAACCTTGTTGAAACGTCGCAGTGAAATAAACCATAGTAATTGTTATCCATAAAAGTGTGTTTTTGAATCGGATTATAACTTTAGCCTTTAGAGCATCACAAGATTTTGCAAAGTGACCAAGGGCCATAACTTTGGCAGTAATTATCGGAAATCGTTGAAAATCAATAGGAATCTTCGTCTCATGACCTCAAACACTGTGTATAAATTTAAACTCAATCAGATATTAACTTTAGCCTCTAGAGCATCCACAAGATTCTTTGAAGTGATCAAGGGCCATAACTCTGGCAGTAATTATCGGAAATCGCTGAAAATCAATAGGCTTCTTCGTCTCAAGACCTTAAACACTGTGTATAAATTTAAAGTCAATCAGATATTAACTTTAGCCTCTAGAGCGTCCACAAGCAATTATGGACGCCGGACCGACGGACAGACGGACGGGGGCGACGACAATATACGACCACATTTCAATTTGGGCGTATAAAAACAATAGGGATCATCCTTAGGGTATAAGGAATAAGTATGTAAAGTTTCAAGATGATCAGTAAGAATTGCGAACCACAGACAAAACACAGCCAACTGTCAAGTACCATTGCCATGATAATAAACAAAGTTTAGCAGTTCACTTGTCAGTTGTGAATAAAAGTAAAAGTCTAAATAGTAATTTATCTAACATTTGAAGCCCTATCCGCCCTCCCCCCAAATAAGACCAGCTCTTTGAGTATGAATTTAACCTTACAAGTCCTAACACAAAGAAATTAAGACTCCCTGTCATTTGATCAAACCTACCTCTCAGGTACCGGTGTACTGCCATCTAATCTGAAGTATTTATACCCTTTATCTTTAAGAAAAACTTCCACTATATCTAACATCATGGTGAACTGACTAAATAACAACACACGATCCTCCTGAAATTAACATTGTTTTAACCTTTAAAAATCCAACTTTTTATCTTTTTTTATGCAGTGTGAAAACTTCTAGAAGATTATTTCTTTACATCTTAACTACAGTTGCCAGTCCCCAAGATGTTATCTATTCCTCACTTTACTTAGTGAGTCCAGAAAATTTAATCAAATCCTCCAACCGATAAATAAGCTGTATATTGAATATTAATAAACATAGTCCTCTAAGATGCCTTTCTAATGATGCAGTTTGGTTTATCAGATACCCATCAAATTTCGCTAATCTTCATAAGTCTAAATATCTATTGTAAATTTATGAAATAGTTGCATTCTGAACCCTTTGATTTATAAACACTGTTTTAGTTCTGGATTTAATCAAATCATTTTCATGACATTCACTCTGAGTAAAAAAAATGAGTGGGTTAGAATAATGTCAATTTGCCAAAAAATAATATAAACTTACTCTTTCTTTCATATCTGGTAACAATGTCTCTAATACCCTAAATTTACCAGATTCATTTATAGTAGATTGGTCTAACATATATTTACCTATATGGCTCTAAAATATAAAACAAATACAAATGTTTTCCACAGTATAGAAGGTATACGACTATACAAGGCTACAGGGTACAGGTCTCCATAGGGCTTTAATTCACAGATAATCAGATAAATATAGTTTTTAAATCATTTTATTAAAATGTTATTAAAAATTGCAGCATCTTTCAGATAATTCAATGTTTAGAGAGTTGTAAGAGTGGTTGGTTTGTATGTGGCAGTAGATTTTTCAATTATATGATATTTAAATTTCTATGTCTTAGCCTTCCAAATAGCTTTCCAGATGGGGATATTTTTATGAATAAATTTTCAGATTATTACTTGAACAATTGTGACAGAACTGCATAATACAGATTGCTATGGCTTCGCTTCATGGTGGTTTAACTATCAAGTGGGTCATTAATCATACCTGCACGGACACACAGAGAAAGGCTATGGGTGACGTACTAAAACTTGTGTACAGAATTGGTTAATCAAATATAAATTGGATTTAAAAATAAATAATTATTCAGTATTAATCAGATACATGCTTGTCAGAATACAGGTCTTTACATACCTTATAATGTTTACAGACATTATGGATATCAAAATCGTTCATAATAGACATATCTTCTTTTATTAATTCTGGTAGAGCACCCCGCTCTTGATGCGATGGTTCCTGAAATTAATATTTCACATAATTAGTACAAAATATCTTGATCACCAGTTTCTTAATGTCTGGATTCTTTTTCCGTTAAGAGCACTGCCAATGTGTACACATTACCAAGCCATACACAGGAATAACCTTTTTATTTTATCTCTTACTGTCATTTCTTTCCAGGATGTTAGCAATAAGTAAGATCCACTGTGAATCAGTTTGACACATGACATCATAGAAATAAACAGAAGGTAATAACAGTTATAAGCTAAAGATTATCAAGAATGACTGTCTTATTATCTAATCTATTTGATACTAATCTAAATCAAAATTTCTGTCATACCTTGGAATATTTAAGAAATTTGTATACTAACCTTAGTTAGATCTTTAGCTATACATGTTAATTTTTCATCATCATAATGTTTTCTGATCAGCAGAGGATGATTGGCAGCTTTACGTAACTGCATGAACATAGAGGCACCTCCATTTTGTAACACTGCATCAGTTCTATTTTCTATTTCTTGATTAAACCTTTGAATTAATGAATCATACAATTCCTGTTGATCTGGTATCATAACACAGTTCTCTGTTCTTTCATATTTCTTAGGCATCTGGTTTAATACCTGGAAGAAAATGGGGTTAATGCATACATATTTAATAAAATATTTTTTTCATAAAAAATCTCTGATCAAATATATTTTGAACAATTTATGAGAAATGCTCAAGAAAAACAATTTTCCATGGAAAACTAATGATTAAATTTGTACAACTACTTTAATAATAGGTTAAATGAATGTACAAAAACTGAAACAAGTGGTTGTGATTTTTTGTACAATCCAGGAAACTGAGATCTTTGGGTTAAATATACATTTAAAGTTTCATTAAAATCAGATCAAAATTGTGATTTCTAGAGGGTCCACAACCTTGTTATTACATACTTTTACACTATTTGGATACAAGGAGCGACCTTTTGTCGGGCAATTTCGGTTGGATTTTCACAATATTCTAACTTAACCATCATTAAGGTGTAACAGTGATATATTTAATAGGTTTTTAAAATTTGTAATCCATAATCCAGGAAGTTACAGACAAATATGCACAAATATCAAAAGCATCCAAGATCATTGTGATATAAACATAAATTTAAAGTCTTAACATAATTGGATCAAAACTGTTACATCTAGAGGCTCCAAACCATTGATATACCATACTTTTACACTATGAAAATGTGGGCGTATAAAAATTAGTATTAAAATAATAAATCAAATCTTTAACACATTTAAACTTTACTTCTTAATTAGCAGTAAAGACACTTACATCCTTTTTCAATCTTCTTAAAAGAAAGGGTTTCATTATTCTCTTAGCTTGAGCTATTTTCTCTTTCTCAAACCTCCCACTATCTTCATTAGATTTCTGAGAAAAAAAAATGCATAATAATAATTTAATGAACAGCAATATACAAATAATTATCTCTTAATGGAAATTAGTATAGATCATGACTTAATCTATAAAATATATAAGAGAAAGAAATAGAAAAACGGGGTTTAACATTTACTAGACACAAACTATGTCATTTCAGGACAAACATGGTTCATTTTGATTTCAATAATTTGCTTGCACTTAGGGGTCCTTAACAGTGAGAGTAGACCAGAGGACACAGAGAAAACCCACAAGGTGGGACAGACGACCCTACTCCTTGTCACGTACAAGTGTGGGATGGAAAAATGCCACATGACTTAATGACAGACCTTATGATGTAAAGCACCCACTGTGGAACATTCAGCCAACCAATCCCCCCCAAATGTATAAGAGACCAAAATATTATCTTACAGTCATCATAGTAAACATTTTCTTTAATGGTTCTGTTTTACCACTAAATATATCTGGCATGACAAAACATAATAATGACATGAGTTCGACTAGGTTATTCTGTAATGGTGTACCAGTAAGTAGTAATCTTCTATCAGCCTGTAATATATTATAAACAAGAGAAAATTTAGAAATGCAAATCAACTCAGTGGTTGCCAGGCAAGATATACCCACATTTTGCAAAAGATGGATAGAGAACAAACTAAAAACAAAGGTGATTTTTCGTACAATCAGGGGCCATAATCCAGAAAGTTATGCTCTGAAATGTGCAAATATCAAAAGGGACTGAGATCTTTGGGATATAAAGATATACTTTAAGATTCATCAAAATCGGATAAAAATTGTGACCTCTAGAGGGTCCACAATCTTTGTATTACATACTTTTACACAATTTGCGTACAAAGAGCGGCCATTTTGTCTGGCAGTTTCATTTTGATTTTCCCGAAATTCGAACTCAACCATCGTTATGGTGTGAAGGTGATATATTTAAACGTTTTTTTAATATAGGATAAAAATTGTGACCTCTAGAGCAGTGATTCTCAACCAGTGTGCTGTGAAATTTTGAACGACACACTAAGAAAATGCAAAAAACCATGTGATCCCAATTGAGTATTCACAGGTGTCTATTGATAAGTTCATAGCTGTGTATTTCCTTATTTAGTTTGAGTCGGTCTATGTGTTTATGACTAGTCTCTGTCTATGGTCGTATGCCGTCTGACTTACCATGTTTTTATTTTGCAAAATTCAAATATTTTTCATATATATTTAGCCAGGTGTGCTGCTACTTTTTCAGGTGTTCCAAGGTGTGCCATTGGCTAAAAAAGTTGAGAACCACTGCTCTAAAGGGTCCACAATCAGGGGCCATAATCCTGGAAGTTACAGTCCAATATGCGCAAATATCAAAAGGAACCGTGATCTTTGGATTATAAACACACATTTTAGGTAAGGATGTAAATGGTCACTTGGTTAATCGATCAAGGTTAAAAAAAATTACTAACTGGTATTTGTTTTCATATCATACCTGACCTTCAAACCCAGGAATGGTAACCACAACATTGTTTTCTTTCACTAAGACCACGTTAATACTTCAAATAGCACTTGTCAGTTGTAATAAGTCTCGGACAGTCAAAGTCTTTAAATTCCTGCTCAAAGTTTTGTATACGTTATTACTATTAGCACTCGCTACCAAGCATTAAATAGTCTCGACTGATTGACAAATTAATTGTTTTACAGTAATTATTAACCTCATCACTCCAGAAATTAAACAAAGTCTCAAAGGAAACAAGTTTGATGCGATGAAATAATATTAAAAATAGACAGGATATAATAGTAAAATTGTTGATATTATCTCTCAATCCTATGCTGATGGGGTCAAAGTTGACAACATTGTCACTGGTGCCATACGATACAGTATGGCTTGTAATAGAAACACATGTAGTGAATTCTTTGGAATTAGCTGATATTAAATAATCAAACTTATTTTGTATTTAAAAATCCAAACGTATGCTTTCTAATATTTATGTGATAACTAATCTTATAAAGTATTAGGGAAGCTATTTTTATTATTTTTTTTTTAATCAACCTGATTTGAACTGGTCTATAGTGACCTGTCAAAGTATGGTGCAAGATGGAGAAATCAACCCTCAAAAAAAGAATGAATGGAATTTGTATTAACAGTTAAACATGCATTATGCAAGAGCTAAATCTGCCTATTGCAGGTCTTTCTTTAGGCCTGAAATGTTTTCTAAAGTATTAATTAGACATTAATTAACTAATCCAGGCCTTAATAAACTCTCGATGGCATCAGATTTCTCCGATATTAAATAGATTAGAATGGTTCAGCGATACTTTGATTTAATCAAATATGGAGGACCGAGACTTAGCTTTGATCAACCAGTACGGTGGTTGAAATTATTGCACACGTCTGTCAAACCTTCAAAGGCTAATATCTTCCCTTGCAAGAGAGTAATTTGAATGAAATTTTCAAATTATTCGTTTTACATCATCTACTTTCGAACTATTATAGCAAGAATGACTAGTTCTTTATCTATCTAAATCTTACATAATGTATCTTTAACATTATGCAAGAGCTAAATCTGCCTATTGCTGGGGCGTTGGATGGTTGAATGGGGTTTGCACCTGCCCGCTGTATCATAAAGTCTGTCATTGAGTCAACTGGGGTGATTTCGATTCCCCGGGTGTACGTGAGAAGGAGTAGGATCGCCTGTCCAACCTCGTGGGTTTTCTCTAGGTCCTTCGGTTTCCTCCCACTGCTAAAGACACCTACACGCAAGCGAATTATGGAAATAAAATTGAACCATGTTAGTCCCGAAATCACCTAGTCTGTGTCGAGTGGAACGTTAAACCCCATTTCTCTCTCTCTCTGCTTATTGCAAGTCTTTATTTAAAATTAAATCAATAAATGGCGGACCAAGCTAACGTTTACTGTTAGTCGCTGATGTTTCTACCGGAAGCTGGTGAGTTATCGTCTGTCAATTGATGCCTATTTCTAGTCCAAACTTCCAACAGTGACAATTCAGTACAAATTAGTGATATTTAATTAAAAGTAGTGTTTTATTAGATTTTAGGCACTTTATTTTGCCATCTAGATGAAATAATAACTTTTTTTTTCACTTTACCTGTCTGTCCGAAAAGTCAATTTGCCCGATGGCTCGTATGAGTATGGTGACAGACGGACAGCAGGGCTGGCCACGAATAAATTGATGGCGAGCAGATGACTGCTCACGCAAATTTAGGTTTGGGCGAGCAAGGCGAGCAATAAAAATTGCTCACGCAAAATGTTGTTTGCGTCAGCACACATTTTGTAACATTGTTTCAATTTAAAATCATAAGAAAATTGCTATTCCTGGCACAAAGTTTGCAGTAAACATGTGTGACCATCGCTTTCTGTTTTTGACAGTCATACGTACTCTTCTTTATTAAAACCAATTTCCGTATGGATTTCTTCACCCCACGAAATAAATGTGGATAGGGCAATCAGGTTGCCTTTGGCCATTATTACGCTTAGATTGAAAATTATACGACTGCACAATGGAATAAAAACCGAAGTTCTGATAAAATAGAAAATACCGATAAATATTAGTTTGAAACGTGTTCATTTAGCGTGAATGCCTACTGCCGGATGTAAACATTCTTTACTTTAGACTCGATTATCACGCGTTCGTTACTGGTGTTCGTAGGAAAACCAGTCATAACGTTCAGTTCTAAAGTGTATTTTTCGTAACAAGAGTGCTGAGTAACTTTTTAGCCAATCAAATTTAAGGAGGAAATGCCGCCTGCAGCTCGGTGAATCTCAGTTTGACAGACGAATTTATGAAGTTATTGACATTGTTGGTTTAGTTTCGGCAATAAACTTGTCAATATTTTGATTATTTTTACAGGGTTTTCTTAAAATTTTGCGTGAGCAACGTACCGCTCGCGTAAATGTAGATTTACGCGAGCACAGCGCGAGCGCGAGCAACTGCTCGCGTCTCGTGGCAAGCCCTGGACAGACAGGGGCGACGGCATAATACGTCCACATGAAAATCCAACAATTTATACCCACACCTTTTACTCATGATAATTCAAGAGAAACTTATATTAATGCACATGGTACAATTACCAAGGCCAATATCCACCAGATGTAGCAAGTGCTATAACAACTTCAAGGCACTAGACAGCATAGTGTAGATTAAACATTGCATTAAAATGGCAGTTTACTCATTACATGGCATTACGATATGAAAACTGCAAAGATTCTGCATGACATCATTAAAAACAATCCTAGTTCCAGGACTTAGGAATTCAAGCATCCATGTTTTAGCCAATCGCAGCAGCTCATTATAGTTTGCTCTGATGAAGAATGTTATTTAAACCGAATGCAGAATTGCTTTTACAATTGACTATTTGTAGAAGTTGATTCTTCCTAAGATTTAAGATCAAGGCCAATTGTCAGTTGCAAAAAACATTTCCCTTCTAAGTTACCATGCGGCCTTTAATAATGACATTACAGGGACGAAAACTGTGAAGTTGTCATCATTGATGCGGATGTCATCGTTGAACTTCAATGTCCAAATTAGCTAACTTGATATATAAACTAAATATTGTTACTACTTACCCTGATTTTCATTAGATTCTGGAATCGAAGAGATGACATGTTTTTCAACATGTGACCCTCATCAAAAACGGCATATTGAAATTCTAATTTTTTGAATAATGATCTATCTTCAACACTACCAGTAGCCATATTATACCTGTAAGTATAAGACAAAATACTGATGTAGTAATTGGTTTGATATTTGTCATTTTTGTGAATGACTGCAATTGGTTTGTCAGCATTGATCCAAAAATTTTGATACCCTTAGAGGCTTAGAATCTATTTTGTGTTTTGTATGCTAATATCAATTGTAACAAAAAAGAAAAGGGAGTCATATTCTGTTGTAATGGTATCAAATAATGTTAAGTTAAGAACTAAATGAAAGAATTTGAGAATAATCTCCATGTCTGCTGTAATTAATTTTGCATAATGTTCACAATCAACTTTCAACAATAATTCTGTACAAGCAGTGTGTGAAACTAACAGTATCTATGCCATGGAATTTAAGGCCAAGGCATGCCAGCTCAGATGAACAATTAAATGAAGAAAATGTTTTGGTCTATACCAGAGACAGTAATTCTGTACCAAACAGAATTCATATAGACCTAATACACACACTGTGAACACATTAATCTACAATTACATAGGATTGATGTTAGAACAAGTTTTTAGCACAATCTATACTTACGTTGTTAGAACAACATTATATTCTACATTGTTACCATATAAAACTTGTTGTCTTACAACACGTCTCTCTTCCTGAGATCCATAATATATAACTATATTTAGACTAGGACACCAATCCTGCATTTCCCGCAACCAATTTTCTAAAACAAATAATAATCATGTAAAATTTCTCCTGTGATTCTGTCTAATGTTTTGATCGTATATCAGACTAGATCAATTATTGGAGTGGGAACTGGGCCCCAAGTGCTACTAATGTTCTTGCTGTTCTTCTTCTTGGAGCAAAGCTCTTCATAAAAAGACTAAGGGACCGCCTATTCAAGTACAATCAACACGAAACCTGGCATGCTTGTTCCTTGGATGCACACCGATGGATGGACTTCGATTTTTGATATGCCACAATTCAAAGATATGCTTGGTTCCTGGTCCATAGTGAACGCCTACCTGTGTTAATAGCTGGATTTAAATGTAATGAAATAAGTGAAGTTTAAAACCTCATAAACACTAAACCATAATAGCAACAAATTTAATTTACAATAAAAGAGAAAGGTCCACATTAGACCCAATGTTGATTATTACATACCTATAGTAGATGATGGTACTATAATAACATGTGGACCAGTTTCACCAACTTCTATTAGATGTGCAAGGAAAGCTATAGTTTGTATAGTTTTACCTAAACCCTGTAATCAATCAATATATATTACAGAGTAACCGCTCCTTGTTTTTACACATGATATCTTAATAAGTTAGAGTGAGTTTAATTCATCACAGTTCTAACTTTCTATATTACATGAGATCTAATACACATTCAAAATGGCTGCCGTTCGAACATTACATGCTATGCATGACACTGCATTAAGTTTACAGATAAATCAGTAAGCGACAGAGTCTTGGCATGATTTGAATATTTGTGTTTTGATTGGTTGCTTACTCAGTGACATATAACAGGAATCAATGATAAAATTTGTTAGATGTTAAGTAAAATTGAGTCAGGTAAAATATAAAATATGAACATAAGATGAAAGAAAAATGAACTAAATAACATATGATTTTAATTTTCTCTGTAAAAATCTATTTACCATTTCATCAGCTAAAATACCATTTAACTGCTGAGCATGCATGACTCTTAACCAGTTTAATCCAATCATTTGATATGCTTTTAATTGTTTACTGAAATATAAAAAAGACATTGCTTTCTAAATTACAGCGCTATTGTAAAAGTTTCATAATAACTGGTTCTTCAAACAGTTTCGTTTCTTCCGAACTTAATCAATGTTATCTATCAAAACATAATGGAATTTGGTTTCATAAATTTAATTATCGACCTGCATTTTATAAATATAATTATCTAGTTTATTCACGAAATTTTGTATTGAAGAATTTTGCTCATATAACAATGTTTTTCCATCTAATCACCAAATTACCACTCTGATACTGACATGCACTGACAAACTTCAGAACACATATCCTTGCCACAAACATGACCACCAATATGTGAGAACTGATATTTCAACTTACGTATCAACTAATAATTTAGGTTGATTAGTGATATTATCTTGACTGTCTTCAATTGTTTCACTGTTAGTTAACATAGATACCACATTCTCCATTTCTTGACCAATACGTTCACATTTCTGCATCAAGTTAGTAACAATACTTTGTAGATGTATAACTTCTAAACATCCTGGTATCAATGCATAAGATAAAGACTTGGCTGCGGTAACCTTTTCAACCTAGAAAAAATATACACAGTTACGTATCATTACAGGCCCAGAACTGTACATTGCAGTGGATGCTTATGACTGGCCGATGGATTCATTATCTTGATCTGATATATAAGTTTGTTGTTCTTTGCTTGCAATCTATTGTGCAGTTTGTTTCTTGTCTGCTGGTTTGTCTTGCAGTTACTATTATAACTCGAAAAATGATATTAATGAACCTTAAAACAATATCAATGTGTTGACAAGTTATGAAAATTATATAAGCTATATTTTCAGATGTAGAATGTTTAGCAGTAGATTTTTTAGGATGACAAACATTGTTTTAACAGCTTCAAAAAAAAACTTACCAACTCATCAAATGATGTAAATGGACGTAGCTCTACTATACTTTCAGCTTTCTTTCTAGAACAACCTTGTATTGATGTCAACTCTTCAAGTTTTGATTCTTGGAAAAACTTGAGAATTTTATCAGCATGAACAGCAGCATTATCAGAATCCTAATTTATCAAAATTAATTAAAGATAACTAATCCTTGCATTTAATATTATAGACAAATACATGCTGGTTATTTATAATAGAACTTATGTTATTCATTTATGCATATGTATGTATAATACTTCCAGAAACTCAACTATTGATTATTTTAAGGTGGTTGGATGGCCGAAAGGTTAGCACGCACGTGCTGTATCATAAGGCCTGTCATTGAGTCAACTGGCGTGGTTTCGATTCCCTGGTTGTATGTGGCAAGGAGTAGTGTCGCCTGTCCAAACTCATGGATTTTTCCCCGTTCCTCCGGTTTCCTCCCACTGCTAAAGACCCCTACGCGCAAGCGAATTGTTGAAATAAAATTGAACCGTGTGTTAGTCCTGAAATGACCCTAGTTTGTGTCGAGTGGACGTTAAACCCCATTTCTCTCTCTATTGATGATTTCAAGCAATATATATATATATATACTTACGTAACTATCATCACTATCATAATCAGCACCACTATAATCTGCATCTTCATCTGATAAATCAACATCTTTCACTGTAATATAAACAATAATCATCTTAATTATTTCATTACATATTATGACAGCCTGCGATAGGACAAATGTTATAGCGTATGAGAATGTCAGCGATAAGATATTTGCTAATATCCGATCTTTAGTGTATTATAGACTGAACAGGTTCAAAAATTTCAAATCATATCACAATTGATCTTAGCAAATTGTAGCATACCATGGTTAATTCTAGTGTGTGCGAACAATTGTGGACTACTTCAGTAGCATTTTAATTGGAGAAGTTGCTCTATATTGGGTGAGGTTGGTAAAATTTGAAACTCCTAAACACTATAAGGAGCACCTAGGAGTTGCAAGCTCTTGCACTTGTATCCATAATGTGAAGGAGGGGACAGAACTCAAATTGTGTGTTACTGTAGCAGACACAGTTATAATTACAGCTATGTGGGTGTTCATGTCTACGAATATCAGTAACATACTATGATTAGCTTTGAAGTTTAATTTGCCATGATTAACCAAGATAGACAGAATGGAATATTCCACGGAGAATAACAGTGTGTGTGGCTAGCTAGATATGTCTAGTGAAAGCCAGTGAAGCACTGTACGAAAAAAAAGACATAGTGACTCTATCACTTACTTTTGACTTTCTTTACTGTTTTCTTCATTTTGGCTGAATTTGTTTTTAAGGAGACTCTTTTTTCTAAAGTTGCCATTGTTGCATCTACAGCATATTTATTTTCTTGAAAGGTAGCTTTGATCATCTGAAAGAAAATGGAAATTTATTCATGGGTGTTGATTACTAATATAGCTGTAACATATCATAAATCATAATTTTGGCATTCATTGTTTCTAAAACAAATAAAAAACATTGAATTATACCCAAATAATACTATCAAATACAGGTTGTTTTTTTTAATTCATTAACATTTTTGTTCTAGTTTTTGTCTTCCTTGTGTTGTGTGTGGTCCCCTGCACTTATAACTATTTCAATTTAAATTATTTTATAGGTCTCAAATCTAAAAGAAACTAGGTTATTAATATTGTGCATAATTTCATATCTTTATTTAACCAATAACCTACCTCTTCTGTATGATTTGGGAATGCTTCATATAAAAACTGTAAATTTTTTTCTTTTGTACTAATTGTCGTACCATTGTTGTCAGTTGAGGTAGGACTGTCTTGCCGTATTCGTTTCTTTGAAGGTTCTTGATTTTCTATATCAGAACCTTTACGTTTTGTGTAAGTACCTAAAAACATACAAAAAAAAAATTTATTGTACGTTTAGCATCAGTCTGGAAAAAAAAATGTAGTACTAGTCTACCCAATTCTTCAGTCAAATACAAAGATTCCAGTATCATAACCGCTAGTGAAATCTTAAAAATATCATTTCAAAATTAGTATCAATGTCAATTCCTTATGGATCCCGCTAATGAATTCCCATTTATTACATAGTTAAAAAAACAGATATAAGTTAATGATATCTGTGTTCTATGTGTCTAATACTATTACTACCAGTATTCAGAAATATTACTAGTATACTAAGAGATTAATCTACAAAAATTGTAATATGTATACACTGGACTCTGTAACATCTGACATCTGAATACTGCGACATTCTGTGAAATCCGACATCATTTTCATGTCCTGATTTATTTCCTTATTACTTCATCCAAAAAAGCTTTGAGTAATCCGTATTCTGAATATTCCCAATTACAATTTCTATAGAATTAACATCGTATAATCCTGCCATCAACCAATGGGTGTGAAGCCACAGAAGATTAACAAGCAATCACCAATCAATTATCAGTGGGATTAAAACTCGCTCGCCTATGTCTTTGTTGATTACTTTGATAATTTTATAATTTCTAGTGTGACGACGACCTGGACATAGAACGACAGATTATCAATGAACACATAACAGCAAAGACAAGTGTGCAATCAACTGAAGATGGAGACATTGAAAAAGATAAATCAACGACACAATTGACTTATTCAAAATGCCTACACACGCTAAATGAAATAAAAACATTCGCCCAGATTAAGGACGATGCGATGGTAGACAAGATTTGAGTGCTACAGGATTGCGTCCAGGACTCGGTGCTACGGTATGCATCCGGAAACAAAAGCAACATTTTTAAATGATTATATGAATATAAAATAAATTGTAAATACCGGTATGCAAACTTATTGTTAGATATTTCAATGTAATAAAATTTTGAATGTACAGAAAAGTTTATCATTTTTAAAGGGAATAACGTTCTGGGGATTCAAAGCTACATTATAATAATACTTCCGGTTTTCGAAGTTACAATAATACTTTCGATTTTGAGAAAACTGAGTATTCCAACACTCTGCGTAATCCGACATATTGTAACAATCAAGTATGATGTAAGATTTGACAGAGTCCACTGTATTCTAGTTTCAGGTAAAAAACATGTTACCGGGTAAAGGAGGATATATCAGTTCATCAACAGCACTATCAAAATTATCAGGATGATTCTTTAACACTGTGATTAATCTGTCTTCAGCCATTGTGGGAAACATTTGTTTTAAATTAGCTAAACTCTCTTCAAATTGTACATTTGATGCTTGAGTATCTGTTGCTGAACTGGAGTCATCACATTTTACTGGTGATGGTTTTTCATCTTCACTATCACTCTCTGATGAAGAGTGCGGTCTAATAATTCTTCTTTGTCTAAAAACAGAATGAATAATTTCATAAAAATATACTAAAACTAAATCATAATCAATATAATATTATCATTTTCCAACTTTTCATTGTCATAGGTAAGTAAACTGTCCCAATTTACTCAATGTTTTTATGTTTTAATTTTTTTTTTTTTTTAGTAATATAACTATGAAAATCCAAATGTGAATTTATCGGATTATATACATGTATAATAGGGCTACAACAATATGTAATTCACATACTTTTTGGGTTTAGTTTTTTTACTCTTAACATGACCATTTTGAATTCCCCTTTCCTTTGAAAGCCAAGAATTTTGTGAGGATGGACTATCAGCCATGCTATCTTGTGACTGTGAATCACTGGATATGCTGTTACTGCTTTTTATAATTCTAACTTTTGTTGAGTTGAAAACTGGAGATAAAGGCAAAGATGATGTGTTTGATTGTGGTGTATCTGGAATGACTGTAGTACTATTTTCACTGTTTACTGAAACAAATAGGAAAAAACGGAATTAATAGGCAACAATATATGTTAAGAATTGAAAACGTTTAGACAGTTCTATATAACATTGTAACATGCTTAAGAGTGAATCTTGCGTTTTGATTGGTCGATTAGACACTGTCTATTGGACAATAACACCCCTTTAAATTAGAAAAATCACTGCGTATTAATATTATGCGTACTACTTTAATGGCGATAACCACAATGGAGACACTCAATTTTGATCTCGGTACATAAGATGAAATATTTGGAGATATGTCCGAAGATGAACTTCAAACGCCAACCCCCTTGTCAGGTAACAGCTACAAACAACAAAATATTCAAAAATCTATTACAAAAACATAAATTTTGTTTTAAAAAGTACTTTTTAAAAAATGAAGAGAGAATTTTAGGTTTGTTTTGTGAGTTTATACTCATACGGCTACTATAGCAACCAGACGATAAGCGAGCCAAATCTAACATGAGCAGCCAGTTACCCCACTACGTCACGACGTTTTCATTACGTCAAAATTGATTTCTTTGGTTTTTACGTCACTAAAACCGATTTGCAGTGGAACGAATTTTGAAGTTTACACAATAAAATAAGTTGTTTTAAAATTCTAAAAAATAGCATGTTACAATGTCGATAAACACCTCCTGTTTCGCATTTAGAGGGGTGTTATTGGCCAATAGACATGTCCTGAGATCATAGGACCCAAGACGCATTAGCGTCGCGGGTTCTAATGTAAAATCTCAGGACATGTCTATTGGCCAATAACACCCCTCTAAATGCGAAACAGGAGGTGTTTATCTCCTAAATAAGGTGTTTATTCCTCCAAGAAAGTTCACTGACACAAAACTAGGAGTAATACACTGATCACTAAACATGACAGACAAATAAAGTATTGTACCATTTTAAAGTACCTTAGCTAGATCCCTCTAAATCTTATAACCATTTGAGTCCAATAAGTCAACCAGAATTACCTTGTTCATTGTAACACGAATTACCATTAGTATTATTTTCACTGATTAAACTGTTACCATTGGTATGTTTTTCTTCACCCTCGTCCCGTTTCCCCTCTTCAATCTGTGGATCTGTATTCTGATCAGATGTTCGCTTAACAAAGCGATACTGAAGCAATGTGGATATTTTAGCGCCGGACATTGTGTAACGAGATATATAAATAGTGCATTATTAACCTAACCTAACGAAAATAATTAAACTCTAAATGGGTCGAGCAGTAGGTCGTTTGGTTAAAAATAAAAGATTAAGATTTTTTTTGTTTTTCCGTTCTTGTTCATCTATCGGATCCTGCGCGGGAAATTGAGTACCTGATTGAATGTTAACTAAAACATCAATTAAATCTACTGCAAGAGACTAAGTAAATCGTGTCTAGTTGAAATTTACTTTTTCTTTGTTCTAATTATTTCAATTTATAGAACAGAATTATTTTTTTGATGAAAAGACAAAAAAACATGACATAAATCGCTGACTGTAAAATGTGACTTCGTTGGTAGAAGAATTTTGCAAGGGAGATAATATAAAATGTTTCTCGATTACCCAGAGTTAATATTTTTCTCGTTTATAGAAGTGTACTACATGTAGAATACGATCTATGATCTCGTTAAATGTTCCCTCGATCATAATTACGTGAACGTCGGTTCATCTTTCTAAACTTGTTTTTTTTAGCTGAAAGGTCCAATGGCCAATTAAATCAAATTATTGACTAGACTCGAACCACTAATTAAGTTAATAATAATACAAACGGCGCCAACCACCGAATCTGCCGATGGCATCTTTGCGCGTTACCACTATTACCAGGTAATGTCGGTTAGTGCTAAATGATAAGGCCAGCTCAAATTTTAGTCACAGGTACCGAGATGTAAACAGGGCTGGTGCTAATTGCAACCCTAGCCCTAACCCTGGATCTAACCCCAATGCTTACCCTAACCCTAACCTACAATCTCGCCAGCAATCACGTGCCCTAACCTTATTTACATCTCAGCGACCTTGACAAAAATTGAGCTGGCCTTAAAAAATAGATTTATCCCGGTAATGCCTTTATACCCCCCCCCCCCCAAAAAAAAACCCCGCATGAAATAAATGTATGGAGAGCGATGTGGCAAAGTAGAAGGGGCGTACAGTAAATCTGTATTAATCATCGTTATGAAACTGTGGCCTAGTAGTCTACTACATGTAGGACCGTAAAATTCTTGCCCGGAGATTGACCAAAAATAAAAATTTCCAATTAGCCTACTGCTCGGAAATATGCTAGTTTTGTATTATTAGGCGCGAAATGAAAAGTAATACGTTTTCCCCAAATATCACCGATCAATGACCGCTCGGAAATGTGTTATTTTTTGCATGAAAAAGACATTTATAGGCAAGAAAAAACATATCTTCTGATACACTTGGGGGAACTATCAATGACCAGATATAATGCGTGGATGTAGGGCCTATCCATGTAGGCTAAATAGGCCTACTATAGGCTAGAATGAGTGAGATTAGAAACGACCCTATAGAATAGAACTTGCCGTAAAAATCGGTATAAGGCCAACAAAAGATGTTTGGGGTGGAATGAGTGTCGATTGTAATATCTAGCTTATCTAGGGAACATTGATATACCACAATTTATGTGTTGGCAGGACCCTGTCTTGGCTCGATTAAATGAATGATTTTAGACTAGCTTCGATAGAATTAAATTACAAAAATTTGCCAGGGCAGCCACAGATCGGATACGCCAAATGCTGTTTAGACAGGCCACAGATCACTAATTATTTCCCCATTGACTTTAATGTTAATTCTCGTCTCTTAGACCGGCTCTAACTTTTTACCAAATTTTCGTTGGGTAGAACGCTTTCTGCCACAGAAGGAGCTACATGTGGCAAATTCTTGCCCAAAAGCATGTATGAGGTTCACCATGAAAAACTTGAGATACACAAGCTGGAAGTAGAGACAAGTAAACATGCAATTTCCGGCCCTACATTTCAACGTAACCAACCTTACAACTCTTGTATCCTTCCGCCTCAAAATCATGAATATTCACCAAAACCTGGCAGAAAATGTATTTTCAAACCTTTTTTTTTTCGATTCTACACCAAAAAGTCAACAAAAATCGCCATGCAAAAGGGGGAAAAAGGGAAAGGGAGAGATAGACTAAAAATAACTTTGGCCCTTGTAATATTTGGTGATCTGTGTCCAACTAATATAGATTTCTAGTTTGACATAGTTTTCTCCCTTGCGCTGCATATCATTTACCACTTAATGGCTTACAAGTACATGTAATTATATTTTGGACAATTATCCCTTTTTAAAAGTCAGCTAAAGGTCTACGTCATGGTAGCTTTTAAGCATTGTTACGTCATAATAACATGACAACATAAAGCGAAACAAATCCATTTTCTGTTCACACGTTGATATGACTATGGAGATGATTTAATAACCATGGCTTCCTTACAGAAGGTATTAGTGAAAAATGATTTTCTGGCACCCGAAGAACACAGCAAGCCAAAACTGACCAGAGAGGACATCATAGACAGCAAATACGCATGGATAGCTTGTATTTGTGCTGTCATAGATCAAGTATTTATTTGTGGACTACTACAAATTTTCGGAGTATATTTTGTAGAATTTGTTAAAGATTTTAATTCTTCCCAATCGCAAGCAGGTGTGTTAATTTAACTTTCTTGAAATCAAAATAAAACACGGACACCCTGTCTGCCAATTTTAATTTTCTTTTCATTACAAAGAAATAACCTGTGCTGTGGGTTACAAGGCCTCGGTTAATTTTCAACTGCATGCTAAAAACCTTTAAGAAATGTACTTTAAAAAAGAATTATTATAATTTCAGCTGTAAAATACCCATTGTCGTTCAGTCATTACGATTTTGTTTTGATTTGGTGTAGGCCTACCACCCAATTTCACGAATCTCTGAAAAACTGATGCAGGAAAGTAGGGCGTTAAACCCCATATCATTTTCTGAACGACAATTTGGGTTTTAGGTATAATAGTCCATAGAAGCCTTTTAAAAAGAAATTATATTTCCATACCGGTAGATCTACTTCATAGCAATGTTACAAACTTACAAAGACTACCAAATTTAAAACAATGACGAGGAAATCACATACATATCGATCTAGATCTGTGCTGTTTATTTTTTTTTATTTCAGCATGGTTAGGATCGTTAACTTATGGTATAATGAAGCTATTTGGTCCAGTCACTGGTTTCTTTGTCGTTCGATTCAGCAACAGGGCAGCCATGTTTACTGGATGCTTGGTGTGCGCAAGTTCACTTTTAATATCCTCGTATGTTGAAACGATGAACGTGTTGTATGTCAGCTTTTCACTTTTATATGGAATAGGATCAAGTTTTGTTATCAACTGTGCAATGATTTTATCTAATGAATATTTTGATAAGCATCTTGGGTGGGCAACAGGACTCATCTGCGCTGGAAGTAGCATGGGTACCTTAATACTGGCACCGAGTGCTCAGTTGATGATCGACAGCATTGGCTGGAGAATGTCTTTTAGGGTTCTAATGGCAATTTTCATTGGCGTTGCCCTTCTTAACGTTTTCATTCGACCGATGCCCAATGACAAAGATGTGCCTCAGAAGGAAAACGACACCCAACAATCACTACAAAACAAAGAACAGAAAAAACCCAGTTTTCGCAGTTTATGGAGAAATAGGTCCTTTGCGCTATGGTCCTTAGCAACATCCTTCGCAATGTTTGGTTATTACATTCCTTTTGTTCATTTGGTAAGAAAAGCACTTTCTGGAATTAAAGAAAAAGAACAGTATGGTAATCATGCAAATCGTCAAATTATTTTAATCATATTCGTTCTAGTATAACGGAGAACATATTCCCGAAACAATGATAACGGATATTATCAGTATTATCAGCCCACTGAAATGGTACCTCTATTTCGTTCCGGTTTTAACTTTTGTTGTTCCGCCCAGCATAACTATCAAGCCCCAACCTCTGTTAAAACTGGGGTCCTGTGAACACGTTGGTGTGCACATAAAGAAACCTTTGACAGTTGGAATTATATTGCTGTCCCTCATATCACGCTCGTCTGTTCCGACTGGGCTAATGAAGACGGACATACGCCATGCAGTGTGTGCTATGAGTGATATTTTGCCCGGACAGCGGCGCTACGGCCTACTCTTATATCGAATTCCAACTGCACTACTGACAAGGAGAATCCACTCCGGAAAATCCCTCTTTCTAGGCCAACACCGTGGCTCCCTAGATATCAGGTCTGGTCATGTCATTTGAACACAAACTTCGTGAAGATGTAGTTAGACCTTGCTGTAATGTAAATGTAAATTGCATAAAAATGAGAGAAAAAATAAAACAAACAAATTGAGAGTATGCCCTAATTTTAATTAGAATGTCGCTAATAAAACAGCTTTAGATTAAATTAGTTAAAATATAAAATAAATCTTTAAAGGCTTTACACATTGTTGGGTTAAGAAAAAAACTATAATCATACTTGTCTCCACTTGTAATATTACCGAATATTTTCTTTACAGGTAGCATATGGGATCGATGTTGGTATTCCGGCAGTTCAAGCCTCTTACTTTATTATGACCTTAGGTGCTTCTACGACCATAGGAAGACTGGTTTCTGGTAAAATTGTACAAACTGGTTATTTGAATTGTCTTCATCTAAATCAGTTATGTATGATATTAACTGGAACCCTATATATGATTTTACCACTCATACGATCTTTTGGTGGCGTAATGACATTTGTTGTAATCCTGGGACTCTCAGATGGTTGTTATGTGGTTTTGCTACCTATACTCACGTGTTCTCTAGTTGGAGTTAAAAATGCCATATTAGCATGGGGAATGTTAGTTTGTGTCAGTTCTGTTACATTTACCATCGGCCCACCAGTCGCAGGTAGGCTAAGTGTTATTTATAAGCATGGACGTATCTGTCTTTATAGTTTCTGATCGAAAGCTGTCTACGTGATAATTAGAACTGTTGCCTACATGTTGCGCATTGTAAACTATTACGAAAGGAATTTGCACTAGACAGCAGATCATGCGATACCTTTACAGCGTTTGTCGACACTGAGCGTGGTGTGGGTTATAATGGGGACAAACAGTAGGTAAAGGAACATTACGATCACTTCCACGGCAAGTTACAAATTAATTATAGAAATTTTGGTTATTCAAGAAAATGGCGGTAAACGGAGTTAACTTTGGAAAAATATGATAAAATTCCCACAAAAGCCCCACACCTATTAAATGATGCCATATTTGTGTATATCAGTTCCGAACAATAATTAAAAGTTACGTTTAAATGGCTGAAGTGCTTTGATTTGTCCAAAAATATGTGAATATGTTGATATGTTTTGCGTAAGTCAATTTCAATTTTTAGGTCTTTAATATACATAAAGCCATTGTTGAGATATAACTTATTTTGTGTTCCACAGTAGAAAAATAGTTTATATGTGACGTCCGCTTCATCTTACGAAAATATTT